GAGAGCAAGGGGGATTTTGGTCGCGTGTGGTCGCAAAGCTGACCAAACAGATGCGCTCAAGCCCTGGTACTGTGAGAGATTAACAGAAGGCAAAGAAGAAGCAAGGCGTGCCTTTTTCTTTTTTCCATGACTGGGGGCGGTCAACTGGGGTCTCAGATCCTTGAAGTGCGCCGGCCATCTAACTGCTTTTGTTGGACGGAGGCCGCCGTATTCACGTGGGCGATGCCACAAGAGACTCCCAAGAACAAGACAATTGCGGTCAACGACGGAGACCCCGATCGATTGAAGGGGGGGGAGAGCTCTCAACAATCACAGACGAAATTTGCTTGAAAGATATGACAAAGAAGCTTTTTGAACGGGCCCTCGCCTAATTCAGGGACACGGCTTTCATTTACACTGGAATGTCATCCCATACTCCACTTGGGTCGTAATTCTCTTGAGTTTCATGTAACTAGCACTGTGGTGCCCGATCGGCCTAATTATATGATGGCCTTGATTTCTAACTGGAGATGGAAACGATATCGCGAAGGGCTTCGATATTTGGAATTGTTATCACAACAACCATCAAGGTCGTCGAAATGATGGATACGAAACAGCAATCAAACCGGTGCTCGCCTGGACCACTGAATGACTTGCTCGCGCCTGTCAATTGCGTCTTGCTGGGGTCTTCGCTTGGTGTTAGTGCCAGTATGTCTCCACACGACGGGGGAAGACGTCTTGGGAGGTGTCATCACCAAAGCTCAATAAAGTGGGATAAACAAGACCCGAGTCTAGACTCTCTCGATTCTGCTCTGTGCCTTGCTGGCACATCATAAGATGATCATTATCGCTCCCAATCAAGAAGTGATCATGGTTTCACATCCGCAAATGGCACACGTGGGCTGTGGCTCATGGGTCGGGCAAGTAAACCGCTCAGAATAGTCGTAGTTGCAGCACACCGGGCAAGGGGGGGGCGTCGAGGGCGTATCATGGCAAAGTGGGTTTTGACAGAAACTTTGGCATCCTATCATGAGCTGCCGACGATCTTGAGACAGGATAAACCGTCCAACCATAGGAGGCGTCTCGGTCTCGGATTTCTCCCACAAACCGGGTGGTTCAATCCCTGCGGAAATTTGGCTAGCTTCGCCTGGCTTGTTTTTCAATTGTGATCTGTCAGAAAAACCCGGCAAATTCATGCTGATCGGAAGCACGCAAAACAGCCACACCAGCCATGGCTGCCATGCCAAGTTGGGTGACATTGGAAATGGCACACTTAAGCACTCTATTAACATATGCTTGATCTATTATCTTTCAATGCCCGCTGTAAAGTTCAAAGGAACAGAATATTCAGGCCTAAATATAGATAATTTCTAATCTCTATTTAGAATGAGCTATTTGTTCAGATATTTAGATGTTCATTCGGGTGATTATTTGGGTCTTTATTTGGGTGTGCCATTTCCAGTGTCACCCACTTGCATGCTCACCACCCATCACCAATCGCATGGCAATTTTCAATCATCTCCATCCATTTCCCCGACGTTTACACGAGACCAGCACCAAGTGGCGCTGGTAGACAGTGGTAGTACGTCGACCCTAGTGAACCCCACTGGTTTAGCAGACAACAGCCGGCACTAAACGGGAGAGCGCATCATTCCCATAGGGGAATGAGCCCCCTCCAATCTAGCTCTACCAAGCTTCGCCATCTCCTCTTGGTCCCGACGGGGAAAACCCAAAGCAGATATGCGTGAGTATGTGGTGTTGCTTGGGAGAGGGTCCTCTAACGCTCGGTAAACGCCGGTTGGCTGGGCGAGTTCCTCCCCCCCCAATAAAGTCACAGCCAGGGCGTTGTAGTTTCAGATGGTTCCGGTCTCAGAGTTTGGAGGTTAGTTGGTTAGTCATGGCTTAGTGGTGGGCAGCATGTGCTTAGCGCACCGATGGCAGCGCCGCCGCTTGTATTACCTGAGGGAAGTTGCTCGGAGAGAGGGGGTTCTCCGTGCACGTTTTCCACCTACCCAGGAGCGGAAACTCCCCGAACACGGAGGTGTAGATAGATTGTGAGCTCCTCCCAAGACACCAGCTGGGTACTTCCGGTCGCGTACACTTTCGGTTTGTGCTCGGTCTGCGCCTGCCGTTGACCAGGACTACTGCCGTGCGCCTCGTGATGCAACTTTGCGCCCAACCCCATTCTCCCACCTGGATGTGATAAAGCAGGTACCGGGGCCGAGTGGGCTGGTACCTGGGCGGCAGGCATGCGGGCGGTGCGATGGCAGGTAGATGTCGCCTAATGGGGAGGTATTCTGCATTACTAAGATGAGTTTTTGGCCGGGTAGGCACTTGCCCAGGCACTTGCCTAATGAAAATCTGAGGTGATAGCTTGGCGGGAGGCGATCCAGCCCCCAAACACCCCCCCAGAACGCTTCTGTACATATTAATCTCATGTACCAGCCGACAGAAGAGTGTTAGATCACCCATCCCTGCCCTCCCCAACGACGCCTGGAATGGCTAGCACTCGACCCCTCTTCTGGCGTGTGTGTGCTCCTGACGAAATGTCCAGGCCCCGACTTCCCTCACCCCGAATCAAACCGTGCGGGCGGAATCGGGTCACTCGCCCACGGAAGCAAATACGCGGTAGATGCGGACGCAACGCCGGCAAATGCCTCTCCACTCACACGAAAGCCGTGCACGCACAGCCCGACAGGCCATGTAGTCGACTAACGGCGTTGCCCCAAAGCAGGGTTAGCTCGCCACGCCCTATATCCCAAGACGAGGTCATTGCATATGCGGCTGGCGAGCTGGTTCTTGTCCCAACTCGTATGAGTGGGCCGATGAGCCCTGTTTGACGGCGCTGCGCACAAGGAAAGGGGACGGCCGTTTGATTCCCTGTGGATACGCACCAGCCTTATATCTGCTAGTGCTGGCCCTTTGCTTGCGCTAGCGTTGTCTAGATGATCTTCAAGACTAAGCGCGGGGGAAGTGTCTTCAGCGCCTGACACAGGGCCAAGATGGGTTGAAGCCAGAAGCTGGGGCTACCAAGCTTCGCGTCGACCGGGTGCCTTGCTTGCATGAACAAAACGCCCTGTGATCATTCCGTGAGAGATCAACTACTGCCCGGAGGCTTCGGCGCAGAGCTACGTCTGGGCCTATAGGATCGAGACCGTGATTGATGGCAGCAGCCGTCGCATCACTCCACGATTGGCATTGGCAGCAACTTGAGCCCACGTCATACCTCCTCGTGCCAAGTCTTTTGTGATGATGCTATCCGCATCCGCATCCGCAGAGCCCGGCTGTTGTGCTGTGCCTTGCTCTGCATTGCGCGTTCACAAGCTAAGTTCCAAGCGAACCGCAGCGGGAGCATCTGCCGCGTCTGCTCGTATCTTGGCCCATGGACTTGGCAGCCTTTCCGTTGATCTTGCTACCCACTCCTCATGGGCTGGGCACCATGACTAAGGGCCAGCGACTCGAGCAGCCAGGGTCCTAGACTCAACACCCTTTTTGGCTCCTGAGCCAGGACCTCACCTACATCAGTTCATCGTACCTGCTGCCGTACTGGCCGGCGTTATGGAGTTAGTCCTCCCGACGCTACGGAAAGGCATCAATCCCTTGGCCTCCTCACGTAGTAGTAACTGATTAACACTCCACTGTCTTTGGGGTTGCATGAGCCACTGCCGGCTGTCCATCAACCTCCATCGCCTCCTGGCGCATTTTCAAGCTTTGGCTCTAGGGGAGTTGGTGTGCACTTACACCCCCCAAACTTGATCTTCTTCGTGATGGCGTCTCTAGAGAGAGAGCCGTTTCACAGCCCGATCTCTATCACAGCCCAATCTATCACAGCCTCATGGGCTGCCTCTTTGATACGCTTGTTCTTCCTGTAGGCGCATTGATCTTCAAGGCTGTTTGGGTTTCATGCCCCTCTCCGTTCCTTGTTTGTAGTAGTAGATGTCCTTGGAGTCTCTCTTCGTGCCAAGACATTTCGTATGTCTAGGGCTGGATGATTTCAAATCTTTCTTTTTCCAGTATTTTCTGCGAGGCGGACGTACGTAGCATTCTACGTAGCCCCGGGACTGCTCAAAACCCCGTCCGAGTTACGCAAGAACACAGCCGCCATCTCCCTTTGAATGGAGACTTCTCCTCAGATGAGGGAGAAAGTGGCGCCCTTCCTAACAAGCACTAGGCATGATCCGCCAGACCCAACCGGCCCTGGTCTGGTCGTCCTCCTCCCACCATCATCTGTAACCAGCAGTGCCCAAAGATACCTAATTGGCACGCGTCAAGCTCCGGGGCCACGGAACGAGGGATTGCGCTGGGGATGGAGCCCGTGCCCAATGTTATTTGCGATTCCTGAGCCTAGTGGTAGTATTCAGATTGACAGGCTGGGAGTTGGCGGAGGCCCATGGCTAGTACGTAGTGTTAGACACACGGCTCTTGCATGAAGACCAGGATGCCCCCGGCGAGCAAGATCGGCTCTTGTCTGCAGCCGTCAGTTTAGTTTCGCTAGTTCGTCCTCAGTGTCACTGCAGACATGCTCCTGCAGACTTCGCCCCAACCTGTTACATTGTAGGAGGTACTCGGGGCAAGAGCCGTACGTATGGGCAGCCGAGTGGGCAAGCAAGGTAGGTAGATATACCGCCAGTCTCGTGTGTCCTATCATCCGACCTTTTGAATTTCACCCATCCTCGGATGCCCACCTTTCACTCCCACCCTGTCTACCATCCTAACCACTCCCAACTTGAACCCCCCCGCCGAAACTTTCCTGACGGGCGGGAGCCACTGCTGTCATTCTCCACGAAGTGGAACTCGCGTCTCCGAGGATACATGGATACATCAACTCAGATCGCCGGCCTCTAATAGGATATCATTCCCATCGTCATCCCCCCATAGGTCCGCAAGTGTCGCTGCTTTGCCTACCAAACTTACCTACATTGTTTGCTGTGCCGTCTGTATCGTCAGCTCCCCAAACCGTTCCCTTCCCTAGTCGTCTTTCGCCTCGATGCGAGAACCGATCGGAGACCGGTTCGTGCTAAATGTCAACACCTGCAGTAAGTGCTTCCTAATACACGATTCCCTGCCGTGCTTTTGCCCTGCCCTGCTCTTTGCTCTTCTCTCCTGCCCCCCGGTCCTGCCAGTTATCCCAGCCCCAAGAAGCCAGACGTACACACAACACCCAAGCGATATGAATCCAATTCTTGACCAACACGCCGTGTCTTGCCGCAATGTAGCAAAAGGCCAATCTCGCCCGCATCCGAGACAACCAGAGGAGATCCCGAGCTCGCAAAAGAGAATACCTGCAAGATCTGGAGAATCGCCTACGGGTATGCGAGCTCCAGGGCATCGAGGCCTCTGCAGAAGTGCAGATGGCTGCCAGAAGGGTCGCCGAAGAAAACAGACAGCTCCGCGAGCTCCTCCAGAAGCAGGGCCTTAGCGACGACTACATCAACCACTATCTGCAGAGCGCCATGCTGTCAGCGCCTGATCTGGCGAGCCCGACCTCGTTTGGAAGCAATCCGGGACCACCCGTACAGTCTCTGCAGCAGCTCCTTACTCCGCGACGACCCAATTCCCTCGACCCCAACGTCCCCTTCCCCTTACCGACTCAGGCCAGCCGGGAGACCTCCGCTACCAGTGTCTCAACCACCACCTCCTCGCTCTGGGAGGGAAACCAACCGGCAATGTCTTCTCAATACACCCACCACCAGGCAATGAACGTCCCCGGCGCCATGGCCGCGCCGACAAGTGGCCAGTCGTACTCGGCGTCGGTGTACTCCAGTGATTCGGCCTCCCAGGTGGAACCGTATTCTGCGCACCAGCAAAATAGTGTGCTGGGAAGTCAACGCCAACCGCCGCTAAACTCGCAGCAGATCCAGTCTGGTATGCAAGGGGGCATGGCTATGGGGTACGCAGAGCCAACCTCTTCATATAATCCAAACGGACGAGATTTTGGACCGCCTAGCGTGTTCTGATCCTACGGCCTACGTATCGAACCTAGTTTCGACTGGCGTTCAACGGACGCCATTCAAGTCTCTGTTTGGTATTTGGACCGCCGTTGGAAAGCTTATTGTGCTGCTCTAACAGCGTTGGTGGAGGAGAGTCATCGTTTTTGCTACAGAGCCTTGCTACCGTGTGCCTTGGCTTGCGATTTCCCGGCGAACAGTCCTTTTTAAGTGTATTGGCAAGGGAACTTGTCGGGTATCTACGACGATTCCATAATTTCGAACTCAATCGCATTACTCCAACCTTCCCGAACATGACACCTAGCGACCGACCTTGATGATGGCGGATACCATATTGGCACAACTGTATCCCTAGCAAATAATATGCATTTTGAGTGCTGGGAAGAATAGTTTTGGGGGAAATGTTCAGCCCTTGATATACGGAAAGGCGAGGCATTGTAAAGGTCGTTGGATCATGCTGCTGTCACCCTTCCACATGCTCCGATAGTGGAGTGGCCCAACAGGCCTGTCCCTGTCGACAACTTCAGGTGGAGAGCGGGCGTGGGCGACAGCTGACCTTTTTGGGGTTATCCTGTTTGGACTCTGTTTATCTAAACAAGTCGAAGATTATGTCTCTACTAGGAGTCGAACTATGATCTTGTTTAGATTTTGTTTTTATAGTTGGTCTTTTTTGGATGGACAATGGCGACTCGTCTTGCTCTGCTGTCCTTGTTGTATATGTAATTTCCCTTATTTGTGTGGTTTTTACATGGCAGAAATACCCACGCTGTCATTTAGGAAAAGGGGGGGGGCGGATATATGTCCTTACGGTTGAGGTTGGCTGGGGTTTGGAGTTGGAGGAGTAAGGAAGGGGAACGTTTGGGGGAGACGAGCCGTGCATTTTGATTTTATATAGACACGCATTGTGAAACGAATAGAAATGAAATTAGCGTACCTACGTTAAGGAGAGTGATGCTGGGAGTTATCGTAATTGTGTGGCTTGGGGAGGGGAGGATGCATTCGCGTGACCGTGCTGTTGGAGAAGACATGAACCAACTGCCTAGGAGACAAGGGCCGTAGACTTGGGAAATGGCTTGTTTGATGGTGTTTAGGGCGGAGCTAGTCTCCGTGTACTAGAAGTTGAAATTGTAGAGCTAGTGGACTACAATAAAGTGAGGTTCGTATGGAGCTATTGGCTGAAACCGACATGCGGAGAGGCCTTGGATTTTGGCAATGGCAGCGGTGGTCTCCAAGTGTCAAGGACACTTAACTCTGCAATAGGCACTACTTTGCCAATGGGAAACACGATGTCGCAGACTTCCTGGTGTGTCGGAACGGTTCCCGATACATGAAGGATACAATAGAGCTAGGAGGGGGGGGGGTGGAAACCAACCTCTTGGTGCTTCTATGAGCTGTGTTTGTCTCAGTAATCAGGCGATGGAGAATGACCAGTAACATCCCAATTGGAGGGACAGGCCGAAACTTTGGAGAGTGGTATGATATCGACTAGAATACGTGTATCCTGAGACAACATGAGCAGGACTATACTTGTATTGGAAATAGTTTGCCCACCGCTTTATGAGAAGTAAAGTAGCAATCAGTACTGAAGGCGATGAAAACTTAAGACAACCTATGCAGAGAAGCGCTAAAAGAGATTGACGAATATTAATCACTTGATCCTATACTCTTTACGAATTGATACGGTACGAGTGGTTTTGACCATATCGAACTAAGTGTCTCGGACTTCTAGAATGACTGATTCTAGTTGGGGGAACCAGTCCAATCTAGTTTCACTTCTGGATAGACAAATGAGGATGACTGTCAGCAATATGAAAAATGAATCAGGGATCGAAGTGAAGCCAAGAACGTTGTTTTTTTCAAATTAATAACTCCCATGTGACGCCTCGTGCCCAATCCAGCGAAATAAACATAAACTACCTGCTCGGCATAAGAGAACCAAGTACCGCCAAAACCATACGCATAGTCCCTTAACATATCTATTCCAAGTCACGCTCTATAGGAAGTAGTCGGCCACTGGCTTCTTGGCCGGCATGCCTCTCGAGTCCTGCGGCGCAGCCTGGAACACGCGGTAGCGCCTCGCCGGGCCGTTCCTGACGAACGTCTCGCCCTCCATCATCACGCCGCGCCCGCCGTCGCTGCGGCCGACATCCCCGTTACTCCGAGCGAACAGCCCCGTCCCGGACTCGTCCTCGGAGAGCTCGAGAACCGCGGCCACGTTGCCGCAGCGGTAGCAGTAGTTGGGTGCAGACCAGACGGTGACGATGGACGCGTCGAACATTTCCTTGAACCCTTCCATGACGAGCTGGTGGGCGCGGGCGATCAGGCTGAGGTCGTTGCGGTGGTTAAAGATCTTGACGATATCCGCCCCAAAGAGGAAGCCCGCGCCTCGGGGGGACAATCCCCAGCCGTCGATCTCGTCGGGGTCTGACCACAGCAGATCGCACATGGCGCCCTCGTGGGGGACTTCCTGCTTCCGATCAATCAAGCGGATCTTATCAACAGTGTCAATCAGCGGACTGAGCCCCCCGTGGACGCATAGCACGGCGCCCGTCGGGTTGCCGATGGAGCCACCGCTCGCGCCTGACGCACCGGACCCGGGGGGTCCTGTCCTGTCGCCCGAGCCTCCTCCGCCATTGGGGCTGCGTACCGGCCCCTCTGCGCTGTTTGGCCGTGGCATTGGACGAGGGAAGCGGCTCATAACCGTCCCGCTCTGGTCGCACACTTCGATCTCGGTGTCTTCATCAACAGGTTCCGTGCCGGTAGACAGTGTGTTCGAGGCGCCGAGGACGATGGCTCCCAGGGCTAGGTAGTCGAAAACGTCGCAACAGTATCGCCAAACGTTTGCGCTTCCGTATTTCCGGATGCATTCATCGTAAAAGCCATAGACGGTGGTGATCTGCCTTGACTCGTGGTTTCCTCGGATCAGGGTCATTCGATCGGGGTATCTGACCTTTAGGCATAGTAGAAGCAGGAAGGTCTCGAGCGAGTAGAATCCTCGATCAACGAAGTCACCTAATAGATAGCGCAGGGGTCAGCGAGAAAATTTCAGGGTGTTAGGCTGATGGTGGTGATGATCGCCATACCCATGAACAGATAATTAGTATCTGGGACATCACCACCGACTCGAAAGAGCTCCATCAAGTCGTGGAACTGGCCATGAATATCGCCGCATATCTATCAAAGGTGTCAGAGTCGTCGGGTCGGGGTTCATCGTCATTGGGTGGGTGGATGCCCATACCGTCACCGGCGCCGCGACTGTGACAACGTTGCCCTCTTCAATCAACAGCTCGCGCGCCTTGTGGCAGATCTCGCGGACCTGAGATTCGGGTATCGGCCGGCATGAGCGCAGCTGCGCGATCGCTCTGTATGCGTCATGAGCATGTCTCCGCGTTGGGCTATCGCCAAGATCAGGCCGACTCACCGGTCGAGGTCGCTCATGGCGGAACGGCGTAGAGGATTTCAGCACGTGAAGCTCCGTGCCGACAATATTGACTGCTGGGGATGACAAACATGCGGGATCAAAACATTATTGCAAAAGGATGTCGAGGTTGATAGCAGGTCGTAGTTGGCGGCGCAGAAATGTGAGGAAGCCTCGGTCTGGGTTCTGCGAAATGTTGGTGGCGGTGGTGATGCGGCAGTGGCTCTGCGCGTAGGATAAATTGCACGGGCACGCGATGTGTCGATAAACTGCTGCTCGGCTCGTTTGCGACATGTTGGCCCTGTAAATCGACGGCCTGCATGCCCGGCACGGAACACTAATAGCACCTGGACGGGAGCCCCTCTAGGTGGGTATCGTCCCGCTAGAGAGCTTCCCACCGCCTACCCTTTAGGGATGCAGTTTTTGTTTCCCGCCAACGTGGGCCGGCTTCCAGAAACCCGGTGAATATGTTTTTCCGACCCTGACGGGCCAGTGGCTTCTAAACCTAATACGTACAGTTACGATAATTTTAAGACTTTCTGCACGATGACAGCCAGCTGACAGCGCCTGCTAGGTACCCATGTACCCAAGTCACTCGTACGAGGCTATCCAATCCTCGTCCAGCCAATTCAACGCATTCCGAATCACTCCTACAAATATCGCAGCATCAGTCCACCCCCAAGTTGGCGTTTACTGAGTCGTCAGGGAGGATGGTAACGCTGAAGAGAGGTGAGCACAATTGGAATTGGGTCACCAATTGCATTCTGACCCGTGTCTAACGTCCAATTGGGCAAACTTCCAGGTTCTCGGTAAAGCGGAAAAGTCACACAGGCGACATTATAATCCCCACGGCACACGAAGCTTCGACGACACCACCACAGAGTCCCCTATTATGCCACCTATTCTTCACCCCAAGTCTCGGATGACCTCATCCCTCTTCGCCACGACCGTCGTCGCCAGTTTCTTCGTTGTCGCGCTTCCACACCTACTCCCCTGCCCCGTACCGGCGACGAAATTTGCAGATGGCGATGTCATGGTAGACGAGAACGGCAAGAGGAGGGTATGGAGGCGCAAGGAGCCATTAGATATCAAGGACGGGATCGTACAATTCAACGACACGGGCGACATGGAGGGCGGCTCCCGGAGGGTACGGAGAGAGTGCCCTGTGCCGAAGCCGGGTGGCATGCTGGGCGACTGGTTGGGCTTCCATAAGGACGACAATAACATGGGAAAAGCGAACAAGTAAACTCGATTATGTATAAAAAGAAAAAGAAATATAAAAATCATAATGCCAGTGTTCCGGCCAGCTTCCAACACCGTGATCTGGCTGGGAATGAGGGGTGCCAAGCATGACAAGGCGAAGATCAGATGTTCAGTCCAATGCGGCTCCTTGCTATGCATTTGGGGGAGATAATGCCTTTCAACTACCTATTTACCGTTGAATCAAGGAATATCTTGCTAATTGGCACTTATTACAGAGCATTGGAGCAATATGGGATGGTCTTTCGCTCCCATGGGTAGATGTATGAAGACCAGGAATATTGTGGTGGATAGACCCCCAGTTCTTACAGCTACTTAGTACGAAACATTCCACCGACTTCACTCTTCCGACATTACTGGATTGGAAGGGTCTTCAATTTCATGTCATGGCTCGGAAACAGTTACTCATTGCATGATTGGGCCGCAACATCAACGCATCGAGTGTTTCGCTTTCGCAATTAGCCTTACATACATGCATATTCTAACTAGCTATATTCAAACCGTTCTCTTTTGCTACTCCAATGTTTTCGGGTCCTTATATCATAATCCGAAATTGATGCCTCCAGGTATTACGACTCCAACGCCGCCATCCGTTTTGCCCGTCATGCCACTCTCTGAATGGTTGCGATGCCACTCCTACAACAATGCATTGCTTGTAGGGTTTCTGAAAGTTCTTCGTTTGCACGGTTTGTAGCTGTTCGGGATTTGAGAAGACACAACTGAGAAGAAACGATGGCAAAAACATCCCCACAGCATACATTCATAAACGCCGCTCAAAAAAAGAAAATTCCCATGATGTAAGCCATACCAAATCAAAAAGTGCCATGCTGTTTAAACCCCATGTCGCAACAATGAATTGGGGAGTATGGAAAGAGTTGGTTATGCACGAGGCAGGGAGACGGGTACAAAGTCAAAAAGGGTATACACATTTTGACACGCGCATGAAGTTATACTCAAGGGCATTACGCCCCTGGTTATGCGCCCATCCCGCTGTAATTCGCAGATGGTAAACTGCCCATCTTTGCATGGTGTGCGTTTTGAGGATTGGGATTGGAGACTGCTGCTTGGGGATTCCCCATGGTGGTCGGTTTTTGTGGTTGCGCCACACCTTGGCGGTGCGCAGGTTCTTTGGTAGGATCAATTCCCGGAAAGCAGGCTTGTAGACGTGCATATAGATCTTTGATGTCCGCATCCCGCTCTTCTCGATCTGTGACAGGATCGACCTTGGAATCGACTCCTTCGGGAACGAATGGGGGCGCTCGTAGCTTAATGGATAAGTTCAAAGGGGGCGGCGTCATATGTGCAGGGCAGGGAGGCAGTTTGGTATCGGGTTTGCGATCTGCTAGCGTTGCTAAATATGATAAGTTGGTTTGCAGCCGGCGCATGCATCTGGAGAAACGTTAACAAGGTGAAGATTTGGACAAATGCGGAACGGTTGTGCACGTACTGGACATAGTCTTGCTGCAGGGCTGCTTGCTCTTCGTTTAATTTCTGGTCCGGAGCTGCCTTACCCTCAGCGGCGAGCTCCTTTTTCAGCTCTACCTGGGACTTCTGGATTTGGATTGACTCATATAGGAGCTCGTGGTTGATATCAAGTAGCAACGTAAATCTCTGGTTGTCGCGAGCCTCTGTTCCTGTTCCAGTAGGCGTGGCTTGCTGGCTGACGGGGTTTGGAGGGAAGCTGGGCGTGCTTGGCGTCACCCCATCGGCACTCTGTGGTTGGAAACTAGTTGGTGTTTGTGCGTGTGCAGGCGTCGGGGTTTGGTGCTGCTGCTGTTGAGGCTGCGATGGTTGCTGCTGCGGTTGCTGAGGTTGATGAGGTTGCTGAGGCTGTGGTTGTTGCTGCTGTTGCTGCTGAGGCGGCGGCGGCGGTTGGAATTGACCTTGTTGGGATGGGAGGGCATTGGTTGGCGTGGACTGGGCGGCACTGGGCGGTCTTTGAGGACTCGACATCTGATTCATCGATGAATGACCTTGCTGCTGAGCTAGTCGCTGTAGCATCTGCTGCTGCTGCTGATGCTGGGCTTGTTGCTGTTGCTGATTCGGTTGCGGTTGCTGCTGCTGATGCTGAGGCATCCCGGACTGGTTCATGGGAAATCCCTGCATGGCGCCGCCGGCCATCATGAAGTTGTTTTGATTGAAATTGGGAGGTGTCATTCCAGGCGGTATGACCTGACCGTACGGATTGCCGGCGAATTGTTGCTGATAGTTGGGCACTACAACCATGAGTCGGGTTAGTCAGGGCGCAAACGCGTTTGGCAGGAAACAACGATCCTCGGGGCTACACAGTCGCGGTGACTGCGCCTGCTGGCCGCGCATTGCGACGACTGGCTTGAAGCCAAACACCACTGAGGAGAGACACGAGGCAACGTGAGATGGCATCGTGATGCCATGGCGAGGTGCATCCTCGTAGCAAACGGGACGCAACGGGCACCGCGATGGGGGGGACAAGCAACGGAGATGGGGACTTACTCTGGCCATTCGCTCCCATATGGGGCATGCCTGCGTTTTGCATCATGCCCGCAGAGCCACCAGGCATCATCTGGGCGTTGGCTCCCGGCGCAAAGGCAGCCTGGGGAGCCATGCCGGCGAACTGTTGTTGCTGGTTGTACATGAGGTGCTGCTGCTGTTGCCCTCCGGGTTGTTGTGGGGCGCCGGCGTTGAAATTAGGAGCAGCGTTCCCAAAGCCATAGCCTGCGGCGTACATGGCGAACGGGCTTTTAAATTTTTTTATTGCCTTATTAATTAACAGGTCTCCCCCCTCTCCTATGTCTCAGGTACAAGACGAGTCGGGGTCGGTGGATGTGGTGGCCGGTGAGGATCTTGCCTGGCTCGGGTGACGAGGTGGCGCAGGGGGCCAAGTAGGGATCGTGCCCGAAGTGCGTGAAGGGGTTTAGCAGACAGGCTGCTGGAAGGATGATCGGGCTGGCGCTGGTATCAGAAGCTCGGTTGACAGACGGTGTTTCGTGGCAGCGTAAGGTTGTTTGAAGATGTTTGTGGGGGCAGGGGTCCCGCAGACCTCAGGCCAACAAATGCGGCAACGTGCCAGGATTCGACTGGAAAGGGTGACAGGCTCGAGCAGAGCATCAAGGACGCTGCGAGCCGATAAAGGGACGATCAATGGACCTCGGGACCGGTGGCTGTGCTGGCTGTGGCCACGAGGGAGCGCGATCAGTGATTGTCGCAAAATGCACGCGCGATGGCTTATTCCCACGTTCGGCACGCTAGCTTACTCGGAGGTCGCCTCTGAAGAGACTCGCTGCAAAAACCCGGCTGGTCCTTGCGAGGAGGGACAATGCATGCAATCACCCTCTGTTTCGAGTCGCACCACAGGATGAGACGGTGAAGGCCAATGAGGTCTCTGTGTCAGCCAGGGTGTGTCTGACTCTTTCTTTCTCTTGCTTGCGCGGCTCGCGCTTCTACATGGATTGCCTGCAGATGAGCACCAGTTAAAAAGGTCTGGCGGCAATTGGAGCCGGGTAGCGAGTGTCGACGCAGATCAGCGGAGGAGATGGTGGGAAAGGGAGTGCCAGAAAGTCTCGGCGATGACTTAGCTGCCACTCCAATGTAGGAATAAGGCGAGGACCGAGAAGGCGACGGGATATTGATCTGTCGTCAGATGATCCGGATGAAGCCAAAGAGCTGCGGCTATCACGTTTATTGCTGCGAAGTCTGGGTGATTATATAATGGCGCCCACCTAATTCCTACCAATCCGTGAGTGCTGACACTCGCTACACGTTGTCGCCTAGAAGCTGTGCAGGGCCTTAGAGGCAGCCTGGCCCACAGCTGTCCAGACTGGAGCTACCTGAGGAGCTACATTAGGTAGGAACAGGTTGAGATCAACGCTGGAGTAACAAGTCAAACTAAAGCAATAAAATAACTCTCTGGATTATTTTACTTATGTGCTTGACTACCCAGAAGGGATTTCATCTAGGCTCCTAAGCGATCCTTAGATGTGTCGTAGTTTATCTTGTTTGGACACTCTCTAGGATACTTGAAATGACTTAGTACCTATCTATGGATCTTAGCCAGAGGTCATTCCAGGGCCTCGGGGGAAGCTATCGTGTCCAGGTCTTTTGAACAGGCTTATGGAACTTCATTCTAACGGTCGCAAGATAGATCCGATGAAAGAAAAGGAAGCAATGGATGCAGAAACGAATGCGTCCCCTGCAATTTCCTGTCTGTGCTATCTAGCCGTGATGGATTGCGATCATTCTCATATTGTCTAGTGAACTGAAGCATGAGTATGGATCAATCCCAAGGCCATCTGACAATCTCATGACAGCCAGGAACAACCAAACAAGCCGCTCAGAAATAGAGTGCTTTGGTTGCAAGATGATTTGTCAATCTTGCCAGGTACAGGCATAATTCCCGAGCTAGACGGCTACAGCCGGTAAAAGGGTGACACACAGTCTACCCGAAAGAGGACATCTGAATTCCGGCCCTGCCACCGGCACCGCACGATCTGACCTTCGGGTGACGTCTCGTCGCATGTGAGGATTGTCGCCATTTGCTGATATATTTCCACGAACGATGCGCCATATTGATATGAGTTACCATTGGCGGCTTCTATCCGGAGACTTACGAGCAGAACTAGTGCTTGGATGTGAACCTCTATGCCTGGGCTAGTACCTTGAGCGGCCTATTCCTCAAGTTCAACCTTCGATTCCACGATAAGGTAGTTCCCAAGGTATATGACTTGGAGAAAAAGCAGACAAGTGGCTTTTGGTACAAGTCTGGAGAAGCACTATGCAGTTTTCCAATGCTATTTAGCCAGCGAGGCAATTGAGTATTAATTCTACAATTTTTGCCCAATATGTTACTGCATGCCCATAAGAAACAGCTTCGGCGACACGTTCCTAATCGTTTAGGCCTTGATGGCGCATCGATGACTGTGTGGGGGCGCCGAAACCCGCCGTGCCTCCGGAGTCGGGGACGCACTTTGAGCCCCTCGACGCCATCAAACTGAATTCGCAAGCTTGTTACTCATTCCCGCCTACCACAACCACAAGCAGGGGGCTGCAGTTCTGTCTTTATATACTGGGGGTGCTTTCTTCCGGAAACTCAATTCGGTTTCTCAACCAATTCTTGAACCAGAGCACGCCATAACCATGCCTGCCTTCAATCTCGAAACCTGCGCCAGGCCCAACATCCTCGCTCTCCAGCCCTATCGCTGCGCTCGAGAGTAAGTTCAAACATCCTTGACCGAAACATCTCCAACGGCCACACGCTCACATAAATTCTTCCAGTGACTACAAGGATGATGGCAAGAACATCCTGCTGGATGCCAACGAAAACGCCTTCAGTCCTTTCCCAGCTGATGTAAAAGCCATCACCGAAGGCCCCTTCACCCTCAATCTGATGGGCCTCAATCGCTATCCTGACCCTCACCAGCATGACCTCAAGCAGCTGCTATGCAATCTGCGCAACACCCACGCCCATACCCCAAAGACCCTCACCCCAGACCACCTGTTCGTCGGTGTTGGTAGTGACGAGGCCATTGATGCCCTGCTAAGATGTTTTTGCGTCCCTGGCAAGGATCGCATCCTCACCTGTCCCCCAACATACGGCATGTACGCGGTATCTGCCCAGGTCAACGATGTCTCCCTGGTCAAGGTGCCTCTACTCCCAGCACCAGACTTCGCCCTTGATGTCCCTGCCATTTTGGACACTCTCTCCAATGAGCCCAATATCAAGCTTGCCTACCTGTGCTCCCCTGGAAACCCCACGGGATCTCTTCTCGCCAAGTCGGACATCCAACAGATTCTCTCCCACCCCACGTGGAACGGCATCGTCGTCGTAGACGAGGCATACATCGACTTTGCCCCCGAGGATGCCTCTCTCGCCGAATGGGTCACCGAGTTCCCCAACCTGGTCGTCATGCAGACCCTGTCCAAAGCCTTTGGGATGGCCGGGATCCGCCTCGGCGTGGCCTTCACCTCGCCGCCCATCGCCCAGCTCCTCAACAATCTCAAGGCCCCTTACAACATCTCCAACCCGACCAGCACCCTGGCCTCGTACGCCCTGGGGGAGCAGGGGCTCTCCGTCATGCGTGGGAACCGCGCAAAGCTGGTTGAGCAGAGGGAGCGTCTCCTGCAGGAACTGCCCAAGATCAGTGGCGTGGGCAGGCTGAGGGGCGGCACATCGAGCAACTTCCTGCTGTATGAGATGCTAGATGCCCAGGGTAACCCCGACAACACGACTGCTCTCGCCGTGTATGAGAAGCTGGCCGAGACTCAGGGCGTGGTCGTCCGATTCCGAGGAAAGGAGCACGGATGCCTGGGCTGCTTGCGCATCACTGTCGGTAGCGAGCCAGAGGTGACGAGATTCCTCGCGTCGATAACCAAGATATTGGCTGAGGTTCGGGGGACATTGAATTAATTGGTTTGGCGCCAGGCTGTGCGGTAGGACATCGGATTTAGAGAAAATAAAAATGAAGAATGTCGATATCGTGAAAGACTAAAGCAATGGGAGCGAAACTAGACCATGTTGGATAACATGTAGGAATCCTCATAGTGTTTTTTGCGTAGATGGTTTGGGTTCTTAGAACGGTACTCCCTTCTTGGCCAAACCAAGATGTTTTCTTTGGGATGCTAGATAAAGAAACTAGAAAACCTGGCGAGTTGGTTCAACAGTACCTATTTTCATGTGGATATTCCGCAAACATTCATTCTCATCAAACAAACGTCTGTGGTGTCTTCAGTATTGGGAGCCTTGGGGTGACATTGAATTTGAGACAGTAAAAAATACTGTACTGCTTATCTTCGAGTCTACAGCCGGTATTGTCAGATTATTGAGGGCTAATAATAAATCAGAAAGAGATAATGCATTAAAAACTATCAATTTATATCGTTTTACCCAGATACATAATTCTAGTATCGTAGAAAGTAGCCTGTTCATAACCACGCTTCAATTTGATGCCTCATTTCTTCTGTCACCTAATTGGGGCGTGCTCGCTAAAGTGTGGTGGCCAGGATCTTGGTTACAGGGCTGGACAATATCCACGGGTCATCAGGCAGCCAGTCTTGCATGAATTTAGGAAGCTTGCATTGTCTCATGCAAATAAACTGCGAGTATCGTTACAGAAACACACAACGGGATAAAAGATCCGACGTCGTGTCACTGTATGTAGGCAGCTTCCCGGATGCACGCGCTTGTGTATCGGCGATCAACCCCGGAGCCTGTTTCTGGATTAGGGAGATGCGCGCTCTTTGATCTACCAACCCCCCTCACGATTAAGTAGTGTCGCTCTTGATCCTACATCGACGATTACCATAATTAAACGGCCCTCAAACCAGCCCTAAAGCTTTTATGTGCGGCACGCGCCTGAAGGTTAAGCATAATCATGTCTGCACAGGATCAGAGGGGCCCGCCAACGTTTCGCGACGAGGCGGCTGCCAGTGAGACCGACTCACTCCTGGAGCGCGGCCAACGCAAGGCGAAGCGGCTCTTCGACGGGTTTATTGATTTTGCCTTTTCGGGCAATATCCTTCAAATTGCATTTGGTTTGATGTAAGTTTTGTTTGAGGGAGAGAAAGTCTCCTTGCCCATTCTGAACCATTTGGGTGGCTGACGCTGAGGGGACCATCTATAGCATCGCATCCATTTTCACGGACCTGGTCAAGTCATTTGTTGGAGACATCCTCATGCCGCCGCTCTCTGTGATCCTTCCCCTGAAGAAGAACATCGAAGAGAAGTTTGCGATCCTGCGGGTTGGGGACACTTACAACAAGACCGCGGGCTACAACACTCTTAAGCAGGCTCAGAATGATGGTGCCGTTGTGATGGCGTATGGGTAAGAGCGCACCCCCTCCTCCCATTTCCTCTCTGCGCCGCTGACATCAGGGACTCAGCCTGTTCATATACCAGGTCGTATCGTTCTTCATGATTGGCCTGGCGCTCTATGCTCTGGCCCTCCTTTATACATCCTTCTCATCTGATCCGATCATCAAGCACACCAAGAAGTGTAAATACTGCCGGCAGCGTATCAACGAGAAGGTGAGTGAAATCAACAAGATCGGCCCTGTTTATAGACTGCTTGAGAGAAGCTTGCTAACATTGAGGGTCATCTAAGTCTCTTCGGTGCATTCATTGCACCAGTTGGTTGGATGGTCGGGAAGAACGTGTCCGATTCTAGCCCACAGCAGGTTGATGGACAACTGGTTGCGGGGCATCTTATGGAGGGCACGAGTCACTCTTGAGTACATTCTTGCATGACTCTATGTCGTTTAGTTTAGTTGGCGAGGTTATTTGCCTTTCAGAGCTTGCATTGTTTACGCATGTTGGAAGCTGAAATTATAGCGAGCGGATGTTTAAACACTACAAACCCACGCTGGGGGAATCGTTTCATTATTGCATGTCAAGGAAGATTTAAGCCTCTAGATGGATTTCAAGCGCATATGGAATTTGAGAAAGATATTGAGGGAGAAACTTAAGTTTCTGGGAGAGTGATATCGAGGTGGTACTAGTGACTGGGCACTTCATCTACCGAAGGGGAGCATCTGCCATTTTGGGCACATTGGCTGATGAAGCGACAATGTCATTGGAGCACCTGGGCAAAGACCCTGCCACCTGATGGACATGTATGCCGTTGATAAGATGCAGGCGGTGAGGGGGACACGCAAGTCTTGCAGAGAGAAGAGGGTACGCAGCGTTGCAGCAGAGGGCCGAGAGATAATAACATTCGACATGTTGCCAAGACGGCATTGCGAATGCCGTATGCTGGCCAACCACGGCGGAGGCCTGGGAAGCATGGTGTGTGTGGCAGTCCGAGATGACCACGCCGAGAGTTACAGGCAATGCACTTGGCTTCTTGGCCCTGCGGCTTTATTAGGTTGGCAAGGGCCCTGATCACGCGGCTGGAGAGGAGAGAACTTAGAAGCCATCTCGCAGATGGGGACTGGGGATGAAGGGCATGGGGTTAGCGCCTCCAAAACAATTGCCAATGATATGACCTTCTTCCTAGGATGCAATTCCTGCTAGACTACGGGAGTTGCGAGGTCACGGCTGCTTTTACTGGAAGCCGCCATCTCGATCGAGCCCTGGCGTGAGTGAAATGGGTGGGTGAGAGCTCATGCCAAGGCGCCGTCCGCGGATGAAAGCGACAATGCTGGTACACTTCTGGGTGTGTCGCCAATGCTGGGCGTAGGAAGGTGTCGTCGCTTGGCCTCTGCTTGGCTGAGCAGATAATGACTGAAAGAGTGGTTCATTCTAATATGCCACGGGCTTGGCATGGCCGAGAATTCGGAGCCATGTTTCAAATGCAGTGACTCGACCTGCAATCGATAAACCTTCACTCAGGGCATACAGAGTTGCCCCCACGGCTAATTGCTGCCATCTATGGCGGATACCATTGGCTTTAATCTCCAATAGCACCGTGGGCTAGGTAGCAGTACCTCTGGAGTACCTGGCGTACCTCAGTGGTGGCGGTGATTCTCCCAACCAGGGCAGTCATTCGCAAGTACTGCATACCCCTGGCCCATCAGCCCAGAACGGATTAGCAGCGGCCATGGCCTGGAAGTCAACCTCTATACCGCGAACCATGGCTTTTGGTTCAGTGCAATACGCTTAAGTTTACCGGCAATCTCTCGGTGATGGACTGGTCATGTTGAGGACTGACGAAGGCTCGACAGCGATCAATTCAGGTATGCGCCTGTCTCCATTGAGGCAGACGGAACCAGACTCAGGGAAGCAGCAGAAGGGAGAGGGGTGGAAACCGGCGACGACGAAAAGAGGTGCATTTTTCAGAGGCTCTTGGCCCCAAGGACAAGGGTCTTGGCATTCTAACCATGTGGTGATGGCGAGCTTGGCAGCTCCAGTCCTTCATTGCAACATTCTCTTGCCCAGCCTTGGCATTCTTCGTCGGACGCCAGTTCATAGCTGCCTCCCATCCAATGTGAGAGACGTAAAAAAACCTCCAGTAGAGATTAGCTCCCTTGCCGAGCCGTTGTCCTCCCTCTCCGTTCCTCCCATTTAAACCTACCGACATGCCCCGTACGCCTCCCCCACGATTGCTTCCCTTGTCCTGAGTGATGATGTCTTTGCGTACGCGCTGAACCCTGACCATTCCGACCGACTCTGTCTGCGACATTCCGCGCGATCTCATCTCAAGCCCGCGCTGGGTTCATCGAGGCGCCCTCGCCCGCTCCCTGGGCCTCCCAACACCCAACAAACCGAGTTGAGATCCGAGGGAGTCTCCTGTCGCCCCAATTCTCCCGCGTGGCATATTAGAGTCTGTTTTCATTCTCTTTTTGTTATTTGGATCGCCAATCGAACCGCTGCCGGTTCGTTATTGGCGATTGAACAACGATCGGCAGAAAAGATGGGGACGTGCCGCTCCACGAGATCGCAAACCACAACAACACCGGCACATCTTCTACTCTTGCGGATACTATTACTATGTTCTCTGTGCACGGCTACCAAGACGACGTCTGCCCGGGCGTCCACCATCACAGCAGCCCCCATATTCCTCCCCCATTATGATCGAGAATCATGGTCAATGGTCCGCGGCAGCATCATGGGCATTGTATGTTGGGTCCCTCCCTTTTCTCGCCCTCTTCCCTACTCGAACAAACTCCTTCTGCACCATGGATGATCGGCGCTGACCAATTGTGCTTGTCCCACAGAATGAAACGGCTAGCGAGACGACATACACAATCTTCTGCCCGTCCTCCGAGACCGAGACCAGGCCTGCCTGTGGCCTGGCCCTCGACTTCCCATTCATCATCGTGGGCGGGCCGGACACCATCATGTTCCACGGCACTGTCACCTCCATGCTGTACGTCCCCCCGGCGTCCCGTTTCCGGCGGAAAGTGTGTGTAACTTTGGTTTCTAACAAATGTGTTCCGTCTAGGACCGCCAATCTCGAATGCGACCTCGACGACACCACGGCTGCCACCTGCTCCGGCTATACAAGCTTCAAGCCCAACTACTACTCGAATCGATACTCCTCAGGGGTCACGGAGACATCGTGGACCTCGACTGTGTCGGGGACCGCCGTCCAATGGGGCACGCTTACGATGGCAGCCGTGCCAACCTCGAAGAAGGAACCCCTCGACGTCTCCCTCACCGTCTCGGCTGGGTTTGGATCCTCTCCGGGCGATTCGAACTATGCAACATCACCTTCTAAGAAAGGGCACGCGGCCACGCTGCGGGTGGACTTGCGACTGTCTGCACTGGCTGGGCTGGCTATCCTTCTCATCGCCGGTTATTTATGGTAAATAAATGCGATGTGTCTCGTGGGAGCGGGCTTGCCTTGCCCGCCTAAAGTGCCAGCCCGGATCTATAGGTGGGGCGAGAGAGAGCGATATCGACAACTTCCGTGCTTGATCGATCACTCAGCATTCGAGAGGTGTCGCCTTTCGGGGACCAGAACCATGAGCTATACTGGTCCCAGATTCTGCATCTTAAAACTACTAGCTTTGATTTTTTTATTATTATGATTGGAAAGCATGGGTGAACAACTATACCCCCTTGGTTATGATGAATTTTGTTTTGGGAAGACATTGGTCATGGCGTCTGGCTCTGCGGAGTATTGGGAGAATATGACTGGCCGTTTAGTAAATGGCATCTGTCGTTTTATCATTATTTTTTATGAGCCCTCAGTGGGCGGTTGGGAATGAGCCCCTCGGTTGTGTTTCGCTACAGGAGTATAGTATAACAAGGCTCGGGTCAGCAGGACCCGGTGCTGTAAGCAGAGAGGTTGAATCAGAATAACAAATCACTTGTTAAACTTAGAAAACGATGTGTCAGCCACGTTGTCGGGTAGATAGGGCGGGGCATTGGACTTTTGTACAAGGTCGGAGAGAAAACGGCGTTGGTTGGCGATGATATAGTAGCATTGGACTGACTAAGGGTTACGTTGGACGTGGCATGTGCAACTTATTTGAGTTATGCCATAGACCTTCCCTTTCCATCAAGTGTGCAGTATATGCCACGGGCTGGTGACCTGATCGGCACTTCTAAAATACTAGACGGGCAGGTTTCTGTTCGTCTTGCTCGCCATCTGCGGATGGAGACCTTCCACCTTCACTTCCTAGGAGATGTCCAGAACAGGGAGCCGCGGAGAAAAGTGACGACACGATGCACATGATATTCTGCCCGTCTCCGAAAATAGAGCGGGCCGATGCCAAAATGCAGAGATCAGAACCTTCATTTCGATTACTGGGCCCTCCTCCTCCTCGCTGGCGCGTCCCTCGAGAGACAGACACACATATCCAAGTACCCACCAACTTCGGTAGGTAAGCAGTGCTTTCTAGCATGCAGCCAGTTTCAGGTACATTGCCGCCGATACAGCCCGCCTACGTTATTCGACGCCATCGAGTGTTTAAAATCCCGTCTCCCCCTCGGCAAAGCAAAAACCAATGGACGCTACTGAGCGACTGTCTCACTACAAATGTGACCTGACGGGCAGCGACTGGCTGGTAGGCAAGACCTGCTCTCGCTCGCCGCGTGCATTGTAGGCGCGCGGAACCAGGTGAAACGGCACCTGGCCATGCATGACGGCAGTCCAGTGCCGGGATTGGACGACAGCGGTGGGTGGCCCCCTGAAGCTGATGGGCCCCCGGGTTTTTCGCTGGTTCCTGGCGATCGCAGTCCACTCGTCAAATGTGAAGCACTGAAGGATGGGACCCAGGGGCTTCCCGACAGGCGAAACGCCAGACCACCCTTATACTTGCATTAGCATGACCTGCTACCTACTGGTTTAGGTAGTCGAAAAACGAATGATGGCTATGCTGGCCGACTAGGGCCACTGCGAAGAGACGCCATGGGCGGCTCTCGAGACTTATGAGGACGGGACAGCGCCTCCGCTTCCTCTATTGCGTTTCTGATTCTTCTGCACTCTGCACGTTTGCTTCTTGCACTTTGTTTGTTCTCTTTTTTTCGTCGAATCCCTAACCCTGAGTGAATGGGTTTCACGTCCGATTAAGGCAGGCATCCTTATCCTTCGTTCCATTGTTCTCCTATTGTCCGATCTGAGGCCATTGTTCTCATAACAGGCAGCGTGCTTCCACCCTACCGTTGTGCCGTGTCTTAAATTTCTTGTTTGGCTGTTCGAGGATCTTTTTTCGTCTTGACAACACTCGGGCTGGGATCCCTCGTTTTTGTTCCAAGGCCACTTCCATTCACTCATTGATTCATTTCTTCTGAGACCTGTCTTCGGAGCGAAATTTTCAACCTCGCCACGATATAACAACAACACTCGCTTTTTTGGATTCTTCGTTTATCGACTTTTCTTTTTTCAGAGAGACAATATGCGTTTGGCTCAGGCTCTTCCTGCCACAGTAGTGGCTTCTTCCGCCGCTCAGGGGGTGGTTGCTCCAAAGGACTTAGATATCACCAGTGCCTGTACGTGTTGCAGCCTCCTTCTATGGAACATTCGGCTAACTATATATAGATTCTGTTCGTAATGTGGCTGCCACCATTGTTCATGATGCAATGACCTACTACACAGGCAATACATCGTCTGTCCCCAATGTATGTCTGAAAACATCCGAGAAATTCTCAAATGTCTTGATACTGACCAAGGTTAACAATAACAGGAAGTTGGAGATCTCCATGACCCATACTACTGGTGGGTAGCTGGTGCCCTCTGGGGTTCCTTGTTGGACTACTACCACTACACCAAGGACCCAACATACAACGATGTTGTCATTCAAGCCCTGCTGGCACCAACAAACATTGGACCCAACTTTGATTACATGCCAGCCGAGCATGCTTTTGAGGAAGGAAATGACGACCTCTACTTCTGGGGCTCCGCTGCTTTGGCCGCCGCGGAGAGGAACTTCCCCCAGCCCGATGCAGCCATCCCGTCATGGCTCGAGATTGGTGCCAACGTGTTCAACTCGCTCCAAGGCCGATGGAACATGACCCACTGCGGCGGTGGGCTCAACTGGCAAATCTTTGCAGACAACCCGAACGGCATGAACTACAAGAACTCGGTTAGTAACGGAGGGTTCTTCCAGCTTGCCGCTCGTCTTGCCCGAGCCACCGGAAACGCTACTTATCTTGAATGGGCAGAAAAGGCTTGGAACTGGTCGTTTGATATAGGATTCATCGACCCCGAAAGCTACCATGTCTATGATGGGACTGATGCCGCCAACAACTGCAGCGATGTTAACAAGATCTCCTATACCTACACGAGCGGAATCTACCTTCATGGAGCGGCCGTTCTCGCCAACCACACCAACGATGCCAAGTGGGCCGAGCGAACAACCAAGCTCCTGGACGGAGCTAAGTGGTTTTTCGGACCGTACGAGAACGCCACTGATATCATGTACGAAGGTGCCTGCGAGACCGTCGAGAAGTGCAACGCCGACATGGATACCCACAAGGCCTTCCTCTCACGCAACATGTGGCAGGCGACCACCATGCAGGCTTCTCTGCAGCCCGAGGTCGAGAGGCTCCTGGGGGCCTCGGCCAAGGCTGCTGCCCTCAGCTGCAGTGGCGGCGACAGCGGTACCATCTGTGGAAGGAAGTGGTATGTCGGTGGCTACGACGGCGCCCCGGGTCTCGGGCAGCAGATGACTGCTCTCGAGACGATCCAGGGGTGGCTCATTCACGAGGCCGCGCCGCCATTGTCGGGAGATGCGATCCAGGTCGTGCGGGATACGAACTGGACGCCTGTGGACCCGTACCGACCTGACTCTGCCTAGAGGGCAGGGCTGAGTTGTCCCGGGGTCCCGTCAAAATAGTCGTTGGAGTATTGGCAAGAGATTCGGAAATGAGATATCTAATAGATAGGGTTTCTCATCTTGTATATAGCTTTGATTCTCTGCCTTTTATTTCTCTAAATTACGACCAATTAAGCCTAGATTCATGTTGAAACCGCCAATACCCCTAGAAGTACCAATAATGTAAGCAGTGTAATCAAGCTTATTTGAGGCTTTCCAAATTTTACCTCAATCAAGAATACCCCCTTTGGGAGTGAAGCCGACGGTATATATGAATGATGGCCAAATAATGTGTGCAACTTGAGAGCGAATTCACATGACACCAAGCGGCAAGGAGGTGTAGCCTCAATAGATCTGTATTGGTTTCTCCCCCCCTAATATCTTTGGGCTATTATAAAATAATCCTTATTAAGTAATTTCTAAGGAGCGACTCGAATCTTATCATCAAGTATCAGTCTCGGCACAAATAATAAACTCCAAAATCCTTTCCGTAGCAACTTCGTTAGACTGTCCAGTCAATCATCATGGGGAGCCTGGCCAGAAGCTTCCCCCGTTGGTATCATTCTTTAGAGTGGACAAAGGAATGAATTCGAAAAAGCAGAAAAGAGAAAAAAAGAAGAAAAAAATCAACAGGGGATGAGAAATTTCAGCCCTGAAAAAGAGAAAAAAGAAGAGGACCCTGAAAAGGGTAAGAAAGGTTGAAAAAAAGGGAAGAAAGGCCAAAGGCGAGCAGAATTAAGGGCTCGAGAGAAAGCAAAAGAAAAAACAAGGCAAAGTGCCACCAACGCGCGCCGCTGTATTTCCGCAGACAAGAAGGAAGGAAATCAATCTTTTTGATAAAAGCCACCAGTTACTCATTCCCCTGGCTTGAGCGTTCCATATCTATAGGTTGAGGGTCTCGCCCCCCTTTTTTCGCGGGCGAAGGGGGGTAAAATAGCGAGCCGCTGTTTAGATCTTGGACCGCGAGACGTATCGGGGGCCGAGCCTATCCTGCTTCCGGATCATGTGGAAGCGCGTGGCCCAGAAGACCATGGCGACGAGCATGACGACGGCGGCGACCCAGCTGATGATGAGGAAGGGGTTGCCCCTGACTATGGTGACGCCGATCTTCTCGGAGAGGTTGTTGAACTCGCTGACGCCCTTGGTGACGGTGACGGTGATGAGGATGCTGGCGATGATGAGCACGATCGTGGCGAGCAGGGCGAGCAGGAGGTTCCCGACGGCGACGAGCCTGTTCTCGGGCAGGAGGAACGCGGCGACGCAGAGGATGGTCGCGAGGCCGCTGAAGCCTATGCCCAGGACGTAGAGGACGAAGAGGCCCAGGAGGACCTTGTTGACGATGTCGAGCTTTTCCTGCATCTTCTCGTCCCAGCCCAGGTCGGCGATGTTGATGTCAAAGGGGCCGACGCCGAGTTCCTTGTCCATCAATGCGGTCATATTGAGGTGGACTGGATTTTGTTAGTGACAAATTACACGAGAGGGAGAGGAAGAGGGATAGGCTTCACATACATCCGGCTTCGGAAGTGGTGCAGTTGGTAATGTTGAGCGACGCGCCCGAGACGGTTGAGTTTGGGGAGTAGTCGCCCTCGCAGGCGTTCATGACATGGATCGAGTACCACTCGGAGATGCCGATGCTCTCGGCAACGTCTCCGGCGACATCGCCGACTACATCGTTGATCTTTTCTGTCACGTCCTGCTTGACATCATTCCACTTGTCCTTGAGTGAGTCCAGGAAGCCACCATCGTCGTCACTGTTTGAGCTGTTATTGCTGCTGCTGGACTTGATGACATCGTAGCCTATGCGCGAGACATTGAGCTATGAAGAATAAAACCATTGATTAGCCGTTTGATCGTTTACAACCAGTCAAGGGAGCTTAGTTGGGGAGTATAATCATAGCCTGACCCTGGGGCGGAGGTGACTTAATGCTACTGGGGGGGACTCACTCTTGCAATAGCATAGTCTTCCATGAAACCTTGCTTGTGGCCAGCAAATAGAGACAACGCTGACAGGATCGTGCCCACAATGGACAGGATCAGCGGGATGAGAACGATTAGTCTGTGGAGGAGGGCCATGGTGGATAGGCACTCGGTGTTTTCTTGTTTGGTGTTTCTTTGCTTTCTGGGTTTTAGTGATGAGAAGAGAAGGGTCGAAGCATGAGACTCTTCTTCTTCTTCTTTAGATTGGCTGTAGAAAAAATAAGAGTTGTAACGGTCGAGGTTAAGGCAGAGGCCCTGGGACGGGGGAGAAGATGGAGAGAGGGAGACGGGCACAGCAGCCTAATAAGTAACTGAATCAATGAACGACTTTCCCTCTGTGCTCATGCTTAAGGAAGAAAGGAGAGGAAGGGAACAAAGAGACGGAGGGAGTGGCGGTGCATTAATGTATCATTCACGAAGTATAGAACCGTCAATCGTATGGCTGCCCAAGCTTGCCAAGTTGCCTGCAAACAATGCTAATAATACCCGCCAACTTTCTCCCACACAATCACGCACCTCCTACGTAAAGGCACAGAAACAAAGTAGCGCTACCTGGGCTAGGCCAGGCCCGAACAGGTACTGAACCTTGTCGGAGACGAACAAAACAAGATGGAGGAGGCATCCAACTGGAGTTGGCACCGGCCGGGTTGCGGGTATGATGTAAGCGCCACACATCAAAGGATACCAAAGCCCAAGAAAACCCCTGCATATGAGTAGAGGATGTGTCGTCAACGGGTGGCCCAGCGCCAATCACTAGACGCAGGGGTCGATGTCCTGGTACCAGACACGAGGACTGACCATGATTGGGCGAGATCATCTCCGTCCGCCAAGGCCCCCGGCCGGCGGTTGCGTCATGGCTCGTGCGAGAGCGCTTGAGAACGCAGCGGGAGCCGAAGAGCCGTCCAAAGTCCCCCATCACGGATCCTGCTCGGCAGCGGCTTGCCGCCGTGGAACAAAAATAGCCAAAGTTCTGCTCTAGTCGACTATATATAATAAAGTTATTATTTTATTTCTATTCTCATGTCTTTAAGGTGGGCATGTATTACTGTCTTGATCCCCACGCAGCCAACTCCCGATTCACACGTGTGTATGTATGGGTAGGGTCTGTTGGAACACAAGTGTCTGAGCTGTCACAAACTAACCACCTGAAGATGAGCAGAGGATAAGGCACCAATGGGGACCGTGACTCATGCGCTGCTTTGTTGGCCTGGGGCCAATCATCCACTGCCGGGGCAGGTCACTGATTGGAATCCATGCAAGGCACCTATACATCAGATGTTATATGGCTGCCCTGCATCGATTCAAGACGTTTCAACACTGCCCTCATGTTCGGTACGAGTGTTCGCGGCATAGCAATTATTTCTCTTAGGAAACACTTTCTCTGGACTGGATGATTCGCCCATCACTTGGACAATCGATGTGCCTACCTTGCTCAAGATCTGCCAATAATCAGAACGTACCGGTTTGTAGATTGATCACGCCAGTAGTATTTCTCGAAAATTTACACTAGAAGCCACTGGTAAGGCTTCCGTGATTCTCGGGGGCTGGAGGCCACATATACATAGTGTTGGTGATATATGTGTGTGTTGCCCCGTCAAGTGGGTGACAGGAGAAATGGAAGGGTGGTTATTAGTCGACTACTTTGCGATAAATAGAGAAATTCAGTAGTATAAAAACAAAATATAACAATATATGCGGTATTGTCTCTAAAGTATGTATTATCGGACTCAATATTCTGATACCGGTCGCAGATTTGAGAATAAGCAGCTTAATGTTTGAGTGTCTCAATTTCCAATGTCACCCGCTTGCCCGTCTGGTGGGGTGACATCTCGGATTGTAGCCATTGGACAGCTGAGGTCCTGGATCGATCGATCTCACAGTTGTCAAAGACAGCAGGACGCCCCCTCCTCCTTGCGCTCCTCGCCAACTGCGTGAGTGGTTTGTCTCATGGAGAAACAAGGAGAGAGCTGCGAACCCGCAAACGGCTGTGGAACATGCATATTATGCACACGACCGATCTAATCGCCAGGTCAAGTCAGCCAGTGGCTGAATCAGAAGCTGAAAAGTGTGGAGGTTTGCTGTCTGTCAATCCAATGATGCATCCCACCGACCCCATCTCCATCTCCAAGTTCCTGGAGTAGGTCTGCAGATCTGCGATTCACCGAGACCTTGACCGCCCCGCGACCCACGGCGCTGGTACGGTTGGTCCAAGACAACAATAGAGAGGCGCCCTACCAAGGAATTTAATCCGCCCTGGATTGTTGCTACACTCAATTGAGGTCCACGCGCAAAGGACCCTTCTCTTCCCTCCGTGAGACAAAGATGGTTGTTCTAAGTCTTCAATGACCATATGATCCGGCGCCAAGTCCTGTTTTGCCGTCCCCCCCACCGATCACGCGGAGAAGATCAAAGATGACAGTATCAGACCTAAGGCCCTGATCAGAACATATCGCGGCTATCATATGATGTCTTCGCGCCGTCAGCCCGCTGGTATATGGGGATTTGGGATTCTGACCCAATGAGAATGGCCGGGTCCGTCCATGATGGCTCTCGATGTCTCGTGGGCGGAGGGGAGCGGTGTGAGCGTGAGGGGGGAATTTCTGTGCATCGCTCGTGAGGATCGGGAATTTTCCTCTGGGTACACGAGCCTTGGGCGGTTTATAGAGGGCGCGCTTGTCACCGAAATGACGTCGCTGAGGGCAGATGGGCTTGGCAAGTGAGGCCCGCTGCTGTTGCACCCCGCCGCCTGCTGAATCAGGCGCTCTGCCACTGGAGCAGGCGCTACGGGGCAGCCCCTCCACTGGGGAACAGGCGCTGCCGAGGAAGGAAGCCCACTGGCGCACCTACCGAATGCCCGCAAGGCCAGCCATTCAGCAGGCCTCCCACCCCGCTAGCAGCTGCTGATTGCGCTAGAAGAGCGCTGATAAGACGCCTTGGCCAGGGATCCCCCGGCCAAGGTTGTCCTCATTCTCTTTTCGTTTGTTTGTGCATCGCCTTTCGTCTCCTCCACCTCGTCCCATCCCACGGTCCTGGGCGGAAGGGTCACAAAGGGTCACCAGTGAAGAGTAGAAGACGAGCCAGCGCATCGACCGCCCCTTAACTCTCTCATCACCCTTCCGTCATTCGGCCCTCAGAATAAGGTACCTCCTCCGAGGCGCGACTGTTGTTCTGCGACTCGACTGTGACACAGCCTTCCTACCGAAAAGGAGCGACGACTCACGATGACATTTTCTCTACGCCACCTCTCTCCAGAAGCACGAAGACTGGCCGTGCGATAAGCCCATCAACCTCTCTCTCCATCTCGAGATCATCCCTACGTCCCTGGCTTTTCGCGACCCGTGGAAGAAAAGCAAAAGGTTATTTCCGCTGGACTATACTCTAAATATAAGACGACCAACGTCCCCGTTATTTTCGCTTTCAAAAAAGAAAAGAAGAAAAAATCCCGAGTTATATTCATCTCACCCACGATGTCGTCCCTCGAGGCCAAGATTGTGGTCCTCGGGTCGCAGGGTGTCGGTAAGACGTCGCTCGTCATGCGCTATTGCAAAGGCGAATTCAACCCAGCCCAAATCACATCCACCGTGGGCGCGAGCTTCCAGCCCAAGCGTGTCGTTGACACTGATACTGATACGACCGTTCGTCTTCAGATTTGGGATACAGGTACGTCAACTCGTCTCTTCTCCCCAAACCCCCCTCTCATCCCTTTCTTATCTGACAAGATTACGATGATTCACAATGCTGACCATACATTTACGCTCTGTTGCACAGCTGGCCAGGAGCGTTTTCGTTCAATTTCTAGACTTTATTATCGTGGCGCGAATGCCTGCATCCTTTGCTACAGCATCACGGATGCGCAATCATTTGCCGAAATGGGCGTTTGGCTCACCGAACTCCGCCGAAACCTACCCCACGACGTTGTCCTGCACGTTGTAGGCACCAAGGCCGATATAGTCACCCGCGACCCGTCAGCCCGCCAGGTCCCATTCGAGCGTTGCATTGCCTATGTCGCCGAGAACCTTGCCCCTGGTGTTGGCAACACCCCCCCACCGACCGCCGTCGCGACTCCCATGGCCGGGTTTGCTGCCACCTCGCCCTCCGCGTCCACCGGTGCCATTCCTTCGTCCAGCGCAGACCCCCATAGCCCCAGTTCTAAGCGAAGCTCGGGTTTCTGGGGCCAGGAAGTTGGATGGGATGCATGCCATGAGGTCAGTGCTGAGAGCGGCGAGGGTGTGGAGGAGGTCTTTCGAGTCGTGACCCGGAAGCTTGTTGAACAAAACCGCAAGATTCAGCAGGCGCTGCTGGCAGCTACTACCACCCCGGCGACGCCTGGCTATGATTCTGGTCTGGATGGGGGCTATTTCGAGGGTATGGCTGGCAGAGGAAGCTTTCGAGTCGGCCGAGACAGGAGGAGCTGGCTCTTCTCCCCTGGGTTTTCTCCTGCCATCACGGTTGACCAGCCTGGTGTCAGTCAGGACCAGACACAACAGCAAGGCCCCGCGAAACCGCCCAAGAAGTGTTGCTAAGATCAGCACTACATACATGCACGCAAGCAGTGGCCGGTATACTTGGCTGCTTTGAATTGCATACACATATTCTCATGCTTCTCTTCGGAGACTTTTTGAGCTTGATTCTGCTCTTTCCTCTCTTCCAACTTTCCGTTTACCCAAACCGCTCTCTTGTCCTGTTCTTCACATTTGCTTCTTCTTTTCTCGATCACTCAATTTTCTTCCGCCATTTCCTTTCTCTTCGGAGATCATTCTGGCCTTAGAATGCGTATCTGCAAAGAGCCTTTACTATTTGCATTCTGCAGGCGTTGGGGGAGTTCGAGTCTTTCCACTCTCTTCGGCAGTCATGATCATGAGGATATATCACCGCACATTTGGCATCATGAGGCGCACAGGGGCTCTCATTCCGGCGGCAGCTTCTTGTTTTGATCATGTAATACTGGATTAGTCTCTCATGTCATTGATGTCCCTACGTTTCTTTCGCACTTTGCTCCTCTGTCATTCGTGTTAGCTAGCAGGCCGTCTTCTCGCGAAAGCTTTCTGTATTTTCCTTTATACTCAGATAGGGCCTGCTTCGGTCACATAGCATAGACTATTTATCTTACTTCAAAGTACATGCAATCTACGTTTGCCGTGCCCTCAGTGCTCACTTCTCCCCCTTGCGGCCCACATCATCATCCACCTGCGGCCGCGCAGGAACGTCCACCCCCAGGATGCGATGCTCCAGACCAATGTACGAATCGCTCACTACAATGACGTCTAGCTTCCTCCCCTCGGCATCATCCGACTCCGGAAGCTTGATGGTCGCCTGCGCGCTGGGCCGGCTGCCCGCCTGGAGCTTCTTCCCGCCCTTGGCGGGCCAGGCCACGCGCTTGACGGCGACGACCTCGTCCCTCGCCACGTCCGCGACGACGACGAACCAACCCTCGGTCTGGGGTTTTGGGAACTTGGGGCACCAGACGCGGGCGTCCCGCTCGACGAGGGGGTTGACGCGCCTGATATTCACGCTCAGCGACGAGGACGTGACGTCGCCGACGGAGAGCTCGACGTTGGGGAGGATGGAGACGGCGCGGGTGAACCGGCCCACCTGGCTGCTCACGACGCCCAGGGACCTGGCGAGCTGCTTGACCTTGGCCGGGTCGAGGGCGCTGATGGCGGCGAGCGATGTCGTGTCCTTTGTCGAGTCCTTGACGCCCGGGAGGATTGATGCCGGGGGGTCGGTCGGCCAGCGGGCGGACTTGATGCACTGGAGGAGGCTGATCATGCGCAGGCAGCTAGACAGGTGTCCCAGCTCTGTGAGGACGTCGATGGACGCCTGGACGATGCGGATGGCCTGGTCGAGCACGCTGGTCTGGTCGCCTACGTAGTCGGCGATGGGCAGGTCGATGCGGGACATGTGCGCCTGCAGGAGGAGGAAGGCCTTGACGTGCGCGTCCCACATGGGCAGGCCGAACGAGTGGCCCGGGAAGGGGAGGTGGTCCGAGAGGGTGCCGTTGACGAGGTCCTCGTTGTGGCGGACGGGGAGCTCGTCGTACTCGGTCGCGCGGGACATCCAGGAGAGCACGTCGAGGAAGGAGGCGTCGGGTTTCGCCTTGCGGACGAGGTGTCGGATGGTCTTGTGGGAGAGGTAGTAGTAGCTCATGATCTTGCCGAGCGGCGTGGGGTCGACGTCGCCGTTGGGGAAGACCTCGATGCACTTGGACTGGCTCAGCTCCCCGAGGGACTTGTTGACCAGCTCGACCATGTACTCGTTGGCCAGCTGCTGTGCTGCGATGGTGCTGTGCTCCTCGGCGGAGATTTCCAGGCCGTAGTATGAGGGGTTCTTGTGCAGTCTGCGGAAGAAGAAGGTCCATGTCAGATAGTCCAGTGCATCCTGCGTGTTGAGGATGGTTTCGGCGGAGATTTCGGCACCCAAATGGTTGTCGAGGACTTTGTGGAGCGAAGACTCGACAGGAAACCCGGTATGCAGGAAATGCTTGTAAAAGTCCTTCTTGGCATCCTGGGTGAAGATGCGGGCTACTCCTGAATTGTCGAACTGTGGACGACCTGCACGACCAAGCATCTGCAGAACATCCGTCAAGTCCATGTCTCTGTACGCTTCAATCTTAGCATCGAAGAATTGCGTTCCTTTGACGACGACAAGGTGGGCGGGAAGGTTGACACCCCAGGCCAGAGTACTGGTGGCCACAAGGATCTGAATCTTGTTGTTCAAGAAAAGCTCCTCGGCCAGCTGGCGATCGGATTCGACCAGACCGGCGTGGTGAAGTCCAATACCAAAGTTGATGGCTTCCTTCAGAGCATCATCCTTGGCTCTTGCGAGATTGAGCTGGAGGTCATCCTCATCCATGTGAAGGAAGCGACGGGGATCATCTTCCATACCGCAGAGATTAATAAGATCCTTGGCAGTAAGGCGTGTCTGTCGTCGAGATGCCACGAAGACGATGACAGGCTTGGTTGGGCTGTGATTCTTGATGGCAAGGAAGGTCGGCCGGTTCATAGACTGCATAAGTGGGCAGAAACCCCTTGTCTCTGGGAAACCATCGATATAAAGTTCTAGAGGAACCGGGCGCACCGAGTGCTTGAAATTGAAGAGTCCTTCCTTGACGCCCAGCCAACTGGCCAAATCAGTAGCGTTTGCGCATGCCGTAGACATACCGAGGAGCCGAACAGCGTTCTTGGTGGACGAAGCAATGTAATTCATTCGAGAGACAATGATTTCCAGAATAGGACCACGATCACCAGCAAGAAGGTGGATTTCGTCAATGATGACCAAGCTGACTTGACGCACATATCCTCTGGTTTGCCACGAACGAGAAATTCCGTCCCATTTCTCCGGCGTGGTGATGATTACATCGGCGTCCTTGATGGTACGGGTGTCGGGTGTGTTGTCTCCGGTAAGCTCCACGAGCTTCAGTCCAAGAGGGCCGGCCAGCCTCGCACCCCAATCCTTCACTCTCTCTCTGACCAGCGCTTTCATGGGTGCAATGTATACAACTTTGGACCCTGGGCGCTCACGGAATGCCCACCACATGGCCAACTCGGCAGCAACAGTCTTTCCAGAACCGGTAGGGGACCCCAGAAGAACATTCGCTGCAGTGTGGTAGAGTGTGTGGAAGACCTGTGTCTGCATTGGGTTGAAGAACTGGAAGCGCTTTTGGTAGAGCTCTTCTAGGCCTGGATTCTTCAGAGCTGAGACGGGAAGCGGCTGCAAATTCAGCAAATCTGTGTAGACGCTCTCAGTATCGGGCCTGATCAGATGCTGAAAGGAGACTGGAGTGACCGTCTCGGCTCCAAGCCATCGGTCTGAGACTGCTCGGACATAGATTTGGGTTGGCAGAGGATCAGACAAGGGAATGGTAAAGTTAAGTTCATGCTCGTCATGAAGTTTCCTGCGATTAAGAATGAAAAACTCATGATGGTAGATTTCCGAGGTCTCTGAGTTTTCAACCCAAATGTAGAATGACTCGGACGTACCATGGAAAGAATCTTTCCACTGGAAGTCGGGAATCACGTAAAGCTTTATCCGAAGCACGTCCCTGTTCAAGGGGGCAATCTCTGCCTCGACGTGGACAGTTGGGAAGTGGCTTAAGATCCGTGCTACATTCTTTCCAGCGCCGTGATTGTTGATGACGGAGCCAATTTCTGCAGGCTCCATCTCCTTCATCGCCTCGATTGTCAAGTGCTCCTTAGAGTCAAGCTGCTTTAGAATAGGTCTAGACAGGTCAAATTGATGCATCGGGTGCTGGAATGGCCATATCCTCTTCTCAATAGACTTGGCCAACGTCAATAGTACGAGGCACTGGTGACCCCATCGCCGATTCAATGCGAGCATAAAGAGCGCACGACAGATGCGGCCAGACTGCTGCGCCACGTAGTTCATGTCGTTGGTGAGAGCAAAGTCTTCTAACTGCTCTCGCGAGATGTAGGACTGCAGGAGAATGTTGGTCTTGGCCTGGGGGGTGTCTATTCCGCCCTCGACAGCGCAAGGAACAACATCGTCCTTGAGGTGCACCAGCTCCTTCGACTCGGAATCTCGAGATTGGACGTTGTCAAACTCTCCACTCATACTTATCATCTTGAGCACATCAGCCTCGGTTGCTTGAGGCTTCATCATTGTGTTGAAGACCTGAATACTGGTGTGCAGAATGTAATATTGGCTCGCAATCCGACCAATGTCCTTGCTGCGCAGTTCCTCTGTCCTCTCGTTGAAGATGATCATCTGGCACTGTTGTAGGGTTCGAGCAGCTTGAATAGCAAGCTGGCGACGCCTCTGGACCAAGGTTGGGTCATCACGAATCTCCGCCCATTCTATGCCATATGTCAAAGGATTCTTTCGCATCCGCACAAAGAGGTACGAGTATCCTATCCATTGCACAGCTTCCTGGATCGATGTAACAGTTCCAAGCGAGATTTCAGCGTTCAAGTTATCCACAAGCTTGGTGGAAAACTTGGATTCGATAGGCTGCTGTTCCGTCACAGCAGCCAAGTAGTGTGGGAGCTTATCCTGGGTTGTGCAAATCATTCCGATACCGGTGTCCTCGAATTGGGGACGACCGGCACGTCCGAAAATCTGCAGCACATCCAAGATACCGAGATCAACAAACTTACCATCCTGGGCACTGTACACTTGGGTGCCCTTGATGACTACCGCTGCAGCTGGCAAGTTGACACCCCATGCCAGAGTCGCCGTACAGCAGAGAACCTTGATGACGCCTTCAGCAAAGAGCCGCTCCATCAGATTTCTATCGGCTCTTGCCATACCGGCATGATGGATACCGATACCTTTCTGGAGCAACTCACGAATCTCCTTGGACCTGGAAGTTTTCATGTCTCTCACTGCGCGGTCATAGCCAGGGTGTCCGACGGGATCCAAGAGATCCGTGCAGAATGCCTCGATGGCCTTGGCATGGATCATCTTGGCAGTGAGCATAGTGTCTCTGCGCGAGTGCACAAATACCATGACCTGATGGTCTCGCTCCAGCATCTCCTTGACCTTGTCAAATGCAACGTTGTCAAGGTTCTCCTTGGATTGCTTGCTTCCTGCTTTGCCCTTGACTCCAATGAAGTGCTGTTCCAGAGGAACCGGACGGAAAGAGGCATCGAAGTAGAAGAGTCCCGCTTGTTTATTCACTTTGAGGAAGTCGGCCACATCCACGTAGTTGGGTAAAGTGGCACTGAGTCCGACCACACGAATCAACGATTGTGTGCTTTCGACCTGTCGCTCCGTTCGGGCCACGAGGGACTCCAGCACGGCACCACGTTCGTCATGCAACATATGAACTTCGTCGATAACCAAAAGTCTGACTTTCTGGACGAGCTCGGTGTCTCCTGTGCCTTTTCTCGTCACCACATCCCACTTCTCGGGCGTTGTGACGATAATCTGCGTCTGTACGATCTCTGCTTTCGTGAGCTGCATGTCACCCGTGTACTCGCGGCACTTGATGCCCAGCCAGGCCAGGCGTTTCCCGAGCTTTTCAGTAATCTCGGCTGCCAAAGCCTTCATGGGGGCGACATAAACAATCTTGAAGTCATCCGCCTGCACAGCAAACTCGGTTGCGGCTATGTCTTCCATTGGATTGGGAGTAAGATATTGGCCAATGGTGTGCAATATCGTCAGCATAGCAGCATCAGTTTTACCCTTGGGAAAACTTGTCAGTAATTTCTTTCTAAGGTGGCATATAGTTATCCAGAAGCGAGTGTCTAACTTACAGCACCAGTTGGGGCGCAGATGAGCATGTTCTCGTGAGTCTTGTAGGCAACAGGAAATACCAAACTCTGCATGCGGTTCAGAGTCTTGTAGTTTTTGAAGGTAGTTCGACACAGGCCATCAAGGCCAGATATTTCAACTAGCTTCTGGCCAGGTCCAAGGGTCCCTTTCCTTCCTGCAGGAACGAAATACTCCTCGTACTTGTCGAACTGAAGATGCTCGCTCCCTGCAGGCAAGCCATACTTTCGTCCAGAGTGGCTCAAGGTGTTTCCAGCATGGTAGGATTTGTAAACATGGGGGTAGTGGACTTCCCGGGTCTGACTTGCTGCAATGGAAGCCGACTTATGCTCGAGATCCTGTCGCCGAAGAGCACTTTCACGCTCGGCCTTGGAGAGGATACGGCGGCCCGACGGTTCCTCCTTCTGACGGGCGGAGGCAATGACTTCATCCTTGTGGCCGAGTATTTCAATGATGAAGTCGAGGTCGTCAAAACCGACCAGGTCGGTGAGGTGTATCTGCAGCTCATCGGGAGATCCCCCTCCAGAGAGAAGGCTCACGACCTGATTCTGAAAAACATCCGCAGAGAGCCCATTTTTTGAGGCTATTTCGAAGCACTTAGTTTCGAACCAGTCCGACCCAAGATCACTGACTCCGGGCACCCCATCGGCCTCGACGAAATCGCTTTCATCATCTTCCTCTCCGTCATCACTGATGAAATCCCAGACATCTTGGCCAGTGGCACTCGAAGAATAGCCTTCAAAGTCGGTCTCATCGAACTCGGCACTGTTTGAGGCTTGCGAGGGGAGCTTCAGTTCAGCCAGGGCGGCTTTCATAGCCTCGAACTGCTCTCTCCATTGCGCCTCAATGGCGCTGGGGTCATTGGCTGCCATCTAGGCGAGGTTTTGGATGAGCTAAATAGGCCAGCAAGGGTCGTCTCTTTTGTTTGTGAGATGCGTGGTAACAAATTACTCAGTGGTGATTTTGGAATGATGGAAATATATTCAAATTTTGGGGAGGGAGCTGTCCTCCTTTTTACCCCTAGTGGGTGTGTTCTGGGTTGAGATGCTCAAAGTGACGACTGAAGAGTCATCCGGCAGCTCGACGACTGACTCCGCAACCAAACTGGAGTTAGGCGAGCCCCATCCAGCCTCTAAGCTTACCGCAGTGGAGCCTGGGCTCTCAGCAGCCATGGAGGCAATCAATACCAACGATAATAACACCAATGATCATAATGTTTGGCCCACGACCAGTGACAGACACAAGCAATATTGTACATCTCAACGGCCACGGGCTGTGACCGGGAGCCGCCTTGAAGCCGGGCTGTCAGGTGAAACCGAAGGTCCACCGCGGCTGCCACCGCATAAGACGTATCAATCAATCATTGCAGGGGGCATGTGATGGCACTGGATAGCGCGCCACCTGGACGAACTCTGGCTGGTGGCGGTGGGCAGCCTGCAGCCTCCAATTCTTCACCCGCTCCCACTACGTAAACCTCCAGGCTCCAATCCAGAAGACATCCAGCACACCACCAAGTTGGCACTGGTACTCGGGCACAGAATCTCTTCCTTCAACCCTCGCCTCGTCGCTGTCCTTGTCCTTGCCGCCAGAACTCGCCGTCCCTTCGCAGAAACCACTGCCCCCCACCGCCACCATGAAGCTCCTTTACATCGGTGTATGTCCAAACTCCGTCCTCACCCCTCCGCTCCCGCCTCCACAGTGCGGTCAACTTTTGATGTCTCTATTTCTTTACTGACGGCCCATTGCCCTCTACAGATCATCCGTAACGACTCCCAGCCCGCTCACGAGATCGTCGCCGAAAAGGAACTCAGCGCCTACTCGCGCTTCACCCGCAACAAGTTCGTCCACCTCTAATACCCATCATCCTCCTCCTCCGCCACACCACCACCACCACTACCACGCCTTGCGCCGCCCTCCCCCCCAAGAAGATCATCTACTGATCACACAGAACCCCTCCAGCTATGCCGAATTCATGAGCTTCACCGCCAAGACCGTCGCCGAGCGGACCCGCGCCGGCCAGCGCCAGGACGTCGAGGAGCAGGACTACACATTCCACGCCTACGGCCGCTCAGAGGGCGTCTGCGGCATCATCATCTCCGACCACCAGTACCCCGCCCTCGTCGCCCACCAGCTCCTCAGCAAGGTCGTCGACGAGTTCCTCGTCAAGAACCCGCGCTCCGCCTGGGCCACGGGCACCCCCTCCATCCTCTTCCCCGAGCTCAAGGAGTACCTCGCCAAGTACCAGGACCCGGAGCAGGCCGACAGCATCCTCAAGATCCAAAAGGAGCTCGACGAGACCAAAATCGTCCTCCACAAGACCATCGAGAGCGTGCTGCAGCGCGGGGAGAAGATCGAGGACCTCGTCACCAAGAGCGACGGGCTCAGCGCCCAGAGCAAGATGTTTTACCGTGCGTCCTTACCGCCCCCCCCTTCCACTTTCCTTATTATGTTGGGTATATCTGCAGCATGACTAACACCGAGGATGTAGAGCAAGCGAAGAAGCAGAACTCGTGCTGTGTGCTAATGTAGCTTGATCCTCCTTCCTCTTTTCTGGCGTTGGATACGGCTCTCTTTTGGTTCCACCATCATCCGGGATGTTTCTTTTTTAGTTTTTAAAGCCGGGGGACACACATTAGTTTACCGAGGCGGCGGCGTGTAATTCCTCATTCGTTATTGTTGCTACCTACCTCACGTTGATATTGACTTTTGGCACGGCAACTCGATTTGCAAACCTGACCACTTGAAATGACTGATAGATGCAAGTTAGAAAAACGTCATCGGATAATGAGCCCTTTTTTTTGAAACCTTTTATATTTCAATCTAACTTGTTTCCCTGACAAGTGTTGTGTCTCTTTTTTTGGTGACTTTGCCTATTCTATTGGAATGTTACGAGTCCGAGTCCGGATTCTCGCCTCTCTAAATTACGCCTGCGCCGTCCGTCCATCAATGCGGTGTGGTATCTCCATAAGCCCTATCGTGGTAAAAATAAATGTTGGAACAAAGAAAAAAAAATGGCTTGAAGAACCCAGCATGCCATCCAGTTTTCAAACCTGCCTCGATCCCGCGAGGAAATTGAGGATCAGAATATAATAATAAAACATATATAGGGTCGAAGAGTAAAGAAAAAGAAGTAAAAAAAAAATATTGCCTAAAAACATGAAACGAGGCCTCGCGCTGTGAATCGGGCCAACTCCTTTCCTCGTTATGTCCTGCCAGACAATACGCCCATGATGTGTGAACAAAGTAAAATTGGAAAGCAGAAACTCGACTTTTTTATGCTCCTTCAAGGATAACGAGCTCGCTCTTCCTGTTTCGGTAAAAATAGCTGGGCGAAGCATCCTCCGGCTCAGGGCCGGGAGTGATGATGACTGGTGTCGCCTTCTTGGTTTCGGCGACTCGTTCGTGCTTCCCGGTAGCGATCTCTTGAATGGTGAGGGGTTTAGCCTTGGGAGGACTCGAACTTTTGTAGCCTTGGCTGTGGTAAGGCTTGAGCATATCTCGTTGCTCGCGGGAGAGGCTGATTTGTCGCGTAATCGAGGCCTTGACAGCCTCTCTGAGGGCACGCTCGTCGTGGGCATCATCTTCGTCAGGCCTCTTAGCCTCCGCCGCATATGGCCTCTCCATGACTGGTGAGGTGGTTTCTTTCTTAGGAGTGCTGGAATTCGAGGATGCCGTTGATGCAGGGGGGGTGATCACGCCTCGTGCCACGTCTTTGATGGGCTGAGGAAGTGGCTTGTTCACATCTGGAGCTGGGGATCCGCCAGAATTCCTGGGTGAAGTCCCAAAGGTCGGCTTCGACTCCATTTCCGGGGTAAATCCTTGGAACCTGGAGGCTAGGGGATGTTTTCGTTGCGAAGGTGCCGGAACCGGTGTCTTATCTGACCTTGTCTTGACGGGGGATGTCCTCTTCTCATCCGCAACCTTGCCTGGTGACAGCTTTGCTTCACTTCCAATCCTAGCAGGTGCAAAACTATTGGCGTCACGGGTTTTGATTGGGGATCCGCTCAATTCATGTACAGCTGGGCCCGGTGACGGCTTGACGGGCTGTGGGTTCTTTGCTGGAGACACTTTGGGGCCCATATGTGTCCTACCCGGGCCCCGGTGTTCGTTTCGTTCATGAGCTTTCGCGGCTTGTGACCCAAAAGGCAGCCCGTTTGTAAGGAGAATAGGAGATATAGACTGAGGGGTCATGGGTCTTGAGGGGGCCGGAAACAGGTTGAAGGTTGGAGAGGCTTTTATTTGTGGTGAAGTCGCTCTTCGTGGACGTTGCAGTTCAGGAAGCTGCCCATTTTGCATACTTTTTTCCTCCATGGTTTTCAGTTTTCGCAACGACGCTTGTCGCCGCGTTAGTAATGAAGACGCCGACAAGTCATGGGATATCTGGGTTTGCGGTGGGCGTCGGGGATTAGCTTGATTATTAGGCCTTTGATCTCTTGGGCGCTCAGAGGCTGCCGGTAGTTCATGGCGCTCCGTCGGTATTGGACGTGCCCGAGCTTGGTTCGGAGGTTGCTCGGATCGGCTATTTTGGCGAGCACGGGGTTCTTGTGGCCCAGAGGCCAATTCGGGCCATCGATCTAGCTCTTGCCTGTCCTGCGGTTTTGGTTCCTGAGGTTTCGATTCCTGCGGTCTCAGTTCCTGCGCCTTGGCGTCTTGCGGCTGGGGTTCCCGGGTGTTCGCTTCCTGTGTTCGTAAATGAGTAATCCCAAGACCTTGCGGCGTTGGGCTTTGTGCTACTTTGGGGGGAACCTGCGGCTTGAGGAGGTCTCCAAACATGACACTGTAGCGTTCCATTGTGATGTCTGGAATGTCAACGTCGAGCAGACGGCCCCCCGAAGATGCAGAATGGTTTGGAGGAGCCATCCCGAGCCTCTGCATATAATGCTGCCGCATAGCTTGCGTATCCGGTGCCCTGCCCTGCGGCGGCCCTCGATTCGGCAGTGGCGTTTGCCTCTCGATTCCACGGCCAGCACCGTGTGGTTCTGTGTGTGAGCGAATGACAATCGGCTGGTGTCTTGGAGTAGTACGGTTTGCGCTCGAGTCGCTTCGGCCAACGCCACCTCCGGGGAACGAAGCTCCAGGCTTCATAGCATCGAAGGGCCCTGTGCCGACGGGAGCAGTGGCGGCGTGGTTCAGAGGATGTGGATAGTTGTTCCCTCTCTTGGATTTTGATCGGAAAATACCCCATTTTTTCCCTTTGGCCTTGGAAGGGTCGTCCATGTGTTCCTGAACTTCGATTATTGGTGCTTGCGCCGAAGCTGGAGTTGAGCCCGGAGTCCACGCTGAGAGGGACGACGATGTCAGTGCTGGGGTCTGGCCATTTTCGAGTCGGGGCGTTGGCGACGATCTCGTAGATCCCAAAGGCGACTGGAGGTGACTGAGGGGCGACTTGCTGTGTCCTAGTGGTGACTGCTTATATCCAGGCTGTGATGGTCTTCTGGCATTCATGGGCGATAGCGAGTGCCCAGCGTGAGGGTGAGCTGGACTTCCCAGGGCCATACCGATGGCGACAGGATCTTGACCTCCTGGGTGAACTGGATGACTTGAAGTTGAGTTGGATGAAACTCCAGGGCCAGCTGGGGGGTTTCTGTTGGAGAGAGAGCCAGAGTCGTGGGTGGGGGAGGTGCTTCGGATCGGGACGTGAAAGGGCTTGAAACTTTGTTTCTGGGAAGTCATGGTCATCAGGTAGAGATCATCGCGCGACTTGCGCTTATCGTATTCGGGCTTCCGGGAGACCAGATTTGTGCCAGAGCTGCTACGCGGCCGAAACGCAGGAGTCGGCATTGGTGTTGATCGCGGGGCCATGATGACTGGGCGAGCCTAGTCCTCGCAGGCTGTGGCATACATACGACGAGACGAAGTCTGTGAGCGACAGTAGGCGAGCAGAAACGGGAAAGGCTCTAGCTAGTGAGGGTGGCGCCGTGTGTCGTGTATCCAGTCGTGAGAGAGTAATAGATGGGACGGATACGAACGATTTAGCCTGGTATGCGGTGAGCACCTCCAGACGGATGCTTGATCCGCCAGTCTCTCACTCTCCCAGACTGTCCCTGTTCCACCACAGGAGCCATCGTTCTCCACGGCGGCCCTGTCCTGGTACTGCGACCATACTGAGAGTTGACCGAAGGTCCCTCCATGCCGTACCCTGGAAAGATCACACACACACCTGGCGAGAGGCATGGGTGAGGGGCTGTGGACCAGCCAAGGCTGTGCCGTTGAAGACGATGGATGGCCAGTGCATGTTTCAAGTTGGATTGGAGGACCGGGATGGCATGTTACAAGCCTGCTTGTCTGGTTCGCAAACTTGGCCTAGTAATAACAGGGGCCCTGCATGGGAGGCACCTTATTTCCCGACGGCTGCCCTTGGCCAGGCCTGGGGTCCGTCCTCGTCATTGCTCGTCGCTGCAGGCATCCGCTTGATCGATGCCCGGGATTGCAGGTTGACACCACCGCCGGCCAGCAATGCGAAGAACCTTGGAAGCGCACTGACAGGTGATGAAGAGGATGCACATACCCACAACGGAGGCCGAGTGCATACCGCACTACGATTCAGAGCAAAGAAACCGGGATGGACAGAGATGGCGGACGGGTGGCCACACTGCCGAGCCGGTTTGGTTGTACAAAGAAGGAACTACATGGGCACGTATCCCTCCGGCCATGTACATTCTGTCCCTGAGTCTATTAATATCCCGTTAGTCGCCCAGAGGTGCGCTTGGTAGATCTGATTGGAGAGGCAGTACTAAGTAGGAATAAGCACGGTAATGCCACGGTAAGCAGACAGTGCCCAAGTAGGACGAGTCAGTGTGATATGCCATCCGAGCCTAAAGTATGCCGCGAATAGGTGGGCTACCGAGAAGGAACGCGGTGATTAGAGCTGATTAATTAATTCCCGGCTTGTGCAGTGCAGCATCCATCTTGCTCTGCGCGAGATGGGCGGCGGGGTTTCGTGATTCGCCAGAACCAACAAGGTACCGGGCTCCAGAGCCCTGGAAATCTGCAGCAACTCCCAGACCTGCCAGTGCCCGTTCCAGGGGTCAAGCCGAACCCCCTACTTTAACCAAGCGAGTGTCGAAGTAAATGAAGGGCTCTACGGCCATGTTTGAGGTGGTCGCTGGAGACAGCCAGCGCGGGATCAATTGCTATGCGCATTGAACTGAGCTGCTTTAGCTCCCAGAAGCCATCGCCACCAGGATGCCCTAAGGCCTAGAGGGGTGCTAATACCGAGGGGCCTTTACCGCTAACAGGCTAGGAGCGGCCCATTCTGCCGGCGAGCAACAATCTGCGCCGGCTTTTAGCATGTCTAGTGGCCTAACCAGCAGCTGGGGGGGACCCCTAAGGCCCTTGGCAGTTGGGCCTCCCCCGGACCACACCAGGCCACTTTGGGGGCGGATGATGGCATACCAGATGCGCCGCCATGGATGCATTCTGGAAGTGGAAGCACCATTGGATGTTGGGGAAAAGCCAATCTTGGATGGATGGGCATATTATGCACCGGTTCCGCTGAAATGGGACCCAAGACGCAGCCAGACTGCCGGAGGCGAGTAAGCCTGCCAGATGAGCATAGTAATACAGTCATTGTGATCCTCTACGGCCTGCGGTCTTGGACGAGTAAGATCGCGTGGAATAATCACACATGACGCGCGCAGTCCCAAAAAAAGCCGCGCATCTCTTTAATTACTTGGCAGGGAAGCGTGCGGCTCAGGTCAGAAGGATCACGTACATTAATCTCGTGAGCCCAAGGCGAGCGGCGAATCACGACTCAGAGGCTAAGACACTGTCTCATCCTTCTAGAACAACAGTAAAAGAAACTAACGGCTTCCGACTTGCTTAGTCTTGAGCCAAGCTGCAGTCTGCAATGCGAACCATGACTGCCGCTTCCTATTGGCTTGGGGATCGGCACTGATGAGCTCGTATTGACTGGTCTATCTGCATGATTGGCTGTTGGGCCCGTAAGAACTTCACGAATTCGCTTTCAGAGAGCAGGAGATGGCTCAGCCGGGCCAATATAGGCGATAATACGACCAAACAATTCATGCCAGCGTCTAGCTTGTTAGCCCAGTGCGAGAATGCTGGGCAGTCATCTTAGATTATGGCAGGCTCCTTATTCAAGATAACCAACACGCGACTCCACAAGGCTGCGCAAACCACCAAGTTCGTCGATCGTGTTGTTTAAGTGCAAGGTTTGCCCAACGAGATAAATCCATCCTTGTGTATAGTTCCTCCCATGATGCTTGTCTACCTGAAAGGGCCGTTTCAGGCAATTACTATTGGATAGCCCAGGCGTCGCCTCCAAATCACCATATAACACCGGCAGTTATGTGCCATTGGGGGCCACTCCGTGCATGGGTTCTGTTACAACAACTCGTATATGCCCAGCGACGAAAGACTCTGCTATTCAGTGGATACATTTACATTCTGGGGCTGATTCTGTGACAGCCCCTGTAAAATTGATAAGCTTGTTCAGTTCTATCTCAATGCTTGTGGCCAAGTATTGGCCGGGTACTACCAGGACAGAAAGACTGTTGGAATCACGGTGCTTGGTTACATGAACCGTTTCGATATTCTTCATTCTCTATCTAAGCCATGTTGTCGGCATTCTTCCTTCTACCGCAAGGGTCCAAATACTTAAACAAGTGTTATCTTTCTCCATGTTCAAGTTTATCCAGACTTTTCGGATTTCTTCCGGGCCTTCTCTATGCGTTCAAGCTCCCTATCGATCCTCTTGAAGCTCCAGCTCCTCCAGAAGGATGGATCTGCATCTCAATTAGTAACCTTAAATGCGAAACATTAGTGCTTGGTTGATGAACGGCGTTCACTGACAGAGAAATGGCCTCAGGTCTAGGTTCCAGTTAGTTAGTTACTGTAAAACTACAACATTTCTGTGTTCACTTACCGAAGCGGTTATCCTCGGGAGAGTAATCATTGCTGTGCCTGTTAGTACGTTTGTTTAAAAAAGTTTCATCGAGGCATTCCATACCAGTGCACTAGAGAATGTTAGTACTTGATCAATAGACAATAATTCATGTGTTCGAGGCCATCAGAAGAGGGTTTTGATAAGGGTAGGAAAACTAAATCAAGGATGGAGACCAAGGGATCAAGTGTTGCAAGCTTAAAAGGGAAACGTCAATAAATTTGCGAAAGCAACTTACAAGCAGGTGTCAGTGTAGTAGCCTTGTGTCGTGTAATTGCACTATATCCCAGGTTAGCTAACTGGTTCGAAGTTGCTTGACCATCTTTCCAGGCCTAAATCTGCCAACATCGTCGACGAGCTGAAGGCGACTAGGATAGCCGTTTTGAAGAACAAGGAGAAAGCATATTTGGGGGTTGCGTACTATTGCGCGAAGAAGAACTTCACTTTGTAGGCAATTTCTGCCGGCTCAAGAGAAACCTCCTGTTTTTCAGATCCCTCTTGTTGATCCTTGCCCCAGACATGCACGAGATGTTGGAACATTGACAGAGGGCCCATCTTCCTCTCCTTGCGAAGACGACCTACTTTCGTCAGATCATTGATCCATAGACAAAATGGTTTTATAGGTTATCTTACCGAAGACATTCAATTCAGCATATGTCATTCCCATATCCGCTTCATCCGACTGCACATAATCCTCAGTAATAGGCTCCAGCTCAGCGGTAGGAGTCGCCGTGACGAAGTCGTCAAGGCATGGGATCTCGAAATGGACCTGAGCCCAAGAAATGAAACGCTTGAGGTCTGCCTTGTCAATAGATCCAATTGGGTTGATATCCGCCGAAGAGCAGTCGTATTTGGTGAGGTAACCCCTCAGAGCTAGTTCGAAATGAGCTGAATCCTGATCCTTATCTTATTTTATGCAAACTTACCCTCGCCGACGTTGGCACTGCCAAGAACCAGTAGGCCACCTCCACCGGCCAGCTGTCGAGTCGTTGGGAGGATCTGGGCGAACTCATATGCCGTCTGCTTGATTGTGAGAAAAGCCAAAGTGAGCTGGTCATAGTGTCGATCTTACCACCATACGTGTCCGAGCCTGGATGTTCTGCAACATAAGGTTCTCTGCTGGGGTACCACCCTCCACTTTGAACTTTGCCTCGAAGCCGAGCGCATCTTTGACGAGGTTCTTCTGAGCAAGATATACTGAATCGATATCAAGATTGACATGGTAGGACCCGATGGCTGCCGATAGATCCTTTGCGCGCTGGCGAGTCTCGTGGGAGCTTTGCTGCGACATTCCCATGTAGATTGTGTGAAGAACTCGGTTGCACAGCTCATGGGGAGTCTTGGGAAGAGGAGCCTCGCCAAACAAGCGTTTGACTACAGCAATGACTGACTGGTTGCCATCTCCAATCGCAGAGATGACGAGTCGACACATCGAGAAGACCGAGACAGCTATGAGAATCTGTCAGTGGATTTACTCTGCTGCTAATCCTAGAGCCTGGAACTGAATAAGACTCACTTGTAGCACATGAGTCCAAGCCTCCTGATAAAGGAGTAAGACTATCAACAATTATTAGCCCACAACATGCCTGAAAAGATCATGGTGCGTCAGGCACTTACTATCCTGTGGAGCCGCTCCTCGCCAAATAATCCCAGAGGTAACAACCAGCACACTATAGACTAAGTCAGCGGTGATCGACGGTTGGCCAAGCTAGTTTAGGGGCTACATACGAGTGCAACTTCCTCTTCGACAGAGTGGAACTTTAATTCCCGTGGTAGAGTTGGTCGGCGATGAGAGTCCAGATCATCCTCGTCGGGGCTGAGCTCAAAGGCTGTCTGTATGCGATGATACTTCTTGGTGCTGTGTGCTGCCTGCAAAGCCCGGGACATGCTTGAGCGATAGGCTCGCACCTCCTCCAGATCGACTGTGGCGGTAATGACATCCACTTCGTTCAGCGAAAACTGAGGGCTTTGTGCAAGCACTTGGCCGTTGCAGAGGATCATAGCGCAGCCGTCGAAATACAGCCTTTCACCGTCACATCCTGCAAAGTTTAGCTTCAATCAGGAGATTTCGAAGTATACTACTCTCCTAGACTTCGAGGGAACGTACCTTGAACGTTGGAGTATACATAAACACCTCCACACTTCCGTGTAGCTTCGCTGATGAGCTTGAGCCTAACGTCCAGCTTTTGCAAACTGAAGTGGCTCGCAGAACTGTTGGTGATGATTTCAACGCCGTCCAAAGTCATTGGGATGTCTAACCCATGTCATCAATATAAAAGTTCATTCAAAAAGGGAAAGCGAACGATACTTACGCGGGGCATCTGGAGACCACATCTCTTCACATGTTTCAGCACCGAAGCAGCTATCGGGAGTACTAATGACACAATCTCCAAAGGGGACATGAGTGCTTCCTTGCAATTTCTGCAGCATCTTGGGCAGATGGAAGTCTTCCCACTGTGTTTGCCGGGTCCACGGGGTAAACCAGCGCATTTCTCGATAATCTAAAGAGTCAGCATGAACTCGTCCTGCGTATTCAGTGCGCACTTACTGCCATCATTCGCCAGATCTACCCTTAGAAGTTAGCAATGCCTTCTGAAGGGAACAAATATCCAGCCGGTGTCCCCTGATGCATGGCACTCACGCATTTTCGGGCGGATAAAGAGAATCTTGCCATCAAGACAGATCACCCTGCAGTTGTAATTCACATTGCGGTGGCTAACGGGAAGACCAATGTCCAGGAGTATGCCATTGCAGCTTTCATCTGAAAGGATTCGCGCCAGCATCTCCATAGTATGGAGATACAGATCAGGCTCGAGGAAATGGTCATTGCAAGAATAGCCCGAAACTTCCAGTTCCTAAGATTGGCAAAATTAGCAAGTTTGGTCAACTTTTCTGCCAAATGACAGGCTGAGGAGAGAGGAGAATCGCGGGAACAGGAGCATCATACTGGGCCGACACGGAGCCTTGCGCCGGCAGCTTTCGCTTGGCGAATGGACTCGATAATCCTGTTTGTGTTGCCCTAATAGATTGATCAGGCTTAATTCTGCGTTATGGGCGGTTCAAAGGGTTTCGGAAAGGACCTCATAGTCTAGGGCGAACTGCCTGAGCGAACAGGCCGCAACTACAGTCAATCTGACCATGGTGCTGGAATCTAAGACGTGAGTCTAGGCGCGAGCAAAGTTGTTGTGAAATTTCTCCGCCTATATTACACCGGGGAGGGTTTTGCGAGAAGTCCAATCTCAATTTTCACCTCATCTGACTGAAATGCAAGTCAGAATACACACATTGAACCAGAGAGATGCTAAGTGAAGCGAAACCTAGAGAAGGCTTGGGAATGCACTTGCGGGGTGAAGGGCGACCGGACCGGGGTATTTTCGGATGTGAATCATAGTACCGATAACTTAGTTGCCTGGTGTATTCCGTTCAGCCAACGCTGTGCTGTGGAGTTCGCCACAGTCATCATCTGTCTGGCCTTATAAAATCCATTACTTAAGGTGCACAGAGCTTCAGCACAGGATCATCACATCGCTTGCAAGTTGCCAAGCCCAGAGAGCGGGTTGAGGGGCAGAGAAAAATAGGTGTAGGGTACTCCGACTGAGCCGCTATCTTGGAGGTTACCACTATATTCTCATTGGTGAAACAAACACTACCTAAGGAATACTATGCATTGAATTCTACAGGGCATACCTTTCGTTCAATGGACCAATATCTCACCATCTGCAAAGTAAATCTCTCCAGGCTGCACAAGTAAGTAAGGTAGGTAACGTGTATACATCTCTCCCATTGCCGCGCTTGCTCCGAAACTGCTCCGAAGACATCCTAGCTAGGACATATCAGGCAAGGCCTCTGAGCCCCCAGTTCTCACATCTGTCAATTGAGATCGCTCGTAGCATTCTGAGGCTGTTAAGAACTGCACTTAGAAGGTCAATATATAGTCAGGACCAAAAAATTAAACAAGCTGCCGCACAATTGGTGGTATAGCATGGTCCCGCTTTGTCAGGTTCAAACGCTTGTTGGACACAATCACCAAGCAGCTTTCCACGAAGAGCTCAGAATGTAAGACCGCCACTATGCTACAGCCTCATACGCCTTGTTGATCAACTTTAAAAAACAAGCCGTACAAAGGCCGGGTTTATTAGGCATCAGTGAGGTAGTTCCATGGAAACATAAGGCATTCTTTCCTTCATCGCTTCCCTGCCTACCAGAAAGGCCGTGGATGTGCAACAGAAGGTGTGTTGAATTCTGGTTTGGCTCAGCCTGCCGCTGGCTTGACCCGTCGTGTAAGCACAGGATATCGAGCCTATCATATTGCTTCATAGCGGATGGCATCTTCAAAAACTGTTCATGCGCCATGAAACGCCATATCATGAAAATGCTAACACCCGAATCATGAAGCGATTAATATGCGTATCTCCATGCGGCGTGGCTTGAAACCAGGGGCTCAACTCAAACAAGACTTACCATTGCTATTACAGGACTCGTAATTGCTATTAATAATTCCGTACATCACATGTAAGGTACTCGACCCGGGGTTACAGGGTAGCCAGTACCGATTCTACGGCATTTCATGTAGACAGTGACTGCATGTTAAAGAAGAGAAATTGTCTGACGATCCAAAATATGCCTAGGGATAAGAAGCGGTTGTAGGGTATAAACCTGAGCCTTCTTCGAAACAAAACTCGGTGACTGGCAAAACCCTTGGCGTGCGCATTGAGCGCTGGGTCAAAGACTCCAGCCGGGATATGGGAGGGGCGTCAAGCTTTGCCATGCCATTGTGTGATTGATTTAGTAAGGACCGCCCTGTGGACCTACTGATGGCGACTTTCATGCCTGCCTTGGGTTTAGGCTAGGCAGGCAGGTACAGGTACTTGCTACCTCTCTCCCAGGTACTGCCAGGTGCGCTGGACCTCTGGACGGAGGCACTACGTCGTTCATACGGTAAGTCCCTGATGGTGGATGGGGGGGATGAGGGGCAGCCGAAAAGGCAGCGGCGGGGTCGCGCTACATCACCAACCACAACAACAAACTAATACCACCCAGAAAGGATCTCACCCTGTTGGCTTGCTTTCCCACCGCCATCCTCCCGAGCTCGCATTTCTTTTCCGGCTACTCCAAGCTCTACCGCGACACACTTCTCGACATCTTTTTATCCTACCTCCTCACCCTTTCCACTAATTACCTTCATCATGTCCTGGCAAGGTACGCAAAGCGCTCAGCTGAGCTCCTCACCCCACCTTCGATTTGCTCTCCCGCTAACTTCCCCTCCAAACAGCATACGTCGACACTAGGTAAATTCCCTTTCAACGAATACTCTCCCTAAATGGACACGGGGTGCTCCCGTGCTGTCTGACCTGTGCGAGTCCTTCAGTACTGATTAAGAGTTCCTAGCCTCATCGCTACCGGCCATGTCGACAAGGGCGCCATCATTAGTGCTGCTGGCGACAGCGCCTGGGCCGCTTCAGCCGACTTCCAGGTACGATATCCCTCGAGACGCTGGATTCGACCGGAATCTCCCCGCATCTTCTCTATTCTACGGGGATCAGCGAGAGATGGGAGTACTCGACTAACCAATCTTGCCGAATAGCTTAAGCCCGAGGAAATGAAGGCCATTTCTAGCATTGTCAGCGGCGACGCTGCCGCTAAGGACAAGGCCTTTGCTGAAGGTCTCTATGTTGCTGGTACCCGGTTCGTCCTGGCCCGAGCTGAGGACCGAAGCATCTACGCCCGATCTGTGAGATACCACCCATCCTAACCCATGCGTCAAACCTGTCACCCCCCGGTTTAGTTTGGTCGTGTATTGTATCGCGGTGGCTAACTGAAGAAACAGGGCCGAACCGGAGTCGCTATTGCCAAGACGAAGCAGGCCATCATCGTTGCTCACCACCCCGAGACTGGTGTCGCCGGAAACGCTACCTCGACTGTTGAGGGCCTTGCTGACTACCTTATCGGCCAGGGTTACTAGACTTGGGACATAAAGGACTCGGAGGCAGCTTGGGGGAGTGTTGATACTGGGGAAGGGGTGAGCGAAGGCTGTGAAACTTCGCAGCACTAAATACCCTGCGTTGGTTGGTTTTCTAGTTGGTGTACGAAATAGCTCGCCAGAATGGCTATTACGTGAAGAGAGTGCGATTGACACAATGATGGAAGCAGGTGGCGAGAGAGATTTGTCTTCGTTCTTGATTTCGTGCCTCCTGTTGAGGTCTCTGTCAAGATTCTGCATATATCAAGCAGCTGCCCTTCATACATATCCAAATAAGCAAGTTCACCGTCCAAATGCCAAGCATATGTCTCCCATTGCATTCAAGGTCTCGGCAACCCAGTTCCATACACTGAACAGGAGAGGACCTTCAGTCCTGAAAATACCGTCCTCTTGGGGTTCTTAGTACATCTCGTCTCCCTATACAATACAGTAAAATTTCCCTTCCCATGTAATTCATAGAGAAGCTTCTATCACAACGCCAATGTCGCCGGCTTTTGGACCTAGCCAATTCCCAGAACTCCGCCTTCTACCTTGTAATGTCCGTTTTCGAGCCGAATAATCGTAGAGCACACAGACAAATATCTCCAGCGAGACTATCTACGCCTTTCTGGGTGATATTCCGCCCTCGTCTTCAAACTGGTAGCTCCGCGTTTCGTCGTCCAAGGCCTGCGCTGTCGACAGCTCTGCCGATATAGGGTCCCACGACTGGCAAGCCCCGCGCGAAGCTGGCGATTGTTCCCAGGAAGTCGCCAAAGAGAATGGCTATGCCGTATGCCTCGACTAGGAACCCGATGAACGTCCACCGGAGAAGGATGAGTAGTAGGCCGCCGAAGAAGGCTGCTGTGCCTTTTGCCTTTTGTTTCCGAGCGAAGAAGAGGAGGGTCTTCTGGGGGCCGATTATGATCGTCAGGCCGATGAGGAAAAGGATCTGTTATCGTCGGAAGAAGGGGCGAGGGTTAGATTCGAACTATAAGTCGTGAGAAGAGGAAAGGATCAGGATCGTACATTTCCCATAGCCAACCTAGGTAAGATACGTGGTTAGCAAACTAGCACGAGAGGACGGAGAAGCTAGTGACTCCTAGAGTGGTGATCGCATAGCTTACATAGCTCGGTCGAAGAATAGCATCACACCTCCAATGAGGAAGAAGCCACCTGCGATTCGTGAGGTTTAGTAAGACCCTAGGCCTAGGATGCACTTTGCGCCGGTCGCGTGCGCCTACATACCTCCGGAGCAAAACACCACTCCAATCTCTGTCGCAAGCAAATGTTAGCATCATGACCAGGGAGCTTTTTCTTAGCGGGAGAAACCCAGCCGTCCTGGCCGGTTTGTTGGAGCTCCATGGTGGGTTGGCCGGCAGGCGAGTTCTGTGAAACGTACTCTGGGAATCTGAGAGCCACATCGACATCTTGGCGAGTCTTCTGGGCTGCTGAATTAATTTCTAGGGCTGGATGACGTATTTGGCGTTGGCCGACAATGAAGAAGGGATCGGGTCTGAGAGAGCCAATGCGCCGGTTACGATTATGGAAGAGAAAGCAGAGGAAGGAAAGGAAAATACGAAAGCAATGCGGACAAGAGACGTTTGGCTTCGCAAATGATCGTCAAAGGGGGGCCTGATACAGCAGAACGGTTCTGTGGTGCAGGACCCTGGCCGTCATGGGAAGTCTCGCGTTGCCAATCTCGGAATAGATCCTTGCCGCTCTTGCTGAAGCCTATCTCGGGACTTAGTCAGCAGCTTGGCACTGCACCGCACACGGAAATGAGACGCCAGGGAGAGTAAGCGAACCTCGCTGTGGCATTTGAGGCGGTTTATATAAATTCGAAAGAGATTTGACTGGACATAGCGTTTCTCGCGATCTACTGGAGCTGGCATTGAAGTCCGTGCGAACTCTGATTGAGAGTGGACAGATGGTGAGTCTTGAAGAAGCCTAGAGAAGCTCTAATGTTGGGAATATAAACCAACCACGGGGAAGAGCTTCAACTGGCATCATAGACTGTGTGTATTTGGCATTTTAGGAGAAGAAGATTTCGGTAATTCGCAGTGAGAACTCGCCGAAAAGACATCTGCCTAAGCTTGCCGCTATGCCCAGCGGAAAAGTTTGATACAATACCTGTCAATACATAGATCCAAGAATAGCTCTCAGAAGCAGAGTACAAGGTCATGCAAAGTTGAATAGAAACATATGGCCACTTTGGGTTTCGCAGTATAATATTAAGAGCTCTTGTGATGTGCAATTGAGATTTCTACATGCATGGATATATGTCTCGAGATCTGTGAATATTTCTTCGTATAGGCTTGCTACAAGATTAGCAGAGAACGAGTACTTTCGATTTTAGGTTCCTAGAGCCTTCGGTACCATTTTACAACCGATTGGCTAGCATCTGATGGAAAGCCAGCTACGCTTTATTGACAAATTTTTTTTTTGGACGGCCGAGGTAGATAGACATAAGAAAGACTGGCTTGTGCAAATGCATATCTTAATGTGGCCTATGTTCAATGCAAAAGCAGCGTCATTCAGGGACCCATATTGAATCGAGTACCAATCTTAGGTGGATTTGCATGAGATGTAGGAGGTTTTGGGCTGCTCTGATTGGCTGGTTGGCCCAGCTAAATACGCCGACGCATCGATTTTCTTTGAGCTCGTCTGAAGTTCTTTACACACAAAACTACGATTGTCGCAGGTTTCGTCGGGTTTGTATCTAACACGATACCCGATGACACAGCACAAGGTGGATGATACTGCAACTTGTTTTATCATTAAAGCTACCTTACTCGTATTCATAAGAGGTTAACCTACTGCGATGCGGGAAAAAAAATGGTAAGTATGAGAGCTTATATTTGCTCTTCAACCTGAGCTGGAAAGCTCATTTCGATGTCGTCTGCTATTGCTACCACTATATCCTTCCTCGTCATTACCTGCCGCGACGGTCGAAGCGTCAAGCTTCGGCAACTGAGAATCGTCACTCCATACGTTCTCGGTATTCTGTCATCCTAGGCGGAGAACAAACCCATTCACGATCACGATTAAGCCGGAGCGTCATTTGCCATCCCGTTGTCGAAAGGTGTCGGGTGCATAGTTGAAGCTTGACTTTGTTGGTCGAACATGCCCACCATTTATTCCTCCCTTTTCTCACCTTGTAGATCGTGAGTGCGTTGGTAGATGTAGGAAAGAAGGTTCCATTTGAATAACAGCACAGCCCCAACCCATCCGTACGGTGACATGCTATAGTCCAATCATTTCAGGATAGTATGGGCGCCACGAGCTTCGAGGAATTGCTCTGCTGTCGTTTGTGGGATCGAACGGATAAGTCCAAAGACCTCACCGTTGTGGTATCTCAAGCGAGTCTTGGGATCTAGATACGGAGCCGGCAGGCCTGTGATGTCGCAGTAGTGCTTCGAGTGCGAAAGTGAGGGCGCGGATTCGATGTTGGTGTACGTGGCGGTGGGCGCTGAGACCGCAGCTCCGTTGGAGGGCTTTAAGCTCTTCTCGAGAACCAGCTTGGACAGACTCCTAGATGCCTGCGCTAGGTTGGGAGGGTTGCTGCCGCTGCTGCTGTTGGCGGGCGTCGTCGTGCCACTGGTGGAGAGCCCGTCGTCGGCAGGCGTCGCGTCGCCGCTCATATCTTGGGGGGTGGCGAGGGCGGATGCTTCTCTTCGTGATGCGTCTCCAACAATTGCCTTGAGGTTCTTGTTCCTGCGCTGGTTCGGTCGCCAATTTGGGTTGCGGAAGTTCTTGTGAATGGAATGGATGTCGAGCTGCTCGATGAGCTGCTGGTGTGCAATCTGCGCCTCGGTAGGTGCAGCCATTGTCGGTCAGTAGCAGAGTGGGGGAGTTGTTGGGAAGCGGTACGCGAAAATTCTTTGGGAAGAAATGGAACTCGTATGAAAATGGCAAAAAAGTTTGGTTCGCTGGCGTGAAGGGATACTGAGGCTTGTAACTGGACCCCGATCGGATTTGAGGAAACGCGGACATGGCCAAAGTCGTGAGATACCAAAAAGCTTATCTGATACGCGAGCGGATGTGGCTGGTAACTGTTAGTGGTCAAAGTACACAGCCTATTAGTAGGAACTTCACCATGCGCATCCGATAATAGCGACATCACAACTCACATACCAAATCACCGTTGACAGGTATCCCCGGGCAGCAATCATGGTACGCGACCTCTTCTCGACGAACTCCATTTATCTATGACTCTCATGTATTCTAACATGCTTTGTAATAGGAGAGCCCTCACGAGCACCAGCAGAACCTCCTGCTCTCACGTATCATTACCAACGTAGTAGGTACATCTCTACTTGCTGCAACAAACCAGAACTGAGACAGTGGAATAGGAAAAGCTCAACGAGGCCGTCGTTGTTATGAACAAGAGCCTTCAGGTAACAATCATTTATTCATGCATGTGTTTCAGAAATTAATATCTTATTTTCCCCAGGAGATCAACGTCGAGAACATGAATGTTGAGCTCGTCGCTCAGATGTTCAAGAATTACCAGTCCAACGTCCTGTTTCATCTTGAAGGTTTGTCTAGACTATGGTGATCGAAAGGCAGAATAATGAGGCACGAGACTAATGGATCTCGGACTGTAGCTACAGACAATCTGAAACCACCCTCATAGCATGGTGGTAGGAAGATTATCGATGTTTGGATGGGCCTGCAGATAGGCCTGTCCGCGACGCGCGTGGTAACAAAAACACCTGCTTAGCTTACCATAACTTCAATGAATGATGATTATCGGATGACCCCCAAGATTACGACCCCTTGCTTTTCCATCTTGAAACTTGCTTGTATTCGTCAAAATATCTGAATTGTTGAAGCAGCACAATTCTTACTTTGGCGGGGGTTTCTGCAGTAATTAAGCGATCTTGTCATGCTCTTCTCTGTAAACACTATCCCACGGGTAGCCGCAGTAATACATAAGTGACCTCAGACAGCCTCGTGCAGCCGAACATCAGGCGGCGAAATTTCCAACCAGCGCTCTCTTTCTCTCCAATTGGCACTCAACCCCCAGACCATCCAATTCCATCCTGTCCACGGCACCAACCGCTGCTACTCATTTCAAACCATGACATCGACCTAGTAACCGAGACCATTCTTGCTTCATTTCGTGTTGGACACCTCCCTCGCTTCACATCACCATGGCTCCCTCCGCCATCGACCAGTCTGCCGCGGCAGCACCGCCAGACACCAAAACATACCCGCCGGCCAAGATCTTCCCCGTGAAGGAGACGCGATTCGAGAAATACATTGAGCCCGAAACCGGCGGACGCAACAAGGCACTCCAGCAACCAGACAGCGCCGCCATCGTTATTGACAATGGTAGGTCCTGGACACAGAGGCGCGCACATCGTAGAGGGGCGTCCAATTGATAATTCTTTCTTTCTAGGATCGCACGCAGTACGGGCAGGATGGTCTTTCGAGAAACAGCCACGCTTCAGCATGCCCCCGATCATGTCCAAGTATCGCGACCGCAAGCTGGGGAAGACCTTCTCCTTTGCCGGCTCTGACTGCTACGCCGACACGACGGCGCGAGGCCACATCCGAAATGCTTTCGAGGCGGGGACGGGGATTGTCAGCAACTGGGATGCTATGGAGCACGTCCTCGACTATGTGTTCCTGAAGCTTGGGATGAACGACGCTGATGGCTCCATCGATGCTCCGGTGGTCATGACGGAGGCAGTGGCAAACCTCCCCTATTCAAGGAAATGTATGTCACCTCATGAGATCAAGAAGCAGTACAAGACATGGAGGCTAACGGAACGCTAGCTATGACGGAAATCCTCTTTGAGTGCTACGGAGCGCCATCTCTCGCCTACGGCATCGACTCTCTCTTCTCCTATAGACACAACAAAGGCACGACCGGCCTGGTGATATCGTCTTCATACACATCTACACACGTCATACCCGTCTACAACTCGAAAGCCTTGCTGAGACAGACGACGAGATTAAATTGGGGCGGTTACCACTCAGCCGAATACTTGTTGAAGCTCATCCGGCTAAAATATCCTGCTTTCACGGGCAAGCTCAACTCTTCCCAAGCAGAGCACATGGTAAAGGAGTACTGCTATCTATCGCGGGACTACGACCAGGAGCTTAAGGGCTACCTCGACTGGACGGGCCTCGAAGACCGCGACATCGTCATCCAATATCCATATACCGAAGAGGTCATCGTACAGAAGAGCGAGGAGGAGCTGGCAAGAATAGCGGAGCGCAAGAAGGAGAGCGGGCGGAGACTACAGGAGCAGGCGGCCAAGATGCGACTCGAAAAGCTCATGAAGAAGGAGCAGGATCTCGAATATTACAAGCAGCTTCAGGGCAAACTGGTGGACGAGACCAAAAAGGAGACGAGACGACTTCTCGACAGCCACGATATAAAGCACGAGGCTGAGCTTGAGAAGATCATCAAAGAGTTGGAAAAGGGCATAAAGAAGGCTCGTACTAAGGATGTGGGCGGCGACCCCGAGGAGAACGAGGAGCAGCCGGACTTCAGCCTGTTAGAAATCCCCGACGACCAACTCGATGAGGCACAGATAAAGCAGAAACGGCAGCAGCGTCTTATGAAATCAAACCACGAGGCGCGAGCCCGTGCCAAGGCCGAGAAAGAGGCTGAAAAAGCACGTGTCGCCGAAGAGGAGCGCTTGGATAACGAGCGCCGAGAGAACGATTTGGAGAGCTGGCTGGACGAGAAGCGCCAAGTCCACGCGGATACCCTGGCGAAGATGAAGGAGCGCGACCGCCTGAAGCAGGACCTCGGAAACCGCAAGTCCCTCGCCTCGCAAATCCGCATGAAGAGCATCGCCAACCTGGCCTCCGACCAACCCGGCAAGAAGCGACGCCGCGGCGGAGACGACGACAACTTTGGAGCCAACGACGACGACTGGGGTGTATATCGCCAGATCGCCGTCGGCGAGAACAGCGACGACGAGCAGGAGGAGGAAGACCTCATGTCCAACCTCAAGTCCGTCGAGCAGGAGCTCCTCAAGTACGACCCCAACTTCGACTACGAGCAGACCCACGAGGCCCAGTCGGACTGGTCCAAGTCCCTCCTGCACGCCTTCGCCCGCGGGCCCCGCCCGTTCGACCCTGCCTCCCAGGCGGAGCTGAACCAGATCCATCTCAACGTCGAGCGCATCCGCGTCCCCGAGGTCGTCTTCCGGCCCTCCATCGCGGGAGTCGACCAGGCCGGCCTCATCGACATCGCCGGCGACATCCTCAACCAGCGCCTCACGGGACTCGCCAACCACGAGGACTTCCTCCGCGACATATTCCTCACCGGCGGTAACACGCTGTTCCAGAACTTTGACGAGCGCGTACGCGAGGGTCTCAGGTCCCTGCTACCTGCCGACTCCCCGATCAAGGTACGTCGTGCAGACGACGCCCTGCTGGACGCCTGGAAAGGCGCAGCGGGCTGGGCGGGAACACCGGCGTGGAAGGCAGCGAAGATCTCTCGTGAGGAGTATCAGGAGAAGGGTCCCGACTACATCAAGGTAAGCTCTCCTCGCTCATTCCAACATATTTTTAATATTTCTCCCGCTACCTTCGATATATGTTACTTACTCTTTTCTACTTTAGGAACACGACATGGGAAATTCTTACGCGTAGGCAGCAGTGGGCAGGGGAGAACGGCAAATAGGGGTGCAATGGGTGCGGCAATGTAACCAGGGGTTGATATTTCAAAAAAGAACAATTGGTGACAAGATAAAAAAAGCTCCTTCGTCTAGCATTGATAAATAATAATAGGCTCTCCATAAACAGCCATGCGTGCCACCGCCGCATGAGTAAGAAAAAGAGACGACGATGACGTTTTCTTCTCTTTCCGATGGGTAGATAGAAGGGGACAGGCCCAATTGGAAGTTCCACCGACCACGCTGAATCTTCATGAGGCATTCATAGGAGGAAAAAAAGGGAAGATGAAAAGTAAAGCATTCATGTAACACGAAAAAGGATTTCCGACGCCAGCCCGCCCAGGCGTCTTCCTTAGCTGTCCCTGCCTGATAAACAAAATGTCTAAGCTATACGCCAGACAAAAACAAACCCGGCGACAGAAACTAGGAAGATTCTTCTGCGAAAGGATGTAGAGAACGATATGAAGATACATCAAGATTCATTACAGGATGCCGGAACGCCATGGAAATAGAAATGATAAAATAAAAAACTCCAACTGTTCGTCTGGACAATTACGATGGATAATTGTCAGCGCCTGAAGAATATATGCAGTTCAGTGACCCAGACTGGATAGTATCTCCTAGAGAGCGTGGTCAGGGCCGCCATCGCCAGCCTGGAGGTGTCTATTTATTTCTTCGGCTGTTCGATTATCATGAGTGCTAGGGTCAGGTTTCATATGAGGGCTGGGGTAAGGCCGCTCTCCCATTTGCTCCTGAGCGGCCAGCCCAGCAACAGCCTGGGCAACCGCCTCTAAGGGCGTTCCAGAGTTCAGGTGGCTGGGTCCGGGCTCGTGCGTGCCCATCTGTGGCTCTGGTGCCACAGAATGGTGAGCTAAATTGATGTTTGGTGGAGGCTGCGGGAACTCTCCAACAGCGTCAATGAGTCTAGATTGTAAGGTGAGAACATATTCCCGTAGGGCATAGTTCTCTGACTGAGTAGCCTTGTATGACTTCTCCATGTCGCGGTAATCTCGCACTTCCTGTTCAAGTTGCTTGATGTAGCTTTCTTTGCGCTGACGAAAAGCCCTCTGAGAACAGAAGCAAGTTAGCATCGAGAGTCCATGCAACACACCACGTAAAACGATGCCCTCCTCGCCCGTGTTTCTACTTGGGCGCATTCATGTGGGGGGAGTATGGCATACCTGAGCGGCTCTGTTTTGCGCGGCACGCTTTGACTGGGACAACGCCCGCTTTGCTTTGCGACCATCGTTGGGAGACTCTTCCCCTGGTGCTGGGGCCAGCTGCGGAGGTTGGGGCGCAGGTGCAAGTGAGGAGTTGGGGGCTCCGGGAGGAGGGCCACCAATAGGCCCCGGTGAGGGCACAATGGGCATCATATTGTGATTGTGTTGCGAAATAGGACCTGTGCGCAAATCGGGATGAATAAACGCGTCGGTACCGTCAGTCTTTGCGTTTAAAGCTCGAGCAGCGTCTTGAGAGGCAGCCGCAAGCTCGTCGTATCCATTCGCGATTTGTGCAGCAGTGGGAGAGGTATGACCAGTCCTCTGGTCCCGCGGTCTCGAGCCGGGCGACCCGGAAAGATCTGATTCTGGGCTCTTCAAAAGCTCAAGCTGTGCGCGAAGGTGCTGCTCTATTGTGCATCTGTCAGCCACGAGGTTCTCCAGACGGCTTGCGCGAGGCGGTTCGCACACATTGAGCAGCGATGATGAAGTTCGGGGAAATGGACGAGAATGTATGAGACAAGGCGACAGTCGCGGCGCGAAAACTAGGCAGATCTACAGAGAGAAATGGCCAAGTTTATTGATTGTCGCGTCGGGGAGAATGGAACGCAGCGGGCGACTGGCGACCGGGCATGGTGTAGAAGGGCAGACGAGATGCTCTTTTGCGCACAAGGGCGCGAATAGAGAAATGACTCAGCGCGCGAGCGCTGCACCATGCGACGAGAAGGAAGAAAAGCGATATCGAGCAAACTCACCCTGAGAATTCGTCGTGATATTGACTCCCGCAGTGGCTGGCGAGGACTGCATGGCTAGTAAGTAGAGCTTCGAGGGCAGAGTCTGAGTCAGCAGTCATATAGGTCGCTGGCGAGGATTAATAACTAATATATGGCGTCTTGAAGACAATCAGCGAGGACGAGAGCAGCAGCGGTGGTGGATCAGCGGGGTGGCTGTATTATGTAATTAAACCAAGCGGGCTCCCTAGGCGGCTCGCGCGACTTGTTGGCCCCGAAAACAGAAACGAAGTGGCTGAACCTCTCGTTTGGAGGGTGCCAATAGTATTGTCAAGCCTGTTGCATTGGCGTATGACGAAGCTAGGCGGAATTGCACAGCGCGCGGTTATTCTTGAGCAATGTCCTACGTTCGCAGCTTTCCCGAACAGACGGTCCTGGCCAATCCTCTCCTCTCCTCTGGGACGGAATTAAGAGCAAGCCAAGATCTGAGGCTTTACTTGCCCGGCCTTAAGCTAGGGTCTTGGTGACTGGATGGTGGGTGTGAATGTAAGTGATGAGCAACGGGTGTGTTTGGGGAGCGTGGTTTGTCAGCAAGATGGTGGAAAGTCGCGAGGTGCGAGGTGGTGGGTGGGAGGAGGGAGGTCTGCATGGTTCCCGCAGGCACCTCCCACAGGCAGGCACGGCCCCAAGGCTCGCGATTTGTGATTGGACCTGCGCTAACACGCCGCTAGAGGATAGCAGGTGGGCCCTGTATTTTCTGAGCCGACTGCCTGGTGATTACGTAAGCGGGCATACCCTTTTCGGCTGGAGGAGAGTGTTATTCGTGGCTGATACACATTTATAGAACATATACGTTTCATGTTATTGAAAATCTCGATGCCATGATGCGTGTTGAGAAAGTAAGTCATCGCCTGCGTGGTCGGTATCCTTCGGAACTTAGAGATTCCCGGGAGCAAGATGCTTGTTCCAAGGGTTTGATGCCGAGGCCAGACTACCCCTCCTTGCTTATGTCATTCGATTACATAATATTGCTGTGCTTCAGCTCTTCCTATCTCTGACGTCGGGGCGCTGTAGTGCAACCTTCCCCACTGCACCTTGCTGTTGCTAATTTTATCCATACATGAACATCCGTGGTAGGTCTACCGATTTGGAGAGATCAGGCTTTGGGGGATCGTCTGTGAATGATCAAAAAGAAAGGTGGTCATTCGAACATTTGGTTGGTTGTCCCGGTGCTTTTGAAACATTAGCTGCTCCATGTCCGACAAACATGACTGTTGGTTGGTAGCATCCATGATGCCCTTGCCCAGCTCAATACGTACATCGGTGTGAGACCTCCCTATTCAGGACCTTTCAATCCTCCCACAATACGGAGCCCCTGCCACTCTATCCTGTGAATGAATAGCGCCCATTCCAGAGTTATAATATGAGCTAGTCAAAGACTCCTGGAAGCGAAGCGTGGTGTCCATCTTGATGTTCGTGGTCTCAAGATGGTTCTCATTAAAATCTATTGACATACTACCCATTTACCACACCAGAACGACACAAAGGAGTTCGCTACAAGATTCACAATGATCTTTATCACTGAGTAAAGCACAGACAAAAATGCGTGGCCTCCGCTCTCGCTGGGATGATAGCTCATAGGCTGGACAACAAGCAATGGTGGCTTGCAATTATATGGCATCGATTTCTGTCTTTTAGAGAGACCAACTCTGTTTTGATATACTAGGTCTAAATTCCTCTGATAAATGCTTTTCTTATTCTTGAGACAAATCATAGCTTCTCAAGCTAACACTAATAGGATCATGGCTTCACCAGCTGCCTTCGTAATTGCTTTTTCAGGTCGCTTTCCAAGCGGATTTATATCACACTATGATCAGTATCCCGGAAAATTCGCATGGCCTACTGGCAATAATTTGTGCTAATAGAACTAGCTAATTGCCTCCTTTATACAACTTCCCTCCCTTCCACACATGTGTGATGTTCTCTGGATCAGCCAGGATGGATATATCATGTAACGGGCTTGATGATACTGCAATCATATCCGCATCATATCCTTCCTTAATCTGCCCACTCAGAGGTGCCAGGCGGCCTAGCGTCTCCGGACCGTTCGCTGTCGCACTCTCGATGGCCTCCAGAGGCGTCATCCCGGCCTCCACTGCCCATTGCAGCTCGTGGGCATTGTTGCCATGCGACAGCTTCGACTTGCGGTCGCTGCTCAGCATGTCTGTGCCTAGAGCAATATTGACACCGCTCTTGACAGCCAGCTTATAAGATGACTTGGAAAGGTCCAGGACTTTTAGCAGTTTTGCCCTCGAGGGCTCCGGAAGGGTGTCAAGATAGTGTGCAGCCAAAGTGCGGACAATATGCTGCGTAGCGACTAAATATGCCCCTTTCTCCTTCATGAGCTCGGCCACCTCTTCATCAAGGTACATGCCGTGTTCAATGCTGTGCACGCCAGCTCTCAAGGCGGCCATGATCCCAGCCTTGCCAATAGCATGGGCAGCAACCGCACGACCGCTCCGTCCGGCTTCTTCGACGATGGCTTTGAGCTCCGCGTCGGAGAATTGGCTGTCCTCCGGGTTGTCATTGAGGCTGAGAACACCGCCGGTAGAACAAACCTTGATAACTTTTGCGCCGCGACGGATCTGTAGACGTACTGTTTTAAGACACTCGTCAACCCCGTCGCAAAGAGCAACGGGGAACCCACGGTCCATCGCTTCTCTCACTGATTGGATGGGCAGCATGTGATCGTCTCCATGCCCGCCTGTGATAGACAGAGCAGTGTGAGAAGAGTACACATTAGGGCCTACTAGGAGTCCTCGCTCAATGCCAGGCCGAAGGTCTCCCGCATTACCGCCCAGTTCCCGAATTGATGTATAGCCCGACAAGAGGGTGACCCTCAAATCTTCTACCGTTATGGCGCCTGTGAGAGCATTCGTCCCAGGGAGATATGAAACCGTATCCAGCCCTTGGAGGACATCGAACGCCTGGTAATGGCAGTGGCAGTCCCAGAGGCCTGGCATAAGCACGGGGACATTGATCACCCGGATGCTGTGATATTTGGATGGTCGATTGGCAAAAGGTCCAACCCACTCGATCTTCCCATCGCTCACAGCGACAGCCCCATGCTGTATAGGATCTCCCCGGCCTGGAATGAGAGTGGCAGCATGAATGAGATACGAAGACGATTCGCGCTCAGCTGATGGCACCGAAGTCCCAGTGTGGGCGGGATGAAGGCTGGGATAGTGGAGGGGGTTGCGGAGAGGGACACGCATGATGAAGATGTTTTCACTGAAAATTGGTAAAAATTGAGGACAGGCCTAGTTAGAGTCAAAGAATAGCAGGATAGCAATTGCAACGTTCACTGGGGAATCTCAAGAGGGGGAGCTGACCAATTTGAACTGTCCCATTTCGGCCGCCGTACCCTTGCCCCAGGATGAATGTTGATCATGACAAACCTCGCGCGTCATGAGCGTACGACATCTCTGTCGTGGAGTAATTGCGTTCCCGCCACATACGACGCATGTGCGATTGTATGCTTCATAGAATCATGAGGAATGGGCACTTTCAGAAAGGGACAAGTCACTAACCAGGAGGTTAACAATTGGAATCTCCTGCCAAGTGGGCGTCGTGACTTGGCAGTGCCTTTTTTTTCTGACAACCACCTGCTTGGATTGGTAGAGCTGCCGAATATTATGTCATCTTTCGCCTTACAGCTCTGCGCATTGGACTTCAACACCGTCCCTTGATTGCCGTAATAACGTGACTGGCCATTTGCGTTTTATGTTGTTGAGCTGTTTTCATTCCACGACATGCACAGAAATTCTATGTGATTGGTACCTTCGGTGTATAGAGACACTTTCGAAGGTAAGATGCTCGTTTCATTGCAAAGGCCCGAACTGATTCACCCGCTCTACATCCCTAAACACGTCTAACTCCAACCCCCACTACAAATCCTTGTTTCTAAATTTATACACCTGTGGCTGAAGTGATATAATTGATCAGCCCAGACTTCGGAGGAGATGGCATGAATGCTCGAAAATTGATGAATTTTGGAAATTCTCGGGGGTCAGCTAGCATGGTATGGAAATCCAGGTTTCTTGATTTTGGAGTATCGGTAGAGTCTGCTTAAATTGATTATAGCAGTAGATAAAAATATCTTATTTTTTTTTTAAAGAGAGATCTACAAACCAACCAAGAGAAGCACTAGCTTCAAGTCTCATGCTTCCATCTCAGAAGTCAGGCGTCTAAATTTTGCTTACCTAATTTTACACTGACCAGGCAGCTCAAGCTCATCTGCGTGTTGGTCCAGAATAATATATGACTCTCGCCTGCAAAAACAACCAAGCTGCGTTGACATACGGTTAATGAACTCAGCCTACTACAATGCTCAGCATCCGACTTTGTATCCCTGCAAATAAATCGAAGTACGCCAGCGTCGACCAAGAATCCATCTGAGTTGGCCCACTTTCGCACTTCTTTGATCCCCTCGCACTCTCACGATATGCAACCCTTGCCACTTTATCTCGAGAATGAGCAGCGCCCATTTGAGAGCCACAAATACATACTACTCAAGGGCACCGACAGGCGGAAAATCGAACTCGATGTTCGTGATACCGATATGGTCCTCGTTGTTGAAGTCTACAGACGCACCATTCATATACTACATCTGTACCACGTGCGTTCAGAGACGGCTGCTGCTGCACAGACTGCTATCGAGGACTTTCTTGACCAATTGAAGTTACTCCATGAGCAGAAGAGCATCAAGAGCAGGAGGGAGTTTATCATATCAGGTTGTACGGATGATGAATGCCATGATAACCTCAATGACTTTGTCACAATGCAGGCCGAGGAGCGTGGCCTTCACTTTGACTGGACTGACCATTCGTGGCCGCGTGAACAGTATCGGCTTACTTGGAGACAGCCGGGTTACATTGTTTCTTTCTGGAAAGATGGTACTTCAAAAGTGAGTTCGTGGAATCGCCCTGTGTTACCGGAAACAGAACGCACTCTGCCTGATACTAATGGCCGTATTCATGGTCGAGCCCCAGCCTGGACGACAAGTAATGATGGCTAGTATTGAGAGAAATAGATTGGCTAGTGATACTGTGGTGAGATGTTGTTGGTAAGACGAGCTCGTTCTGTAGCATTTACCCGCCCAGTTGCTAAATTTAAGGTATATCCATCATGTTCCGATGAGCAGAAGCATCGGGAGTGCAAGGCAGCAGGAAATACGCGACCGATATAACGTAACATTTAGGGCTGGAAAGTCTCCCATCATCTTGCATCAAGCCGTGTTGTCGATATCTGATGTTCGCTACCCTTGCAAGGAGCTAGTACAATACAACATCTGGACCGTTGGTTAATGGAACGTTATCATCGCGTTTCCTCCACTCTCATTACGCCGAGATTGGAGAACGAAGGATTTCCATGCAATCGCGGGAATTAATTCACTCGGTGTATCAATTCTCATGGACTACAGGTAGAGAAATGTCAACAGAGCCTCAAGGGATTATGTAATCTGGCAAAGGAGCTTGGAGGGGTACGAGGGGCGCCTGTAATGCGACGGGCATCAGCCCTCTAGGTATCTTAATAGGACACACAGTCCCTCACAAGATCTCTTGATCATCATTCCAGCTTGATGCCAAGATGCTCGCTTTTGTTCACAAGGTGCCTCTTCGCAATCTAATCATCCGACCTCTTCTCAGGAACGCCAACACCCGCCACTTCTTTTCAACCACCATGGCCAGCCTCCAGGTGTCGCCGCGCTTTTCGAAGGGCACCGACGAGGCGACTGCGCTGTCAAGCCTCCAGTCGCTTCTGTCCTCTGAGGGCGGCCCTTGGACGCTTACCTCGGAGGGCGAGGCCCTCGAGCGAAGCTTCAAGTTCAAAACCTTTGCCAAGACTTGGGTACGTTGATCCTCCAGCAACGTCTTAAAACTCTATGTTTGGGACGGCAATTGTATCGTCTTGTCACTATATATCTAATCTGAAACTACAAACAGGACTTCATGACTGCCGTGTCTCTGCAATGCAAGATTAAAAACCACCACCCTGAGTGGTCAAATGTTGGTTCATTCAATTGTTATATATCCCCCCTCTGCAAGTTAAAACTTGCTGATGCGGTTTCGCACTAGGTATATAACACCACGTTTATTCGATGGACTACACACAACCCCAAGGGCCTCTCCACAAAGGACCTTGAGCTGGCCTCACTGTGCGACTCCATCGCCAAAGACTTTGGAGAAGTGGAACCAGAACCCGTAACATGTGAAATCAGGAATCTCGCAGACAGTGCTACGGTGTCTGCGGGCGATTGCTGCACGCCCAAGAAATAAATAGGGCGGAAGCAGGATGTAATACTATGAATGTACACTCAAATGCAGCCATTTCACTGGAGCCAAATAATGCAATGTGCTTCTTGTAATTGAGAGTTTATTTTAACGAAAGATTATGTACATATTCCCAAACCTCGTAATTCTTTTGGTTGTTCCTTTGGTTCGATTCCTTCTATATACAGGAGAAAGAAAGTTGGGGCTCAAACGTAAGACTCCAATCTGTGTTGAAGGGACATCGTTTACCCTTCCTAGAACTGTTGTGCCATGAGAATGAATATTATTAAATCTAATACTGCAAAAAATCAGTTTCTCCAATTGCAACTATCCTTCATTTCGTCGTCCAAGTAATCGCGCTTTTGCCTTCCCAAGGGTGAATATGGTAGGCTGAAATAGGTGATCATTTCCACAAACTACGCCGTCGCGAAACGATATAGTTTACTGAGCCTTCTTGCTCTTGATCTGGGCCATCTTCTTCTCGCGTCTACGCTTGTGAGCCTCGGCGCCGGCCTCGGTGTCAAGGCAGTAGTCCCACCAGCGGAAGCTGGAGGCGTAGTTGCCAATGAACTTCTCGTGATGGAGATCATGGTGCTCGGCACCAGCCCAGACGGGGAGGAAGTGGCGCAAGCTCCAGGGGAAGTCGTAACCGCTGTGGGCATCGATGGCCTGGAAGAGACGAAGGGTGATCCAGACATACATGGTGAAGAGGTGGAGTTCACCAGTAAAGTACAGAATGACGAGGGGGGCCCCAACAACGCCGATACCGAGAAGCATGGTCTCAATAGGAGAAGCATACTCAGCAGCAAGACCGAAGGGAGCAGAGTAGGTGTGGTGCATCTTGTGGATGGCCTTGTAAAGAGGACCGTAGTGAAGAGTACGGTGGAACCAGTAGTGCCAGGCATCCTCCAAGATAAAGGCGACCGTAATCTGCCAGGCCATTGTGAACCAAGAAGGGAAGGGTACGCCGTATTCGATACCACACCAGGTGGCAACAGGGTGGAAGAACCAGATCTGAGGAAGCTCGGCGGTAAAGTGGCTGACAAGGACGATGAGGGCGCAGTCCCACTGTTCTCTCAGGGTGGGAACCTTTTGCTTCTGGATCCTGTATTTTTCAAAGTAGGGGATGTAGTCCATCGCCATGTAGGGAATGCAACGACCGAAATAGATAAGCTCGTGGATGACAAAGCTCATGACACCGGTTGCGAGGATATCATTTTGCATGTAGAGGTACCATGCCTAGAATGGTTGTCAGTATCGTTTGGTTGGGGCTCGCGATTGGCATCAATACGACAGGGGACGGAACGTACGGCCCAGAGCTTCTCCAAGTAGCTGAGCTGAACATTGTACTTGGTGACTTCCTCGAGGACTTCGAAATAGCCCTGAGTCTGGTTAAGGGCGTTCAAGGTGCCGGTGCTGTAATTGAATCGCTCGTTAGAAGCGGTCGCGAAGGAGGCGCAAAGATGAGGGGATGGAGCTACTCACACTGCCGCCATGGTGGAAACCTCGAACTGAGATGTGGGAATGAAGAAAGGAAACGGATACCCCTGCTGCCAAAGCGTATCGTGCTTTCACCGAGTGGAAGGAATGATTGATGAAGGGCGATGACGAGCTGGAAGAAGAGGGCTTGAGGTCTCAAGAAAAAGAATCGGTGGGAGTCGGCGGCGGGCTGCTGGTTTTATCATTCGAATTTAATTTTTATGGGATCAGGAGTCCCTGGCAGGAGAATAAAGAGTTCAATGGGGACCCTGCCCCTCCACCCGGGAAGAGAGACACCATCTCGTAGTGCGTCCCCCTGGCGGACAGGGGAGCCAATGGCCTGAATTGTATTTGACCGTGGCACTTCTTTAGCGCTATGTGGCCCTGGAGGAGGGGCACCAAGGGCCCTACAGCGATCCAGCTGTAGGTTCCGAAAAATGAGACCACGCACCCAGATAGCTTTCCGGCTCCGTCCCGATCAGATGATTTCCCCCCCTAGCGCCATGGCTCGGGTGCAATGGCACCCACCCACGCTCCCAGGTATGGGGACCTACAGCAGCATTACTGGTAAACCCGAATACGACAACGTGTGAGTGGGTGGATGGCCCCATTTATTGCCCGTCCCCTCCATCAGCCACATCTACACCACATCTACATCTTGCATTATCCGCCTGAAACTCACCGAGCATAGCGCTGCGAACTCGAGTTCGGGAAACGACAGCATACTTGCATCATTAATACGCCACTCTCGGTATAGTCGCAGCACTCAACCGAATTATCAGTTCCTTATGCTATTGCTACAGGTAGGTACGATATGGATGCATTATAGAGAAACAGGCAATAAATCCTGCCGCAGCTATCCATAAGAGTAAGAAAAGGCAATTGCACTCCCCTAGGTGATAGTTGTTCCCGGAGCTAGAAATGAAGCGTTCCATGCTTCACGAAAGGCAGGCCCAAGGCCAAACGCCTCAAGTACGGCCAGCCACTAACTAAAAATCCCTAACTTTATGTTGTCTTTCAAACAGCTTCACTCATCTGGTATCCTTCGGGCAAGTTGGCCGTATACGCTCATAATCATTATACATTTGGATATCCAGCTCTTGGCTCTTCTACAAGGCTATGAAATGAGGTGTCGGGCGCGAAGAAAACAAACAGCCACATACCACATCATCCTTGACCAACTGGACAAGCCGTTAATCCAACCTATAGAATACACATACACAATCCCAGAGGCTTAGTCTTCGGTGGGATCTCATTCATTTCTCTCTTTTCCTTTGCCATTGGCGCAATCGTGAGATTGATGAGTGGGAGACGGGAACAATCACCCCTGCTCAACCTCCACCAGCCACATCTCCTCCAAATCCGAATCATGCTACGCCACCGAAGCTCACCAAGGAACGGCCCCTCGAATTCGCGTTCGGGTAGCAGCCATCGACATCCCTATTTGGCTACCATGGACATAACTAACACCAACCTGCGCATCGAGTTGGCAGAACAGAGGATTCTTCAGTGTCTACTATGTAAGCACAGGTGCATCAGTCTTGGGGGATAATAAATCCTTTGGATCGCATCGGGCTTGCTCATTGATGCGCGCGTCGATACCGGATCTCTGCCTACTTATCACTGATTCATCAAACATTTGAGACATGTTGATAGGAAATGTGACAAGATGTATGTACCTGCTTGCCTTGCTCATGTAAATGTACGTGCGTTGGTCTTCCTTGCATGCGTCCATGTACGTACCCCAAACGGCTTTTAGTGATGAGATCACTTGCTCCACACTCGCTCCAACCCGCAAGCTAATGACGATTGCTGTTGCATTTCCTCCAATTGACGTCGTCTTTGTTCTCATTGCCATACAATCTTTGCTTAGATGTTTTGGACATCCAGACGCGCATTAAACCTCGCGCAGCCCAACTCCAGCAAGCAGGAGGCGACTTGAATTGGCGGGCATAATTCTGCCCTCGCTGCCTAACCCTTGTCAATTGATTGATGAAAAAGGCGGTGTTTAAACGATTCGGATCTGGGGTCTGATTATCCGCCTGTTCGAACCCTGCATTTCACGACCCGGAACTTCTTCTTGCCTGCGTTTCACTGGTTCAATCGGTTTGTAAGAGCCACCCCCGGCCTTCGAATTCGTTTTCCTCGAAAAAATTTATTCTGGTCCGACTTTGAGACCGCCTGCGGCAACGCACCGCCTCTGCGTCCGTCTCCGCACCGGCAGAAAAGCTCCCGGATCACCTCACACGGCCGGCCATCATGTCACTCGTCTCAGAGTTTGTTCCCCTGCTACCCTCCCCCCCTCTCTGCCCAATGGCTGTTGATTTCTTTTTGCTGACCGGGGCCCTCCTCTTGGCGCAAACAGCCAAGTACGGCGTCTAGATGCCTACTTGGACCGGCTGCCTGTCATCTCAGCTGAGGCATCGTCTGATGAGGGTGGTTATGAGGCTGAGGACCAGAGCTTCTCTATCGCTGATGCATTTGCGGCCCCCCACCTCAATCGTCTTCTGCGAATTGTCCAGTCATTCGGCACAACTGGCACCCAGGATGCTCTGCTATCAACATCCCGGATCAAGGCCCTGCTCACAAAATCAGGGATACCTGAACAGGCTCTCAAGGTCAATGAAGCCAGCGTAAAGAGCCCTTACGAAAATGAAGTAGAGTGGCTTCTAGTCAGCAAGGCCACTGTTCAGCTCTATGGTGTCATTCTCAATACTCTGCTGGACCAGATCATCCCTTTGAGCAATGACATCTGGTATTGGGATGAGATTCTCAGCTCATATTCGTACAGCAGCCTCTACACTGTACAGATATCGCCAGTGAGATTCTGGGCCTGGTCTCAAGATGTATATATCACAGCCCATGCTAGATTTAGCTCTGCGACGACTTCACTGGGCTCAACCTCCGACTTTGTAGATTCGACGCGCTCGCGACTGTCTCGCGAGTGGGGCCAATTCTATACGATTGTCCGCGATAGTATCCGAGAGCGCTCGTTTTCCAATATCCAAAGAAAAGTTCTTTCTCCCGTCGCATTTTCCAGGGCAGAGGCCAGACGCAAACAAGCTCAACTGAAGAAATTGAGGGAAATTACGGCCAGCGGACTTGGTGTGCTAATGGACGAGGGTCTTCAGTTCGAGATCGACGATGATAAGTCTCAGATGATGATACAAGATCATCATGATCTCAAAGGAGTTGTTGAGCGCAGCGTTGCGCTCATGGACATGATCCTTGCGGAGGTCTCTCATTTGGACATTAGCGTCAATGAATTTGAGGATAAAGTCTTCGCCGGTGTCGAGGAAGACCCTGAGCTTTCCGTTCATGTCGAGGAAACGATCACCTCCAACCGACCAACCATTCTTGCCCGCCGCCTTCTCTCCATCATTGACGAGGTCCTTCCACAGCATAAGATTGCGATGAGGAAACTGACAACTGAAAATGGGCGGCCTTCACTCCTTGTGCGATATTGGCTGCCAGGCGTCGTCGGTCTGCTCTCATCAACAACCATCCTGAAGATTCTGGTGAATCGCAAGGCAGAGATTATTACTTGGATCACGGAGCTTGGATCAACAGTGCGGGATTTCTGGCTGAACTGGGTCATCGAGCCGACGCACAAAGTTATTCGGACCATTCGCCACGACGAATCAAGCGAAATCGCCATCATGAGCAGAGATAGCCTCAAGGCAGACCGAGAAAGCTTGGAACGCATGGTGGTTGATTTCGCAATCGATAAGCCTCACTTTGCAGTTGAAAGCTCGTCGCTTTCAGACGTTCAGATTGCCGAGATTCGTTCCAAGGTTGCCGAGGGGGATGTCACACCCGTTCTAAAAGCATATGAGAAGGACCTCCGTAGCCCATTTGTCGGTGCCCTTCGAGGTGATCTTGTCCGCTCGCTCCTGATACAGGTTCAAAAAACCAAGGTGGATCTTGAAGTTGCAATGACCGGCATCGACTCCCTCTTGAAAAGTCAGGAACTGGTGTTCGGCTTCGTCGGTCTGACACCTGGTATTCTCGTCTCCATTGGTCTCTTCCAGTATCTCCGCGGCGTCTTTGGAGGCCGTTCCGGGAGACGACAGGCCAGGAAATCCGGACATGCCGTTCGAGTTCTTCGCAACATTGACCGCATCCTCGCGGAGGCGCGCCCGACTGAGAGCAATGTTCTCTCATACAAAGATCATGGCTTGCTTCTTTGCGAGGTCCACTTACTTAGGAATCTAGCCCGCAGATTGATGCCTCGGGAGATAGAAAGGGAATTTCTTGAGGATCTGGACGATCTAGCAAACATCAAGGGTATCCAAGTTCAACAGAAAGCCCTGGAACGTCTTCGCTGGGCCTACATCAGGTGGCTGAGATAGACAACGGGCAAACCTTGTTGTGGATTTTCATCATAAGCATGTATCGGTTGACGTAGCATATGGAACATGGTCTTTTGTAACATGAGATAAAATAAAGCCCCTGAAGACTCTTCCCTTCTTGTAATTCCCCTTGGTGAACTCTAAGTTCTCTCTTTCCCATCCCCGGCCTGGTCCTAATCGATTCACGGAATTTAAGGACGACCAATCTGAATTGGCAACTAGAAGCAACAAACAAGGCTTTCGCTCGTTTGGCTTGCGCCGAACGCCAAAACCAAACAGACACGGCCGCAAGCCACGGGATTGCCACGAGCCACACAAATTTTCATCGTTCCCAAGGATGACATGCCCACTCCATCATACCTACTTACATATCCTTCTATATTGTCGTCCTCGGCGAGGCTTCTTCTTTCTGCTTTTCTTTCGCGATTGCGTCTCACGTATGAATGGGCTCGTCCGGTTCTCACGACACAGATATCCTTAGCCACGAGCTAGAACAGACAGCGCTTTCGTTGGCTCACGATACAGCTACCGAGCTATCTGGCTGGTAAAGGGGACAGCTGCATGGCGGGATAGCCATTATAGCCCTATCTGTTGAGAGTGATCTCCCGGATCGCCTCGTAGGTCGTTAAGTCGCATGTACGAGTGATCGCAAGAGCCCCAACAGGGGTGATGCCGTGGGATAGAAACCTCTTAAGATCGTCGGTAGGGTCATTCTACCACACACACAAAATCCGTTACTGGTTTGAGTGAATGTCGATGCGCTTAGAAGAATGTCAGCCAGGAACGACACTTTGACTGTACGCAGACTTACTATTTCCAAATAACCCTTAGCCACCAAGTACTTTGAATTCTGTTGTCGCTCGGAAGGCAATGCTGCCCAGAAACGCCATTGGGACACGCGTTTCTTCGGAATCACCCTCCGCCATCAGAGGTTACAACAAGGACCTCGAACTTGAGACCTGAGGTCATAGGCCGATAATTCGACGTAATGTGTGTTAGATGAGGAGTCTGGTGAGAACACACGAGTACTGCACTTACATGCACTAAATCCGCCCAAAGAGAGTCTTCTTGTGTGGGAAGTCGACGAGTATCCGCCTCTAAGTACTCTTTGCACCAAGTACAAAGGCCATTCCTGAGGTTTTCTGACGCAGCTCTTGAATGGTGGGAGATCAATGCAGCACCTCTTAAGACGTTAGGTGGTCAAGACACACTGGCACAAGGGGTCAACGACGCTGGCTATCCAGGTGGTCAACGACGCTGGCTGTCCAAATGGCCAAAGGCACTCTTTGTTAAGCTGGTCAACGATACATCCTGCTGATAGGTGGTCAATGACGCCGGCCGTCCAAAGGGCCAAACGCACGCTTTGTTAGGCTGGTCAACAACACTTCCTGTCGATAGCTGGTCAGACACTCCCTGTGCCGATGGCCTAGGACGTGACACTGCCTACATCTCGGGTGCCTGGAATGCATTATCTCGCCGAACACTGAGCGGTCGATTGACATCCTCAAATCGGTTTTCCCGGAGGCGCTCTCCAACGTAGCTTCATGTTCTTACCCGCTGGTTTTGTCCCAGCGGTGATACGGGAAGAGCGAGTAGATGAACTCCGAGACGAGTTGTTCGCGGGGGCAGAGGTTTGCGTCGAAGCATTGACCATGGTACTTGAGGATCGGCATCGACATTGACATGGACCTGGTTCTCCAACCGGACCTCGTGATCCACGCTCGCCTTCGGCACCTTCAGCACCTTTGTCACCGGGAGCGCCTTGTGTGCCTTTCTTGGGAAAGTAACGATCCCAGGGGTCGAACCAAGTGTTAATAAGGCCAAGAACAGCGACCCAGCCACTCATCGCTGAGCCGATCTCTTTGAACTGGGCCCACGAACCTTGCTCACCAGCAGAGGACGTACCATTTGTGTCGGCCACAACCCACGCCATCATCGTGATCATCATGACCACCACCACCATCATCTGAATCTTAGCCATTGATGAATGTCACACACTCCTCTCGTAATCGTTGTTATTACTGTTTCTGTTTCTGTAGCTGTTGCTTTTGAAGTGGTTGTGATCGTGATTTCTTTTGTGTTTGATTGTGTTTGTAAACAAAGTCCGGAATATCATGCTATCGAAGAACTATACAAGGGCGACTCAACTGCATCTCACATAGGGCAGGAGCTCTCATTCAATTCATACCTAGGGATGGCAATGCGTTGGTCTAGCAGCTACCTACCTAGGCCTTTTTTCAAACGGAAATCTTTGGGTCTCTCTACATTGGTAGGCAGGTACCACATGGCTTAGTGAGTGGAAATCGCCTGTCGAAAGGGAGGGGGGGAAGGCAGGAACGCTCTGACAATTCACCGATTCTGAGGTAATGGCCCCTTAGGTACCTCTGATTTCTTGTTTTACTAAGGAAGGTCCTGCTGACTTGTGAATGAGAGTGCGCCAGTCTAGCAACTACGTAACTGGCTGTTCCCTCCAATACTAGGGTCTCTCTGTATAGAACCTGGCTTATTGCGTGGAAAGAAATCTGTCGAGGGGGAAAGAAGGTAAGGGGTTAGAAAATATCCCCGCTTGAACACGCACTTTGAAAAAAAAAGGTACTGCGGAGGAAGAACGCTATTGCGATGTAAACTCCAGTTCGATGAACAGCAATCTGACGAGGTATGTATGCAATGGCCCTTGGCGTACCGACTAGCTATCAAGAAGGAGGGTTAGCATACTCAAGTATTTTAGAAATCAAATCAAATGACCCGTCGTGAGTGTCCCGTCAACCATCTCCATATCATCGCCATTTGCCACGTTTACCAGCCTTGACTCCCTCCGATGCGAGAGGGTAACCGCTGAGCGTGGCAGGTACGGTTAATCAAAGTACCTACCTCACTGAGAATGAGGCTACGTCTTGTTTTTGCCCAGGAAGGAGCGCATATTGTCCCCTTCTCCACGAAAGTTAACTACGAGGTCTAAGCAACCTGCTCTTGACCAAAATTTCGGGCAATGGAAACAAATATAAACATAGTCGCCCCCCTTCCCCTCGTCTTCCCTTTTTCTTCTCTACACACTCGGTGTCGTACTCCCATTCTGAGCCGTTGGCAGCACACTCCCACTCTGAACCGTTGGCAGCACACTCCCACTCTGAGCTGTTGGCAGCACACTCCACTCTGAGACGTTGGCAGCACACCTCCCACTCTGAGTCGTTAGCAGCATGTCTGTAAGTTCAGAGTCTCATCCATTCTGAAATTGTGTATTGTGTGTGCTAATCGTTTTATCACAAGGCTCCAAACGTGACCGTGTCGGTCACAATCATCTGGGTGGCCGTCCTGGGCCAAGCCGCCCCTGCCCCCGCCGCCGCCGCCGCATGCGTTGCGGCCGTGTAAGTAACAAATCCTTCTAGCAAGGAGGCTGTTCTAACTATCAAGTTTGCTAACATTGATGATAACATTAGTGCCGCCGCCGCGGCCACTTAGCCTGGGCCTGCCCCAACCGGCAGGCCCCGCCCCCGTCCTCCCCCGCCCCCTCCCACCGCCGAGCCGGGCCCCCACTCCCCGGTCCCATGAGGAGGTGTTGTTTGTTTGTTGTTTGTTTTTTGTTGTTTTTTTGGTAGTTTTTGGTAGTTTTTTTTTTTTTGTTGAAAGAATTTCAATTTTTTGTTGATCCTCATACTGAATTACCCATGATGTGTGACCGTAAGACTAAATCACATATTTGGCTTTGCCATTTTATTTCCAGGCCGCGATAACAGTCTGCCCCATATAGCAACCTAACGCCAGCAGTAGTTTTGAAAACGAACATAGCTGCTGATTTTCATGGCGGAACACGATCTAGATTCGTAGCGATCTCTCGTGATACGAGCATATATGCAAGCCAGGCCTCTACGAATTAGCTAAACTACCGGCATCTGCCAAGTTAGCTACATCATGATCACATGCAATCCTAATAGACAGACAAATAGGTCGAGTCCTTACGAGTTGACTGTCGCAACAGCTGGCTGCTGGGCTTGGCATACAGCAATCCTTCATATTGATAGTAGACAGTTTGCAGCTGTCGCTACGGATGATGTCTAGACTGGCTGTACATTTAACCGTTCACCTTAGCAGCAGACAGGGAGGTCTGGTCCATAACGATCACTCGTGTAAACGGTAGACAGCTAGGCAGGCTGCCTACGGACTGACTACATGTAGCTCCACGCACGACGGCTAGGCCCGAGAGAATCTACCCTCGCAGACCACTTGTTCAATCCAGCGCGATCCATGTTTCTACGAGAGGCTTCTATCGCGGATAGCTGCTTCATGTTTATGCGATGTCTATGGCACAGGCTCGTAAGGACAGAGCGGCCGCGGGTTTGCGATGAAGCTGTCAAACTCGTAGCTTCGAATATGCGCGTTTTTAGGATTTTGGCGGTTGGGCTGTCCCGTCTGGAAGGCTCGCGCTGACGGTTGCTATTTGCAGTGGTTTAGGGCAGCGGCTGTTCGGCAATTCCTGATCAGTACTCTTCTCTAAGCGGTCAAATTCATCCATGGAAGGAAACAGTGGCAAAAGGTTTTTCACAGTCTCACCGTCTCACTCGAGGGAGAGGGAAAAGTAACGAGAATAGGGGGGGGAAGGGGGGGCCGCTGCCACACACACAGCTTCCTTCGTTCATCTTCTATCACACCAGCCTAAGCACTTCAGCACACAAAGCTCAAAGCTTTTCAGTTACCAACCCAGTGAGTACCAACAGCCTGTTGAACAGAGCACCTGCACTGACACGTGCGTAGCCCTCGCTGTTTGTCGTGTCATGCCAGACGCAATCTCGGCGCCTTCTCTGCTTGCAAGTGATTCAATTTGGAGCAGTTTGGAGCAGCCAAGCTCTTGCAGGGGCATCGAACTCTCTATCCACGGCCTTTACACTTTGTGCAACGAGTTCTTTGGAAAGTCTCAAAACCTTTTCGAGCACAGGGGGACGAACTTGAGTCTACCTTGGAGTGGCACACTCTACAAACACATGTGGATGGAGAGTGAAGTGATATATAAATTCATGTGGAAGTTTCATACACACTCTCTTTATTTCTTCAAGCCTAAAACTCTCAAAGCATTCTCGAGGGGGACGAGCTTGAGTCTACCTTGGAGTGGCGCACTCCACAAACACATGTGGACGGGAAGGAGGGGGAAGGGATATACAGTTATCGCCCAGCAGTTCCACCCAGCAGCGTCAGAAGCCTTACCTAAGTAAATAGGAGTGACGACGGATGCAACTTTGTGAAAGCTGTCTTCTAGCTGTCTTTATCTACTTTGTCCACCCCACGATTCCTTCTCTCTCGAGTGTGTTTTCACAAGATCACGCATAGCTGGTTATTCTTTCTCTCGCCATGGCCGACCGATTTCCATCGCTTGAAGGCTTCGAGGCTTCGATTCAGGGGGTGGAGTTTGACTGTTTTCTTTTTCTCTTTTATCCCCCCCCCTCTATCCTGGGAGTCATGGGTGCGAGTTCAAAAGTCAGTCGCTAATCCAACCCTTTCCCATCCCAACACTGATCATTATTGCAGACCAGCTTGAAATAGGGGTCGGAAGGCGATAAAGAGCGAAGTCAACTGGTAATGCTAATGGGTTAGAAGAGGAAAATAGCTGAGTCAACTAGAAGGAAACACTTCCAGGGCTTCATGTGACATAGCCACCTTGACATAGTTGTTCAAAAAAGAAAGAATATTTATTCCGAAAGCCTACTGGAACTTTCGTAGCCAAACCTTCGTGGTCACAAAGTTAGCTCACCGCTGCTACTCATTCATCACTCACCTAAAAAACTCTATTGAAAACCATATGAATACCTAATTAGAAGTCCCAGTACCTGCAGACCACAACTTCTCCCAATCCCACATGAGTTTTTTTTTTTTTCAAAAAAGACAAGAGGGAGAAGAAAGAGAAACGCGAGATATTTCTGGCCTTGCGTGAAAGCACAGTCACCAGAGAGAAGCCAGGGTATACGTCGTAACATCTAGTTGTGATGCTGTAGTCTCACGAGGAAGTTGAAAACAATTGATAATAATATTCATAATAATAAATTATCGAGTAGGTATTGGATAGTATTATCTATTGATAGACATAAGGATTAGCTTTCATGACACAATAGTGAGCATCCTTATGTGACTACCACAATAATTCTGTCAAGATCTCTGGTTTTATTATGCTGAAAGTGGTTGCATGGGGGGGCTGACTGAGAACAATGCCTTCGTGGAAGAAGAAGAATTAAGAAAGGAAGAAAAGTTAGATACATAGTAAGAAGCCACAAGATAGGTTTTTGGAACAGTCCGATAAATGTTATCTGGATAGCCTCTCCCTACTAGAGGTGTGATATAATTCTTGGCCATCGCGCATGCTTAATGCTTGAGACAACTCTAAAAGTTGCATCTAAATGCTATGCCCAACAGAGCTCTCGAAGCTAGTTGCCCGAAGTTCGACTGTTTGCTTTAGAGTGGAATTCGATGGTCATGTGAGCCACCTAGACCGGTCGTCGTGATTCAGAAATCCACCAAGAGAAGCATAATGACACCTAATTTGTTAGAGTTGAATTCGGCATCTTGCCGAGAAATTCCACGTCCGGTCAGATCCTGGTGTTGGAGTTTGCGACAAACTCAAAGTGTGATAATTCTCGACAAACACAGAGACCACGATAGCCTCCGCGCGTGGCGCGGCTCATGTGTATTAAGTATGACGGTTGCCACACTTAAAATGAGCTTTCTAGTCTTCTTAGAGATTGCTCGTCCATTTCCTGGCGACTACTTAAAGCATCCTTGCTTCCTGGAGGCCCTGTCTAATAGCTAACCGCACATCTCACACCATTATTCACCAATCCTTCCTCCAGCCTTGATCTCTCTACAAAATGGCCAATTCTATCAGGCGTATTTTCGGTCCCCGGTCTCGTGAAGTGAGATTTACTCAATCTTCCACCCAAACCACACCAGATAATCAAGACCGTGCCGAGTCTCCCACGGAGAGATATGCTCAGTCCTCCACCCAAACTACACCAGATGACCAAGACCCTCCTGCATATGCCACAGCAGTTGAAGTAGGAGATTCCGGATGTGCTACAGTAACAGACGCCGGGGATGGTAAACAACCACCACCGCCTGACAACATGACAGCCGACAATAAAAACCCCCCTGAACTTAGCGAGAATCAAGGTCGCTGCGACTGCTCTCAGCACGACGGCTGCTGTCTCGAACATCACTCGCTGCGGCATCCTTCAGCCTCTACTCTTGCACCAGTCCACTCTTTGATGGCCTACCACCTTTCATTCAAGCACCTGTCCTGCATGCGCCGTAAGCTCGGCGATGAAATGCAAAAGACTAGGTACATCCCTGAACTTTCATGGAACTACGAGGTAAACTCTACCCTTGGTGTTGACTATGAAATGCTGAGTGAGGTATATACCTGTAAGGGTGAGTTTCTACAAAGACAACAGATCCGTCTCAGGTACGGGCGAGGTGACAGTTCACCCGATGGAGAGCAATTCTTCGGCTGTCCACACCAGAGCGTCCGTGTGTCTTCACCAGTCAGAAACGAGCGCTCAAGCTTGGTTGATGTTCAGGTGGACATTTCCCATCATCCACCACGCTGCGCCTCTCATAAGTCGCAAAGGTGGTGCAACCTCGAGGGTCAATATGCACACATAGCAGTGTGTACCATTTGCCATTCCGATGCAGAACTCCAGCTCAGGATGAGTAGTCACTATCTGATCATGACATACACATGCTACAGAAACCTGGGTACAGCTGAGGACTCTAGTGACCCTAAATGGACCGCTCTACTCACTGGCGAGGGTCACAGGAGCCGACCAGATAAGGAGCTTGATTTATACAAACATGTTTACAAGGTAGCTTTTCGTCTTTGCCGGTCGTTGCTAGAACCAGCCCGTTATCAGACACCGAGTGGGATGGTAGACATGTCTATTAGAGATGATTATTAAACCCTCTTGAGACTACCTAGAGCTTCATTGTCCGCGCGTTTAGGTACCTTAGTTATCGTTATATGAAATTCAAGGATTTGATATTGTTTTGTTCTTAATGTCACATTTACAAAGCAAGAATGAAGTGATCTATTATTGAGTCTCTGTACTCCTTTCCGATCCCATGCCTATGTTCTTCAGTAGCCTCTGACAAACCAAGTGCGCCGTTCTCCCCTATACCAATCCGTAAATTTCCTCGCTTTCAAAGCAGTTGCGTGGGCCATTTTATGAAAGAAGCTTTACAACATCAGCCATCCGAGTGACTTGTTCCTTGTTCTTCTTCTTGCCTCCGCTCTCCTGGAACGCCTTACTCACGAGCTGACGTTTCTCCCGCTGAATGTCTAGCACGCGCTCTTCAATGCTGCCTTCCATGACAAGTCGCCAAACTTTGGTCTCGCGTGTCTGTCCCAGGCGATGGACACGATCTACGGCCTGATCTTCGACGGCTGGCGCCCACCCTACAATATGTCAGTACTTACTAGCCCGAAAAAAAGGGATCTCATTAGAGCCCACTCACAGCTATCGCACAATATGACCGTATCTGCCGATACGAGATTGAGACCGACGCTGCAAACTGCAAGGCTTGCTAGCATGATGCGTGTACTATCGACATTGTCCAAGGAATGGATAGCTTTGTCGCGCTTAGCGGGGGTCATACTACCGTCCACCCTTGCATACTTGTACCCGAGGGTGGTCAGCCGTTTCTGAACAATGTTCAGGAAAGACGTCCACTGTGAGAAAACGATGACCTTGGACCCAGGGTTTTTTAGAGTAGCTCGGATAATCTGAACGAGCGATTCCGTCTTTGAACTTTGAGTTTCAATGTCAATGTCGAGGGTCTGCTCGTTACTCTCTTCCGGCGCTGGCTCCAATAGACTTTCTTCATCCAGGGCGTTGCGGCATAGAGGACACTTGTGTTGAAGTCGGATGGCCTTCATAATACAGTCGCGGCAGAAGACGTGTTTGCAGTGCGTGATGACAGGGGTGGCGGGAACCTCGAAACAGATGGCGCACTCTTGCTGGCTCTCCATGTAGAGTTTCAGGGCTGCTTGAAGAAGAGCTCTGTTCTTGTCGTTGAGAACCACAACCTCATCATTATCAAAGAACTTCATGAGGTCTTCGACGCGCTCTTTACATAGGGTCCAATGGTTACAACTACCACCATGATTAGTTAACTTATCAGCACACGACATTGAGCCACTTACACTTGTCTCAGGCGAAGCAGACGTTCAAGGACATTATGAAATTTTGTGTTTTGAGAAGCAGATCTCGACTGAAATTCTGCCAGAGCTCCTCTGGCTTCCGCTCTGGAGAGAGTCAGTAGAGATTCCAGACGATTGGCTCGCGGCTTAGACTTACAGAAGAGCATCGTATCTCCGCTTTTCCTCCGAATGAAACGTGATCCTATGCACAAACTCTTTCTTCTCGGGAAGCTTGATATCAACGAACTTCATATCCTTCTTACGCCTCAGGCAAATATCTTGCATGAGATTTTGAAGAATCATCTCTCCACTTTGGTCGTTTGAGCCAAGTTTTCGGCTGATAACTGTGTTGAAAATCTCCGCCTTCTCGATGCCACCAGTGATACGCAGAAACTTGACCAAAGAATGCAAGTCTTTGACTGAGTTTACGCTATTTTCATCATCAGCCATTATGAGCTATCTGCAATGGATCGTGTGGAAGACTTACATTGGGGTTCCAGTCAAAACCCATCGAGATTTCGCCCTCACATAGCAAGCCGACGTGGCAACCAGGGTCTTGGAGTTTCGTATCGTATGGCCTTCGTCAAGCACGACTCGCCTCCATTCAAAAGTCGGGTCGTACAGGGCCTTGTCTTTTGATAGACGTCCATAGGATGTGATGACCACGTCGTACTTCTCGAAAGTCCGTGGTGTCATCCTCTCTTTGCCATGGTACACTAGTACACTTGGCCATTTATCGGGCAGGACATGTCGACGAATCTGTTGCTCCCAATTACTCATGACACTGACTGGGGCAACAATCAGGGTAGTCCCCGGCCCACCAGTAACAATTAGACTGATGATTTCCAAAGTCTTTCCCAGCCCCATGTCATCCGCTAGAATTCCTCCTGACATCAGATCTGGAGGTGTTTTTGTAACAAACGTTGTCGCCACGTTGTACCAGTACGGACGATTAGCATGCCTTTTCCATAGTTGAACAACATTTTGAGATGCAGCCTCAGGCTGGGAGGGGTTTTCCTTGGCATGTAGCCAGGCAAGAGCCTAATAATTAAGTCCTTAGCTTCCTCTCGTGATCACTGAGCTGGTGTTACATACCTGGCGTTGATAAGGCAAGAGGGTAGCCTTCAGTTGGGATGGCTGGTCGGCCTGCGGCATCGCTGCCAGTTGCTCCTCACTCAGAGCGATAGATTTGATCATATCTCCGGCTTTCCTGAACTCCACATTCTCACTCTTTTGCAAGAGTTGATCCAAGGATATTTCCGAGTCATCTTGCTTCGCAGTTCCATCGTCGAGGCCATAAGTGGTTCCGCCTTTGAGCTCCAAAGTCGCCCGCCGCTGCTCTGCTTCCTTCCTAGAATTCTTAAGCTGTGTGGCTTTGGCGAGCTTCTCGCGCTTGAGCAATCCTTCGATTCGAGAACGCTCCGTTGGATTGCTCGGGCCATAGAAGGAAAGCATAACAGGGCAGTCATAAAACTGCTTTTCTCCCGTCAATTGCGCTTCCACGGTCAAGTCGCCTCGATCCTGTTGAAAGTCAGCGAGCAGACCAACGCACAGGGCACAGTGCTAGCTAAATCTCACAATAAAGGGCGCCAATTTCTGTACAACGTTCCGCGGCAGATGGCCGATTTGTTGGCCGAGTACATTCTCAACCCGTATTGCGTTGGGATCGTGCTTCTCTTGAGTCAGCGGCTTGCGTACCGGGACACTGACTTCAGGCGGCTACTTACCGCGTTGGTTGGCTCTCTCCGGCAGAGCACGACCTCCCCGGCTGACGCAAACCCATTGTAGTATCTGACCCCCACTATCTTTGCGTCTACAGATGAAAGTCAGCCAAACTCATTGACATGGAATGGTAACTTCCACCCACCCAATGTATTGTATAGTTCTCTTGGAGGCCCGTCGTCTTCTTGGGTCAGATCCAATACATCAGGGTCTTGATCAACTTGGGATGATGGGATTGTGGAGGAAAACGACGACGATGGCACCGTGGAATTGAATACAGGGAGATGGAATCCAGAAGCGCTGCTTGTGGGGTATTGCGACTGCGGGGGAAATGAACGAGCCTGCCGCTTCGCCCCGCCTGGGCCTCCATTTTGGTGACCGGGATCATCATCTTGAGTCAGATCGATGACGGCGCGCCGGCGCTTTGGGGGCATGGCTTCTACTTTCTGGGATGGGGCAAGCACGAGTACGAAAAGCGAGGGTCAATGGCAGAACGCCTTGGATATGGAGGAGGCAAACTTTTCAAGGACTTGATCTCAGCTGGCGTGCGGAGTTCAGGAGCTGAAGAGCCTGATCCAATACTGAGACATGGAAAAAGCAAGTCGAGGTTCTGGTGCTCTCTGCGGACGCGATACCGTTGCTCGCGTGGAGGACGCGAAATCAGGTGCTCTAACTGCCTGCTATACCTGCCTATCTCCAGCTGGCTGTACCCACTGAAATGTCACTGCATGGAGGCGGGCATCGATGTTGGAACTCGGACGAACCCTTGCTCCGGATAACTTTAATTGATATCAATGTTGCATGGAACTGTATTTCTCCGTTTGACCATTCACGACTACAAGAGGAAATAAATTTCGAGCTGTAGCAAGAGGCAGGCGGTTAGTTATACGCAGCGATCAAGCTCCTGGTGAGAGCATGCCCCTAGGTTAGTAAGTTAGTGCTCGGCCTGGGCCGTGTGGCACTAGCGACCGTCGGTCAATCACGCAATCGATGGCACGGATGTCGGAATCGTAGGGCAAGGCGGCATAGGTTGAAAGAAAAGGTGATATGCTGGGCCCGCACGACTCCTCTTTTTCCAACGACATCCCACTCCGTGCCTACAGCTATCCGAGAGATCCAACTACAAGGAGACACTTCTTGGTCCATACTGACAATAATAGATTCTGCTATCAAGGTTCCCATTCACTGGGCGCTTCCCACCCAGCTACATGTCGGCATACAACCGCCCTCGAAGCACTATCCCAGCTCCAACAAGCTGTTGGATTCACAAAATCAAGATCAATCCAGGCTGGCAATCGTAACAACGCTATTCGTTACTGGTCGTCGCAAAATCACTTCAAAAGTTGCCCATACGCCGAGTAGTAATTACAACTTGGCACATGGCTCCGTCTCCCCGTCTTCTCGTCGAAAATATTGCACCCTCCTTTAGCCACATTTGGCGGGGTGTACACTGCGACACGTATCTGGTCAATATCTACGGAGATGACAGGATATGTCGGCACAAGCCACTCACAGTGCAATGAGACAGCGAAGTCGCTGCCCTCGTTGATCACCTTGTGCAGGCCGAGCTCATCGGCCATATAGGCTACCTGGTTCTCCTTGTATGTCTTCTGGGAAATCTTTCTCAATGGCCGCTCACCATCCCCATGCTGTGGGCATTCATAGCGAGTCTCTGTCAGGTTGCCCTTGAGGATCTTCATCAGGCAGTGGGCATTGCCATGGTCATGGATCGGACTCCCCTTCCCGGGGGACCATACGAGCACCAGCTATTACAGGCTATGAGCGAGGCATGTCGGGTGTGTGGTTGCCATATTAACATACCAGATTGCTTTTACCGTTGCCCTCGTCGACAAGATTACGAGTGTAGCCCCGACTGCCGTCACCAAAGGCATATCTAGCCCACCTTCCATCAGTCCCGTCATAGTCCTCCATCAGGAGGTGAAGGAAGTCGACGTCAACATCGTCAGATGTCAACCCTGATGAAGGACCCAAGGCCTTCTTCAACGCCAACACCAGTCTGTCAAATCGGTCGGTCGGGATATTACCCAGCGGCGCCCTCGCATCGAACGGAGTGCCAACGTACGGCATGTGGCTGGAGGCGATGTTGACTGCCATTGTATGGATTGGATGTTGTTATTCAATTTGTTACGCCTTGCTATGATCGATCTCTGAGCAGCGGGATAGCATGCGGAAGAAGACACTGTTGCAGAACGGCTCAGCTGGGCGGCCACGCTTACCGACTATCTTGGGCGGGGTCTTTGTTTTCGCTGGCGACAACCAACTACGACGATCAGCTGATACGAGGTGAAGATAAGACCGCCGGTGCCCGGAATAGGTTCAGCAAATTGTCACACGTCGCATTTGAGGGGCAGCCATGGATATCGGTTTGTCAAGGAACGCTCTGGTTGGGTGAACCATGCTGCTACGCTAAAATCGTAGGTGCTGTGCATATCAAGATACGGAAGCCTAAGCAGGAAAGGGGAAGGGGAACTTTGTGCACAGTGCTGTGCAACACCGCATCGCCATCCCCTCTCAACCGCAAGAGCTGGATTTTCGACCTTCTCTTCACTTTGGGGACAAAAAGTGCGTGTCCACAACATTTTCCCAGTCCAGGAGGCCTAAAGGGGCAATATACGACCTCTCGACGTTTTCAAAAGCTCGAGTACACAGTACTTCGAGACAGCGAAATGCTGGTGGGGCCGAGGGGCCTTGTGGCTGGCTGAGAGGGCTCTGGCGGCAAGTGACTTTTGGGGAACTCGCAGAACCGAGCCCCTTTTGCTGGCACACTCGGTCTGCGCAAGCCGGGTGCTGAAGCAGGAGGTTTATGCACGATGCAAAGGTAGGGGCTCCAAAGCGCATCCACAGCCAGTATTTTTTTGCACATCTGGACGTAGTAGTGTCATACCGGGTGAGGTAAGTTTCATTTTAGCCCGCGGCGCCATCGAGCACCCGGCGGCTGGGATATGCGGCAATCGGACTCGGTGCTCCACTACCCAGATTATCTAAGGCGCCGGTCCTCGCTCTCGTCAGTGGCTCATGGCTTCTGTGCTAGCGAGCCTCGTAGACGGTCCAGTTCCCGTGTGTCAGTGTGGCGACCAGCCAGACACCATGTAAGGATAAATCTGGAGAACAGGTATTTTAAATTTTGATTTTCAATCGGCGAATGGACTGTTCTTTCGTTCGTTTTCCAGCAATCCATAGACACCGCGACGAATAAAACTCTGCATTCCACGATCAAGGCCTGCCTGACTAAGTTCTGACAATCGAATCTACACGCTGCTACCACCTGCCTCCCAAAGACCTCTCCGTTGTGTATCAATCGGGCCATGCCGTCCCAGGCCTCAACAGCCACAACATCTTCCGGCAACGGGACCGACCCGGCTCAACAGCCATGCTCTCGCACAAACCAGACCGGGGGGGCATGCAAGGAGAATGTTGGCTGGCGAAGAATCGTTCGAAATTTCACGCCATCGTGAGTGTAAACCGGACAAAAATACAACCCAATACTGTCACCTCAATGGCTAACCAGAGATATCTCTCTTGTCTTCAAAAGATGGTTCGCCGTCAACATGGGTACTGGCATCGTCAGTATTCTCCTATACCGGTTGCCATATAATGGTGAATGGCTCCAGTACATATCATACATCTTCTTTTGCGCCAATGTCGTCTTGTTTGCTTTGTTTACAGCCGTGTCCGTGCTGCGGTATACTTTATATCCAGAGATTTGGTTTGCCATGATTGCTCATCCAGGCCAATCTTTATTTCTCGGTTGTTTCCCCATGGCTTTTGCCAGTACGTTCTTCTTTCCCAACACGTCTGCCGATATGTCATCGCTTACAAAATTCTTAGCGATTATCAACATGATGGTCTTTGTTGGCAAGTCGTGGGGCAATGGTTTCATTTACCTGACATGGGCGTTTTGGTGGGTAGATGCCGTGGTCTCCATGGCCACCTGCATCAGCATGCCCTTCATCGTCATGAAACGGCACCGCCCTGACCTCCAGAACATCACAGCTGCCCTTTTACTCCCCATAGTACCGACAGTCGTCGCGGCAGCCTCTGCAGGTATTGTCGCCGAGGTCCTCCCGGACGTCAAGCATGCTCTGACGACTCTGGTGGCCGGGTACGTCCTATGGGGCATAGGCATCGCGTTCTCCGGGTGTGTGCTCGCCCTCTATCTCCAGAGACTGATGATCCACTCTTTGCCGGCCCGGGAGGTCATCGTCTCCGTCTTCCTGCCGATTGGGCCCCTCGGACAAGGCGGGTTCGGCATACAGCAACTTGGCAAGGTTGCTCTCAAGGTGATACCTGAAGCGAATGCGTTTCCTGCTCTCGGGGCCGACGTTTCAAGAGCCGGCGAGATCCTCTATGTACTGGGGATCTTCAATGGACTTGTGATGTGGGGTTTCGCCCTTGTCTGGCTGGCCTTTGCCCTGATCAGCATCATCACGACGCAGAGCTTTCCCTTTAACATGGGCTGGTGGGGTTTTACTTTCCCCCTGGGTGTCCTGGCTACGTGCACGTCGCTTCTTGCTGAGAATCTGCAGAGCCAATTCTTCCAGGTTGCGACAATGGTGAGTCAAATAACCTAGCTTACTCAGCTGGTCGTTTCTGGCTAACGACGGTTAGATTCTGTCCCTTTCGGTTGTCCTGCTCTGGGCCGTTGTGGCTGTTAGAACGATGCTTCAGGTCATCACTGGGGAGATGTTCTTCGCGCCTTGTCTTGGGGATATACGTCCGAAGGAACAGGCTGGTGGTGAAGACAGGAGAGTATAGTGTACTGGGTGCTGCGATTCCCTCCTGGATCCTTCTCTGTTAATAACCCGTTGCGAGCATGCAGTTATGGTGCTTATTGCTGTTCGTCATATCCTTTCCAAAGACATATGAAGTTGTCCCTAAGGGTGAGATTCTAGAAATATGGCATCAAGGACAATTTCTTAGAAATTAGAAAATTCCATAAGTATCCAGTGTGTTTATGAGACAGCGGTTGTTGGGTCAAATGACCAAAAGGCTCGCCAACTATAATGCAATCTGCTACACAATTTGAACGTAATAACACAATTACTGGAAATAGTGTTTACTACTATCAGGGAGTATCACCCAACCCTTGTCCAGACTGTCCTGAGGAGGGTGAGAACTTGACATCGTTGTAAAGTGTTATGCGTACGCAAATAAGCGAGGCTCAATTTCGTTATCCAGAATATTGCATCTTTACCAGGTGTACGAGTGATTTGGGCAAGTGTTAATAATAAATCGTCGGATTTTGAACGGAACAGCGATGCAGTACCCTTTTTACAATTAAAATACATATCATTTTGCAGGTAATGATGAACGAGGCAGGACCTCGTGTAAGTGGGTGGGTATAGGGTAGATCAGCGAAACGTACGAATAGGATATTCGCCATTAGTGTTAGTGATGGGCTTGTAATTGCGTATGCGGGAGTCATCTAGATTGCCCCGCATTTTTTTCTTCCACGGAGGGGCAATTTTGCAGCAACGAAATCCGTTCATACAACGGGGCACATAATCGGTGGTGCTTGTGCAAGGATCGATTGTTGCCGGCCATGGATCATGCGAACAGTGTTCTCAGCCTTGGGCTGCCGGACTCTACGGATGGTAAGTATTCGATAGCCCTGGCGATTCCGACAGCATACTGATATTTGAATAGGGTGGATAGATATATGGCACAATCATCGTGGGCCAATTATCCTCGCGACCACCACGGTGCTCCTCGCATTTCGATACTACGTACACCGGAACGAAGAAAGAGAGGGGCTACTGGTGCTTAACAAAAAATTCGACGAGAAAGAGAAGCCAGTGATTGAGGACGATACCCCAAACCCCATTGTGGACGAGAAGCAGAATATCAAAACCGCTGCCGGCCCACGTCGTATCAAGGGAGGCTTGGCCAAGAGCCCTTCGTCGCAGAACCAAGAAAAACGCCGTGGGAATGGACCAGTGAAAATCTATGTCTTTTTCTCATCGATCACTACGAAGACCCAGAAGGTTGCAGAGGGCTACGTCGAAAAGTTGGCTGCTAGGATTGATCAGTTTAGCGAGGAATCTGGTCGCCAGTTCCTGCGCCCCGAACTTAAGGATCTGACCGAAATTGATTTCGAGGACTACTTTGTGACGGTTCCAAAGGTTGATGAGGATGCCGACGTTTTCTACCTTTTCCTGATTCCCAGCTACAATATTGACACAATCAACGACACCTTCTTACAGCACCTTGAGGAGACGCATCATGATTTCCGAATTGACACTGCATCCCTCTCTTCACTGATGGGATACTCGGTTTTTGGATTCGGTGACACCGAGGGATGGCCCAACGAAGCCGAGGGTTTCTGTTTCCAGGCAAAAGAAATTGACAAATGGATGGCCAAGCTCACAGCACGGAAGAGAGCTTACCCGGTCGGGATGGGTGATCTGAAGGGCGACCATGCTGCGAGATTCGCCGAGTGGGCTGCTGGAGTTCAAGACGTCATCACCTCTGCTGCGCGCACTGGTAGTTTGGGTGAGGGCGTACCCGGAAGCGGAGAGCCTGTAGAGAGCGATCCGGAAGATGTGGAAGACGAGGAGTACGATGATGGAGAAGTGATTCTCGGTGATGAAACCAATAACACAAAATCTAATGGATCAAGGGACCTGGACGACATGGAAGACCTCGGGAAGATGATTCAACCTTCGGACAGCGCCAAGGCATCGAAGAAAACTAAAGCCCCTCTTGCAGTTGACTTCACAACATATAGCGGTTCGTCGAAGAAGAAGGGACCGACGGCGGCGCCGAAGGAAATGGTGGCCAAGAACTCACCAACATATGCCGCTCTTACCAAGCAAGGATATGCAATTGTAGGCTCACACTCTGGCGTCAAGATCTGCCGATGGACAAAGTCAGCCCTGCGAGGACGTGGAAGCTGTTACAAGTATTCGCTGTATGGAATCAACTCCCACCAATGCATGGAGACTACGCCCTCACTTTCATGCTCTAACAAGTGTGTCTTCTGCTGGAGACATGGCACAAACCCTGTTGGCACAACCTGGAGATGGGTCGTGGACCCCCCGGACTTGATTTTCGAGGGTGTAAAAAAGAATCACTATCACAAGATCAAGATGATGCGAGGAATGCCTGGTGTTCGAGCAGAGCGCTACAGCGAAGCACTTCGAATCCGCCACTGTGCGCTGTCCTTGGTGGGCGAACCTATCTTCTACCCTTATATCAATGAGTTCCTTGCTATGCTCCATGGCGAGAGAATTTCGTCGTTTTTGGTCTGTAATGCTCAGCACCCAGATCAACTCGCAGACTTGAAGGCCGTCACCCAGCTTTACGTATCGATTGATGCGTCAAACAAGGAGTCTTTGCGGAAGATCGACAGACCCCTCCACAGAGACTACTGGGAGAGATTCCAAAGATGTCTTGACATTCTGAGGGAGAAACGGTTCCGCCACCGCACCGTATACCGTCTCACCCTAGTGAAGGGATTCAATGTGGAGGATGAAGCAGAAGGCTATGCTCAGCTCATCGAGCGTGGCCTCCCCTGCTTCGTCGAAGTCAAGGGAGTTACTTATTGCGGTACCTCTACGTCATCAAATGCAGGTCTCACCATGTCCAACGTCCCGTACTACTGGGAAGTTTGTGACTTCGTCAGGGCTCTCGAGAAGAAACTCAAAGAGAAGGGCCTGAACTACGGCATTGCGGCCGAGCACGCCCACAGCTGCTGCATTCTTCTAGCGAGCGACCGATTCTACGTCGATGGGAAATGGCACACCCATATTGACTATGACAAGTTCTTCGAGCTGTTGGAGGAGAGAGGCGCAGATGGTGACTGGACCCCTGAAGACTACATGGGGCCGCCAACACCGGAGTGGGCACTCTGGGGCAACGGAGGTTTTGACCCTCGGGACGACAGGGTGGACAGGAAGGGCAGAAAGATCGAACCTGTCGTTGTTCGTGACCGTCCAGCAGATGCCGAAAGTTGGTAGAATATAGAAACAAATGTCACATGGCACCAGATTGAAAGGAAGCCACCTCCCTGAACTATTTTTGATCATGAACGAGTAAGAATAGACAAGCTCCCCAGTAAGGTATCAGTAGTAGTCACACACCCAGTTGCTCGATTTGTGTAGCGAGGGCATATATTCTAAAAAGTAAGATTAAACAGATTCATGTATTACGGAGTCACTGCCAGCAGTTGCCATTTCCCGAGAACCCCAGCAGGCTCATTCAAACGTAATATTTGTTTACACAAGGCTCCATAAAAGCTGGTATGATACACGGAGGTTGGTAGTGGCCTCTATTGACGATCCCAGTCCTAGTCACGGTGGGATCAATTTTGGTTTGTGAGTGGTATTCCATTGATTGTTGATACGGCAGCTAATCGAGGCCGACGTTGGGAATATCGGCCAGGTTGATGCCACCGGGACGTGGGCGAATGTCCAGAGAAGAATCATAGGCAATCATCTCGGCGAGGATATCTAAGATGGGCTGAGGAAAATGTGAGCATCGCATTGCATCATCTGAAATGAGACTGGTCTCTTGCTTACTTTGGGCACGGTGCTGTCGTAGATCTTGATGAGATCACCGGGGGCGGGATAGACCTTGAGACCCTTGTAGAAGGCAAGGGCAGACTCGACCTTCTTGGAAGCTGTACAACCAATCCTCGTTAGCTGCCGGTTGCGTCAACACCTGAGTGAAGAAAAACATACGATCTTGGCTGAGCATCTCGCCGGTCATGACCTGCTCATTGAAGTAGGCCTCGCGCTCCTCAACGCCTGTAGGGAAGCCCTCGTACACTGCCTCATCAACCAGGAGCTTGACAGCCTCTCGTTGTCGCTTGGTTGATGCCTCGGCCTCCTCCTTCTCTGCGCGTGCCTGTTTACGTTCGTTTCTCCTTAGGTTGCGGCGAAACTCGGGGTTCTTCCGTCGCTGGAAATCAAAGTAGGCAACATAAACTGCAGGATCTGTGTTAGCCAATGCGCCCTCGTCCCGGGCTCGGATCGATTGGGTGTTGTGCGACATACCAATGATGCCGGTGGCAGCAGTTGCGATAGATGCCGTCACTATCGTCGATGTCGAGACCATTTTGGCAGTATAGATGGGACGCAGAAATTAAAATCCAGGTAAGATGCCAAGAGCACAGAGCAAGTATGCAAATATACGATGGCTCAGAGACCGACAATGCCGTTTGTTTGGCCCAAGGTTAAATGGTAAGTAGGGAGAACTTAGCCCAGCTGATCGTGCTATCGATTTTTTTGGATGGACGATGGCGAGTCCGGTACTTACTCTGAGCTACGGGCTGATCTCTGCTGGGGCTGGTCGGAATATTGATGTGGCGGCGCCAACGCGAGCTCGCAGAGGGTACAAAGTGACCTGCGTGGCTGGCTGCCTACCCTGCATCGGAAAATCGTCGGGCGCTCGCACAGCCGAGCCCATCTGCGACAGAGAGCTTGAGACGTCGCAGGTAATACCAGGGAGGAAGGTAGGAGGTAGCTCTCCACGTAGCCCCAGTACGAGACACTGTCATCAACGAACTGCGAATCGTCCAGGCGCCTCAAAATGTCTGAAGAGCGCAGCAATCTGCTCTCTCTCCGCAGCGGCAAGAGGAGGAAGAGTGTCCGCCCCGTCATCAGCGCCCCGAAGCAGATATCCAGTCCAATTGTACACGACGATGTAGGCAGCGGCGCTCCTATTCCTCCGCTCCCTGAGTCTCGAGCTGGAGCAGGCAATGGCCCTCGCCCGCGCCCTCGACCTCCGCCTGCACCGGGAGGAAAGGTTAGTTTTCCAGCCCGAGATGCTTTGCATCGCAAGTCTTCTGGTCAACGTTGGCTGACCGAGCCGAACCTCATTAGACATCCGAGATGGTGAAGCGACGATATTCGTCACGCTTCGGCCAAGAATACGATGCCTCCGGTCTACCCCCTGCAGTCCCGGCTATGCCATCTCTCGACAAATTCGATCAGCATCATCACCACCCGGGCAATCGACCAGCTGGGGGGGCGCCAGTCGTAGATGTGAAGGCCATCCGAGACCCCAACCTCGTCCCTGACCAGTATGTTACCAGTGTGCTTTCCGAGGCGACCGACGAACAGATTCTTGAGTACGAGAACGGGCTTCACAAGCTCAAAATTCGGGCGAGGACGGATCTTCAGCAGAATCTCCTCCAGAACCGAACGCAGTTCATTAAGATCAGCAAGGAGGCCGAGAAGCTCAAGAATGAGATGCATGCACTTCAAAATTTGATGGCTGAGCTGAAGACTAATACCCGGGCTTTGCGAGTAACTTCGAATCAGGGTGATGAGTCGTCAGACCTTCCTGGCGGAGTCCCGTCGGGCTTGAGCAAGAGGGACAAGCGTAGCTCTGTTGCCGATAGAAGCGCATTATGGAACTCGCAGATGCAAGCCTTGTTCAAGAGTGTGGAGGGTTCCCAGAAATTCCTGCCCAACGTTACCGGTCGTCATATTGTGCAGAACGCCGGACCATGGGTTGAGTTGGACAACGCGACATACAAGTCACGGAGAGCAATGCAGATTTTTCTTCTCAACGACCATCTATTGATTGCTTCCCGAAAGAAGCGAAAGGTTGATGTATCGCACGGCGATACTAGAAACGCTGTGACCAAACTGGTGGCTGATCGCTGCTGGGCGCTCTTGGATATAGAAGTCGTGGACATGGCTGGCACTGGGGAGTCACATGGTGGGCGAAACAAGCTGGCTGATGCCATCATGGTCAGAGGTGGCGGTCAAGAATCATTCATTTATCGCACCGAAAAGCCGGAAGACCCGGAAAAGAAGTCTTTCCTGCTGAACGTGCGCAAGGCTGTCGAGGAGCTTCGTAAAGGCCTTCAGTCAGAGATGGAGGCAAGCAACAGAGCACGGGAGACAATTAACTACTTCGCATCTAGGGACCCTGGCCTTCTCCAGAAAACAGAGCTGTTAGCGACGTTGTCTGACATTAAAGACATGCTGATTGAAGTGGATGGGAAACAACAAAATCTACGATGGGTCGAGAGCCAGATGGATGAACTAGATATTGATATTGCTCTCCAGAGATTTGAATCGGCCGTCTCAACATTTGAAAAGCTCAAGGGGCTTGCGCGTGGGCTGAAGAACAACCTGGTCGCCCAAGACTTTATCAATTTCAAGGTGGAAGAGAGATGTGGCAAGCTTGCTGCCGTGATACTCCGCGAACTGGGTGCAGAACACAATGACCAGTCGAAAACCAAACGCAATGTTAGCTGGCTGACAAGGCTTGGCTTCGAGGACCGGGCTCGTGAAGTGTATCTGGCCGCCAGAAGCGAGATGATACACAAGAGGTCCAGGTAAGAACCCCCTTTTCCAGATTTATCTGAAGAGGTAGAAATGCGTACTGACTTTGGGCAACAGACAGTGTATCTTTCAAGGAGACTTGCATCTTTACATTTGGCAAGTCTCGTTTGTGTACTTCATGATTATCCATAACACGGTCAAGTGCTTCCAAGGTTGCTTCCCACCACCCATGATGAGCACTTGCGTTAAGTGGGGCAAGGAGCAAGTAGAGGCTTTCAATATGATTCTGGCGAGACAGCTTAGCAGCACAAAACGAGGTGGGGAGATATGGACACAGTGTATGGAGCGAGCAAAGGAGCACGCGGGGATATTGGGTGAGGTTGGCCTTGATTTTGTGAATTTGGTAGGGCGGGATCTAGAGGGGCCCTCGACTCGTCCGGGCGAGAATGCTGGTCTTGGGTTAGTTTCTTGATATGGGTACACCACCGCGAAGAATGAATAGTAGTAGCCTGGGATACTTTATTTTGCAACTGGTTTGGAAACTACGAGATACGAAAACTTCCGAATTCTGAACGAGTGGTAGAACTGATAGCTGGAAGGCGCTTGGCCCGGCTCCCTTCTGTTGGGCTGGTTGCTTAACCTGGAGCATGTGAGCTTGTGGCGTGATTGTGGGCTCTTCTGGAACTCGCAACGGACTTCTAGTTGATGTTTGCCGCGTCGTATGTCCTTTTTCGATAGTGCGTCCATTGAACTGCTCGTCCAGCTCAATGATGCGTTGTCGCCACCAGCCGGCCATTGGCTCAGCATCACATCAGCATTCAAGCAGGCAGACTCCAGCCCATCCAACTTGAGCTGTCTGACTATTTCGGCCCACCAACTCTTGGGGCACCATTAGTGGGGCCTACGTGTTCCAGCCCACTCCCCAGTTGGGGGGGCACCTGCCTTTCCATACCTCTACGCCCCTACCTAATCAAATATGGTGGAATCCATCAGGTATCTGCTAGTCATTGCTGCTCACCTCCTCCTCCCCCCCATCAGCTCTCTCTCCAAACAAAACTTCGAACGAAACCCATCAATTAATTACCTGCACGCCGACCGTCCACCACACAGGCCACTTTGCGTGCTCTGATCCTGTTTTCCCTTGTTCCTCATTTTTGCTCCCATCCAGCTCAGCGCGCCTTTTGTCCTCCGCCCTGAGTATTAAGCCCCACCGCCCGCGAGACCTCACCTAATTCGAGGTTGCACCCTATTTCCTCGCAGCAACGTCATTCCCCCACGCACGCCGCTGCACGCGATAGTCTCCCATACGCGAACGACAAAATACAGATTGATATATCATGGATACCAACATGGAAGACGTTGGGAGAGCCCCCACCGACCTCTCCCCGGTACAGGCAGAGCCTGCGCCCATCCCTACTGTCGATGGCTGGATCGAGAGCCTAATGAACTGCAAGCAACTTGCTGAGGTCGACGTCCAGAGACTCTGCGAAAAGGTGAGGAAATGAATGAGCTCGGAAGCCACAGAATCAAATGCTCGTCAAACGCCCTGCCTCACCTGGGCCTCGTCGTCGCTTGAGGAAAACATCCCACCAAGACACCCCACCAATATTTTCTCTCGTCTCGCGTGACCGGCACGCTTCCCCAGTTGACAGCTTGCTGACATCTTAATTTCTACCAGGCAAGAGAAGTTCTACAGGAGGAATCCAATGTACAGCCTGTAGTATGTATTTGATGATAGCTCCGCTCGTCAGATAATGGGCTAACCATATTGTGCAGAAATGCCCCGTCACTGTTTGTGGTGATATTCATGGGCAATTCCATGATCTCATGGAGCTGTTCAAGATCGGCGGCCCCAATCCCGACACAAACTACCTTTTTATGGGTAAGCAGTGTTCATGCCATTCCTGCTTGGGTGCTTTTCTCTAAATGATCATTTAGGTGACTACGTTGACCGAGGTTACTACTCCGTCGAGACAGTTACTCTTCTCGTCGCGCTCAAGATCCGATACCCCCAGCGCATTACCATTCTTCGAGGAAACCACGAATCCCGCCAGATCACACAAGTGTATGGATTTTACGATGAGTGCCTGCGCAAATACGGCAATGCCAACGTCTGGAAGTATTTCACCGATCTTTTCGATTACCTTCCCCTGACCGCTTTGATCGAAAACCAGATCTTCTGCCTCCACGGCGGTCTGTCTCCCAGCATTGATACTCTTGATAACATCAGGTCATTGGACCGTATTCAAGAAGTGCCCCATGAGGGTCCCATGTGCGACCTCCTATGGTCCGATCCCGATGACCGCTGTGGCTGGGGGATATCACCCCGTGGCGCCGGTTATACTTTCGGCCAGGATATCTCAGAGGCTTTCAATCACAACAACGGGCTGACTCTGATTGCCCGTGCCCACCAGCTCGTCATGGAGGGTTACAACTGGTCTCAAGACCGTAACGTGGTGACAATCTTCTCTGGTAAGCAACAACAACCCTTCCCCTGCTGTTATGAAGAGTCGTATTTGGCTGACATTTCCGTAGCGCCAAACTACTGCTATCGATGCGGCAACCAAGCAGCCATTATGGAAATTGACGAGCATCTCAAATACACATTGTGAGCAGCACACACGGTTCAAATGATTCGGAATTGGCACTAACACGTCTTAGCTTGCAATTTGACCCCTGTCCCAGAGCTGGCGAGCCCATGGTTTCAAGGCGTAAGCCTCCCTTCCTTTCCCGTCATGGGTGTATAAATATACTAACTCCTGTGTAGGGACACCTGATTACTTCCTGTAAACTTGCTTGGTCTACTATGGGTGGAAAAGTTCATACTGCATCCTCTTTGCCATGTAATGAGTTTCAATCAGACGGGACAGCACGAGCTGGAAAGGTTTCATCATATATTACTCCTAACATGAATTTTGGGAGCGTTATAATGGCCATTGCAAGTAGGGTCTTTGGTGGAATGGCGGCTAGACACAGCATGAAAGCTAGAAATTCCTTTATCAACCTAGTACTGGGCCACCATCGGTCACACATGCGTTGCAGACTGGCAATCCGAGATGAACAAGATATCTTTCCTTGTCAGTGTTGTGCTTCGATGACATGGTTGTCATTAATCTCGATGATTTCTTTGGTGTTTGCTCACGTCCCCAAAAGTGATATTGACTCTCGACGTGGAGAGATTATCTTGTATTATTAGGAGATGTGGACCTATCTATACCTAGATCTAATAAATACCTAAACCATTTCAGCAGTGGTGATGTGATTGAACTCCTGAGACTCCAGCCAAAACCCCCTTTATCACATAGATGAAATTATCCTAATCTAAATTATTAATATTTTGATCACATTTGTCTATAAGTTATATCGTGGCTCAAAAGAAACAATTTATTTGGTCCTCTGTGCCTCCTCATCGAGAATTGGCTCTTCATTGGCGCTCTTCTCGATGGTGGCGTCGTCCGTGTCATTGGGCACACCGTTTGAGTAGTGCCAAGGAGCACTGCTGCCGTTCGGAATGTGGAATCGCTTGTCCATTCGCATCAAGGCATAAGTGTAGACAACAATCAGCTCAATGACATAGCTGAAGCAGTAGAAGACGGCCTTGTGGTTGAACCAGCCGGGGTCGGTGATTGGCCGCACGGGGAGGAATGCAACGCCGGCACGGAGCGAGGCGCCGAGGGCCAGGAGAGTGGCGGTGAAGAGGACGAGGATGATCTTGGTGTTCATGGAGCCGTGGCCGAAGTGGTCGGCGGGATGGAGGCGGGGGAACAGCAGGCAGAGGAGGATACCTGGGATGGGGATGAAGGAGAGGACGGCGATGTAGACACTGGCCACGAGGCGGACGTCGCGGATCTTGCTGAGGACCGAGGCGTCGAGGGTGTAGAAGCTGTAGACGACGGCGGTGATGACCATGACGAGGCAGGCGAAGACGCCAAAGTAGAGGAAGCGGAAGGCGAGGCGTACCGGCTGGCGCCAGCCGAAATTTGGGTGCAGGGCGCGGAGGATGCGCTGGAAGAAGATGATGTTGACGATGTAGAGGAGGAGGACGCCCGCGTTGGCGAAGACGCTCGCGGCGATGGCGAGCCGGGTGTTGGTGGGGTAGCAGGCCCAGACGATGCGCAGAACGTTGGCCATGATGCGGGCCATGCAGAAGCCGAAGGTGACGGCGGAGATGATGAACTTGTGATTGCGGCGGCGGTTGATTTGGAAGATGGTCATGTTCAGCGCAGCGGCGCAAGCGAAGAGGAGGATGAAGACTGCTGAGATTGGGATGTCAACCCCCTTTGTTGGTGAGCCTCCCATACTCGCACCCCGTGGAGGATATGGGGGTGACTGGCGATGAGTGGCGTGTTAGTATACATGAAGCTGGGCTGAGGGTGAGGATGGTTTGGAGAAGGTGAACTTACCGATGGAACTGCCGTAGGCGTTGAAGACGACATGACTGCCGACTGCTATATGAAGCTGATACAAGATGTATTAGATGAATGCGAATGTCAACACTGATGCACGATGAGATGAGTGCCGACGAGGAGTGTGGTGAGCTTGAGGCGGTTGAAGCTTGTTGTATTGATACAGAGCAATCTAAATTAATCTACCGCAAGGGACCCTCTTGTATATATATTCTGCCCGAAATCTGGAAATTTGAATCTTTCAATATTGATCGGGCCCTAGAAAACGCCGGCAACAGACTCGGGTGTTGTTAGCATGAATCGATTATGAAAGATCGTGAGTGGGGGGTCGGATGATCGGAGGTTAAAGTTGAGGGCGAGCGCCGATGGTGGATTTCCGGCACTCGTAAACGGAGCTAGAGCTCTGAAAGACAAGCTATTGCTTGCTTCTCTTTCCAAATCTACGACCTGCAATTGGCTATCCAGAGTCTAAGATTCTAGTTGACAATCGGATAAATACACCTCGTGCCCATTTTCCCACTTAGTTCATGTTGGAAACCTCAGGCTTTCCCTCTCGTCTTCGCGCGACTTGAAGATGTGGTCGCCAGGCGTGCCGACTTAAGCGGCATGCACACCTCTCGTACTTCGTTTACACAAACCCGCGGGCGTCTTGACGCTTCTCCGGCTGATCTCACGCACTGGGGATTGTGGGAATTAAATCCGTGAGGCAGAAAACAAAACTCCGTTCGCTGGTTATCAATCGCATCAATCGGCCTTTTCTAACAACTCTAGTACGGATGAGGAAATGAGCACGAGCTTGGGTATTCACCGGTGCCATGACCCGTTCATTTGGCTCGCGCAGAAAACACCGACACTGACTAATCGAACAGGTGTGCCAGCTGGTAGCCGCCTTGCCGCCCTACGGGAGCTCTCTCAAGGTCGGAGCGCGAGAGACATTTGGGCCGTCCTGCATTGTTAGTCAGCCTAATTTATCGGAACGCGTCACGAATCTCAACCAGAGAGGCGTTTTGGACCGCCACATGTTTGATTTTGGCTCGACAAAAACCCACCCGACTCGGACATTTAGGAGAATCAAAATCAAGATCGCCATCAATGACGAGAGGAGCGTGCGCGACTATTCGCGTTTCTTGTGGCTGGCGGTAGGGATGGATTCTCCCCAACCATCTGGCACAATGATCGCGATTGGCTCCATCACCTATAGCATCGCTCATATTTCTTCCCACGCACATGTCCTCACCGAATCTGGATACATCACAACGAGACCTAGCTTCCAGTCGTGGTTGGTGGACGGCCATCTGCCGAGGGCAGCCAGGTAAATATTATTGCGCCATGCAGAGCCAGCTGACAGATCATTGGGTGTTTACTCGCAGCTCTTGCATTAGCTACTCCTGGTCTAATTGAGATGGCACAGACCTCTCCCTACAGACATATGTTTGCTTTTGTGGCCTCGCCTCAATCTATTATGCAATCAATGTCCAACGCCAGCGCCCAGCCATCGATACGAAGGGGTGGAATCAACCAGCTGGCTGGCCAAGCAAGATATAATCCCTTCCCAGCCTGCGGTATCATAATAGGCCTCGTACGTGGTGAGACGATAGCGCCCGGTACTAATACTGGTTTCAGTAAGCCAGGCTCTGAACTGTTCAAGCTTCTAGTGGTCTGACGCCCTTAATTGCTGGGTCCCCTTCCTTTGGAGAGTGGCCCTGGTCGTCTTTGGTAGGATCCCTGTTCCCCAAGATTGCGCTCTCCCGTTCAAGACACGCTTGACCCACAACGTGGCCGCAACTAGAGCCAAGATTGGCATCTGAGTGGACGCTCCCATGGCGACGCACCTCGTCCTGGTCGCTTCTGGCCCAAGGATGCACTCGAGGAAAGAAAACCAAAAAAGCTAAGCCCGGGCCTGTGGCTTTTTTTGCGTGCATTTCGTTCCCTTGGCCACCAGCTGTCCTGTGCGTCAGGAACTCTCCAGGTTCCGTGGTGGGCCGTATCCGCACATATACACGACCCTACCATATGTGCGGTGATGATCGGATCCAAGAACTGTCGCAGGGAAGCTGTGTCTGGAAGAAAGCACACAAAGCTCACAGTCCGACACATGGCTGGAACACGGCTCTAGAGTTTGCGTCGTCCAGTGTGTACTTGCATGCGCCCTGGAAGGGGCTGTGTGCATGTCTCTGTCAGAATTTCTATCACTTGGTGGCCCCTTGCCTTGTCGCATTCTGAGTCTTGTCCTTGCTGCTCAGATCCTTCTCACCAATCAAGCCTTTTAGCCTCTCCTTACCTGCGTGTACATACGCACCAGCGGTTTTTATGTTTCCACCCTCCTCTGTCACCAGTCCTGCATCATTATGGGGCTTGCTGCGGCGTCATCCTGAAGGACATGGGCAGACAGCGCTCAGCGAAAGAATAAAAACATACTAACCCAGGTATGGCTAGGCCTCAATTTGTCCTCACAGTAGCTGGTAAAGCCTCATTGGAGGAGCATACACGCGGTGAAACTCAGCACAGCTGGCTCGGTCGATTTCGCAGGTGTGAAGTAGCGCTTTATGCTTTCCCTTCCCAACGGCCCGGTCAGTAGGCACCAGGGAGGATGGAGCAGTAGCGGTTCACCTTCGGACCTTCCCTGCCCGTTGGCCCCAGTCTGGCGCCGTTTGTCTTGGTACCTGCCTACCACCCAAAGTGATCCACCGACGCAACCCCCAAGGCCCACTCTAATCTTCTTTGGGCACTGTACCTGCACTATCGTAGCCGCCATTTCCCCCATAGCTCCATTTCCCATCGACTCCCAATTCTCGCGACTCAGTGCCGTCAAACTCGATTTCTCTTCTCTCTTCCTTCCTTCCCCTCCCATCCAGCCGTGCCCTAGTATTCGGAGAGCTTCATCGTCTGGCTCCCCAAATCAGGGCGACAAGAAACGACTTTATGACAGGCACGAGTCGAGTCGTCTAGTTTTGTGGCCCCCACCCCTATACAGCAGTAACTCACCAACCTCCGCCTCCTGTCTTCCCTCGACTCAGGAAACCACAGGCACTATTGGACTGCTCTCTTTCGCACCTCACCTTCCTTGGGCCTTTTCGCTTCGTTACTCTCGCTTACCGTTCCTGGTTTCAACTTCCTCTTACCGCCTACCCGCCTACCTAATAATTCCGACGCACCTGCTTTGCTCGCAGCATTAATCATTACGACCTTGGCCTACTCCGCCTCGCCCGTCAACAACATCCGGACGTTCAATTGTTTTCTCCTCACCACTTTAGCAGACGGATAACTCTGGCTCGAGAGGTGGCACACGGCTAGGAAGCTAATTTTTCTTTCTTTCTTTTTTGGTTACGACTATTAATCGACAAAAACAACAAATACCACATCGAGAATTACCTGGGCCAGCAGCACATTACATAGCGGTGGGCTTCGACAACACCTCCTATCGCATCGTTCATTACGTACTTGGGACCAATTCCTTCATTTTACCCGCTGTTCAAAGTCGTCTCTGCCCTACGGATTATGAGACAGCAGCCGACCAATTGTCTCTGAAGCAGATACTTGTGCGACGACCGATCGGACCACCGGTACTGCATCTACTTCTCGTTGTTCCGCAAGCAAGCCAGACATACTTGTTAACAATGGGCCGTGGACGAGTTGAAAGACGGCGCAATGTCGCGTTGCTGACACTTCTTTCTCTGTCGTCTTCCCTCGTTACAGCTCAGTCTAGCTGCATTTCACTCCAGAATTCTAGCGCTTGTCCGGCATTCAAGACTGCCTCTATTTCTCGAGATGATTTGAAGAAGGAATTGTGAGTTTCCCACAGAATCTTTTTCGCTGGACCAAAAGAAGCTAATCTGATTCCAGTCCATTCCTCGAATATGTCAAAGACACTTCGTCGTTTGATGATGCTCTGTCCAATTATGTCAAGACGACATTTGTTCATGACAAGTGAGGGCATTCTTAAGATCACTGTTTGGATAATGTAGCCGCTAACATGGATCTAGATATCAAAATCTTTTCGGTTGCGGTGAAATTGACCTGACTAATACAACCACCTGGTATGCTCGTTTTACGACCACCGTTATGTGCAATGCATTGGTCCAGAAATCGATCAACGCCTGCTCGTTGTCTAAAGATCAGTCACGCTCGATTTGCGCCGATGGGTGTGCTGAATTTGCACAGAGTGAAGCCTACTTGACATCTGACAGGGAACTATGTGCCAACCCTAAGGCCAATTTGGACTCCTTGATCAGAGCAGACTTCACCACATGTTCAGAACCATTAACGGCACTGGCAGGAAGGACATGCATCAATCCATCGGACAACGAAAAAGAAAATTGCGGATTTGGTACAAGCACAATCGGACTATGCGCCTACTGTTCTGATACCAGCGTCAACTCAACCGATACCTGCTGCTACAATTCCAATACTGAACAAAGATGCCAGGGCATCAAGCTACCGGTAATCAGCACCACAATGTCCTTCGACACCCCAACTGGGACAGCCTCACCGTCCAGCACGGCCGACCCTAGTGGTAGTGGTCAGGGTGGTAGCAGTCTTAGTGGTGGCGCCATAGCTGGCATCGTCGTTGGTGCTATCGCGGGCCTGGCCCTTCTTGGCGTTGTTCTATTTTTCTGCATCCGCAGAATGAAGCGATCCAAGGGGAGCCAGTCTGGTAGTATTTTCAACCAACCATCCCCAGCAAGGAAAGGTCCCCCGAGCATGACTCATGTGGCTCAGGAAGCCCCTCAAGGATATGAAGTTTTGCCTGGAGGACGCATCGCACGTATGTCGGCTTTGGAAGGCCACTCTGGAGATTCCTCATCCCAACATCACAGCAAATCAATGTCTGCTACAGGAGGTAGCATGGCTGCTGGGTACGCGGGTGGCCGTCGGAAAGACAGCCAGACCCAATCATCATCTGAGTTTGGTGATGACTCGGAGCCCCGGATGAGTGTCTTGCGACCACCTCCTTCGACGACAAGAAGAAATGGGTCGCTGTCGAGTAACTCCATCTTTGGAACCTCGGTTCCACAGTCACCCACTAGTGCTGGTGCAGCATCACCTCTGGGTGTGGGTAGCCAACAGTCTGAACAACTGCCCTACTTCAAGGATTATTATTCCCAGGATGACATCCATCCCGGTGATTCAGTTGCTGTTCTCTGGGCCTACCAACCCCGTGCCACAGACGAGTTCGCTCTCGAGAGAGGTGATATGCTCAAAGTTGTTGGTATCTGGGACGATGGGTGGGCGACGGGTGTGATGATTGGTGAGCGTGCAGAGGAATGGGAGGCAAGAAGGGAAGCTCAACGTGACAGTGGTGTGTCGCATGCATCTGGACGGCGGGACAGCTCAGCTGCAACATCTGGGGAGATCAAGGCGTTCCCTCTGGTATGTGTCTGCTTGCCAGCGCACTGGAGAAAGACGATAGAGGGCGACGGCTCGACAGAGACTGGCTCCACCAGCCACAATCCCTACGCAGCCTTGGCTTGATGAACTCTTCTACAAGTTCTGCAGATCAATGACACGGCCTCACAGAAGACATTCGACATATTCATATACTGCAATGACACGCCTAATGCCCATTCTCTTCATTATACGAGCACGAAAATTACTGATTCGATATTGATTGACATTGCATCATGAGCTGCGATCGGCGCAAGATGTCAGCACCACCCGGTGATGCCTCTGGCTGATAGAGATCAGTTTATCCTCGGATTAACTGGCAGGTAGCCTCATCCAAACTATTAATTCGATTCGTTTGCTTATTTATCACCTTATATACCCGGCAGCGCTTCTGCCAGCGGAGTTTTGATATTCTAGAGGGACTGGGGGAGCTTCAGCAGCCGACTTACTTGAATACCGACTGATCTCGAAGCGAACCGTGGCTTGCTGATGGATTGGCTTGCTTCACGGCCATCTTGCAAGCACGGAGGCAAGTATAAGGAAGACGATCAGAGCAGGAATTACATTCACCCCGTTGACGTACTAGGTATTTATTTATACTGTTAGACATAGCCTGGCACCCTCGATTTACTTAAGTTTAAATAGCAAGAAGATTTTGATTTTATCCTATTTCTCGAGCTCAAGTGCATGTGTGATCTACTTGCGAAAGGGCGGAGTGTTTGGGCCAAGAACAGGTAGGCAAGCGACTGACATAAAACATGGCACACCCAGAACCTCTAGTATTGTATTTCAGCACAATATCAAAATAATCTATCCAGTAATGAACATAGTATTGAGTGAATATTATAGAATAGTTGATTACTCTCTGATTATTGTGTTTAGTATTATCATCAAGAAGATAAGGTCTCTAACTTATATGAAAGAGCAGTGGTGTGCTATGTCTAATGTCAGTCGCCTGGTAGGGAGTACTGCCATTGATGCCCATTAAGTGGTGCTACTTACCTTATCTAGAAAGTAGGCGGGGTAGTAGCCAAGCCTGATCGATCTCCCCAAACAGTGAAACTTCTCCCCCCAGAGCTACCTACCTTTGCATCCTGATTTAGGTTGTGCTACATAAGGTAACAATTTGCTCCATATTGACAATTCATTGTATGGTTGCCTTTTTAAAACTGCACACTTCTGCTCTGTCCAGCCCAGCATGACAGACCAGGTGAAGGCCGACGCAGAGGCCCTCGTGCCAAAATTCAAGCTGGAGCGGGTGCTCAACCAAGGTATGCACAATCACAGTTTGAACCACACAAACAAACCCCCTGTGCAATTGTGACCCATCTCTTTCTCATGCATAGATGAATGAAAAGAGGAAGTTCGTTCCAAATCTAATCTTGCCTTCTAGACCAGGCTGGGAGACGAGCGTCCCTGTACGGGGCCATCGATGGCAAGCCGGCGCTGCTCGTGCTGGAGAGGGCTCCCTTCCCCGAGTCGGAGGCGTACCTGGGGAGCGTGCCGGCGTCGCTGGCCAAGCTGAAGAACCTGGGAGCCAACGACATCTACCATTGGTACATGGCGAGGGGTGGTGGCAGCGGCAGCAACGGCGAGGAAGGGGACTTCTTCGCGGATCTGAAGATCAACCTCATCTACCCGTGCACAGAGACGCACGTCAAGAAGTACAGCAAGCAAGGGGTGCGGTTCGTGACCGAGACGCCGGAGATCTACGAGCAACACGTGCGGCCATACATGCAGAGCAAGCGAGAGGCTGGGCGCCTCAACTGGGTATTTAATATTCTAGATGGGAAGACTGAGGTGGAGGACGTTATATACAGGACGGCACCGTGGGGACGGGAGGACGAGAAAGACAAGGAAGGGTTCCTGCTGCTGCCGGATCTGAACTGGGACCGCACCACGCTCGAGGCGCTTCACCTGCTGGCGTTGGTCGAGCGGCGAGATCTCTGGTCGCTGCGGGACCTGAAGAAGAAGCACGTCGAGTGGCTTCGCCACATGAAGCGGAACCTGATCGAGGCGACAACCAAGACGTACCCCTCCATCGAGGCGGACCAGCTGAAGCTATATGTGCATTACCAGCCCACGTACTACCACCTGCACGTGCATATCGTTCATGTTGCGCTCGAGGCGGGGGCCACGCAGGCGACTGGAAAGGCGGTCGGATTGGAGAGTATTATCGAAACCCTGGACAAGATGGAGGGGGATGACGAGGCAGGGATGGATGGTGTGTCGATGAGCTTTACGCTTGGGGAGCAGAGCGAGATATGGACGGAGATATTCGAGCCGATTAAGAAGAGTGGTACAGCTTCTCGATCGCAATGACGAGGTCATTGACGCCAGCTCCGTGTGGGCAGTCGATCCACTCGCCACCATCACGGATACAGTATGTCTCGTTGTTCAGTCTGATGGTGCAGCTGATGGTTACGCCAGCCTAGAGATGCCATGTTAGAATTTCGGAACAGAGAATAAGATAGATAACGGGGGGAGATAGATATAAAGATAGAAAAGGCTGGGGGCAAAGAGAGTGAACATCAAGACTTACCTCAGCTGTTCTTTCGATGCTGGAGCGCAGCAACTGTATACCGTGAGCTCCATCATCGCGGGTAGCGCACTCGTTAAGTTGTTGGAAATCGATAGCGTGTTCGAGAGCGCAGTCCTCGATCAGAGACCTATCAGGGATATGCTTATAATCCTTGGTAAGGCACATGACGAAGCCGAGGCTGATCTTGGGATCGGGGTAGAGTTCGCTGGCGCAGAGCTCGATGATATTGCCCATGCATTCGGAAGGGCCGTGCTTGCACTGGACGCCGTCATTGGCGGTAGGACTGTTGAGAAGAACCAAGACAACTTATGTGAGCAATAAGGTTTCACCGATAAGGAAACGGGGTGTGGCTCACGTTCCGATATAAGAGAGTCTGAAGTCGACCTTGTCATGGACTCGCATCATGGCTGGAAGGATCAATTCCCGAAGGGCATCCTACCAAAGTCTATCAGCACCACCGCTTCACGGGTCCTCTGGCGCTTCTCAGACATCGCTGGAGGGCTTACTCTTGTATCTGGGCATTTACTAATGATGTGCGCCTCCAGAGGCACCAGGGTCTTCTGGTCTACTGGGCTGGATTCCGGTGTGGGGGGAGAAGGCTGAAGCTGTAGGGAGAGGGGTGAGGACAAGGTCCAGGAACGCCATGAGTAGAAGGTGACGGTGAACAGGATGAAGAGGGCGACTACGGCGCGGACGGACGCGCGTGAAGCGGCCATGATGGGCGAGTTGACGGCGGGTGTGTTGTAGACGTAGGGCGCTTTCTCATCCATCTTGGTTCGAGTAAGTATGGTTGGGGCAAGGTAGTAGGATTGAAGGAAATTAGCTTGGCGCATCTCCGATCGGTCGCCTGGAGAAGATGGGCCTTTACTGGGCGGGCTCCAGGCCGACATGTGCTTGTTTGCTGGGCACTTGCAGCTGCTGAAACAACATTAAGTTTGGTGGCCTGTGCAGCAGTACTGGGCACTGGCAGTAGCGCCTGCGCGCGCTATTGATCAATGATCTATGGGGCTGGAGTAAGTACTAGTACCCGCTGTCAAACCATTCCAAGCCGACGGTATGATTTTGATGCAATGCAACGGGACTTCCCCCCTATTGATTGCACATATACGTGGATGGGTAAGGTATAGCTGACGAGAATGCGTCAAAGGCAGTCGGGGGACGGACAGAGTCAAGCTTCTTGTTTGATCATGCGGTGGAAGGCAAACGCCAGTTATGATTGGGCGCCTTTGGTATTTGTCGAAGTATCGATTCCTGGGCCTAGAACTAGCCCAACGCAGCTCATGTCCCAATAGTTTGAGCAGATAGCGTCATATGGTTCTGTTTGGAATGTCCGCTATGATAGATTTAGAGATATACTGAGGTGAGAGGTATTACGACCATTAGTTAGGCTCGTCCATTGTAGAAGATACTGCTTGCTAGAACACCATCAAGACTATCCGGGGAGAAGGGCAAGGAGGAGTATTCAGGTCGAGACACCACACTGCCAAAGGGCCGGCCGATCAGTCCATTGTTGAACCAGCCCCGCGCGTGATGATACATAAGGTTGGGCAGGGAGAGAGATGTGGCTGTTATAGGCCATGAGAATTGTCGATGACTTCCGTTTAGGGCTGTTGGCTGTCCACCTATGCGAGTACCAAGCATATCCCGAGTGCCCTCCATCAAGCAGGCGCCTGAAGCTTTATTTAGCAGGTTCTGAGACATCTCGCGAAGCTGCAGCCCCGATCTGGCAGATCGTCTAGCGGCCGCAAGCGATGAGGGAGGTCAGAAGTAGGTGCTACTGATCTTGGGCGGCAGTGGCTGGTACAGCAGGCAGGTACCACGTACAGCGCACCCTTCCCAATTACCAGCCAGTGGCAGCAGCCGGCAGCTCAAAGCAAGCATGGAACGTCACATTGGACTGTTAGTAGCCACTGAAATACAACCTTGTCATCACTGTAGATTCACTTCGCAATTCAGCGCACGCGAGCACGCGGCTTGGCTTGGCTCACACAGCCTCATCAGCACCATTACCCTGGTCCGCCCAGCCCAGCAAGTATCTCAAGGACCCTGCGTCTACTTCCTCGAGCGAGATCCTCAGGCAATTGATATCATTTCATTCCGAGTCGTCCTCATTGATTTTCATTTGACTCTCTCACTACGCTTCGGCATTTAGTCTGCCGCTGCCACATTCCGTTCTCGTAGGTACCGGTACCTAACTTACTGCGCCCCCGAGACACGCCGTCTTGTACCGCCAGCTTAAGTCAATTGAAGCCCCTCGCTTCACTCTGTGGCCACGCTTCACACCAGCAAGAAAGGCAGTTGTCACTCTATCTGGAACCTAAAATCTAAAAAAATCATAAACTATATTACGACACCGGCTTGGTGCTCTGGACAAGCCGCAGCTGCAAAATATTGCGTATTTGACCTTGTCTGCCCCAGTTTCCAAGCTTCCCCATCCTCCCGTCTCTCTCATCAACTGATTCAACCAACCAGTCGAGAGTTACCAACCTTCAGCGAAATAACCTGGTCGCGTATCACCTTCTCTCTATTACCTTCACTGCATTTCCAACATGGCCGCTTCCAGGGAGACCCCCATCGAAGGCTTCCTCAAGCCGCTCCACGTGGATCTAGACCAGATCCACGACCTCTCCAACAGATTCCTCTCAAACTTCCATAAACTTGCTGCAGAATCTACAGACCAGTTTTTGGGCACACCTATTTCGGAATCAATCTTGAGACCAGTGAACAAGACCGCTCAAGGACGGTAAGGTTATGAGCAACAGAATTGGCTCAACACCCGAAAGTGACGACATGTGAGGCTAACATTCAATACTAGACACCTTGCCATAGACATGTAAAGGATGACCCTATCTCGCTAGAGCGCTATTCTCTTCATGCTTGCTAACACAGTTGATAGTGGTGGTACGAACCTGCGGGTCGGTTTTGTTGAGTTCTGTGGACAGGACTCTACCCAAGCACCCAATGGCGAGCAGCAAAATGGTCTTTCCAAGGAACAACCTGAACGCATCAAGCGGGTTCTGGAGAGATCGTGGCCCATCGCTAATCACCTCAAGAACGAGAATGCTGAAAGGCTGTTTTTCTGGATAGGCAGTTGCATCGCTCAAGTTGTGCGAGAGGGCTGCAAGAAACTGAACTTGCCTCACGATAAGCCTATCCCCTTGGGCGTTACGTTCAGTTTCCCAATGGAGCAGCTGTCTCTTACCGAAGCCACGTTGATGTCGATGGGCAAAGGATTCAATATCCCAGCAAATCTTGACCTTGCATCTCGATTCTTGGCTGGCTACGCAAAAGCCAACGACGGCAGCCTGCCAAAACTCACCATTGCTGCCATCGCCAATGACGCTGTCTCGACTCTCGTGTCATTCATCTTTAAGTACGATGAAAAGCTGAAGAGGAGGGCAGCTATGGGTATCATCCTCGGCACGGGCAGCAATGCTACCGTGCCACTTAAACTCAGCTCCCTGCATCCAAGCAAGCGCCCTGCAAACGTGAGCATTCTTCCCGGGGAATCTCTGGAGGACGTCAGGATCGCAGTGAATACAGAGTGGAGTATCAATGGCACTCTGCCCCCGATGAGAGAGTTGGGCCTCATCACTCAGTGGGATAAGATTCTGGACGCGCAGAACGAGACCCCCGGCTTCCAGCCCTTGGAATACATGACTGCCGGCCGCTACCTCGGCGAACTGGGACGCATTGTTCTGGTAGACTACATGACCAGTGTCATGAACATCCCTCGAGATACGCTGCCTCAGAAGCTGCTCCAGCGGGAAAGCGTGACTACAACTTTTGTCAGCAACTTTAAACCTCTGGAACCGCCAGTTCTGGTTAGAAAGCTTAAGCAGGAGTTCCCAGAGTCAACAGCCGGGCACAACTTTGCCTGGACCGAAGAACTCGCCGAGGTTCTGTACAAGATCTCCAAGGCCATTGAAATCCGAGCAGCTGGCATTATTGCAGCCGCTACCGTGGCCCTGTTGATGGTGGCCGAGGAACTCCCACAGGATGCTTCAGGCCTGAGACCTAACATGGAAGAGTTGGGCGTGGGTTACACTGGCGGCTGCATAGTCCACTTTCAAGACTATCTCGCAGATTGCCAGAAGTTCCTGGATGACCTTCTGGACAAGCGATATGGCGGCATCGGATCACATGGAGCCAAGGTGGTACTGAGCCCCTGCCACGATGGAGGAATTGTAGGGGCTGGCATTCTGGTCGAGGCTGCAATCCCAAGCGAGAATGCTGAGACTTGAAGTTCAGTAGTGCCGAGGACATTACTTTTACGGGATGTGCGCCCCTAGAAAGGGTAACTTTAGAAGAATAGATCGATCCATGTGAAACCCAATGGTTGTTTGAGGAATTCAATGTGGTTTTCAGCTAGGCGGAGGCCATTTAATGCCTTCATATTGTCATACTGCAGAGAAATCATCGGATTCAACAATGATGAAATGGATCTGGGAGGACTAGCCCGAGCTCAACTGATGTTATCCACTGAATAGTGCCAGACTCAAAGAATTATCACACTCAAGATGATTTGCTTTTGTAAGTAGTATGTGCGTGTGAGATATGCTCCCACCGCCCCCAATTGAATTGTATTGCTCCCCATGAAATGAATTGCACATTATTATTTTACAAACGCCCGTGTCCCAGATGAAGACCTGTCCCTCCTTTAGTGGGCACCGTTGACCTGCCCATTGGTCATCAGAGCATCCAGCTCCTCCTTCGCCAACCGATACGCATCCTGCGCCTCCCTCTCACGGCGATTCACGGCACCGACCTCCTCCCTTAGGCTGTCGAGGCGACGGGTGATGGCCACCTCCTCGGAGATAGCGAGCGTCTTGAAGCCGCTGAGGGCGTTCCTGGCCTTCTCGAGGGCGTCGGCGGCCTCGGTGGTCTTGTCGCGCAGCATCTTCTGGCGCTTCTGGTAGCCTCCCAGATGTAGGGCGAGCTTCTTCTCGAGCTTGGCCCCTTGCTCGGCCGAAGCCATGATGGAATCCTGTACAGACTGGAATAAACGCACGCGTTAGCGGGCTACTTTCTTTGAACATGGAATTGCATACCGGGATTCGATATGACGGAATGGGGAAAGGTAAACTTACATCGAAGGCTAGCCTTAGAGCAGCGTGATGCTCCTCCTCATCGTCGTCATAGCACCCCAGGCTAAGTAGAGTGGCGTTGTTAGAGCGACTTTCGAAGGTATTCTGGATGTCGGAAAAGGAAGGCAGAGATTTGGTCTCTGACAGAATGAGGAGACGGGCGTTGGCAAGGGATTCGTCGTCGATGATCGGGACAGGCACGTGCTTGCCTCTGAGCTTGGAGCCCGGCAGAGGGTATTTCGAAGCATCACTGGCTATCAGCTTGGCCGCCTCCTGTGCGATGAGGATCTCGGCCGGATTTGACAATCCCTCCGCCTTGCTCAGCATGGTTGGTAGATCGACGAGCAGAGGCCGGGGTAGGCTTTTCTGCATCACCTGTGTCCGTCTCCGCAGCTCGAGAGCTTCCTCTGCCGCTCGTCTTTCCTCGTTCCTGCGGTCGCGCTCTGCGGCATCTTCTTCCAGCAGATTGTCGTTCGATTTCGATTCAGCCTCTTCATCTGGAATCTCGAATTCCCACTCTGAATCCTTTGGCTTTGGAAGAGACGCAAGGCTGGACCGGACGGATTTTCTCAGGGCAAGATCACGCATCCGAATATCTCGAGGTGTAGCCGAGGCCATCGATGAGCCGTCGTCTTGGTTCAAGGCGTATGCATCACGAGGAGTCCGCATTGGTGTTTGCCCAGGCTGGCTGCTTACACCGTTGCGAACGGGGGTAGCCATAGGGTTTGGCGTTGATATGACCTGTCTGCGAGGTGCAATTCCTTCGAATCCAGTGCCCTGAGCTTGATAAAGAGGTGTGTTCTCGCCACCAAGAAGAGCGGACTGGGTCTCGTTTAATGCGCGGATGTTTCGAATCTCGTTGGCGATGTAGTCTTCTGCCTCGGGGGCTTTTGGCGTGCGGATAGGAGCCGTGTTGTTTATGGCGGTATATGAATTGACCAAGCCTCTCGTCGCATCATTATCGCCTTCTCTGGCCAACGTGTTTGCTGTCTCTCCCAATTTGCCCATTTTGATAATCTCTTCCAGTTCCCCCTCGCCGACCTGCGGCGCGGGAAGGTTGAGCGATCGTCGCTTGCTGCTTTGCTCTGCCTCTCGAATCTTTTGCATCTGCCCAGCCTTGATTGCTGCTTTCTGCGATTCAGACAGGCCGTCCTTTTCATTCTTGCGTCGCTTGCGATCGCCATCGTCATCCCCATCCCCCTTTCGTTTACTCGTCAGTAGCTGCTTTGCGGGGTCGAAAGCTGTTCTTTGTTTCTCATTAAGTACTTGTTCTTCGGCGGTGTCGTAGAATCCAAGCGCTGGTTTCTTCTCGAATGGAATGTCGGCATTGTAATCCATCTCCCCCTTCTTGCGAGTCGTGACCTTGATATTGATACCGGCTGTCTTCAACTCACGTCGCTTCTGCAGGGTGGCGAGACGGCGCGACTCTTCCTGCTGACGCTCACGAGCCTTTCTCTTCGCCTTCTTACCCTGGGTGTTGGCAAGACGCGCGCGAGCCTCGCTCAGCATCTCCTTTTCGTCCTCATCGAGATCGATCGTGTCGGGGCGCGCAGGTTTCGTTTCCGGATCAGGGTCGAGCTCTCCCGGGCGCAGGCGCCTCACATCGTCTGCGCTGGGCGCCTGGGTCTCCCCTCCCTCAGGACCGGTGAGGCCAAGCCCGGACGACTCGCGGGCTTCGGCTTCGTCCAGCAACTTCTGGTATCGCTCGAGACACTGATTCGCGGTTCGGCCGACGATGGGGGCGATTGTGCGCCACTGGGTGGGCATAATCTTCGCGAGGTGCAGGAGCTTCTCATCCTCCTCCTTGCTCCATTCGATCTTCTTGATACTGGGGTCGAGCCATTCGTTCCATCGCGCTTTGCACTGTTTCGGGGTCTTACGCGCCAGCAGCGACGAGACACGCGCCCACTGGTTGAGGCCATACTTGGACACAGAGGCCTTGAGGATCTCATCCTCGATGTTCGTCCATACTCCTCCCTTGACGACGGGCATCTTGGCGGCTCGGGGGTTGATGGAGAGGGGTGGAAGAAATGTTGGCTGCCTCGAGTCGTGCTGCCCAGCCTTGCAACAAAATCCCAAGCTTTGGCTCACAAGCTTGCCGTCTAGATTATTTTGCTTAGTCAGACTACTAGGGCTGTGATTGGCTGCTGTTTCGGTTTGACATCTCGCGGCTGAATCGATGTCTAGCCCCACTTTAACTGACTTGATTGGCTTCCGGCGAAGTACAAGGCCAAGAGCCAGGCTTGACGTCGGCATACATTGTTTCTCGAGAAGTTCGAGACCTGAGGTTATATCCATTCATATTTTGGTGAGCATAGGCTCATCCTCCCTTCATTACTTTTCGAAACATCTCACACGACAAAGCTTCATAGGAAAAGTGCATCTTCTTTAGTGAGGCTCGTATGTAGAGAGGGCACGTGCATCTGCCGATAACCAAGTAAACAAGCCGAACTGGACTCATTTGCAGAAATCCGATATCACTGCTTGAAGGCCTTAGGATTTATGAGAAACAAAAGACAGATTACTCGTCTCGCACTGGGTGTACCATCAGAGAAGCATTCGTTCGCGGTCCCATGAGGACTACTGGCGGCGGGCTGCAAGCGATTAGATAGTGGGGCTTGGCTGAGTCATATCCCAACGCGGTTCTCACATGCGTCAGTCGCGTTAAGTAGCTTTTTTTTCTCCCCGCCGTGAATTCTGAGATTTTCTTCCTCCTCCCCCCCCAAAACTACCAACGAAATTTTTGACAACATACCGTCAAAATGAAATACGTTCTAGTTTCGGGAGGTTAGTGCTGGCTGAACTGCTGTACATGCTCAAAAATGTTAACCAAATGGTCGAAATAGGTGTCATCTCCGGTGTTGGCAAGGGCATCATCGCCTCCAGCACTGGTCTTCTCCTCAAGTCCATTGGTCTCACAGTCACGAGCATCGTACGTTCAGCGCAGTTTGGCTCCCTTTGTATAACCTGTAGAAGCATCCAATATACCCTTGATTTATCTTCCGATCCAAATCTCACTGTCGAATCGTAACAAACATTCTTACTCACTGTGCTGACTATAAATTTTTCGTGAACCCAGAAAATCGATCCATACATCAATATCGATGTAAGTAGGCCATGATCGATTCCAAATGCCCCAAATTTCTAACCCAATGGCACGATAGGCTGGAACTATGTCTCCCATCGAGTTCGTACTGCGCCTGTAGCTTCCCACGACTGATGTGCTAACTGGTTATTACCCTCCAGACATGGTGAGGTCTACGTAACAGATGGTATGTCTACACTCTAGAAAGAAGGTATTTACTGAGATTGTTTGCTAATTGTATGGATATTAGATGGAGGAGGTATGAGTTCTCACAAAGCTACTATCAAAGTACGGCTATCAGTTGCTTACACAGCCTAGAAATGGATCTTGATCTTGGAAACTACGAAAGATACCTCCTCACCACACTCACCAGAGACCACAACATCACGACGGGCAAGATTTACCAACATGTCATCGAGCGTGAGCGCATTGGAAAGTACCTGGGAAAGACGGTCCAAGTGTAGGTTTTGTGTGTCCAGCGAGGTGATGGGTATTTTGCTGACGACAATAGTGTTCCTCATATCACCAACGCCATTCAAGATTGGATTGAGAGGGTTGCCAAAATTCCAGTTGACGAGTCTGGCCGTGAGCCCGACGTTTGTATCATTGAGTTGGGTATGCTGGAACGTGTCCAGAGTGAAGTCGAAAGCTGACACTCTTGCTAGGTGGTACGGTCGGAGATATCGAGAGCGCTCCGTTTATTCATGCCGTCAGTCAGCTTCAAAGACGTGCTGGCAAGTCGAATTATGCACAGATTCACGTATCATACGTTCCAGTTATACCGTAAGGATACAGTCTTGCCGACCTGATGACTGTTTGTATTAATTGCTTTCTAGGCCGGGACCTGGTGGTGAGCAAAAGACCAAGCCCACTCAGAGGGCCGTTGGCGACGTCCGAAGCGCTGGCCTCAACCCAGACTTGGTTTGTGGCTACCCCTCCCTTCCAAGAAGAAACGAGCATGAATTAAACGGACCCTCTTCGATTAGATTGCCTGTCGCTGCGAGCAGCCGCTTACCGAGACCACCATCGAGAAGATCGCCAACATGTGCCAGATGGAGCGAAAGCAGGTCATTGCTGTGCACAACGTATCGACAACATACCACGTCCCTCTGCTCCTCGAGAAGCAGAAGCTTGTGAACACTCTCATCGAGCTCCTCGATCTTGGGGCTGTGCACAAACCGACCGAAATAGTTGGCAGGGGCGCTGAGATGTGGAAAACCTGGATTGACTTGACTCGCGGCCAGGATAACCTGCACGACACGGTGTCGATCGCTCTTGTCGGCAAGTACACATCGCTTCACGACGCTTATACGAGTCTTTCCAAGTCTTTTGAGCATTCTGCCATGTACTGCCGTAAGAAGCTTAAGGTGATCTGGGTCGATTCAGGACACCTCGAGGACGAAACTTTGGAGGTCTCCCCTGCACAGTTCCATAAGGCTTGGCACGACCTCTGCACTGCTGACGGTGGTAAGTAGTCGGAACAATTTTAGCGTTGTGGTGATAGAAGACTAAGTTTCTCAACAGTATGCGTGCCCGGCGGGTTTGGTTCCCGATCTACCTTGGGCATGATGAAGGCAATTACATGGGCGCGGACGAAGAAAGTTCCCTTTTTGGGCATCTGTCTCGGCATGCAGCTTGCCGTTCTTGAATATGCTCGCAATGTCACAGGAATCGAGGATGCAGGAAGTGAAGAACTGCACCCAGAAGCTAAGAACCATGCCATCGTTTACATGCCAGATGTATGTTCTTCTGGTCATATTCTTTCTTCATCTTGTCACATACTGACACGAATTACTAGGTCGACAAGTCAAAGCTGGGTGGAACAATGCGTCTAGGAAAGCACCCCTGTATCTTCCAGGAGGGTACTGAGTGGTCCAAACTGCGAGCTCTGTATGGAGCTGCGCCCCAGATTCTGGAGCGCCACCGACACCGATATGAGGTCAACCCAGGCATGGTTGAACAGATTGAGTCGTCTGGCCTCGCTTTTGTGGGCAAAGACACCAAGGGTGAGCGTATGGAAATCATCGAGATCAAGGACCACCCCTGGTTTGTCGGGGTTCAGTTCCACCCAGAATACTTGAGCCGAGTGCTATCATGCAGCCGGGTAAGTCGCCTCTCTAGCCTCTATATTGTACTCAAGAACTGACAAATCGCATAGACGGTTCTGGGATTCTTTGCTGCCTCCGCAGGCTGCCTTGAGGAGGTTACGGAAAAATTAAACAGAGAGGAATAGTCTGTTACCAACAACGTGAGCTGAGCGCGGGGATAAACACGGATGGCTGATAGAGTACTTCGATTGATGTTACACACTAATACCAAGAATATGTTCAGGAAGCCACTTATCTATGGGTGGTACATTTTTATAGAAGCAATCAATAGAATATTTGGATTCTCGTGTGACCGCACTCACGCTTGAGAAAATGATTACTTACGTCATGGGCGTAAATAGATAAGATGACTGCACATGCCGTGCTACTCGTACCTGCATCAGCTGTCAAGGGTGCATGGATCGATAAATGACATGCACAATGGAGCTGATCAGAACTCATATATTTCGCTTTCTAATACAGAACCAAAAGTGGCTGTTTCACGGGCATGCGGCCCTGCGCAGGGTCCCAACTCCAATTGGCGAAGCTGCAGGTGCTGTTGGGCTCGGATTTCAATCCCGGTGCGGAGTGATCAAGATGATGCTTAGAAATCTGATCTATCTAAAAGATGCGACAAGGATATGGTTGGCCAGGGTACCACCCACGTTATCTATCGACGATGCCAAGTTGCCTACCCAAATAGGACGGTATCGTGTCGTATGGACTATGTCATTGATTTGTTGGCACTCAGATCCATGTTTCGAAAGCCATTCCGGACGAATGCGATGATATGATTGAATCGCAGGGAGAACAACGCCCAACCGACCAATGACTCAAGGGAGCATCATTACGTGCTGGCGATTGATTAGCACACGACACTGATTCCCCCACTCGGAACCGCTGCTCAGGCGTCCCGAGGAGCCGAGCCCAAGATTGATCAAATCCGCCCTCTAACTCCGCTGTTGTGTGTCTGTGTTAGCTGCCGCTCGGCGACTTTAGTATCTATTGCGTCCTTGATTTGATCCCTGGCGCCTTTTCCCTACAATACACTGCGTCCCCCTTGCTCTAGGCCCCTCCCCTTTTCCTTCGTTGCTTTATTGCTCCCTAATTATCATCATATCTTGCGCAATATCAGTAGGCACGCCGGGCTGGGAAAAGGGATCGGAATGCACAAACTCGGACTTTGTCGGTGCCAGTGATACGAACGGTCAGCACCCGTTTAAACCCCGACATCCGGACCTCTGGTTCTCAACGGCCGGCCGGCCTAGTTGGAAGGTAAAAGATCGCCTTTGGCATTTCGTTGGACGTGCTCCGGGAATAGGCACACAATGGGACGGGCAGGTGCGCCGAGCATCGATGATGCGACAACTTGGCGCAAACGCGCCGCCTCCGACAGCGCCACCGAGGTGGACGCGACGGAAACCACTGCGCTCCTCAGCCCCGACAGTGAAAGTGGGAGCACCGGCGGCCCAGGGAAGAAGGCTGATCGATGGGATGGCTTGGACGATTTCGTGGATACGCCCTGGTGGCGCAAACCTTCTGTATGAGGCCCTCTATTGTTCCCCTTGGCCGCTTGCTGTGGTCTACATGAGATGCCAGCGGCGTTCTAACAATGAATAGGTGTACTGGCTTCTTGTCCCCTACTTCATCTTCACCTTGGCGTTTGGTGGCGCCTTGGTTCCCAAGCTCAACTTGTATGTTCTGCCTCTGCAAATGGACCATACTCGGGAGCAAACGTGCTGACGTTGAGATAAATCAGAATCCTATCATTCATCTGTAAGGAGCACTTTAATCAGAGTGATTCCGACCCGCCCGCTCTTCCCGTCTTCATCGGGGGCGAAAACCCCCAGTGCAAGATCCCGGAAGTTCAGAGTAAAGTGGCAACCTTCACCCTCATCATGAGCTTCTTAACAGGGCTGCTGAGTGCCATCGTCGTGCCCATCTTTGGCTCGCTTTCGGATAGGTATGGCCGCACCCGGCTGATGGCTCTGGCCTCCTGTGGCGGCGTCCTCGCCGAGATCATCACCCTCCTTGCCGCCAAGTACCCAGATGTCATCAACTATCGCTGGCTCATCTTGGGCAGCGTGTTTGATGGCATGACCGGGTCCTTCACCGCCGGCAGCCTTCTGACGCAGTCGTATACCAGCGACTGCACTCCGCCATCCAAGCGTGCAGTGTCCATTGGCTATCTCCACGCCTGCCTCTTCACCGGACTGGCGTTTGGACCTCTTCTGGCTGGGTACTTTGTCAAGTGGACAGGGAGCCTGCTCTCTGTCTTCTATGTCATTGTCGCCTGCCATATCCTCTTCATTTTCTTCGTGGGTCTGGTCATCCCGGAATCCCTTTCCAAGAGAAGACGATCAGCTGCGCAGGAGATCTGGGCCAAGGGATGGCAAGACAGAGCCCAGTCATTTGTACCGTGGGTGTCGAGGGTCAAGGGGGCGAACCCTCTCGCGCCTTTGAAAGTGCTCTGGCCCACTGGCCCCGGAACGTCTGCTCGCCTCCGGCTCAACTTGGTGTCGCTCGCAGTATCGGATATGATTATTCTCGGATCATCGGTAGCCGTAGGGCCCGTCATCATTCTCTACAGCGAGTACAGGTTTGGATGGGGCACGTTGGAGGCGTCCATATTCGTCTCCGCCGTCTCCCTGACTCGCACAGTCATTCTTCTGATCATCTTCCCAGCAGTGAATTATTTCGGGCGGGTTCGGCCTGCGCAGCGCCGGCGAGCGCTCGGAATAGTTTCCCACGAGACCAACTCCGGCGCCGACAGCCTCGACGTGTGGGTGATTCGTGTCGCAACAGCGGGGGAGGTCCTCGCCTGCGTTGGGTATTCCCTGGCCCAGAATGGCCACGCATTCTTCGTCAGCGGCATGGTGGCAGCCATGGGCGGGCTCGGCAGCGCAAGCATCCAGGCGGCCATCACCAAGCATGTGCCCTCGGATAAGGTCGGGCAGGTCCTCGGCGCGATAGGCATGCTCCATGCGCTTTCCCGAGTCGTTGGGCCCCTTGCGTTCCAGGGCCTGTACGCTGCAACGGTCAAGACTCTGCCGCAGGCGTTCCTCATGGTTCTTGGGGCCTTGTTCTGTGTAGCTTTCACGGGCGCCCTGCTTCTTAAACCCCATGGTAAGTTGTCCATCTTTCCCATCTCACGTCGCGATGTATATGCTAACCTGAAATCCCCCCAAGTTCATTGGACCACGCAGAGCGAAGAAGAAGAAGAGGAGACAGAACAATTAACCCCGAGCGAGGAGATTTTGGGCGCGAATTCGCGACACACCCTCCCTATCGATGAGGACCAAGTGACCATGCGGTAGGAGGATAGTTCTTGATGAAAACCTGTTTTTTTACATATTTACCCCGGAACTGCATTCGGGTAGTAGGGTTCATATTTTGGATTTTAGAATGGCGATCGTACATTTTAGCTAGCAGTGTTCATATCATTAGAGAGTTATATATTATATCAGCGTACTTGGGAGAAACGAACATACAAATACCCATCCCAACCAGCTTTGAACATTTTTTTTGCTATAGAAGTTAGCAGGTGGAGTTACGGCGAGCAATCGTTACCTTTCCTTTTTAGAAATAATTATGCAGACGTCGTAATTTTGCCATCTTCATGAAATGAGACAAAGCGATCAACTGGGAGATATTCCTCGAGAGGATGCAGCTATGAAGCAAGTGGGGCTGCCGGATTGTTTGCTTAACCTTTGTGTTACCTGAAATGTCAAATGTCACAATCTTACCTCATCAATCCATTACACCGAGAAAATACGATTATCGCTCCCAACCATCGAGCCACACACTCATCCTACCCTCTCACATTCAATTGGTCTAATCAAATTCAGCAGTTAGATTTGAGTGCAGGATTATGCCCCTTCCCACTCTCAGCTTCTCCAGACAGCTTTCCACGACTCTACTTCGGGCTGGGAAAATGGCCTCAACACGGCTCAATGGGGCTCGGATCAAGTTTGGACCGTTCGAGGTCACCAACCAGGTGAGTAGATTGAAAGATATCAGTGCGATTGGAGCTTTTGTTTTATACCGGCATACAAGTCCACATGAGCAAAAGGCGTACTCAGGGCTACAAGCACGATAGCATAACAGCAGATGATGCCTCATGCTTCCCTGCCTCTTTCGCTCAGAATGACTAGAGGTCTGAGGCTGACCAGAGGTTTACTTTACGAGTTACAGGTCTTTCTAAAAACACCACACTCCTTTGCGCTGGTTAATCTCAAGCCCTTAATCCCAGGCCACATTCTCGTGTGCCCTCTGAACCCACACCGCCGGTTGACAGACCTGACGGCGCCCGAGCTGACCGATCTCTTCACGACGGTGCAGCTGACGCAGCGCCTGCTCGCGAAGCTGTACTTCCCCGAGAACAACCCGGACGTGGGAAGCTTCAACGTGGCGTTGCAGGACGGGCCGGAGGCGGGCCAGACGGTGCCGCATGTGCACGTACACGTGATCCCCAGGACGCCGGATGACTTGCCGCGTAATGACGATGTGTACAAGGGCATGTCTAGCGAGGAGGGCAACGTAGGCGGCGCAATGTGGGACGAGATGAGGCGACCGGTTCCGGGTGGGGCGATGCCACAGATTGAGGATGAGGACCGCAAGGCAAGGTCAGAGGCCGAGATGGGTGAAGAGGCAGAGAGATACAAGGCCGCGTTGAGAGAGTTGGGTGTCGCGTAGGGGGTCCTAGGGGGTGCTATCAATTAGAAATGAGCGATTATGACTGAATCGAGACTGACCCCAAGCTTTCCTGGGCATAGGAGGACATGCAGTGCGGAACCTGTCACCACTATCGACTTATCAGTTAATTAAAGCATATCACATGTCAGCTTGAACCAAATGGTCGAACCTTGATAACAAGTAATGCGCGTGAAAACGAGTTTCTCCAGAATGCATCCCCACTATCAGACACTCAGACAAACTGAACCCCCTCCCGCGGGGTAAGCCAGTAATTCGAGATCGATAACGATGGATTGGGGGGAAGAACCCACAAGATACCGTCTCGGCGAAATGGCGTCAACAACAGGAGGCCAATGAAGATGAAGAAATATTGCGTCTTCGAGGAACGGACACCACATGCCGAGAAACGATAAGACTTCCCGTGCATTAAGGTTCATACCCCAGTCCCCAAGAGGGGCTGCCATGTTGACTTCTGGGCCTGGCCCGTCTGGGCCGTCTGTCACGACCCACACAGGGGAGCGAGGGTTTGGGTGTGTGGTATCGTGGCGATATGTCAAGGGAACCGAGAGGCTAACTCTGGAATGGACAAAAGCGTGCCATTGTTGCATAATGCAGGCTCGGGGACAGCGCCCAACCGAGTTAGGTGGGACTGCACGACCTGAGCCTACGACGCCAGGTTTTCTGCTCTCCCTGGAACGGCAAGGTGTGGTGCTGCGAGCCTTGTCAACCCTCGCATAGAAGCATAGTCCAGCTGACGTCGTATTCTAGCGCTCCGGTAGTTGCATCTCGGGTCACTAGCAATCGCCGATTCTTGATAGTTGTTTACACACGACTACTGCTTGGGGACACGCCGCCCAATCGGAACCTGGATCGCTATCAAGGGTGCGCCCCTCCCGCTGCAACTCACTCTGCAGTGTCTGCAACGTCTGCAGCAGGCGAATTGTCGAGACCTGCCAAGATTGGCATCCTGCACACAGGTTCATGGATTGGGCGGGGCCCCCGTCGGAACTGCAGATGCAGATGGGTCGGCCGAGACACCAACGTGCTTGCAGGCAACCACCACCCATCCCAAGCAACGACGCACAGAGGGTGCCATCGGCGGAGGCGAGGGCCAGGAGCCGCCCAATCGCTGTGATGATATCTCGGACGTGTGCATCTGAGCCCACGGTCTCACCAAATTTCCATTGCCGGTCACGCGGGCGTGAGACACTGCGAAGGGTGGTTGGACGTTGTCTTGACTAAGAATCGAGGGGCGTCGCATTGCATCGGGAGAGAGGGAACCAGCCCAGGACGGTTTCGGAGCAATTGGGCCTAATTTCAGCGTGCCGCCCCACCAGCTCATGCCTGTATCCCGTCTACGCACATGCGCTACGTGCATGCGTATGCACCTACCGATGCATTCAGAGTTTGTCGCGCCACTGCTGCTGCTCCTCCTGCTCCTTGTTCGCTCGCGCTTGCCGGTCGGTCTCTGGTCATTGGAAGAGGGTAGAAATAGATCGACCCTCCTCCTCGTCCACCCTGAGAGGATTCTCCCTCCCCCTCCTTCGTTTTCCATGAACATGGTCTGATCTCTGTTTTCCTCGGTAGTGTAATCAGTTCAAACCAACCTTTTCTGTCTTTCTCCTCTGAACCTGAAGGTTTATACGTGAAAAACGCCCTTATCTAGACCGCCAACTCCCATCCACGCAAGAGCACTCGCCCACTGACCTGAGTCGTCTCCTTGCACTTCCCCTCCACCCTCCACGCAAAAGATAGCCCTTCCCATCCCAATTTCCCCTCCCAGCTCCCAAACAACAACTCCCAGTTGCTCTGTTCCATCATCCTTTTCCGTGTGGGAAAGACATGTCTCTGACAAAGCGAGCACGCTCTCAAAACCCAGATGACTTCCCAACTCTTCAACTCTTTCTCCTTGGTAAGTCCATTGCTATTGTCTCGCCATCACTTGACCCTTCCTCCTCCGCCTACCACCGACTAACAAGATCTCCTTAGCCATTGTTCGACTCGCCGAACCCATTGCCTTGACCTCCATCTTCCCATACGCGTGGGCTCTTGTGAAAAAGTTCCAAGTCGGAAACGAGCAAGATGCCTCCTTCTACGCCGGCCTCCTCATCTCGTCCTTCTCCCTCGCCGAGGCACTGATGGGCATGTATTGGGGTGGCCTCTCCGATCGTATGGGCCGCAAACCTGTCTTGATGATCGGTTGCGCAGGCACTATGTTTAGCATGGTGATGGTCGGCTTTGCCTCTGATATTTGGATGGCCTTGATTGGGCGTGCAATCGGCGGTCTTTTGAACGGAAATATTGGTGTCATTCAGACCATGGTAGGAGAGTTGGTCTCCAAACCAGAGCATGAGCGTAAGTCATCACGTCCCCCTCGCGCCGCATCCATTTGACACATAGCTAACACTTGATAGCACGCGCCTACTCTGTAATGCCTTTCGTTTGGAGCATCGGCACTATCATCGGGCCTTGTATTGGCGGCACCTTTGCCGACCCTCATGTTTCCTGGCCCAGCGTATTCCCGAAGGGGAGCTTGTTTGAGAGATTCCCTTATCTTCTCCCAAACCTGCTCTGCGCTGCGCTGCTTGGTCTCAGCATTGTCCTAGGTTTTTTCCTGCTTGATGAAACCCACCCTGATATGCAACCCCGCATATATCTCCCAGCAGATGCCTATGTGTCTGAGGAGACCCCGCTGATTGAGACATCAGATGCAATGAAGCGTCCTGCAGTGGATCTCCGATCCGAGACATACGGCACCATTCAGACCGAGCCTGAGCCTGAAAATGGCATCGCCCGTGAAAAGTCCGGTGGGGAAAACATTTGGACCAAGCAAATCATTGGCTTGATTCTTGCCCTGTGTATCTTCACATATCACTCAATGACATACGACCATCTGATGCCCATCTTCTTTGAAGATGACCGTGCCCCAACCAAAGAGCTGGTAGGCAACATGGCAAATTGGTCATCTCTCTTCTATTCGCCAGGCGGTCTCGGCTTGTCCGTCCGCTCCGTCGGGATGATCATGGCTGTCAACGGAGTTATTGCCCTGTTTGTTCAAGCCGTCATCTTCCCCATTGCTGCGGAACGGATTGGTGTGTACAAACTCTTTCTCATTGTCACTGTCTTGCACCCGATCGCCTATGTGATCGTCCCTATTCTCAGTTCCGTTCCCGAAACCATGCTCTTCACTTCAATCTACCTGTGCCTTGCGGTTCGCAACACTCTCTCTATCACCCTCTACCCGCTTCTCTTGATTTTACTCAAAGAAGCCACTCCATCTTCCAAAGCCCTCGGCAAGGTCAATGGCCTAGCCGCGAGTGCCGGTGCTGCTTTCCGTATGGTGGCACCGCCTGTCGCAGGATATCTGTATACCTTTGGGAGTCAGCTTGATTGCACAGCACTAGCCTGGTATGGAAGCGCCCTCGTTGCCGTCATCGGCTCCGTTCAGTGCTTCATGGTACCACGTCAACCAAATCACGAATTATCTGAAGAGTGCGGCATTTCGCGCCAGCACTCCGCTTCCTCCGCTGAAGTTTCAGTGGAGAGTAACTAAAAGTTTGTGTTTTTTTTCCCAACACATTTGTTACACTTCAAAACCCAAGCTGCGGTCTTCTGTCTCATTATCAGCGCGAAGTTTTCAGGGAGCATACTTCTGCTATAGTTGACCTCATCGCAGTTCTCAGGTTCTAAATTGGCAAAGATAGTTGGCAGGTTATGATCAGGTCAGTTGCTACAACAGGCCCGAATAGAGATATTAAATGGGCTTGGCATGTCTAGAGGAGACACGTTGTGCTTTTGGTTCTTGTTTACATTTTCATGCAAAAGCAAGCGAGCTAGTTTCACATGATTGAGCGAAGCTTGTATTTACAGACATCTTTGAGTTATTAAGCGTTCATGAACAAAAATATAATTATTATGCCATCATTTACTCTCTAGACATATGACAAGTGCCCTCCATAATCCGGTAGTTTAGTACTGATGGGAACATTGATAAGAAAAAAAATGAAGTGTATGAAATGGTGATACTTGAGAAGGATATTTACAGAAAAAGGAGGCAAAAATTTAGTCAATCAATTCTTATAGGAACAGCCCGATGCGGGGGTCGAACCCGCAACCTTGAGATGTGAACTCGTAAGAGTCTCACGCTCTACCGATTGAGCTAACCGGGCACCATTGCTGGTGATCTGAGTTGAAGTGAAAAGAGATATTTGCTATTATATTAGCTACTCATATGATAACTGATCTTGAAAGCGTTTTTACAATAAAAATTGACAATAATTTGCCTAATAAATAGTATTGTGACTCTTGTGCTCTTGTTGTCTCCATCTCTATCAGGTTGTAGAGATTTCTACCAAATCGGTGAAAAAGGTTCACGAACCTTCCACACTACACGAAAAATTGGAGAAGCTTGTCAGGCATGTGTCAATCCCGATAAAGCTGGAATAGAGATATACGGCCAGGGAAGAAAACCAACAAACTTCAAAAACTGGGCAGCTGTGCCAAATCAAGAAACAGAAAAAAAACAGCATCAAAATGGCATCGTTTGAAGAGCTCACGGAGCAGATGGCCAACGCCATGCTGGCGCAGCAAAACTCGAGCACAGCAGCCGGGAATGGCAACAAAAACTCGACCAGGCCCGACCTGCCGCCGTCCTTCGCCCGGCACGAGGGCATGACGGTGGACGAGGTCTTCCGGGACCTGAACAAGTCGCCGCTGTTCATGACGGAGCTGGAGGACAACGACGACGTGGCGGCGCTGCAGGCGCTCGCTTACGAGGGGACGGCGCTGGAGAACGCGGCGGGCTTCAAGGAGCGCGGTAATGAGTGCTTCAAGGTGCGCGGGTTCGTGGACGCCAGGGAGTTCTACACCAAGGGGATACTGGTCCTCGCGGCCGAGGAGCGCAAGCGCGCCAAGGGGGAGGTGACGAGGAACCCGGAGGGCGAGGAGGACTCGGAGGAGGAGATCAAGGAGCAGAGGAAGATGCTCGAGGCCATGTACGGCAACCGGGCGGCGTGCCACCTGGAGCTGCGCAACTACCGCAGCTGCTGGATCGACTGCGCTGCGGCGCTGCGGCTGAACCCGGCCAACGTCAAGGCGTGCTACCGGAGCGCGAAGGCCCTGCTAGCCGTAGACCGCATCGAGGAGGCGGACGACGTGTGCGCTCGAGGATTGGAGCTGGATCCGGAGAACAAGGCGCTGCGCGGGGTGGCGGACGACATCATCAAGCGGGCCAAGGTGGTGGATGCGAAGCGGAAGAAGGACGCCGAGCGGGCTGCGACTGAGAAACGGAGGGAGATTCTGCTGCAGGCGGCGATACAGGCGCGCGGGATCCCGACTCGCAGGACGGAGAAGCCGCCTGATATGGAGGACGCGGGGATAGCGCTGGTGCCGAACCCGGACGACCCGCGGAGCGAGCTATCGTTTCCTACGCTGCTGCTGTACCCGGTTCACTTCGAGACGGACTTTATCAAGGGCTTCAACGAGACTCATACGCTGGACGACCACCTGGGCTATGTGTTCCCCCTGCCATGGGATCGTGAGGGCGTGTATACGCTGACAAACGTGGAGTGCTATGTTGAGACGATGGAGGGTGGTCTTCTAAAGATGGGCAGGAAAGTCCCTCTGCTCAAGGTTCTGAGTACTGGCAAGGTCGAGGTTGTGGATGAGGTGGTGCGGATATACGTTCTCCCTAAAAAGGAGGCAGAGGGATGGATAAAGAAGTTTAAGGAGCAAAAGGCAGCCATGAAGAGGTAACGAGTATACACAAAAGTTCTGCGATGACAACGATGCAATGAATTTCTCTATCAAATAAAAAAAAAAAACAATAAATGCCCAGGTGACTGGTTCCAATCTGAAATCTATGGCTGATGGTTTCTCGTAGACATAATGAACTATTTTGGGATATATCAAAAGCAACTTTTTTGTTATCGGGATGCCTTAGCCATCCGATACTGTCCATCCCACTTAACATAATCCTCCTAGTAAACAAAGAAATCGCTTTCCCTTCCTGGGGTATCAGAGCGTTGGGTTAGCAAATGTGCCAACTACAATGCTCTCAAACGGAGCCGTATCTTGGGCGAGGTTCTATCGGGTTTGAACCCAGTGCCTGATTTCTGCAGTAATTGCCGATGTTCATGAGAACTGCTGCTGCCTCCATCTCTTCGTAGGAGTAATTCCTCCCGTCCAGAGTGATGGTATGTCTGGGGTCGGGCTGAGTCTGAATCAGCCTGGGATCCAACTGGATCTGATCACACGGCCGTGACTCGAGAGAACATCCCAGAGGTGTATGGCTTGGCAGTGCCGGAACTGCGTTTTGAACATTGATACGAGGCGCTGTGGGCACTCTGCTCTGAATGTCTGCTTCTGCTTCAAGCCGAGGTCGCTTGGGTCTCTCCTGACTTTCAGGGTAGCGTAGCCAATATCGGGTCTCGTTCTCTGTCCGGCCTCGTTTCTGAGTTGTTGGCAAAGCAGAAATTTGGTCTATTTTCGGTTGTCGGACGGGTGTAAATAATGTATTGGGGTGGGTTGGAAGATCTGGCTCCGGCTCGGAGTTGATGGAAGGCAGATGGTTCTCGTCAGTCAGGGGTGGACCAAACCCGGTGCCATATTGATCAGGCCATGGCATACCGCCACTGGCTGATCGGCTATGCTGAATGGATTCGCTTGTGCGGTGTTTACGAGAGTCAGCTCCCAGAAACGGGTTGATGATCAGATCTTGCTCTGATTTCTGTCGAGAGTGTTCGGTTGGTTGATACCCTTGACGCGGGTAACTGGTCGGTCTCTTCGTAAGGCTGAGACTGGAATGGCGGTAGGCAGTAATCTCATGACTGGCCTCGCGGATCAGACGTTCATCAATAACCATGCGTCCGAAGAGGGCCGTGCCGGGTCGAATGCAGTCGTCGGGGAACGTCGGGCCAAAGATGGGAATCAACGCGCCTGCTATCGGGTAGCAGAACGTTGCGCAGACTGCTCTTGCGCATTGATAGGGAACCCAGTAACCTGAGATAGAGAATGTCAGTCGTCGGCCTCAATCATCTACACCGAGTGTTCCTGTCAGGGAGGGAGACTCTACCTTGGGCCACACGGTTCCCGCCCGTCATGTGAAACGTCACGTCCCGCAGTCCCTTGTTTAAATCCAACATCTTGGCCGGGCCGGTCTTGTATTGATTAGCGGTAGTTCGAATGGTCAGTGTTAGTGTACAATAGCCCATACCTTCTTGTGTCCACGGCTTTTGAAGAAAGGGCTGATACGGACGAAACCACCAACGTAGTCCCACATCACATCGTACGCCCGGCTGTCACTCGGATCGGTGAATTTGTAAACAAAAACTAAATGCAGTTTTTAGTACGGGGAATCGAGGGTCGGAGGACATGCAAGACCAAGGCGGCAAACTTACCATGGAAGCTCTCCCGTCCTGTCTTCTCGAAGACGTCCTTTTTGTCGCTGCTGTAGGGGATGTGGGCACAGTACTGGCCAATCTCGCCAAACGGATAGATCCCAAAGCTCTGGATCTGGCTGTAGGCTTCTCTGTCAAGGTCTTCAAAGGGAGGGTACTTGATAACACCTTGGGGCCTGGTGTATGTCAAGTCGCTGGAGTCCCGGGACTTCTTTTTTCGGGGGAACGGTTGCTGGTCCAGCCCAGGAATCATTGAGTCGTTTAAGTCCGACGATGGTGATGATAGCTCCGACCCCGATTGTTGCGAGAATGGAGATCTTGTGCGAGTCGTGCCATGGTTGAGGATGGATTGGATTGGAAGCATGTTTCGGTCAGCCGGTATTGCTCGTGCGTAGGAGGAAGCGACCAGACGGTTGATTTAGTTGTTTAAAGATGAGGAGAAAGCGATGAAATGGTGGTTTGTCTTTTTCCAAGTTATTGTGAGCACAAACTTCTTGAGGGAGCAATCAACGATATAAGAGAATGGGCAGCTTCGTCACCGACAATACACAATACTGCGAAAAGGCGGGAAGGGGAACTGACCTAGGCGGTAAAGGACTACGTCTAGAACCAGCCCAGCTGCATATTGCGCCGGGTGTAGATGATGAAGCAGGCAGACTGGTTTAGTCCCAATCCCACTGTGACCAACAGAATGCTGGCCGGTCCCGATGGTCCAGCTGTATCCTTGGGCTGGCCTGTGAGATAGCAGAACCGTTCTCTGGTGTACCCACCCTTATTTTCAGAAGAACTTAGACGAAAGCCACAATGTGATAGCCTCACAGGAAATCTGACAGAAAATAGAAACCAGAGGTCTACTTTTTGGGTGTAACTTGGAAGTAGTGACTAAGGGAGCAGGCAAACGCATCAAAACCGTCGGACCGCCATCGGCTACTCTAGCGACAGGTCATGGGGAACTGTCACGCACATGAAAAAGTTTACTTCCTATGGTACTATGTCTCAAGAGCTCGGGTTTCCCACGGTGTTCTCAGCCCTTTGGCTCAAATGTCCCAGCCGCCGGATTATGAAGATACCTTCATCGACACAAAGCAGGCCAATCTCTTGTACTATGAACACAGTGGAAGTATACCAATTCCACCCCCCCCTGCTGCTGTCTCAAGCCACAGTTTATGGTTCGCTTTGAGAGGTATCAAGTACATGCTGGGCGAAACCACTCCGCCGTGTACTTAGCCTAGACCCTCTTGAAACGAGGAGGAGAGACGGGAGTTGTATGCAGCGGGTATGGGTATTAGAGACGCAAGTCCCAGATCGTACTGGCTGGCCAGGGGCACAATACGGTTCAGTGGATGTACCTTGAGGGGGTGTGTATAGTTAGCTGAACATGGGTCAGACGGATGAAGGCATCAATCACACTTGGCCCATGCACCTTGCTCATCGTGTCACACGGGGTGGAGGACCTACAACTTGCAACGATGGACCGGTCAATCAGCCCAATATTCCGGCATAGAAACCTGTCCTGTGTGTTTGGCATTGCCAATGTCTGGACGAAGTAGTAGACACCAGAGGAGAAGGGCTCGTAGTGACCATGCTCGCCGAATTGTGGTCTTAGATCTCTGAAATATATCTCTGCAGAAGAGCACGAGGTACGGATACATCAGGGCCAGTCAATATTGTGGGTTGGAACACCTTCGAGCTTATTTCCAGCCGGTGTAGGGCATCTCGTCCCATCTCTCACGAGGGATTGATGTGCTTGATGCACCAGTGGGAGGCAAAGAGAGGCCATTCCGCAAAAGCTGTGATGTGTAGCTGCCAGGTTTTCATATATTGGTCCCGTGGTGAGTGACACAAATCGACAGGAAATTCTCCGATTAGGCACAAGCTTGGTCGTTGACACCAGGGGGATATGACCTTGGAAATTCCTCATCATATTCTGACGTATAGATGCCTCCTCTGGTCAGTTATCATCGTGCCCTTGTTTCTTTTTCTCAACTTCGAGATGCCTTCGCAACAAAGCTAGAAGCCTGTACTTCCGAACTCGTGTACCTGTCCGGGAACGGGACCCCCGTGGGTGTCTTTCCAAGAAGAGAGTAGGCGAAGCACTGTACAAAAGCCACGATGCAGAACTTGTCAATAGACCTCACTTGATGCGTGCTGCTAGTTTGTGACATCATGGAATCACGCGGCAGCGGCTCGGCAATGCTGTGAAGAGATCTGATACGCGGCCCCTGACACGTACGTAATGAAGAGGCATCAGCCGAACCTCTCGCTTGACTGAGAGGTCAGCGATTCCATACCAGCTACTGCCACCCTGGTAGCAATACGCGGCGAGGCCGGCACTATGGGCGCCACCCAACAGAAGACGGGTTCTGGTGAGGACTGCAACCATACTCTAAGCTTATCCTAGATAGCCAGAGGATTTCATTGAGTCACCCTGGCGGGATTTAGCACGCCAGATCACTCCAGGTTTCAGCGTCTCCCACAGAACTCGTTTGTGGCACGAGAGTGTGTGTGCGTGGACCAGCCATCAAAACCATATCCATGTAGCACCCGCAAACGCTGAAACCGTTGAGCACGTCGATTTCGGAGCATTCTCCCTTCTTTCCTCAAACCCGCGTTGCCATGAACGCCCTGTGGCACATGATGGCAGTGTGGGAGAGTCAAGTTTGACAAGTTGTTTTGTCTTGGTGCGGCCAAACGCCTGCATCGAGTCGCCATGGCACAATGCAAGGAAAAGTGTCATTCTCACCAGCATGGAGCAGCGGGGGATCCAGATTCTGGTAAGACCAGGACACATCGCACTTGTTTCTGCTTGACCAACCATCCCAATCCAGTGGTGCGAGACACCGAGCAGCCCCCAAGGCTGGGTAATAATTGTCCCTGGCTGCGCTCTCTTGACGATCCCTTCACGCAGGGCTGCTCAGCAGAAGTGAAAAGCCCCAGAGGTGGCTCGCCCATCGACTCTCGGATTGCATATCAACATACGACCAAGTATGAACATTAAGGGTATAGGCGATCTTTGTGGTAAAGGGGCAACCGAATTCTGCTGCATTGTTGCCAACCGTAAACCCTCTTAACATAGCTACGACTTACCACTCACTCACTCCACTGTCTGGCAAGAAAGAAGGGGCAACAGGTATTGATTGATCATCTTGACAGACTTCACTGTCGACGTCTGGCATTTCTGTCTAGCGAAGCCATCGCCACCGATGAAGCACGCCAGTAATGCATGTGCCTGCCAATCCATCCCAGCATCGCCTATCAGAGAACTGCTCAAACAGCGTGCCCAGCAAATATCCACCACTAGGACATGGGCGCTGGTATGCCATCGGACAGATAATTGCAGTGGCAGCAGTGAATCCATTCCATTCAACGACGAGATAAAAAGGTACCTGGCACAGCAGGTGGAACGTGGGCCTTTGTTGATGTACCTCTCTATCCACAGTCCGGCAATCGTCCCTCCATTGTTGTTGAGCGTTGACCGACTGCCTAGGTAAATTAATCCTCGTACCGTCTCAAGGTACCCGAGACCTGCCGTGACGCAGAGTTGCCGTGGCCGCATCAGTACCCTGTACAGAGCAGAAATCCACGCCAACGGCAGCAGGCACTCCCGCCCAGACCTTCCCGTCTGTGCATCGCGGCAGTCCCAACCGCCAAACAAAACAATTTGTGCATGACTAAAGAGGATAAGCTCGGGTAACACAAAACGCGCCGTGGAGGCTCACCCCTGAAGCAGAGATTCCCCACCGCAGAAGTCAACAGAGCGCGTGTCAAAAGTTTGGTTGTTTACTTTGGCGCTTGGTCGGTGCTACGACAACAACCCTCCCATCGCCATCATCTCGACGGACGAGCCATCTTCCATCGTCCTGGCCCAGCGCGTGCGATCAGTTCTATTCTCGCCGCTCTGTGCGCGGCCCCCGGTTGTCGCGCCCTCGAATCGCCATTTTCTCTTGTCTTACGTTCGATGTCCAAAACTGCGACCGCATATTCCACTGTCGATTTCAACCACGATCCGCACCGCGAGCGCTTCATCGTGTAAACTAGCCAAGATGGATTCAGATGATAATTCGATGTTCAGCATGGGGGAGGAGTCGGATGGGTATGCTCCAGAGCCAGTGAGTATTTTTTCTCTTTAATCTGTCGAGTATCAATCACATGTCACCTCCACCTCACTAGGTTCTTGACATCGTCCTCACCTTGTGTTCGGTTTGCAAGTGCGCTGAATGCAAGGTGATATCGCAAAAATTTCTATTCATTAGACCTTGCGATGATCTTCTCACCTTCCCCCCAACCACATACCCTGGCCTCGATATATCACCTCCCCCACATCACAAGCTCGCGCGCGCACCAAGTCAAAGGCAGAAAATACTCACCAGTTGGTACAGAAGAAAACCAAGGCCCCAGGCAAAAAGGCTGCTGCCCCCAAGAAGAAGATGGTTCAAACCACGTTGAAAACGAAGGCAGCGCCTAAGAAGCGCGCTATTCCAGATGACGACGAGTCTGCGGTTACAGACTTCGCCAACACGCCCCCCAAGGCCAAGAAATTAAAGCAGGATCCTCCTGCAAAGCGACCCAACGGGAATCCTCTAGCAGAGCTGGAGAATGACAGCATGGTTCTTGATGAACCCTCAGCCCCCACGACCAACGGCAGCAAGAAAACTGCCACAGAGACGTACCAGAAATTGACCCAGCTTGAGCACATCATCAAGCGTCCGGATACCTATATCGGCTCTGTCGAGCATACCGAACAACAAATATGGGTCTACAGCAAGGAAACCCAGCAGATGGAGTACAAGACCATCAACTATGTCCCCGGTTTCTACAAAATCTTTGACGAAGTCATGGTTAATGCTGCCGATGCCAAGCAGCGCAACCCCTCAATGACACACATGAAGGTCACCATTGACAGGGAGGCTGGTGAAATATCTGTGGAGAACAACGGCACAGGTATCCCCGTGGAAATGCACGAAAAGGAAAAAATCTATGTTCCAGAGCTCATCTTCGGCCATCTTCTGGCTGGTTCCAACTTTGATGACAGTGAGAAGAAGACTGTTGGTGGTCGAAACGGTTATGGTGCAAAGCTTTGCAACGTATTCAGTACCGAATTCACGGTCGAAATTCAAGACAGCGAGAGGGGTAAACGATATAAGCAGACGTGGACCGACAACATGCAAAGGATGGGTAAAGCTAAGATCACATCCAACAAAACATCAAGTTTCGTCAAGGTCACATTCAAGCCTGATTTTGCCCGCTTCGGCATGACAGACGGCATAAACGACGATATGGAGAGTCTTCTGATGCGCAGAGTGTATGACATGGCAGGAACAGTCCGAGGCATCAAGGTCTATCTCAACGGTGAGCATATCAAGCTCAAAGATTTCAAATCCTACTGCAACCTGTATGCCAAGGCCATTGCCAAAGAACGGACAGAGGAAGAAGGAGGAACACCATCGACGGTTGTCGAGATCGACAATGACAAAGGACATCCCAGATGGGAGGTCGGTTTCACAGTGTCGGACGGTACCTTCCAGCAAATCTCTTTCGTGAACTCCATTGCCACCACCACTGGAGGAACCCATGTCAACTACATTGCGGATCAAATTACAGCGCATTTGCTCAAGACTCTCACCAAGAAGAAGAAGGGACACAGTTTAAAACAGAATCACCTCCGGAATCACATTTTCGTCTTCATCAACTGCTACATCGAAAACCCTGCCTTCAACTCGCAAACAAAGGAGCAAATGACCACAAAACTGAGCCAGTTCGGTTCCAAGTGTGTGCTTGGCGAAGATTTCCTCAAGAAAGTTGCCAAGTCCGACGCTCTCGAAAACATCATGGACTTTGCCGAGAAGAAGGCCGATAAGATGTTGGCCAAGAGTGATGGTAGCAAGCGTTCTCGTGTCAGCAACGCCAAGCTCGTAGAGGCCAACTTGGCTGGCACCAGGAGGGGCCACGAATGTACGCTCATTCTGACTGAAGGTGACTCTGCCAAGGGTTTGGCAGTAGCGGGCCGAGCTATCCTTGATCCAGATCGAATCGGGGTGTTCCCTCTCCGTGGAAAGCTGCTCAACGTTCGCGATGCTTCCGTTGATCAGATCACCAAGAACCAAGAAATCCAGAATATTAAACAATTCCTGGGACTGAAGCATAAACAAGTCTATACGGATACCAAGACGCTTCGATATGGTCACTTGATGATCATGACTGATCAGGATCACGATGGAAGTCATATCAAGGGTCTTCTAATTAACTTTCTCCAAGTGCAATTTCCCTCACTTCTTAAGATACCTGACTTCCTTCAGGAGTTTATCACACCCATCGTCAAAGTCTGGCAAGGATCTGATCCCAAGAAGCCTTCAAGATTGAGATCGTTTTTCACTCAGCCAGAGTACCAGGAGTGGAAAGATGCTCACGCAAATGAGCTCACTCGATGGCACAGCAAGTATTTCAAGGGTCTGGGAACAAGCGATGACAAAGACGCCAAGGTGTACTTCACGGACCTGGATAAACATTTAAAGAAGTTTGAGACGATGAAGGCAGAGGAGGTTCCACTTTTCGATTTGGCATTCTCAAAAAAAAAAGCTGATGCTCGAAAGGAATGGTTGGGCAACTTTGTGCCAGGCACTTTCCTTGACCATACAACGAGAACCATCTCATACGATGACTTTGTGAACAGAGAGCTTATTCTGTTCAGTATGGCAGATAACATGCGATCGATCCCGTCTATCATTGATGGACTGAAACCTGGTCAGCGAAAAGTCATGTATGGATGTTTCAAGCGTAACTTGACCAAGGACAAGAAGGTAGCCGAACTCAGTGGTTACATCTCCGAACACACAGCTTATCATCATGGAGATGTCTCGCTCCAGCAGACAATTGTTGGCCTTGCTCAGAATTTCATTGGATCTAACAATGTCAACTGTTTGGAGCCCAGCGGAAACTTCGGCTCCCGTCTTGCTGGAGGCTCCGATGCCGCCAGTCCCCGTTACATTTTTACTAGACTGTCTCCCTTCGCGCGAAAGGTATTCCATCCTTTGGATGAGCCGAACCTCGACTTTCAATATGACGACGGGAATCGCATTGAGCCCACGACCTACTTCCCTGTTATTCCAATGGTGTTGGTTAACGGTGCCGATGGCATCGGTACTGGTTGGAGCACCAATATCCCCAACTATCACCCGATAGACATCGTCAAGAATATCAAGCGCCGCATGGGTCGCCTCGACCCAGATGATCCAGAGGAAAAGCCTTTCGAAACGATGCTGCCATGGTTCAAGGGCTGGAAGGGCGCCCCCGAAGTAGCCGGCCCCGACCGTTACAAGTTCAACGGCATCGCTACTCTAAGCGAACTAAACCCTAACGAAGTGGTCATCACCGAACTTCCCATCCGAGTGTGGACTGATGACTTTAAGGCAAGACTTGAGAAAATCATCAGTGGCACCGACGGCCCCAGCTGGATCAAGGATTACAAGGAGTTCAACGATTTCGATACTGTTCATTTCGAGATCCAGGTCGATGAAAAGCACATGCCGAAAGTGCTCGAAGAGGGTATTCTAGAGCGTTTCAAGCTTCTGAAGCAGGTCGCCACTTCCAATCTCGTTGCATTCGATAGCCGAGGCCAAATTCGCAAGTACGAAAAGGTGGAAGACATTCTAGAAGAGTATTATACTCATCGTTTTGCCAAATACACGGAGAGAAAGGTGAATGCATATCTACATTGGCTTGATGGAATTGAAGACTAACAAAGATAAACAGGACCACTGGCTCAGGGTTTATCACGCCGACTATCGGAAACTGCAGAACCAGGCTCGTTTTATCAAAGAAATCATTGACGGCGAGCTCAAGGTGGGCAAGAAGAAGAAGGTGGTGCTTGTAGAAGAACTCCGTGAGCGAAAGTACGAGGCTTTCCCACCAGCCGCCCATGGCAAGAAGAACAACACAGAAGAAGAAGATGCGGATAAAGAGGATGACGAGGATGATACTCCTGGACCAGGTGGTAGTCACGATTACGACTATCTCCTCTCAGTAAGTGTTACCCATGTGCACCCGACGTAGGATTGTCAACTAACCTAGTCACACTAGATGCCTATTTGGTCTCTAACAGCTGAGCGTCTTGACAAACTTAATGATGCTATTGCTAGAAAAAAGAAGGAGCACGATGATCTCCAAATGCTGAGCGAAAAAGATCTGTGGTGTCAAGATCTGGACGAGTTTGTTCAGGTTTGGGACGAGCAAGCGCGTCTTGAGGCCGAGATCAAGACAGGAATTCGTCGCTTGGGTCGCCGAGCGTCCAAGAAAATAGGAGCTGGCCGCGGACGCAAAGCCAAGGACGAAGATGCTTATGAGCCAGAAAAGAAGAGTCGTGCCAAGGCTAAGCCAAAGGCTGCAGCACCTGTCAAGGTTGAAACGAAGAGCTCACAGAGGTTCGCGGCAATGTTCGATGCCGATCCAAAGCCTAAAAAGGACAAGGAGCCAAAGGTTGAACCAAAAGAAGAAGATGACTTCTCTGATGATGATTTCGCCGCGCTTAGCAGGGGCAAATCGAAACCGGCAGCTGCCCCATCTCGTGTCCTGTCAGAGTCAGTGGAACCTGAGCCTTCACGTAATGGCAAACGGGCAGCAGCGTCAAAGGCGAAAACCTATTTCGACGTCGACTCTAGCAGTGACGACGACGATCAAATGCTTGACGACATCGGCGCCCTCGTAAAGGGCATTGGCGAGCCGAAGCAAGAGTCAAGTGGGAGGCTAAGTCTTCACGCGATGAGCCGACCCGAGTCCAGCCATGGCCACAACGGTTCCAGTAGTCTGTCCAAACACAAGGCTAAAGCATCCAGAGTATTGGACGAAGACAGCCCTGATGAGACAAACTACGAACTCTTAGCAAAGTCGTCCCCTCACAAAGCAACCGCCAATGCCGATGTTGGTATTGACAGCTTCCTTTCCGATGATGAGCCAGCGCCCAAGCCGGCACCAGCCCCAGCGAAGGAATCGTCGGCTGACAAGGCGCCCGCGGGCTTATCCCAGGTGAAGAAAGCAAGGGGTCGACCAGCAGGTGCGAAGAGCAAGGGTAAAGATGCTCCAACCTCGGCAGCCGTTCCCAAACCCAAGGCGAAGAAGCCCGCCGCAAAGCAGACAACACTATCTCCAGCAGCCAAAGCATATGCTGCCAAGAAGGCAGTAAAGAAGACAGTTGTCGACGAGGATTCTGACCTGGAGATGGAAGATTCACCCGCACCAAAACCTGCAGCACGCAGTCGACCAGGAAGAGCAGCTGCTGCAAGGCGGCCTCTAGTAATTGACGACGACTCATCACTAAATCTAGATGAACAAGACGACGAGAGCGAAGATCCTTTTGAGATGGATGACGATGATGACTAAAGCTGTTATAGTTATATCTTTCCTTTTACTTTCTTGAGGCTATCTTATCCAGTGCTTTTCTTACTGTACTCTCTCTCGCTACATTATTTGCTAGCAAATCACTGTTGCTCATGTTCCCAACAATTACCATCCGATAGCTAGATATCCAAGTAATGTTCTTATTCAGATGTCCAGCGACGACAGAACTCCTTTGCTTATGAATCAGTACCACTCAAATTGCATTATTTTTCGAGGTTCTACAAGAGGGTGAATTCATGATCTCAAACTACCATGTGCAAAGCAAAATGGAGCGGAACAAGGCATGTGTGCATGTAGCCGCCTACGTATACCATATTAAAGAACAAGCTAACCAGTTTAAACTACATGAAAAATGGTGCTACAACAGAGCAGATTGAAGAAGATATTGATAATCATGCATTGCCCACTAGCACCACCCTGATGCTTCTGGATTCCAGAAATTTCTTATCTTATCTTATCTTATCTAAGGCTGGAGGGGTCTTCGTCAGTTTACTCACCAGCTACGCCTTCTTCTATTGAACAGTGGCTGCGACAAGCATTTGTCTTTGGTCACAGATTTTCTCGGTACAGTGTGCGAGAATGGATGCATCAGACACGCCGCAGTCTCTGCGCGCGCTCTTTGATGCCGCTGAGGCGAAACGTCAAATAGTTGAGAGCTCCTACGACGGCTCCTCCCCAACCTACGCCTCAGAGCTTGAAGCTGCCATTTCTCTCTATACCAAGACTCATGAGGCTATAGCGACCAGCTCTCTATTCTCTCCCAACGAGGGTATCGAGGATGTGTCAACATCAGAGCTCCCCTTCCTCCTCACCTCCTTCTACATTGCTGAACTTGTCCAAAAAACACCCCGACTACAACCCCAAGAACGGATACCGGTCCTTCGCCGTGCTCGCCTCGCCTACGATGCGTTCCTGAATCTCGTAGATGCTTACGGCTTGGTGAAGTCGCCTTACGACCGCCTCCTCGAGCGCTACCAAGATGACCGAGACGCTTTCGCTCTCGTCCCCAACACGGCCGACGCTGCCGCCAAGCGGAATGGCAAGATTGCGAGCTTCAAGGCCGAGAAGGCCCTCAAGGAGAAGCTCTCTATCCTAAAAGCGAACCCGCGCTACCTCGAGAACGGAGACGAGGAGCTTGTCCGCGAGCTCTACCTCACCAACACGCTGTTCTGCATCCACACGACGTTCACCTCCCTCGACTACCTCAACCGCGAACTCTCGCTCCTCTCCCTCGCGCCGCCGGCGCCACCCGCAGCAGCGCAAACAGATCCAAGCAGGCCGCCGCCGGAGGTGGACCATACTCTGCGCCTCGATCAGCCCATGAGCCAGCTCCTCGGCAGAGGCGGCCCGCTCCTGTCCAAGGAGGGCAAGCCCCTCCAGCCCTTCACGTTGTTGGGATCCGGGTCGAGGCAGGAGCTGCGGCGAGGGGTGTTCCGGTCCGGGCACAATCTGCCGACCATGTCGATCGACGAGTATCTGGAGGAGGAGCGGCGGCAGGGCAACATTCTCGAAGGCGGCACGCAGCCCAAGACGGTGGTGGACGAAGACGACATGGATGCGGTGGATCGGGAGACGTACAAGGCCAGAGCCTGGGATGATTATACGGATGATAACCGGAAGGGGTCGGGAAACACGCTCAACATGGGTTAGACTGGCATTAAACGAAGAAGAAAAGATTGAGGTTTGGGTGGGATATCATGGGCAGGCGTTTAGGCGCAGGGAGGCACAGGGAGCACAAGGGCTGCAACCCATGGCATGTCTAAACGAGAAAAACCTGGACAATGTGACAGTCTCTTGTCGTTGCCAGTTGGACAACGAAAATTTGTGTTTTTAGTCAGGTTTCTAACAGAAGTACCCGATCGATTTCGTTTCCCAATTTTGATATTACTGGAATAGTTCTATCCGAGGCCGAGGCTGAACTCTTTACCTGAGACAACGGCCACTCGAGATTAAGAACGAAACGAATTGAGGGGAGCGCAGTCGCCTCATCACAGAGCTCAGTTTTGGGACTTTGAGCCAAACTTCATCATTGCTCAAGAAATGCCCGGAGGCATCTGATCCCCGAGTGGAACAGATAAAATTGATAAACTTGACCCAGCCTTTTGAGAGCTCAGCCTTGGGCTGCATCCAGGCTTCGTTGCTCCAGTAGTGCCCGAAGCCGTCTGCTCCTCGAGTGGAACAGGCAATCAGTAAGTTGTATTTGAATATGTCTCTTGACCCAGATTTTGAGAGAGCTCATTCTTGGATTGCATCGTGGTTCCATCATTGCTCTAGTAGTGCCCGAAGGTCCCCTCTCCCCTTCTCCCCCTCAAGAGCAATAGGCATTCAGTAAGCTATTATCTTGCCCTCATGAAAAAAAAAGAGCGTGGTTGGGGTATTGTTAGAATTTGGTTATTGCTCAAGAAGTGCCCGAAGGCTCGGCCTGCCCCTCAAGTGGAACAGGCAATCAGCAAGTATGGCGTGCCAGGCGCCCACCCAGAAGAAAGAAGAAAGAAGAAAAGCTGTTCCTGAACGAGAGCGTCTACCGATTTAAATACTACACATTCTTTACCCCCCTCTGAATAATAAAAAAAACCTCAATTTCCCTCCAAGTCACTCACTCAAGGTTCAAGCCAAACCCAGCGTTCGCTCTACAAAGAAAGTTTGGAGTTCTCTGATTTGCCGCCGCGGAACTGTATGGCCGTATTGATGGAATAAGATTCGTTGGTTGACGCCCGATTCAGCTGCAAAACTTAGACAGCTGAGGCACTTTCCTTGATATAGAAGCAAATATATAGGTCTCTAAGTGTGCCATTTTTTCGAGGGGCGTTGTGCAAGTGTTCATCCTTGCATCATTTACATGATTTCGGACAAGGAGGTGCCATGTATTGACAAGTTCTGCAGTATATCTTCTATAGCTTTGCTTTCCCAGAAAGAAAATCACCCGAGTTCTATCCGGTTGGTTTTCGGATTGAGCGCTAGTGGCCAACGCCGAAACAGTATGAGCAGGTTACGAGAGTGAGATGGGCTGCGTGATGTTTCATATAGATACCTGGGCAAGGTAGATACTCGCGTGTATAAGGTGAAAGAGGTCCTATGATCTAGCTTGATCGAAATTAAAATAAAGAAAACAACTTCTCCGCCGAAGTAAGTGGCTTCTGTGAAGCAATAGAATCGAATTCCGTGCTGTGATCTTCTATGTTGGTGCTTTGTTAGAACACCGATTTACAACGGCGTGTATCCCATTTAACAATTTTCTTGAACCAGCCCTTGGGATTGAAGTTCAGTGTAACTTTAGGATAAGCGATTGAGAAAAGATATATACATCTCCATGGCTCTGCTCTGCTTCATCTTCATTGTTGATGTTGAGATTGGAACACTCGAAAAGATTAAGTGCCAGGTCGAGAGTTTCTTCTGTCCTCTTCCTCTCCTTCCTCGGAAAATGTTACTATTGAGGTCGTCTTCTACACCGCTCGCTTCTCCTTCCGAGTGGCTGGATTCCTCACGGATAGACGAAGTATCGAAATAATGTGGTTCTCGCCAACCTCCATCCCGCTCATGGCGGCCATGGCAGTGAACTCGAGCGAACAGGTAGTCAGAATGATCAAGGTCTTGACTCCATTTTCTCTATTTTCATTCTGATTTAGGACAAATCCCTAGGTTCTACATAGCTACTGTTGACAACCCTCTTATCGTCGCCCAACTTGCCAAAATTAAAAATTATCTGAGTATAACAATCTAACAGCAGTGTCAATTCCACCCAATTTTCATTATCCTTCATGTCTTGTCGTTTCTTGTTTTTTTGCTATCATTTTTTGTCGTTATTTATCGTCATTTCTTGTCGTGTCTTGTTGATTTTTTTGGTTTTACTCGAGCTTCACTCGAGCGCGGAGTCGTTGTAAATATTACCATCGAAGTTATCGTCGAAATCATCGTCGAAATCATCTCCAAAGGATGTGATAGTTTCGTCGGACATGGAGTCATCATCCCTGGGAACCGACATATCCACGTCGTCCAGGCCTGGGACATCTTGGTGAGCTGCAGGGACCGCCCACACAGCCCTGTCGAACTCAGAGGCACCGTCATCAAAGCTCTCAGAAGCAATGGAAGACCCGAGGGCGATGACGCGGTCTGGGCGGTACACCGTCGAGATGCCATCCTGCACATCTATCGACCGAGCGACCGAGCTCCCGGCTACTGTGCTTCCATTTATCCTCATGGCCTCCATCTCATCCATTAGCGAACCTGAGACACTGGATGTCTCTGAGAGCAGAGTTTGCCCGGTGTGGTAGGCCGGGCCAGGCCCGTTCGGCCCCATCTCCGCAGGTGGGAGGAAGTCCTCGAAGACACCACCCGTGCCGTCATCATTTCCACCCGCCCACAGGGGGAGATACTTCATCTCATTATCGGTGAGGGTAAGAAGCATGTGACGAGTCAGAGGCAGGGCAAACTGGAACCTATGTTTGATCCGGTCCCAGGTCTCAGTAATTGATAATTGGCTAGCAAGGTCCTTGTGGAGTTTTCCCAGGTTAAACCACGGCTCCTTCACTATGAAGAGTTGGTTTATGAGCACATTTTCAGGAATCCGTTCAAGAACAGATCCCCAAGAGGAGAAATCCTTGTGGCGTGGGGCCCGAGCTATTGCGAGCTGCATATCTCTTTTCAAAGACTCTATCTCCTGTCTGAAGTATACATCATTGGCAATCTTCGTCAAGTCGTTTCTAATCGTTATGGGAACAATGGGGCAAAGAAGTCTTTGGGTCGGGTTTAATCTCAGGAGAATGTCTCGTAGAGGTTTGAAATCCTTTGGCTCGGTGTACAAGACGCGGTCTTTGTCAAGATAAGAACAATCCCCATAGGCGTCAACGCACCTGTGCAATGCCGAGTTCACGTTGCTCGTGACATATTTTTGGATCTCTCTCATGAGCGAGCGGAGTTTCACCAGGACAACAACAAAAGAGCCGTCTTCTTCTTGCTCAAGAGCATGTTCAAGAGTTCTCAGTTTGTCCCATTCCGCTAAATTGAGCCTGTCGAACAGGGCCGGAGCAACGGTTTCGTGGTGTTGCTTCACAATCCTATCAATAAAAGCACGAGCTGCATGCTGGATGACATTGACTGTCTCGTCGTCGGGGCTCCCAAGCCGTCTGCCAAATACCGACACTTGGCTGCGGGGCTTACCAGGCTCAAAGCCGTTGGCAGCCTCTTCAAGTGCTAGTTCGTTGACAAGGATTCTGAAGGCTGTCTGGGTGATGTCTGGTAGCTGAAGCCTGTAGCCAATTCGAAAAGCCTCTTCGGGTAGAACTTCAATAAATGTTGTATTTGACATTATCCAGCTGGCGACTTGATCGCGAATCACAGATGGTGCTTCGAAGATCTTGCTGATCGCTACCATAGACCACACCCGAGCGGCAGAGTTCAGGGTGACGTTTACCCCCTCGATCATCAACATGAAACGAATTATACTGTGGCAATGACGAATGACACAGTAGTCGGGTATCTGGTAGTGAGTGGGAGGTTCCATGAGAGTATCTTGGCCCTTCTCTTGCAAAATTATCACGTCGCTGACGCTCGGGGGTATGGTGACTGAGATCATCTTCTGGGGTATATTCTGCACAAAGGTAGGTGAAATTCCATCGTCGTCCTTCTTGGACGGGTCTTGAGAAATTTCCAATGTAGGGGACGGGATGGGTATAGAGTCTTGGTCGGACGAGCAAGAGCAAACATCGTCATGACCAGTGACCAACTCTTGGTCAATGCCGAAGAGTGCCTTCGCGCTCCACCACTTGATGATCCCTGGTGTGAGTGACAGCTCGGAAATCTGGAAAACCAAGTCGTCGCCCTCGGCGGGAGGTGTAAGGTCCAGGAGATACTTGACGCCCTTGAGCAAGTCCTCTGTTGGTTTTCTGCGCCGCTTTACACGGGCTTGGTAGATGGCATTGTCCAGCATTTGCGGAAACTTGGAGTCTGAGAGGGCAAAAAGATTGCTTGAGTGGACCAAAAAGTGCTGTGATGCAGGCTTGATGCCGCCGCACGTAGTCTTCTTGCGCTGGTCCTCAGGTAAGGAGGGGACGTCCACATATACAAGTGTATCTCCCTCGTTGAGGGTAAGGTTGGCGTACAGGACCGTGTTCATGGAGTCTATCTCGGGGGTGCTATAAGGCTTCACGAAGGTATTGGCTGATTCGCCGCTTGATCGACGGGGTTTGGGGGGGAGCTTGCCATCGAAGCTCGGTCGATGTACAGATTTTGCTGAATTTGCAACTGCAGGCAATGCCAGCCCTGAATTTGAGGGGCCGGGGGAAGATTCGGTGGTCTCCATTGTCGAGTCGGAGGAACCAGACCTCGATCGACGTGAGATCAAATGTTGTGTCTGTGTAACGAATGGGGGAAGGTATCAATACAGAAGAGGAAAGGCGGGAGTGTGTTCGTGTTTGTTTTGATATGTTTGTGTACAGAGGTAGATGTGTTTAGGATAAAAAAAAATCACAGCCTGAATTGAATATCACAGAAAGCCCCCGAAGAAAGTTGCCAGGGGCATGTATGCACCAGGTTGAAGAAGCTAGTCTCGAAGCTTTGAGCGTAAATTGCCCAGCTGATACAGAGGCGCAACTGGCTCGACGGGATGAGACTGGAAAAAACTAGATGGAAGTGTATTTTGAATTGGAGATGGATAAAGTGCCGCGGGGTGACTCATGGGCTGAAGGAGGAGGAGAGAAACCATGTACGGGAGAACTGTAGTGGGGTGCTCAGCAGCCAGGCGATACGAGGGTACTAACATCAAATAGCCTTACGTGGACCAGGGCCTCTACTTGGAGCCCCAGGTACCGCCAATGGGCAGAATCTACTATGTATACTTACCTGAGGCAGTGAGAATATACCAGGGGCAATTTGAACCTTGAATGGAAGCATTGCCCCTCCATGCATGCAGGCAGTCTGCAGCATCTGATCGCCTTGCCGGCTGTGGTGTTGGACTCCAGGCAGCCATGGTCCCCTATAGGTTAGCGGCACGCCTTACCACTGCTCCATTTTTCCCACCACTGCCTTCAAGGCTACAACCTTACCGAACCTAGTAAAAGCTAATGTACTGTAAGTCTTAGGCAATGTGGGGGTGCCGTGGTCCATTCGGCGCCGTACCTTATACCGTAGCGTTGCACCACCCGCGGACATGGGTGGATTTGCATCATACAGTATCATAGGGCCGAGTATTACAGAATGCAATGCCAATGGGTCGGGGTACGGTACCGGAAAAGCACCAACAGCTACCTGACCGCCAGTCCCTTCTCGAAAGAGCCTCCTTGATCGCCATAAGCTCACGCCTACCGCACATCCACGTAGGCAATAGGCAACAGCTGCGCCACCACACAACACATCCCCTCCATCTCAACAACGCCGTCTTACCCTAAGGCAGACAAGATGCACACAAGTCAGAGAGTAAAATGCCACATCAGACATACTTCAGTGAGCTGAGAAAAAGCCAGCGTTGGCTCAGCCGCCCTTAGTAGAGAATCAGATCTTACCACTCTCGCTGCCTGCGAACTAAGCCGAGATGGCCTTCATGTTGTGGTCAAACTCCATCCTGATATTATCACCACACAGTGGCCTACTATTAAAGTATGTCAAACAAGTGACCCAAATCAGACAAATCCCCCCAACTGTGCTCAAGTCCTGGTAACGCCCCCGAATATGCAATATTATCCTTTCCCTTTCCATTATCCCCCTCGCGCCCCTGTCTCTGTCCCTTTTCCGATTACCAAAAAGCCCACTAAAATGAGCTACCTCTCCGGGTAAAACCCCCATACTCCTCCGCCTCACTCTCTGAAGAATAGGCGGGCGCTTTGCCTTTGCCCTTGTTGCGGGTACTCAGAGGTTGCAGCCCAACTTTGGGCTCCTTCATGCTCCTCCGACTGATGGGTCTGGATGCCCCCGAGCTCTTCTTCGGGGTAGCGTCCCCCTTCCTCCTCTTTGGCGGCCCATGTCTGTTTTCGTTGGCAGGGCCGTCGCTTACCGCCCCCTCGGTAGACGAATTGAGCCGTGTTACAATCCCCGACGATTGCTTCATGTCTCGCATCTCTTTGATCATTTCTGCGAAGCTCTCCTCCAGCGTCTTCATTCGCGCAAGAACCAATCTCCCCATCCTATCTCTATCAGTTGAGTCTCCCCCTGCAGCCGCACGCATCCGTTTATCTTTCATCATGGCCATTGCCATCTGCGTCTGGAAACTGCCAGGCATGCCCACATGATGATCCTCGGTCGCAAAATGCAAGCTCATATTATCAGAAAGAACATCCAAATCGACAGAGGAAAGCCTCCTAGAAACTCTGGGCCGGTGCTGTGGTTCTATGCTCATCAACGCGGAGCGACTAACCCCTCCAGTTTCCGTAATACCGCGAGGGGGCAGTGTCGGTCGTTTGAGGTTTGCGGGAGCCGGTACTCTCTTTGGAGAAGCACGGCGTGGAGAGCTTCTACGCGGTGAGCTCCGCCTTCCAGGAGTCTGATGTCCGCCCATGCTGCGCGCACTGGGTCGGCTACCAGCGGGGGACTTCAAAGCCTGTTGTGATGCCGACGAAGAGCTCTGAGATTGTGGCTCTTCCGGGTTGTACAAAATCGTGTTGGTTGACAACGTACGGCTATGTAGGCCACCTCTGCGCTGGCTCATGGGGCGTGGCGTCGGCGGCACTCCCACTGATGAGCCATGCGAAGACGGGAGCTTGGCGATGCGTGATGTCATAGGTGTCATAAAGTAGTCATCCTCTTCGCCTCCATCTTCGTGTCTATCCTTTCGGCTAGAGATGTCGTTGGTCGCATTGTCTTCCTCGTCTTCGTCATTTGTTACCAACTCGTCGTCTCCATCCGCGTCCGTATGGTCCTTGTACTCGGGCACCAGAGGCACTAGGTTTCTTCTAGATATGCTCCTAGGTAGATTTGGTCCGCCCACGTTGGACATGAGGTCTGCTGGATCGCTTGCAATAGACCGGATATCGGACACATGCCGAAGGTTCGAGGGCCGTTCCCATCCCACACTCATGCGCCTCCGCCACTCTGGAAAAGCCCGACTGTCCAGACTGGGCCAGTTTGTTGCGGATGCCCCATCTTCAACATGCTGATCCATCCAGTTTCGAATTGCATTTTGGGTCTTGCGCCTCTCGCTCCTCCGCTGGGATCGTACTGTCGCCGAAGCCGGGACCCGACGGAAAACCTCTTCCAGAGCTCGGTCTTTCTGAAAGCCAGAAACAGACTCCTCCCTGACTCTAACATTGGGGCTGAATATGGCAGTTCTTAGACCTGGGTCGATGAACGACACGGTCCTATCCCGAGCGCGACCCGGATGCTCGATCAAATCCGTTGGTTCAAACATTGACGGGGCTAACCAAAACCTTTCGTACAAGTAAATAAGGAAGAGAACCGGGAAGTGCGTGACCTTGATGATGGTACGGTTGAGCCAGACAAACTGTCTCAGCGGCATGCAGTATCGCAGAGGCATGAGCAGCCAAGCGAATATATTGCTGGGAGCAATGTATGAAAAGAGCGCATCATTCTTGACCATGGATATAGTGTTGATAGCAAACAAGAACCTGGGTACTTGTTAGAAACTTAGACTCGATACAAGGCTAAGGGTCTCCTCACTGGTGTTCTTCAGTAGCATTGGACGCAATCGCCATGAATGAATTGGTCAGGACAGTGATAAGAATAGTCCTAGGTTTACCATTAGCGAAGGTATTCATATACGTTCGGTAGCAGGCCACAACTTACACGACCAGGAAATGACAGATAATGAGAAACAGGACCATAAGCATGCGTCCAAGCCAGTTGTATGTCGGCCAACTATAGACAAGAACATCGTCAGCACAACTCTATCATGGATGCTTCCAAATCCGTAGACTTACACATCCCAGGCTGCTGGTGTGAAACCCATCAGAATCTGAAAGATCTTGTACGCTACTTCACCCCCATCATCGTTATTGTTTGATAGGGTGAAGAAGACATAAAAGCCGCTGCAGAGAATTAGCACCAAGGTGAAGACAGCCACCAAGTCCACAGCCATCAGCCGGAAAGCGATGAGCAGCTGCGAGAAGTACTGGTAGTGATCGAGGACACTGAAAATTCGAGGCAAAAGCAAGATTGCATTTGCAGCAAGGACGTCATAGGCCATGTCATTCCAATGGTGAGGGTCCACCATGAAAACACCATAGGCACGCATACAGTAGTATACTATGAGCAGCACGAGGATGCCCAAATCGAAAAGATTCCAGAAACTCATGATATAGAGAGCGAAGCCTTGCTCGTTGAAGCCCACCAACTCATCCAGCATGAACCCTGCGCTCCAGAACCAAAAGACGAGTTCTAGGCCTGTGATTCTAGAAGATCTTTCCGACAGTACAGCAAGGAAAAGTCCGATAAGAATGGCAAGGGATAGTGTAGAAAGGAAGGATCTATATCGCGGAACCCTGAGCCGCGAGAGCTTCAGCATGGAAGCTTGTCTTGGGTCGTACAGCATCACAGTTCTTCTACCAGGTGGAACATGAGGGTGGGTTTCATTCTTGGGGGGAGACCCTAGCAAAGGCGTCCTAGAATCAGGTTTGGCGGTGCTGCTCTCAGTACTGCTGGGAAATGAGCCTTGGGGAGACTCGCGATGGAGACTGTCAGCTGAAGAATAGAAGGTTATGGCACCACTCCAAATAGCTTCCAGTTGCTGGATTACTACTGGATGAGCAAGAAAGTGCTTCGCAGAAGCACGGATCGCAACTTCGAGAGTGGATGTGCGAGAAGCCGTCAGAGCGTTCTTTGCGCTAGGCTTGGGCAGAATATTCTGCGATGCAACACCGGGGACGCCTTGAAGAGGATAGAAATCATAGGCGAGCGCATCAATAAGCTCACGCGTGCTGTATTCTTTCAGCATCTTCAGGGCCAGCAGTTCGCAAACTTTGGCCCTGGTGTTACTCGTCCCAGCATTAGCAGCATAGAGTTGGCCTTCCTTGTTGAACTGTAAACAGTTTGCCATCAACGCGTATAGAGTCGCTCGCGAGAAGTGTTGCGCTCGAATTTGACGCTGCATTGGCTTAACGAGGAATTGAGAGATCTGGGGGGAGCGTAGCTGCTCCCAAGTCAGCGTGGTTTCGGTCCGGGCCGTGACGATAATTCGAATCGCATGGGTAAGGCTGTAAACTGGTAAGGAATCTGGAAACAGTCAGTACAATTGGACAGTAGAAATCCATTGGCATGTGTCAGTACCTAAGTGTGTTGCAGAGAAGAGTGGGAGGACGGGCAATGCAGCTCGCCGCCCATCCTCATCCCCTTCGCCATCGTCTTCGTCACCTTCGTCTCCTTCATCTTCTTCATCATGGCCGTCGCCATCATCTCTATCGTCGAACCGTGCATTTCTCAGGTTGGTGTCTTCGTGATCGTCATCTTCGTCTTCGTCGTCATCATCTGCTTCCGTGAAATCTGCAGTGGCTCGTTTGCGATAAGGGCCTGGGGATGGAGAGTCCCGAGGGCCTAGATGGCTGTCTCCAATCCCGCCGACGCGGCGTCTGGCTTGTCGAGGCCGACGGAGGAAGGACGAAATCATGGTATGTTCACCAGGTCTCGCTTCCCACAATACCAAACCACCTGTGGCCTGCCCCAATCTGCACTTATCAGACCGCCATGAATGGGCGTCGAGCTGTGCAGAGCAAAGTTTTTGGGTGATTGGCCGACGGTGGAGGCAGGTTGAGAGCTCCAGGTCAGGTCCTTGAAAGAGTGGAAAGGATCTCCATAATGCGTCCTCTAATACCTAGCACCTGGGAGAGCATCCTGGTACTACCGTGCAAGGATGCATGCGGCAGGTCAGAATAGTGCCTGCCTGCCCTGCCCAGGCCAGATGCGAGGCGAGGCGAGACGAGGAGCGACATGGAGGCGTCTGGCCGCTAAGCTAGAGCACTTTGACTGTACCGGCTGGGCCTAATTTGCACTACGGGCTACGGTTGAACTAGCACGAACTACTAACTGTGCCTGTAATTTACTCCCGTCCGTGTGGTCGCCAAACACGGCAACTAAAAAAATAAACACCGCCTGCTACATATTCAATTGGACTGCGAGGAACGGACACCAGCTCAGGTGACCTGCTTTCCAGCCGTTGGGACCGTTGACTCCAGCTGGGTAGGATCTCGATGTGCATTGCTGGTTGGCTAGCAGCGATGGTGTATCAGGCTTGGCTGTCTTACCTGCACCTCCCCTTGCTCCTTTCGAGGCGGAATATGATACACTCCCCACTGGGAAACTGGAGAACTAACGCAGATGTCTAGGCTAGACCTCGACTCGCTCGACTGCAAGTGCAACATACAACCCTGTCACGACTCTCCCATGTCTATGCCTTGGGTCCAGGACGGCGAGGGGCAGCCTGGTCACGGTGTCAGATGGAATGCAAATTCCATTGCATCGTGCAGGCCCCAGACCCGGATTGCCTGTTGGATGGCGTTATCAAACTGGCGTGTTATCTACAATCATGGAGGACTGGACGCATGACACCTTTTAGCCCGCCGCAGAGTCGCACTTAGTGGGTCGTTCTATGCACATGCCAGATCACTATTCCTCATTGGTGCAACCCTGGAGATTTGCTCCCAGCATTGAGGCTGCCAGTGAACCACCATGTAGTGTGCAGAGGCCGGCCCCACATTGTTCAGCCGTAGACAGTCAGTTTTGCTTGTGAGAGCTGAATATGATGAATCGTCGATTTATTTGGAATGGCAAGATGATTTGGGTGTAGCCACTGCATGCCCTCCTACTAGTATAAGGAGCTTATCCCGAAGGGACGCATTCTGGGCTGGAAGAACTTTCGCCTTCATGTGCTGAAGTCACAGCCCATCAGGCGGTGTGAGATGTTGGAACTACTACCAATGAGACCTAGAGTTACACCCGAAGACGTTGCCGTCAGCGCGGCTAGCAAGAAAATATATACAATCAAGCAGTTTGGGGGGACGCCTGACGACACCAAGCTGCCATTTCCTAGTCTGGCCCTCGGCATAAGATCACGCCTTCAAGTACAACCCATCCTGTATACCAAGATCATCACCAGCCCTGATTATCCCCATATCCATCACGAAGCACGCATATGATGATATTCGCAAGAGCCACGAGTGTAAAAATACATATAACAATCTATGTTCAAAGTGGATCTTCGTGATGGATATCAGTCCAACATATCCCTCGTGGCAGTTTCCTCCATTTGCCTGCAGACGACGTCAGGGAGCCCCATAGGCCCATACATCCCTTGTTATTGGTCCTCCTTCACTGAGCCTACATGTCGTCGTTGAATTGATCTGTGGAGATGACGCAAACTCCACGCGCGACGGTCCTTTTCATCGCAATGCGCGTGGATAAGGTCCTTGGTCTTGAGGCCGAATGCCTTGCTTTTAAACTGATTCGCCTAAGTCAGCAGCTTTTTTGTGCTCCAAACCTTTACTGTAAATGGTCTCTAAATCCTACTAAATTGATACATTTTGTCATCGTCGTTGTCACTGTCCATCTTCTGTCCGAGAACTTCCCAAACCCGAAACCGCAGCCGTTGTTCCAAATTTTATTGATATTCAGATATACCCTTTGTTGTTGGTGATCCAAGCCCCTTAAAGTCATCCAATCACGTTTTCGCTTCAGGCTCCCGACACCTGTCAAGAACCTGTACCCTCACACCGTTACTTCGTGGTGATGGCTTGCCGATCAGTTCGTCATGATCATAATCGACATCAATACAGCTTTCTTGATACAGCTCCAAGAACGGAAATACGCGAAGAATCATTGCAGCGGCACAAACATACAGCTCGCACATTGCTAACCTTGATACTCGAATATTAGTCACAATTTTCAGACCGCAACATGCTTGCACATACACCGCTCGGGTAACTTACTGCCTGCCGACGCATTGCCGGCTGCCCCTCGAGAAACTAAGAAGGTATCGCTCCAACTCTCTAATGATGTTCCCATTTTTATCCAGCCACCGGTCTGGAACAAACTCTTTGGCATTCGGGAAAATCGTCTCGTTTGTGTGCAAGATGTGTGTCGACATACTGACAGGGAACCCTCGAGGAATGGTGTAGGTTAAGCTGGGAGCTACGGAATCTGCACTCGAGAATAACTTTCCCTCGTAAATCAGATCCTCGTGCGTTGCAATCCGGGGAGAGCGCCCTGAGACACCTGGAAGAAGGCGCAGACACTCTAGTATGACTGCACTGAAGAAGTTCAGTTTCTCCAGAGCCTTCCAGTCGGGGAGTTGCAATGGATCTGTTGTAATGGCTGATATCTCGTCGTGAAGCCGCTTGTGATGATTGGGGTTCGATAGCAAGTGAAACGTAAGCAGTACTAAGGTTGCCGAAGTCGATTCGGTACCACCTCCCATCAAGGATACTGCTTCTCCCGTGAGACGTCTGAGAGTTTTTTCAGGTGGCGGAAGATTTGAGCTCAGTATAGCGGACAATATAGTGGGAACTTTGCCGACAGACACATGTGAAAGATCCATCGCTCTTCTAACTCTCCGGGGAATAGACACCTATAATAATTAGCCATTACAATGCTTAACATGCTAATCCCCTAACGTCGTGGATCTCTTACCTTGAAATTGATAGCAATGGTTTTCATTTCTGTCGAAAATAAATTGGTCAAGGTTCTAGATGATGTAAGTGTCTATTGTACTTGGGGCATAGATTGGTCATACAAGGGAACCCTTTCGACTAAAGTTGCAAGCCCAGGGATATGCCGGAAGATATGAAGATTCCGTTCGAAGTTGTCAACCAGCGTTCTAAAATTCAGCTCCCAGTCGTCCTGGTCAAGGTAGCAATCGCTGTCGCCAAAGCAATACTGCGATATGATGTCACCTGTAAAACAATTGTACGCTTGCATGATGGCGAATGGTGCGGAATTTTGACGAGCCAGGATTTTATCGCATAGCTTTTGTGCGTTCAGATGAACTAAATGCTCAATTTGACTGATGCGGGATCGTGAGAAGCATTTGCTCATCGCAGCATTGCGCCTCCGATGATGATCGTGATTCAGGCTTCCCTCTGTTGACTTCGAATGTTGTCAGTATTGCTCAAAATCTTAATGCTCTCCGCCGATAGAAGGCCACACTAACCATTTGAAGCCTATCTCAGCTGTAGTTAGCCATCTTGATATCATCGATAGAAAGTTGTGCTTACGAGGCTGGGTATCCTATATGTATTGTGGTGATTTGTTCCGTCTCTGATTGCCAGACGCATAAACGACATCCACATAGGCAGGGTCGTTGCAATGCAGCTCATTGGGGTTGATTCGAACGATAGGGCCTTTTGAACTCTTAGATATAAGTTCTAAGAATTTGTCACATATGCATACCATATTTCTCGTGCATGCGCAGAATCTCGTGGGTATATCGTCCTCCGCGAACCACATCAAACCAAAATTCATTCGCGTAGGAGATCGCAGCAAGCTTTGGTCCTGGGAATCGTGCAAGTTGGATGAAACGTAATTCGATACACGAAAAGTACACCAGTAGACATCAACCAGATGGACAAGAGAGCCATCAGGAGAGGCCATAAGGCTCCGCCGTACGAAATTATGAATTGCATGATCTTGTTGGTACGCCCAGTAAGGACAAACGGTTAGGAAGTCTGTGGAATGAAGGCAGAATTCTCTCTTTACAACTGGGTGTCTGCGCTTTTGCTGCACGCAAAGCCATTGCGTGTCATTTACGTCAACCATCTTTATCCGGTAAACACACCTTGCAATCTACCTCACCGCGCTTTGCTGTCTCTTACGGGACGTCATCCGGCCGAGATACCAATTAGTCAAAGGGCCCGAAAGAAAGGGAGTGCTTGCTCCGTTGAGCAGGTCTGTTTGACATCATTTTGCCGGAGATATTGTGTTGGGGGATGCATCAGTAGCCCTCAATACGATATACGATATAGAGTGAATAAGCTTTGGCTTAGTGGTTTGAAGATCTTGTATCAGAATACCTGTTTGACGAAGAATTGACCAACCTCTTGAGGGTTTGGCATTGATCGAACGGGCACACCGGTGCGTCCAACCCCACTTGGCCCCATGCTGGCCGGAACTTCTCCCCACCACGGTCCGAGACACCGTGGGTACACGGCGCCCATGGGCTACCTCTTGGAATGTCTACATAGCGTTCAATCCACGTTCTTCATGTACGTTATGCCGCTCAAGCTGGTAGGATGGGCATCACGACATCAGAGCTTGCCGCGGTAGCCGTCACGGAAGACCGCTACGATCCCCGGCCTTGGCCAGTGTGATCGAACTGAAAGGTCATGATCGCGATCATGATCACCGAGGCATCCAATGAGGCCTCCGAGACCGATGAAGATAAATTTGATGATGTTGCTACCCTCGAGGATGACGAAGAGGATGACGAGGTGACTGGTGAAGCAAAGCACTAGGCTTCGACGGGCAGCAAGGTGTATGGCCGGCACGGGTCAGCGGTAGGATATCGTGAAGCATGAGGGGCTGAGGCCTCGTGTACAGATTTGCTAGCATTTCCATTGTTTTCTAGACATATTGCTAGCTAGTGTAGTACGCAGAGATATCCTAAGCCCATGCAAACAGCGATCACTTCGCGCACACTCTGCCCGCTCCCATCATCAGCATCAACGTGATCATCTTAACATCGCCCCTTACGATATTACCAAGACTAAACTTCGAGCGCAAGGATGTCTGGCTTGAAATGCTGCATAGGTATATCTGAACCCGGCATGTTCTCTTATAGATGTTAGTGATGCAGCGTAGTTTGTATTCCCATGCCTCAGCACCCACGATTGTACCAAACGTTAGCTTTGGTATACTGGGCGCGCTATCTGGGCCGCTTCTGACGACAAATGAAGAACCGACGGCGCTTCATATTTTCATGTGGACGGTTCCGGTTACGCTCTTCATCTGGGGAAACGTTCTCATTTTCACCATCTCTAATCAGTGCTCTCCAAAGTCAGTTGTCGAAGATCAGATTAATAAACCTTGGCGACCAGTGCCATCGGGACTCGTCACTGCGACCTCTGGGAGGAATGCATTATGGACGTTTGCTCCTCTCATGCTGATGTTTTCGTGGATACTGGGTGTGCATTGGGAAACAGGGCTGTGCTGTTTCCTGACTTGGATCTATAACGACCGGAGCGGTGGCGACAAATCACCCATCCTTCGCAACTTACCTGCTGCAGCTCTTTTTGCTGCTGCACAGCTAGGAGCACTCGACATTGCTGCCGGACATGATTATCAACTTAACTCGGACGCTAGTCGTTGGATTGTAATAATTGCCGCTGTGGTGGGCACTACCATGCATGTTTCAGACTTCCACGACATGGAGGGAGACAAGATGACTGAGAGGATGACAGTCCCTTTGTTGATCGGCGAGGAGCGCGCAAGGTGGTCCATTGCACTAAGTGTTTTTTCTGGTCGCTTTCCATCTCTTGGTATTGGCAATTGTGGCCTCATTTGTGGTTGATTCCGTCCTCCTTAGCATGGGTTGTCGCATTCAGACAGATTTCAAAGCAGGGTGCAAAGCATGATCGGGCAACGTGGTTGGTTTGGGCTTGTTGGATGTTGATCATTTATGCATTGCCTTTGTTGGTTCGACATGTCGGACAGAAAGAGCAGTAGACCAAACATTATAACGACACCTCTACTAGTAGTAGTTGCAGTAGTAGTAGTAGTAGTAAGTGAGAGAGCTATGCAGTTATGCGGCAGCTGCTGAAAAAGAAAGAAGAAGAAAAAAAAGGGGGGGGGGTTCCCAAACACCATTCAACAAATTGACACCATACCCAACATCAGAACACATCAGTATCATACAAAATAAAGCGAGAGATGATACCTTTACTATTCCTACCATCTCCACGATAGGTGATGGTTAGATCACATGTCTTTGAGATCACGTCCAATGAAAGAACATATCTCTGTTAGTGAAGTATTCGGCATCCCCGCGATTTGCGAATAAGACGCCGGCAGTCTAAGACGGGTGTCTAAGGTGCAAAGCGGACGTAACGTCACGGAATCCGAGCGTCGGCTTGTATAAGTTGGCTATATCTAGCACCCACATATGGCGCCCCTTCGGTTCTACCAACTTCTCGAATATGATTTGACAGCCCTTCCGAAGATAACTGTTACTCAACATGGGGTTCGTGTACCTCGCCCCTCTACTAGGCACGATGTCCACAACACAGCTCTTTTTCCTCTTGGGTTTTCTCGCACATCTGTTGTGTTTTCGTCATGGTGAATGGGACCTCTACGCTTTTCATCTCCTCTTTTCTTTTTGCTCTGCGCAGATTCTACTTGCAGCGTATTTTGTGGCATGTGAGGGTATTGCATACGCTCAAGCTTGGAGTGCCAGCATCAAGGTTTCGATTTTCTTTCTTTCCGGCGTTCATACAAGTCTTTTGACGTATCGCGCTGCTTTCCACCGCCTCAACCGATTCCCTGGGCCACTAGCCGCGAGGCTGTCAAATCTCTACATTACAATATTGTTAGTCAAGAGATTTCAACGTCACAGAGAAATCATGCGTCTTCACAAGACATATGGTGACATCGTCCGAGTCGGTACTTGCTTCTAACACGTCACTGTGATTTGTTCACTACTGATTGTGGATTGTGCCAGGTCCATCAGAACTTTCTATTAATGATCCTACGCTATTCCACTCGATTCATTCGAAATCATCAACCTTCACCAAAGGACCCTGGTATAATCTCATGCATCCAATTGTTTCTCTTCATATGATTCGCGACCACGAGGAGCATAGCCGGCGGCGCAAGATCTGGGACAAAGGCTTCAGTTCGAAAGGTAAAGTAGCGTCGCCATATCCTGGTCAGTGGAATTGCTACTGATTATACGCAGCACTTCGAGAGTACGAGCCGCGAGTAGCTTTCTATACGGAACAATTGCTCAAGCGCATTGTATGCAACGGAAACCAGACTGTCAATGTTACCGCTCTATTCAACTACTACAGTTTCGATGTCATGGGCGATCTGGCCTTTGGCCGCAGCTTCAACATGCTCAGAGATGGCGCCGCTCACAAATACATGAAGTCTTCCCACGACAATATGCTAACCGCGACCGCCTTCAGTCACTTGGTTTGGATCTTTCCTATTGTAAAGAAAATTCCCGTCCTGAATTATGGTCATGTTCAGCTACAGAAGTGGCTTACCGAACAGGTGAAGCAAAGACGGGAGAGCCCCCCGACAACGCCGGATATTTTCTCTTGGCTTCTGAACGGCTTTGAGAGTCTTGATCATCCAACCTCCCAAGATGAGATTAATCTTGTTGGGGACGCACACTTGGTCGTCGTCGCTGGAAGGTGAGTTTTTACTAGTGAATCTGTCAATGGAGGCGCAGCGCTGATAACTTGATAGTGACCTCACGGCAGCGTCAATTACCTGTCTGTTTTATCAACTTGCCCTTCATCCACTCATCATGGCAGATTTGCAAACTGAAATTGATCAATTCTACACCAAGTACGAACACCCAAGTCATCATGGTCTTTCGAAACTCGAGTATCTCAATGCCTGTATCGATGAATCGCTTCGTCTATACCCACCAGTACCATCAGGCCTCCAGCGTATCAGTTCGCCAGAGGGTTGCCATATCGGTGATCTTTTCATCCCTGGTAACACTGTTGTACAAATTCCTTCATATACAATGTATCGAGGTACTTTTGAAGCGACTCAATCACATCAGCTCGTATCGTGTCTAACTTCCGTTCACAGATGCGAAGAATTTCACACTGCCCGACGATTTTATTCCCGAACGATGGACAACAAGACCTGAACTGACGCGAGATTCGTCGATCTATGCACCTTTCTCAATCGGTAGATTCATCTCCTCCTGGTTAGCTCTGAAAATTCTAGTTTCCTAATTCTTCGAGTAGGCTCGTATTCGTGTGTGGGTAAACAACTCGGTTTAATGGAGTTGAGGTTCGTCACGAGCCAAATCCTCAGACATTTCAATGTTAGCCTGCCAAACGGCTTTGATCCGAAACAATTTTCCGACGGTGTGAAGGATGGACTCACCATAGTTAAGACGGATTTACACTTAGTTTTCACGCGAAGGGATTGTTAGGGTAGCCTTTCATCACGGCAACTAGTCGTCTTTAATTTGTTGCGAGTGTATGGGCGGTGGGAGTAGTGCAGAGCTCCGAGCGAAGGAGCCAGAGTGACCCATGATCGACCTCGCTACGGGCGATTAGATTTGAAACTACTACTATGAGGTTTTACTAGGACAAAGATTCTCAGCATTCTATTCAGCTAACAGGAAGGGCGTATGAAAGTGTAACATGAGAATCCGATAGGTTTATGAGCGATGTGACGATGAGGGCAGCTCAGTGCATGATGCGAGCATGTGTGATTGTTCTGCTGGACGCTGATGTTCCAATTTATACTAAAATCCTCTTCACTCCAAGGTGATACTCTTATATCATTCCCTCCATTCTGGGCCATTTATTCGAATGTATGGGTAAGAAAGTTATCACTCAGGGTACTTTCCACACACAAGTACGCATGCAAGCTTTCCAGCCATATCCGCAAGCTTGGGGAGATAAATGTTCACTTTTTCTTTTCCCTTGACCCAATAAACCATCTTCCCAAGGTATACCCAGTCAGAGTTGGTGGCGTTGAATGAGAATTTGGGGGTTTCATTATCGTCAGAGGCCTCGCTTAGCTTCATTGACTGTTTTGCCTCATCCCCAATCCTGCCGCAGAGCTCGATCCCAGGCTCCAGGAAGGCAGGCACGAGCATAATGTCAGTGTCGTACGAAAACGAGTTCACCTTGACCAGTTCCCCTTCACTATCTGCCCCAGGGAAACGAAACTCCAGCGTCTCATAAGATGGTCCGAGAAACTTCCCGGCACCAATTGTAGCGGTAAAGGCTTTCGATGCATCGACGAAGACATGATTCCATAAAAAGTACAGACCCTCCCTCAGCGGGGATGATATATTCTCCCTATCGGGGTTGCGCATCGCGGCAATCTCCTCCTCCGATGACTCTTGGATGCAGTAGGCCAACCTCTCGAACCACTTGTTGCGGGCAGGACCCCTCGTCAAGGGTTCGCCCTCGATCCAGTTATCCCGGAGAAGCCATGCTTGGCGCAAGCGTGTTGCGACGGCCACCATATACGGGGCTTCGCCGAAGTAGTTGCCAACACAGCGAGGATTATGAACTTGCTCCTCGGTCAAGGAGGATGTGACAGTGTCGCCAGGATTCATTGTTGCTAGAAAATATCAATGTTAGAATTGGGTAGGTGGGAAGAAAATCATAACGAGTATTTTCTTTCGTTCAGACACATGGACGATTTATATAGATGAAGATCAACAGATGTAAGTACTCCTACAAAAACAGAGCGAAGCGTCATGTTGGCGTTCCATGCCTCATCCCTTTTGGGCAAGATGTTACAAGTTTAGGCAGATGCCAGTGAGTCATATCGCTGACTGCATCATTATGCTCTGGCTTCAGTCTGTAAGTAGGGAGGTGGTGTGCCATGCGATGTATTTTGTTATCCGACTCTATGAAGAAGGGTTCCTTATGCTTATTCGAAATGCGACATCAAGATGCTCCTCTTCTTCACGCGAAGGGGGTGATGGCATTGGAGCAAGACTAGCAGACTCCCAAGAGCAACCTCGGATTTAGAGCCCCAACCAATTCTAAAGAGCATCACAAACCGTTGTAGATACTTTAACTTTCCAGCTAGAAGAACAGAAATTAAGGTTAAGTTAAATTTCCGCAGATCAAGGCTGCCCTGCATTAAGAAGCAAGTAGAGTTTGCTGAATGACCTAAAATCGGGCTGTTATAGGGTAGCCCTCAAACAAGGCTGACTTACTTGACTGATGTGGCTGAAGCTTGTGCCACAGGAGGTGGCACAGAGTCGGCAGACCAATCAAAGACCCTTTCACCCATGCATATCCAGCACGGCGCATAAGGGGCAGGTGGAGCCATCTCCGCAGTTTAGAGGGTCTCGTGCTAGCGGTTGTAGAATGTACAATGTGACAGAATCGGGAAGCACGCGCCACAACGGCCACCACGAGTTTATTTGTCCCGCGACAAGACGCGTCCCAATTGGCAGGAATAGGTTGGCTCACCAAGGCTACTTTGGATAGTGCCAGCAGGGGACGGCGAGTGATCAGCCTCTCTCATATCCAGGTTCGTGGAATGGCAGCGCGCGATGCAGGGGCGCATCAGGCGGGAGCCAGGGGTCGAAATTTGTCTACAGCCGACGCTTACATAGTACAGACCCTGTGGGGTCCCTGTATCAGCGGGCGAATAGGCTCCTGGAGATGGCATTAGCTGCTCTCCCCCTTGAGATTATCACTACCACAGTCCCTAGTCGCGCGCTATGGGAGCAATTACAATGCCATCCAACCCCTAGACATGCTCCACCGTTATCCTCACCGGGTTCCCAATGCCTACAATGTGATATGATGATCTATTTCCCCAAATTCCCAAGCCCCCTTCTTTCCGACCTTTTGAAAGCCACTTCCCGACCGGCTTGCGAGTTCGATAACGTCCCGTCTCAGGATCTCGACGGCAACTTTCCCACAGTCTGGCAATCCTCGGGCCAGTTCGTACAGCGTCAACAACTTGGAACTTAAGGGGGCAGAGCCCGGCGTAGCCTCCCCAGCATCCCTCCGTTTCAGTTTCCCGAACGTGCCTCCACCGTCCGATGAATCGAAACAGACCGCTTCCCCCTCTCCTCGACTGCGAGTTCAACAGCGTACCCAGCCTCAACATTTCTACGCCCTGAGAAGTCGCGGAGCGACAGGCCCGTGGAGCTGGGATTGGCTAGGAGTATATTGGCTTCTTCTGTTTCCTGGCACCTGTAGCCTTTCGTGCAGAGGCTCTTGTTCTAGCCACCTACCTCCTCGACCCCTGATTCGACTGTGATGGCTTCCGGCCAGACCAAAGGCGATCATGACTCGCTTCCGACAGCTGTCCCGACCGAAGCGAATAAGAATGTCGAGGTAGAGGCGTCTAAAACAATTGAAGATGCCGAGGTAGAGGCACCCACGGTGGCAAAGGATGTCGAAGTGGAGGAATCTGGAGCGGTCAAAGGGGTCAAAGTCGAGGTATCCAAAGTGGGCAAAGATGTCGAGGCAGAGGTGGCCAAAACAACCAAAGATGTTGGGGTCGAGACATCTAAAACAACCAAGGACATCAATGCAGAGGTATCCAAAGCGACCAATGACACCGAAGCAGAGGCGCCCGAAGCAACTGAAGACATCGAGGTAGAAGCACCCGAAGTAGCCACGGACGCCGAGGCAGAGGCAGAGGTGCCCGGAACGGACGATGTTGTTGAGGCTGAGACACCCAAGATAACACACGATTCCATGGTTACAGTCCGACTTTCCGAACCTCCAGCTTTGGCATTGGACACTAGCTTCGCCGGGGAAGACGAGCCAACAACACCAACCAAAACAGAGGCAGCAGACAAGATGATACTTGCATCTGTCGGGAGCAGAAGCCCTGTAGAAAGCGTGAGGTCAGCTCGGCTATCCTCAACTTGTGCTGCCTCATTAAGTTCACTGCAGGAGGAGCTAGCGGAGGACACAGATAATGAAAGTTCCAGAACCCTGTCGGGAGAACAGGAAGAGGTCGATTGGGAGAAGCTAGAAAAGACGGAAGACGAGCAAACTAAGGGTGATGACACGGATAATGTATTCACTAACCCCCCCTTGACAGTATTTATCAGACATGCTAACACTCGCTGTTATAGTCAACCGCACTACTTCTGGCCAGACTGGAACAGGAGAACGCAAAGCTGGCTACGAACCCGAAGAGCGTCAAAGTCAAAGTCGAACATGAATCTACACCGAAAAAGACGAGACCTCCGTCAATGGCTCAGCTTCGACAAATGGTCACCGGACCGACGTCTCCTGCACTCCGATACTCGATGCTCCCGCCCCCGCCTATGACTGATCTCGAATTCTGGGCCGCCTTGGTGAAGGATTACCAGCAGACTGCTGCTCGGCTACCGACACTCCTTTCGAAGAAGATTCACAAAGGTATCCCTCCGCCACTGAGGGGAGTTGTTTGGCAGAGTATGTCTGGAGCACGCGACTTTGCACTCGAGGAACAATACGTCAGACTTTCCGGCGAGTCAAGTCCTTATGAGCCTCTCATTGGTAAAGATCTGAACCGAAGCTTTCCTGGTGTCGAGATGTTCCGAGACCCTGATGGCGACGGTCAGCAAATGCTTGGCAGGGTTCTGAAGGCCTTCAGCCTGTATGACACTAAGATTGGATATTGTCAAGGGTTGGCATTTCTCGTTGGTCCACTTCTCATGCATATGCCAGATAAGCAGGCATTTTGCGTCCTGGTTCGGTATGTTGATGGCTTGCGCATGACTGACATGATGATTGCGATACTGACTGATATAGGCTTATGGAACGTTATGATCTACGAACCTGCTTCCTCCCAGATCTGTCAGGCCTCCACGTACGAATATATCAGTTTCGAGAGCTCCTTCGCAGCAACCTGCCTGAGTTGTCCAGCCACTTTGAAGAGCTCCAGATCGATCCGGCCTACGTGTCTCAGTGGTTCCTGAGTTTCTTCGCAGTCACATGTCCGTTGCCAATGTTGTTTCGAATTTACGACGTCATTTTCGCTGAGGGTGCATCTGAGACGCTTATGAGAGTAGCATTGTCTCTTATGCGTAAAAATGAGGCTCGATTACTGGCTTGCAGTGAGCTCGAAGATGCCATGCAGCTTCTGCTCTCCCGAGGCATTTGGGACTGTTACCATTACGATGCTGACTCATTTGTGGACGACTTCGTTAGTCTCACCGGTGAGGTTTCGCGGGAGAAATTGTCACGACTGGAGCAGGGTTATCGTGAGTCTCTTGTTGCTGCAGCGAGTGTTACTAGGGCGTCAGATATCACAACGGCGGCAACGAGATTCCTGGGTCGGATATGGGCAACATCGAGTATCGGATCGCCAAGGTCGGCAACACTCTCGCCGAGTAATGGTGTTCAACCACGGCCGTTGAGTCTGCTCAGGCGGAGCACATCCAAGCAGAGCCTCGCCTCTACGTTGAACTCGATGGAGGCAAGCTCTTCCAGCGTAACGAGCTCTACATCTACCGTCGCATCAACGGTATCGAGAGACTCTTCAAACACAGATGACGTGCCCGCAAGCCGAGAGTCTACCCCCGTTGGCCCGAAGCCTTTAGCCAGTCCAGGTGCCACTGACGAACGGTATCTTCACAGCCAAATCGAGGATCTCCTCACTGCCCTCAGCGAGTTGCAGCGCAATCATGCTGTGCTGACAAACCAGCTTCAGAAGGAGCGTGAGGCACGGGATGAGGAGAGGAGGGCTACTCGCTCTCTTCTCCATGAGCTGAAGGAACTGCCGGGCTTCAATCCGACAAAGGAGACGGCGGCCGAGTCTGCCTTAGTTGGGCCAAGTGAAAGTCTGACTACCCTGCTCGAGCAGATGGAGGACCGGTTCAAGGAGAGTAATGACAAAAAGCGCGAATCATTGTTGCAGAGCAAAGCAGAGTTGCTCGAGCAACTGTCGCAAGTCAAGCAGCAGTCCTCACACGCCGAGGCGCAGACCCAAGAGCAGGGCCGTAGAATACAGGACCTTACCCAGGAGTTGTCAGCTACCAAAGACCTCCTTCGTGAGAGCCACGCCCATGTTCGTACCCTTCACCAGGACAAGCAGAGGCTGGAGAAGCAGGTGCACGGCTTGAAGACGCGGTCTGCGGTTAGTGCGTCTGGGGAGACTGTGAGCCGCGAGCAGGAGGCAGAATGGGCAAGAAAGGGCATGGGTGGAGGCCTGAGAGAGTTCAAGCTCAGCCGGAGCAAATCAATACCAACGCAGTCAATCAAGCGAGCTTCGTCCTTGCCGATGGAAGCAGCGACAGGCCTCGGTATATCTGTCCCGCCGCCTCAAGTGGTGGAGCCCAGTGTGCCATCTCCCGAAAAGGAGGCTCTCCTGATCGAACTTGCACAGGCCAAGACGGCAGAGGCAATCGCAAAACAAGAGGCGGAGGAGGCGAAGCAAAGGCTCGAAGCTTTCCGCAAGGCACAAAGCGCACACAATCTGGCTGCAGTGGACGCCAACGCACAACAAGCCACCATGGGGGTCTTTGGCCGGCTGGCAGGACACTCATCGGCACCGTCGAACGAGGCAGTGCCGAAACAAACGGCGCCAAAACAAGCAGCGGCGGCAAACACAAATTCTGGATCTGGAGGTTTCTGGGGATGGCGCAGATGAAGGCATGCGGACTGCGAAGTGGATGTAAACGACTAATGACTTGAATTTGACCTAGCGCCAAGCATTCACAGATGGGTCACGCGACACCCATTGGACAGCAGGACTCGGCCTCGTCCTTCAGCCTGGTCTCTTGTGGCCAGCTGGATTGTTGGAAGGGGAGGCAGCGACTCATATGATGGCAGTTGGCTCACGGAGGGCACATGAAGTTGACAGGTGTGCAATTACGCACATCTGGGCCTGGATGGTTGGATGGGCGAGGCCATCGTCATTGGCGGGCGACCACCCCCACCGGACCACCAGGCCGGAGCCGCGGCCCAGCACCACCTACATCATCATTTTTTACCATCATCATTCATCATCAATCATATCGTACATGATCAAATGCAAATGAGCACGGCGTTCAGGGGCAAGCTGTTAGATACCTAATCAGGATTCGGTATGAGATGAGCCTATGTGAGCTGGAACATACTTGGTCCCAAACTTTGTTTTAGAAAGAATACCCCGATAGATTCATACAATTTAAATTGTCTATGTATAACAAGCGCACGTTCCGGCGACGTTGCTGGTATGCGATGGCGGCGTCCGGATGATGTGGGTGCATATGTTGGCCAGCACAACGGGCGCCCACACGGATTGCGCAATCACATGTCAAGCGCAGGTGTTTGTTTTGCTCTCGCTAGCGCCGGTATCGTGACCGGGGCCTCATGATGATCTGAGCGCAATCCTCTCATCATCTCCTGCATAGAAAAAAAAACTTTCCCGTCGATGCTAGGTTCTAAATAAAGCTGAGGAGCGGTTTGGAGGCGAGGTGTAAAGGACAGATCATGAAGTGCAAGCTGTCCATTCCAGGCATCTCAGTGCCGGCATTTGCGCCGTCGGGGCATCACGGGTGGCATGTCATAAATACGTAGCATCTTAACGCTGGGGGAGCAAGCCGACCTGCCTTACCTATCGCCCTACCAGGACAGGTGGGTGCATTTCCATTTCCCTGATCTTGGGAATATTTTTGTCGGAGTGGGCATGGTGGGGGCGTGTCTTGTACTGGCAAGTACCCTCGCAGCCTCCATTAGCATTGACTGGTTCATTTGGCCCGGGCTCCTTGACCGGTGGGCGCGCGTGTGTGTTGTCAGTTCGTCAGTAAAGAGCGGACAGCATGGGCAAGGGACCTTGGGGGCATGATGATGGGCAGATAGTCATGCCTGGATCAAGTGTGATTTCGAGTAGGTGTAGAGAGTGAGAAAAAAAAGGCAGAGGCTCGGAGGGGTTCATGAAGCGCTATCTGGAAAAGGGGCCACTTGGATTGTGCTGCTGCTGCTGATGTAGTAATGCCGTCATCTCCAGAGTGGGCTCGCCTCTATCTTCCATCTGCTGGAGCGATTAGCGGCGGTTGGCAGTGTGGTTTGTGTGGTGGTACCTGGATGGGCCGCTAATGCTAGCGGGCATGTACCATGTACTGACAGGTATCCCCTGCTCTCTTCCCAGCTGCAGCTGCAATTCTGTCGGGTGCAAATGGAGTGGACATAGGCTTCTTATTAGTGTCGTGTTAGGGCGTTACCTGTGGCAGCTGCGAGCGAGGGCACCCGGCCATTGCGTTGGAGGCGTCACCATCCAGGTGGCCGTATCGCCCAGGTAGCGCAGCTGGAAGGCCCCCCAAACGAGCAGGAGGGTAGAGAGGACAATAATTAGTTGCCTGATCTTCCTACCCACTCCTCTGAATTTCATCATCACCATCACCTCCTTTGTCCCCCGAGCAGAGCAGCTTCTCCCTGCCTCCCACTTGCTCCTGTGCGCCCTGCCGTGTCTGTCTGGTACGTTTTCTCCCTTCTCCTTGCGCCCGCTGCCCGTTTCACCACTGTCTGCTGTCGCCGGAGCCGTCGGCTCGTCCGTCCAGCTCTGCAGCTTGGCTACGTGCTATATCCATCCCATGCGACACGCAGTGTTCCGAAGCTCACAGCTCTCTTCTGCTGCAGGATTTCGAATCCCCGAACCTTGAACTTGCACGATAACGCCATTTCGAAAATTATTTTATTGAAGCTACCATTTTCACTCTGCTGCAATGGCTGAGACTGCCCCCGACATCAACGGCGGTTCCGTCTTCGAGGCGACCAAGGCCAGTATGGTATGTGAACATGCTCTCGCCTTGCCTTCAGCCTCATGCTTACCAGATACGCAGTATATTCGCTCTATACCATGATGTTTTCTCACCAAGTGTGGGGTATTTGAGAACCACGTATTGATCTTATCGGATTAGATGCTGCCGCTGCTTTTGATTCCGTCACAAACGGTAGGTTTTTTGGACACTATTTCCAACTTTGGAGCTCCCCCGTGCCTTGCTTCCAAATTTGCTAAATACTCTGATCAGGACCTGTTGCCCAAAATGTCAAGGAACACACAGCAAAGGCTTCCAGTGAGCTGTCCAACCTTGCTGCATCCCGAAAGACCCCCGAGACTCGCGCTGCCACTGGCCAGCCATTGACACACTACCACTCGTTCTTCAACGAGTTGCTTTCTTGGAACAACCCTCGTAAATAACTTGATATCCAGTCATTCTATGTAATCGCTGACAGTTGTTTCCCAGGCGCTTCGGCTATTGCGCTCGTCTCGACCGTCCTCGCCATCCTCGCCTTCCGATACGTTGATGTCGCCCGCCACGGCCTTAGGTTGGCCTGGATGGCTCTGGGAATCACTGTTACGTCCGAGGCTATCGGCAAGTTTCTTTTCAACAAGGGCATCGCTACACAACTGCGCCCCCGCCGATATTACACTGTCTCCCGCGCCACCATCGACTCTCTCGTCGGTGATGCCCATGAGCTCATCAACTTTGTCGTGATCGAGGCCCAGAGAATTCTCTTTGTCGAGAGTATTCCCGCTTCTATCGCCGTGAGTTTGCTGCATTGCTGATCCATGAGAAGTGGTATGTAGCTAACTGGGGTCCATGCAGACTGCCATCCTCGCCTTCCTGTCCTACCACCTGACCAAGATTGTCCCATACTGGGGTCTTGCTATTATTGGTACTGTCATTGCTTTCGTAGCACCCCTTATCTACGTCAGCAACAAGGAGATTATCGACGAACAGCTCAAGAACGCTAGCGAAGCTATTGATGCCCAGACCGCCCAGGTTCGAAGTGTTGCCCAGAAGCAGGTTCATCAGGTGGCTGAAGCAGGCAAGCATTACGCTGGCGATTACAGCCACAAGGTTCAAGATTTGATCCGCGGCCGCTCAAGCTCCCCTAAGCTTGTTGTTAAGCCGAAGCCTGAATTCCCTTCCCCTCCCACCGAAGAGCCAACCAAGGTCCCTGAGATTCATGTGCCTGACGTTCCGGACGAGCCTATCGGGGGCGTGAAGAAGGAAGATTCTGAATCTCTCTTGTAAACTCTCTGCACCTGTCGCCACAGAGTCAACTGTCGGGTGAGCTATATTATATGCTCACTACGCTTCTGAACTCAAGTGTTAGGTTCTTCAAGAAGGATTTCGTGGGCGCTCGCTGGCTTATCGTTTGTGCTCTTGCTGCAGGAACAGAAACAGGCTGTGAGGAGGACGTTGGCTGATGGAATGACATCGGTTCATGTATGGGTATAGTGTGCAGTGTTTTCAGTAGGTCATTGCGAGTTTGGACTGAGGAGCGCGAGGCTGAGATTGCATTTCTTTTACGACTTTCGGGATATCGGGAGGAGCGGCCTGGGTGTGGGCTTCATGAGCGCATCGCTTCCATTTCTGGATGTGATGCCTGGCTGGTCATCGACTAATGACATTGTCTTGTATTTGGGGAGTTTAATGAGTACTAATGCTACGGTCCTGAGAATTCTAAGCAAGTTCCAAGTCGAGTTTCCTTTTGCCAGATACGTTCAACCCCAACTCCAAAATGCATATGTGCGTCCCAAGTTTTTTGACTTGATGAGTTTGTAACCACTTTTGTACTATGATGTAGTATTTATAGATGTCCGCATTTGAAATTATTTTGCTTTTTACCTCCTTCTCTTACCACCGCCACCACCATCCTCGCCTTGACCTCGTTTCCTTCCGTTCTTCTGCCAGAATTCCTTTGTCTCTCTCTTCTCCCTCGCAGCCTTCTTCTCCTCATTCGCAGCCATCTTCTTCTTGAAGGCGGCGTGGTTCTCGGCCTTCTTCACCTTGCGCTTGGCGGCGGCGTCGTTGCGGATGGTGAGGAGCTCCTGCATGAAGCTGCGGGCCTTCTTCTCCTCGCGGTCGTTGGTGACGACGGCGCGCTTGTCCATGTAGGTGGCCTTCTTCTGCCGCTTGGTCTCGACGATCTGGGACTTGAAGGGCAGCTCGGCGGCGAGGGCGCGGGGCACGCGGAGCGGGTTGAAGTGGCGGTTCTCGCGCTCGATCTTGCGGTACTGGCTGTTCTTGAGCTGCGGGGTCTCGACCCCCTCGTCGCGGCGGACCTGGCCCGTGAGGCGCATGGCCTGCCAGCCGAGGAGGTTGTTGACGGGGTTGTAGAAGCGGTGGGGCCGGACGGGGTACCAGGCGCGGAGGAAGACGATGTCGCTGAGGAGGATCTTGTCCTCGAAGGTGGCGCGGAAGTGGCCGTCGGGTTTGGAGAGGGCGCGCTTGATCTGGCCGCGGATGCCGGACACGGTCTTGATGGAGGCGCCCTCGAACTTGGCGATCTCGAGGGACGAGGAGAACATGTTCTTGATGAAGGCGGTGTTCTTGAAGATCTTGTAGGGGTGGCCGGTGAGCTTGAGCTTCTTGACGATCTCGGTGGACTCGTCGACGCTGAGGACGGTGCCCGTGGCGGCGATGCGGAAGCCGGCGGTGGAGGGGGCGAGGGAGTTGAAGCAGACGAAGCCCGTGTTGGGGGCGATGAGGGGCGCATAGATGGTGCCGAAGCAGTGCATGTGCTCGGGGGTGTACTTGAGCATGCGGCTGCGGGTGCGCGAGTCCGACAGGCTGTAGATGGGCATGGTCTGGAAGCGGCGCCAGCCCAGGGAGAAGATGAGGGGATCGTTGGTCTTGAGGATCCTCTTGTGCCAGCGGTGGCGCTTGATGCGGACCTGGACGAAGCCGAAGCGGTCCTCGGTGGCAGACAGGCCGCCGACGATGATGGGGGTCCGCGAGCTGAACCTGGTAACGAACTCGGCGGGGACGTTCTCGAGGACGATCTTGGCGTACTTGCCTGCGCGGTAGCCCTCGACGGCCTCGCGCTGGCGCTCGTCCAGGTTGTCGAACTCCTCCTTGTTGATGTCGAGCTGCTTCTGGATGACGGCCTTTTGGGCGTCGTACCATTCGTCCTCTCCAAACTCTTGGATGTCGCCGCCGTCGCGTCGGGCGTTGGCCTTGTCGTTGAGGAATCCGTCTCTGTCTTCTTCTTCGAAGCGCTGCTTCAGTTCCTCCTTCCTTGCCGCGTTCTTCTTGCGCTCGGCTTCGATCTCTTCTGCGGTCTGCTGCTGAGGCTCTGTTGGTTGCTCGGCCTCGAGGTCTTCAAAGACACCATCGCCCTCGTCATCCTCGTCGTCGTCCCCAAATCCATCCATGTCATCATTGTCACCGTCATCATCGCCGTCTTCGTCGCCTCCGCCGAAGCCGCCGGTTGCGAACCTGCGTTGTAGTGCTAGGACGTTGTCCCTGATTGCCCACTTGGTAGCGAGGTCTTCGTAGTCATAGGAGGGGATCAACCTGTCCTCGGCTGTATCTTCCTTTTCTTGATTTGTCTTCTTGAAGAAGTCCTCGTCATCGGATGCTTCGATGTCCTCCTCAATATCTTCCTCTTCGTCCTCCTCGCCTCTCCACCTCTTCAATGCTTCTGAGGGGCTGAGGGAGTCGTCGTACATGTATCTCGCCAGGTCTTTTGTGTAGTAGGACCGTCTCCGACCATGGAGTTTCATGGCCTTGCCGTGAAGGTCATCTTTCCATCTCAGAGCAGCGTCTTCCTCATCTGAATCGAAATCCTCTTCGTCCTCGTCGTCCTCGCCTGATATTGAGCCCAAATCGGAGTCGCTGTCGGCAAAAGCTACGTCGCCCTCTCCGTTTTCTTGGTCTTCTCCCTTGCGGAACATTTTGCCCAGCTTCCCTTCATCGAATTCAGCATCGGAGCCTTGATCTTCGTCGTCACTGCTGTCGCCTATCGAGGCAGCGTCATCATCCAAGTCGCCTTGATCAGCCACTCTTGCCGTTCGATGTGATTTTCTTCCCGTATCATCTTCTTCAGCAACGTCTTTGATCTGTTCGCCACCCTCGAAAAGCTGAACTCCCTTGTCCATTTGGCCAAGGAGCTTTCGCTCGGCTTGAAGATTTACAATCATCTCCTCTCCCTCACCACGCTCAACGTCCTCATCATCCTTGTTGAATGCGAAACCCTTCTCTCGAGTGATCCAGATTGCATCTCCGTCAATCTTCAACCCACTTCGATCGGACATGGGTGCATGCAGCTTCTTCTCCTTCTCGTCTAGTCGACGGCGACCCGTCTTTCCTGTGAGTTTTGCGATAGCCTGATCCATCGCCGGGGTTGGACATGGGTCAGGGAGGACCTCCATGCTAGCAACCGTGAAGTCACCAAGTCCAGGCACGTGGATTCTTTGGCCCTGGGTAGAGAAATTGGTTCCGCGGAGGTAGCCCGATAAGACGATGGATCGATCGCACTTGGGGTCTTCCTCGATCTTGGTAGGATGGGTGATGTCCCGGAAGCTATCGACGATAGAATATGGGTGGGAGTTTCTCCAAATCAGAGGGCGAGGATTCTTCATGACGGAGAGGAAACGAGAGAGGTTGTGGATCTCGCGGTCGGGGTAGCGGCCGTTCAGCACACCGGAGAGATAGAAGAGATGTGCGCCCTGATACAGCTCGGTCCATAACCTGCGCTTGAGCCTCTTCTTTGCGTCCTTGAGCGCTTGGGGCTTCCGGAACAGATCAAGATGTGTAAGGATGCCGAAGACGTTGCCAGGCATACCGGTGGCGGCAAGGATGTTGAGGAACTCCATCGTCTCCATCTCGAAACCGTAGTTGCCATCGATCATGAGAAGGACAATGTCCGCGATCTTGGCGACGTCGACCATGGCTTCCAGCTCATTGGGACACTCGAGGAAGGTGAGGCGCTGCTTTTTCGAGGTGACTACCGTGATGGGGCCTTGGGGGTCGGTGATCGTTTCCTTCGCGTATCGGCGGATCAAGGACTTGAGGAGAGTCGTCTTTCCGACGCCAGGAGGCCCGACAATGGCGACGAGGCGAGGCGGTGCCTCATCAGGCAATCGGTCGACGAGGGGCACATGGAGGCGCTTCTCTTTGATCTGGCGGGAAACGAGGGAGGTGAGCCCAAGATCCGTGCGCTGACTGGGAGGAGGGGAGGCCAACTTACATCCTGTGATCTGGCGGCTGTACGGGCAAGTCTGCCAGGGTTGGCAAAGGCAAAGGCCTTGGGATTCTTGTCTGCGAAATGGCTGTCAGTATTGAGGTGCTGTCTTGAAGATGGGCGGAAGCGCGTACCTCCAGTGTGCTTCGCCGGCTTCTTCTCCTTCGATTTCCGGTGGGGTTTGTGAACTTGTTGCTCCATGATGGGCGGCTGTGGATGTCGCTCGCTCGCACGGTAGCAATGGTCGTTCAATAATTCCTCGAGTCGCGAAGATTCGTCTGAGACTGAGTATCCGCCATCAAAAATTTTGGGAGCCTCTTATCGATAAGCCGATTGGAGCTTCATGCAGAAATATTTTGTGGGGACCAGGGGGACCTTCGGCCAATCACCTTACATAGTAAAGCAAAAAAATGACACAATAACTCAAACACTAAGTCACCATTATGTCGAGGGTTCATTATGCTTATTATTGTCCATAAGATCAGTCTCCGCCGTGAGCGAACACAAGAGGATGATGTGTTCTGTGGAAGATTGCGGCAACCAATTACTATCATGTATCACAATCGGTTCTGGGATTTGACCCAGGGATTGCAGGGCGAACATTCTTGCATTACCACGAGGTCAGGAAATGTGAAGCATCGAAAGCTCATAGGTAGTAGAACGCACTCCCGCCAGTCTGGGTTGCTGAGTCATCTAACCTGTGCGCAGGTTAGATGACTCAGCAACGCATACACTTGCAAGCGGCTGACATAAAGCATGGCACACCAGAGCTCTTTTCGTGCAAGCTAGAGATCTCATTCTCTTATTAATAAGAATAATAATAGTAAAATAATAAGCTATTCTACATTATTTATTATAATAATAACTAGAATAACTAGGTTAATTATTTTGATATTGTGTTGGAATCTGAGGCTGTATGGAGGCTTTGGTGTGCCATGTTTTATTTTGACTGGTTCTACCGTTATCCCAATCCTTGAAACTCTAGTGTCGTTTTCATCAACAAGACGTTTAAGTTCGTCTAACAAGAAAACTCCTAACTTGAATTGACACATTAAAATGGTCTTACAAATACTTGCCCAGAGACACAGGGCTGGGCAAAAGAAAAAACCACCTACCCCAGTATACTTCATTAGTAGGGCATCACATCAACTGGAATTTCAACCACTTTGATGGGATAGCGCAACGCTCCTTTATCATTAAAAATTAAGCACTAAATACAGGCTTATAGGCTTTTGATCTGACTTTGCACCGGATATCATAACAGGGAAACCATTCAATTAGGCAGTGCTGCCTACCAATCAACTTTTTCTTCCTCAAGGAGCGCCACTGTACAGTTGCTGACCATCCTTCTTGAAGTTGGTAATGACCTTCTGGCCGCGGGCGCTGACGAGCCACTCGGCGAACTTGGTAGCCTGCTCGGGGTTGGGAGCCTTCTCGCCGATGAGCAGACGAGCAGGGTTCAGCAGAGGGTCGCTGGCATCGTCGGAACCAGCCTTGTAGATGACAGTTTGGTTGCGGAGCTCGGAATCGATGGAGAGGATGGTGCCGCGGTCAGTGATGGTGTACTCCTCGAGAAGAATGGCAGCAGTCAGAGCCTGAATAGGGAAGCCAATGTACTGGTGGTACCACTTGGAGTAGGCGGTGGCCCACGGGACCTGGCCAATGCCAGCCCAGAGGAGAGACTCCTTGATGTTGGTGGCGGACTTGTCGTACCGGGAGAGGAAACGGGTGGGAGGGGTGGTGACAGCACCCTCAGCAGCTTGGTGTAAATTGGAGAAGATGGTGCTAATGTCGTCGCTCTGCGAGATGTTGGCGGGGTTGGCCTTGGGACCAACCAGGAGGAAGTGGTCGCGGAAGGCATAGTATATCTCCTTCTTGGCGATGCCCTGCTTGACAGCGATATCCTCAGCGGCGAAGTTGTAGGTAATGCCGACATCAATGGAGCCCTGCTTCAGGTACTCGATGCTGTAAGTGGTATCACTCGTGACCCATGCGACAGTGAATGGCTTGCTGCCATTGGCAACGCTGTCCTGGATGAAGGCATCGGCCAACTCTCGGGGAAGGTTAGTACGGTATTTCAAATTGTTATTTGGGTGGACTCGAGATATACGCACCCTTGACGAGACCACTCTGGCCGGCACCGCCGTTGCCAATGCGGAGAGCGATAGTGCCATTGGTACCGTCACCAAGACCACCGTCATAAATAGCTGCGGGTTGCTGCGCAGCTGCTAAAGCCAGGAAGGCCGAGAAGAATGTCCAGACTCGAGCCATTGCGAATTAGAGAAGTTGGAGGAGGTGTTGGAGGAGCGAGAGGTTGTGGTGCGTGGTGAGCAACAAGATCAGCAGCAGCCCGCGCTCTATATGAGTTACATCAGGCATGTTGAACAATCTGGGTGGGCTCCATTCTCGTTATTTCTCTGCTCGCCTTAACCAAGTTGGCACTTGATTCTGACCGCTTCGGCCCAAGTCGTGAGGCCTTCAGCTGGGAACGGTCAAGCGGTGTTGAAGCTAAGCTAAGCTTTGAGCTTCTTGCAGCGAGGATCGACAAGCTGAGCTGGCGTGGCTTGTCTTTAGCGTCCTTGTTCGAATATTGTGGACCCTGATCGCCCGGATGGATGTTAAGTTGGTCGGAGGCGTGATGTTCAATTTCAGCTCTTCAGCGTTTCCATCTGAGCTATGTCTCATAGAAGAATAGGATCGGCTCGACAGTGACATCGTTATTGCACGCAATCTCACGGCATCGCATTTCAGGCTGCTGGAGGCAGTGTCAATCCCCAATACCTGGTGCTTTCGCGAGCCATTCCCTTAGCTGGTGCCATGATCAACCTGACGGCATCTAGATGGGTGTGCGCCATTGACATCGGGGTGCTTTCATCGAGAAGCTGCATTCGCCATGGCCAGGCTGTTATGAGCCCGGGCCACTGCTGGTCATTTGGTAATATCTCGGCCATAGTTCGCCAGAAGTTCAATCGCTACGTCGGCTTTAGTGCTGACGCTACCCGTTGATGCATTCTGTGATCTACCCTAATCACCATGCCGTCTCCCTTGCCAAGCAGCTAGAGGTAATTTGGCAGGGTGATGTATGGCTCGCTCTATTGCAGCGAAGTAAAAGAAAACAAAGCAAACAAAGCAAACAAATGTATTGGTCATGCTGGTCCGGAAAAACAGGCCTCTCTTCTAGCTCAGGCGGTGACGGCGGTGGCTCTCATGCTCCCGCTCGACGACCATTAATAATTACCTACCTACCTAGGTAGTAGGTATGTGCATTCCATCTCGGCCACATTGACTTTGCTGTTTGACTCATTGCCCACCCTCTCTCTTATGAAGGGCTATGCATCAAGTTGTGATATGCCTCGGTTAGCCGATGCAATTTCGCAAAGGGGCAGCGACTCAATATGAGTAATCGTGAGTGTGCCGACCAGCCCATGTAACGCTGTGTCGAAGCGCCCATGCCGGCTGACGCTAAGGCACTGCGCAGATGAGATTTATCACAGCCGGTACTGGATCGAGGCTTACCATACCTACCGATGTTGATATGCAATTTGTGATGACGAGACGCGCGCGGGATGAGGTGCTCGTCTGTCTGAGGCAGAAACAAACATCTCGCTTACCACACCACATCAATCCAGACGGTGATGACGAGTCTCACGACGCAGGCAGATGCGAATATCCGCTCCATCGCAGCCCGGGACACGCACCCGCCCGCAGAATCTTCCCCCCACCGAACCGAACCCGACTTTTGGGCCTTCCCCATCGAGAAAGCTTCACGGGAGGGGTTACCATCCCTGTGGGGTGGCTTTGCGTAGGGCTCTGCAGTTGAAGATCTGATCTTTGTCAGGCCGGAGCCGCTTTGGGCTTAAGGTCCTCGAATTTACGTAGGCTTCCTCGTTATTTCCCCTGCAATTGAGTGCCAATTTGCCCACAAGTGCGCACTCACACCATCGGGCCAGGATGACTCACGCCAATTGCCGGCTCAGCCCTGCAGCGTCCAATGTACGCTTCTTCCTCATTCAGACACCGACTGGAAAATAGGTTTGCGTCAACGGTCTGGAGGGTGGTGGAGAGGCCTCGTAGTTCGTGTTGTAACCTGTTCTGCGGCGACGTATGTAGTCACAAGTTTCGAAGCGCCTGTTTCCAAAGTACTGTTGTTGATTCTTGTATAAATATGCCATCTTTCGTCCTCAGGATGGAAACCGACAACCAGGCCAACAAGCAAACAAACCAACCAATAACACTACTACAACAACAACTTCCAGCTCAAGTCTTCTGATACATCTTCCCCCCAAATCACAATCAAGTATGTCTATCTTGTGAAACTTCAATGGGATAATTGTCCTTCCAGCACGTCTACTGTCCTGGAATTATACCTAGAAAATCAAGCTGACAATGCTTTGCCTGCTTAGACTCAACCCAACTTCCGTCAACTACTTCACAACAATATCACCATCATGAACAGCAACGACAACCGATCTGCTTCCAAGGCTGCCGACGCCGCCGAGACTGGCTCCATCTCCACCATGAGCTCAGCTGCATCATACGTGAAGAGCGGGCAAGAGAACAAGAGCTCAACCCGCAACGGCACCAAATTTTCAGTCCAAGACATCAAGGACAAGGCTCTCAAGTCACAGATCAAGTTCGCTTAAGGACCCCGCTAGATGTTGTTGGTTGTCCCTGAAGCATTGCTTGAGCTACAGCCCCTCCATCCTATTTGAGGAGTTTCTACCTCCAAAAAATAACGAATGTTATGAGTTGATGGCAAGAATCGGTATATAAACGTGACGAGTTGCAGTGGCCCTGGCAAGAATGGCCCGGGGCGGAAAAGTCATGGCTTCTAATGAGAACGCGGTTGATGTCTCTCTCTATGGTGGGAAGGGAGAGAGACATTGAACCGCGACTAATGTAACCCCATCTTGTTGTTGTCTGGCAAGAGATAACTTGATGGGTATTTGATGATATTAACATGGGTATGAGTCCAGTGTGGCCCTATAGATTCTATATAGTGCAATTAAAAACTGTCGTTGAGAATATCTTCGTTCATCTTGACCATTGTGGGACTGTATTCAGAAGACTCTGGGTCTACTCCAGCATCTAACAGGATGTCTTCAACAATCCTCTTGCTTGCTTCGCGGGCTAAAGAGCATAGAAATGTCAGTAATCTACGGCCATTCGCCCTAGATAATAACAGGAAAAGCTCTCACCTGGAGTCTGAAGCAGTTTCGAGGGCGCCAGAGCAAACTGGATCGTCTTCGGAGGGCTCATTCCGGCATACAGGTCTATATCATCAGAATCGGCGGCTTCTCCGACATCCCAGTCAATCTCATATTTCGGATCCTCGCTATGGTCGGTGGTGTCGAGATCTGCGAACACATCTCGGGTCTTTGCCGCGCCAGGGGTCTGAACACTGACGCCGGGGGTCCTCGGTCCCCGGGTCGCATTTGCCAGGCGTTGCCGAGCGTTGCTCTTGAACGGCGACATGAATGCTTCACTTCTCAACTTGGGCACCGCCATCTCGGGAGATGACATTGGTGAACCATCTTTCCAGGATGGAGTGGCAGAAGCTTTCTCTTTACCCTTGTCGTCTCGTTTCAGAGGAGAGATGCGCAGCGGTGGTCTATGTGGTGTTGACTGGATTCGGTACTGTTTGTCCAGGACACGGTGGAGAATAGGGTCTTTGCCACTCCGTAGAACCGAGTGCTCCTTGTTGTGTTTCTCTGCCAAGGCATTTCGAGGCGTCAAAGCAATGTCAGGCAGCTGGGCGGTTCTCTGGGCGAATAGTACTGTTGAATCCTCATCATCGTCATCCTCCAGCACAGTCGTGTGTCCCTCTTCGCTTCGCAATTCCCGTTTGACGTTTTCGTATGGCGATTCGAGACTGGCGATCTGAGTCCTCATGGTCTTGGTGGCCGGAGGACGAGGCGTGCTCCCCGTAAGTTCAGCATCGTCCAACATCGACTCTTCCTCGCCATGGTAATTGGACTGTTGTTCGTGTAGCGCTGTGCTGTCCTCGGCATGGCTTCTTGAATAGTCCATCTCGGTATCGTCTCTCAACGCAGTGCTCTCTTCTACCGCAGTGCTTTCTTCTTCGTCATTGTTATGCTCCTCGTATCCGGATAGCGAAACATTTGCGGACGCCTCGAAGAATTGCTTCCAAAACTGCATCCGACATATGAGTTAGACTGGCCATGGATAAGGTGCAAGACGTAGTTATTACCTTGGAAGCTTCCCAGACTGCGCGAGAGTTTTCGCCATATTGTTCTACCAAGGGTAAGATACTGGTGGTGACAATTCGGTGAGATTTGCTGAAATTATGGTCGATCTCTGGTTGACAAGTTAGCTTGTGACCACTGCCAGGGCCGACAGTGCTTGGCTAACCTTGGAGAGTCAATGTGATGGACTGTTCGAGCCTTTCTAGCTCCTCTGTCAAAGACAGACTCCGCGGTGCACTGCTGGGCCGAGCCATTTTGCACCTGTATGCATGTACGGGGCTGGACGTCGTGGTTTGATTGATTGAAATTCATCACGACCCCTCGACGCGTGTGGAGACGCGATGCATGAGGGGTGTTGCTCAAGTATGGGGTAGTCAGACATACACAGTTATGCTACCATTGTCCCAAATGTTGCTGAGTCATCTAACCTGTGCGCAGGTTAGCTGAGTCAGCTATACTTTCTGTGCCTTGGTATGGAGTTGAAGCTTGTTTGCTGCTTTCAGTAAGCAGCTATTTTCTGGATATATGATTTCTTACTTAGGTAGTCTAATTTAGCTATATGTAAATTAAGAAGACTAATACTGTTCGTATTATTCGCTTCATATATGAGGGGTGATGGCTTAAGTATGAGGTAGTCAAACCTACACAGGCTATGCCATCTGTTAGACCGAGGCATCGTGTAAAAAGACCAAAAGCTATGAAAGTATCTCCTCCGTCAAGGAGGAAAACATGATCATATAACACCGTACTAGTCATTAGAAATAACCTAACGGATGGCCCGGAGAGGTCAGCTAGGCAGTCAACTCAGTCATCTCTTCAATCGTCAGGTTCAACAGTATCATTGTTGTAACTGTTGCTGAGTCATCTAACCTGTGCGCAGGTTAGCTGAGTCAGCTATCCTTCGCGAGCCTACTTACCTAGCTACCTAGCTACCTACAGGTAAGGAGTCGAAACTTGTTTGTTGCTTTCAATAAACAGCTATTTTCTGGATATATAATCTTTAACTGTTTTCATCTAGATGTATGTACATTGAAAAAGGTGACGCTGTTCGTGTCATTCGCTTCATATCAATCATGAATGCCGCTTCACATAGTAGTCGCTGATATCTAGCTTCAGCAGTAATTGTGAAAGCGAGCTGTCGCCCCCCAATCCTAGCTGTTTTGAACCAATGCTGTCTTTTTGGGGCTGTGTAGCTCGACTCTTCTCGGCAAGCCCCCTGCACACGGTGATAAATACTTGTACTTTCTTCTTGAATCTTGAATACATCTCTGCCGTCTGACGATCATCATCTTCAGTATCTCCCTGAGTTCTGAGATGGTATGAGAACTGAATGACCGAGGTAAAGATCTCTTCCAACAGTTTGAGTATCGGCTCTTGCCGCTTTCTCAAGAAAAGGGCCGTCATGATTCTTTGCAGCACATCCGAGTGAAACTCGCGGAGTTGTTCAGGGCTTTCAAGCTTCTCATAGGACTTTCTATCAGCATCATTGCTTAGCACAGCCTGAATCTTGTCTAGCTTGGCCTCAAAGCTACTCCAGGCACTGGAGATTCCGGTGTCGAGAAAATACGACTCGATGCTGCAGACAAAGTGTCGAGCCTCTCTCACAAAGCGATATGAGGCATTGTGCATGGAGTATATCCGGCTGCTCACGAGCCGCCACAGGCTGTTGACGACATATGACATGCGTAACAGGCGTAGCATGAGCTTGAATATGCGGTCATATTGTAGGAGAATCATCGGTGTGATGATGAAGCTTAACTCTGGTGGCGTGGTATAGGAAAGACGTAAGAAATCTAGCGCTTCCAATGAGTTTGGGTTTACGCACTTGACGATCTCCTCTTCCGACAAGTCTCGTACAGTAAAACTCAAATCGCCAGGAAGATCTTGCTTGTCCTTTGAAATTGACGTTGTTCCCTTTGCTGAAGAGGGGTCCAATGCACTAAAACTCTCAGATAATACACCCATAAGCGCCAGTCGCAACTCCGAGCTTGCAGGTGGCCAAGTGTCACGGGCGCCAAGTCTTAAGCCCATTATGCCCCCCTGGCGGGCGACGCCTTGCTGTCTCTCCGCAATCTCGAGATCGGGATCAAACAAAGCATTAGAAAGCCGGCTGCAGAACATGCCGTTCCCTAAAAGTTGGAAATCTCGTTGAAGCTTGAGATGACCTCGAAGGTCATGCTTACTGAAGAGAAGCGTCAAAGTCTCCCTATTGACGACTTGGGCTTGGGTAGATATAATGCTGCCAAATGACAATATAGGGAGCAGTGACCAATGTGGTGTGGACTGCAAACCACTTCCTACCTGTCTTTTATTGCCGAGACGCTCCCGAATGATCCGATAAAAGGGGCTCACAGAATCATGACCAGCGATAGGAGCATTGAGATGTTCAATTGAGGCTAGGAGTCGTTCCTCAATGCCACCCGTTTCAAATGTAAATAAATTCAGTGGAGAGGGGGTTTTTGGTACGTCGGAACACTCAATAACATGTTTGCTAGGATTATGAATGTTCGAGGCCATCTTTATGGAGTCCAAAAGTCGATCTCGATACTCTTCAACCCGGCTTTCAAGCTGCAGGATGGAGTCCCAATCGTATAGCCAATCGGCTCTCGGGGGTTTGCTGATACTTAGAATGTCCGATCTCGCCAAAGGGTGAGTGGGATGGTGCGATCTGATGAAGCGCAGATTCTTTCCAGTCTCAAACATGGTTTGGGCTATATCATCAGGAATGAAATGCGGGACTCGTTCTGGTTTGAGACGAAAGTCGACCTCTTCAATCTGCTGGCCCAAGTCGTCCATGGTGATTTCAGCTTCAACTTGAACGAAGCCTTTTGCCTGGCCGACGAGAGATTTAGCCAAGGGGATCCCTTCCTCCTTTTTAGTGCCTATCCACTCCTCCAAAAATCCGATCCACGGTGTCGAGATTTTGCGCAGTGCTTCCTGTAAGAGCTCTCGTAACCACTGCTCGCCGTTGTCAGCTGAGCAAGCATAGTCAAATACACATGTTATGACTTGTTCATCGCCGCAATTCCGAGGGAGGCTGGTAATGAGGTTGTAAAACGGGCTGAGTATGGCTGTTATGCCCCTGACTAGGGATTGTAGCTGCAAGATGGACTGCGGCAATCGTTTGTCCAAGATTGCATTCTCTTGGACCACACGGACAAGCTCACTGATAACACTTCCAAGAGCCACGGCACATTTTGACTTGTGCTTCTTGTACACGGTTTGCACGAAGTTGTTCAGCTTCAAGGTCATTTCCCCGCTTGACAAACACTGCGATTGGACCCCATCAAGAATATTGGCAGAGTACCCTGGCGCTCTGATTCTGGGGAGGGCTGGGCGAAAGGTAGGATGAGTTTCAGATTTTAGGAAAAATACTGACTCCCGGCCAAGTGCCAGTGCTAACAGAGCTGCAGAATATGCATTTGGATCTACTACTGGCGTATCAACATTTCCTAGATTGAGAGGGTCGTCTTTCCAGGCTAGCAGTGCGTCATAAGCAGCCGTGCCAGCTTCACTGAGCAGAAGAGGCGCTTCTCCAATGGCCGGAGTTTGTTGTAGAAAACCCTGCCAGGTTTTGAGTGCCGCAGAGTGGGAAACCAAAGACTCACGCGACATCCAAATGTCGCTGTCGGAATCCGAATCTGTGGTACTTGCTGCTACTTGGTTCTCAACTTCATCAGGATCTGTGTTGTTCAATGCAATCTTCTCATTCCCCTTTTCAATGGCTGGAAGCTTGAAGAAGCCATCTTGGCTGGGAGTTGCTAGTTTGAAATTTACTAGATTGGAGTCCGAGACGTCGGAGATGCCTGGAAAGTGCTCAGTTAGGATGGGTAGACATATGGAGTCAGAGGTAAGGACCAATTACTGCGAATTCTTGTGGAAAAGAATGGCGCGGACTCATCGCGAGGAAGCTCTCTAAGCCATTTCGACGAGGGCCAAAATTCGGGGATGGCGAACATGTCGGCCTCCCTGTCGCTGTCATTGCCTGCCATGACATTTGAAACCCTGCTTATGGGCTCGCATCTAGAGGACGAGCTACTCCCAGCTGCTCTGTCAGGAGTGACAACAGGAAGTCAAGTATACAGATTGAAGCTCTGGTGATTGGACGGTGGTATTGACTGCTAAGTCGCACTGAGCAGTGGATGCCCTTTGCCCCGCGATAAGATGCCTGACGCGTTCCGCCGTCGCGTGTCTTGGAAGCACTTGGCACGAGTACCCGGTACTTGTCTTCACACGCTGGCACAGTACAATTACTAGTGACTAGTACCTGTCAACAGAAGCCGCCAACTCAAGCCATCATCTATGAGACGGGCGCCAATAATTTCACATGCCTCGATTGAGATGCTAAGCACTTCGAAAACGTCCAAACTTACTTTCCACCCGTCTGCTACAGCTATTAACTAGTCCCACCGTTGACGGCGCACCCCGATCTTGGTGGCAAGATTTATGATCGCCAAGCCTGATTTTCAGAAGCCCTACTAGAGCTAAGGCACCCTGCCTTAGGTCCATACCATACTAAGGCAATGCCTCCCAAGAAGAAGGGTCGAGGTGGTGCACAAACCGCCGCATCTTCCACGCCCACGCCCGCCCGAAACGAAGATGCAATGGACATCGATTCGCCTCCAAAAGACGAGGCGGGGTCCTCAAAGAAAGTACCGGACATTGACCCAATTGCTCAGGAATACAATGACAGCTGGACGGACGACCAGGTCGCATCGCTATTCAAGGCCGTCATACGCTGGAAGCCGGCAGGTATGCCATCGCCAACCTCGAGGCTGTTGCTTCCAACGTCTTGCTAACCTCTCTGCTCGCCCCAGGCATGCACAAGCACTTCCGCATGATTGCCATCTCCGAGCACCTGCGGAACCACGGCTTCGATCCCGACCAGTACAAGCATACCCGGATCCCCTACATATGGCAGAAGCTTCGAACATACTACAACCTGGAGATCATTGACGAGCGGGAGAACTTCGATGACGATGAGCCCGAGGATAGATATGTCGAGTTCTCGCTGCCACGCGCCGACTACTTCGACCTCATGATGCTACGTGCCCGAGCAGACCCCAGCGAAACGCCATCGTCGCCGCCGGAACTTGACCTCGAGGGTGCTGGTCCTTCGTCTTCACCCCCACCGAAGAAGAGACCGCGCAGAGAAGCTCCGTCACGGACCAGAGGGGCTTCCCGAGAGGACACGGAAGAAGCCACAGATGCCCCCTCGCCGGCTGGGCGCTCTACGAGGGGCTCGAGGGGTCGCACAAGGGCAGCTAGCCAAGCCAAAACTGAGAAGGCTGAGAAGGCTGAGAAGGCTGAGAAGGCTGAGAAGGCTGAGAAGGCTGAGAAGGCTGAAAAGGCTGAAAAGGCTGAAAAGGCTGAAAAGGTTGAAAAGGCCGACAAGGCCGAGACTACTGAGGAAGAAGAGGAAGAGGAAGAGGATGGGGAGGAGGAAGGCGAGGATGACGATGACGAGAGCGACTCGGGTGGCGAGGACGAGAGTGAAGAAGAGAAGAGCTCGACCACAAAACCACCGAAATCTGGAAGGGGAGGAACAAGGGGCCGAGCTCGAACTAGAGGAAGAACGAGGAGAGTTGGGAGGTAAATATCTTCGTCGAGAGCTCCCATGACACTTGTAAAGACCTATTGATACCCGGAGGATAAAAGAATAGCAATAAATGTATATTAGTTCAGGATTCATGAGTTCCTCATATTTTCAAACCGTTCTCGCTACTTAAGGGTATCATTATTGCATAATGCCAAAAAAAAACCATTCCAAAATTCCGTTTCCAGCACTCAGGGATCCTTCGCAATTGACTCCTGCTCCCATTCGCTGCAATACTTGGTGCGACTTCTCCAGTCCCTTCCCAGCGGGTACATGCTCTCTAGTTCTAGTGTTGATTTTTGTGTTTGTCCTGGATCTGGCATCTTGAGTGTACTCATTGGCGGCTTCACCTGCAAGAGATCCCAGAGTTCGACCTCAGCTTTGTAGCTTTCGTGCCCGTCGCAACGTTCGGCGTACTGCTCTTGCTTCCGTTCCGTCTCAATTCTGGTTCTCAGTGACTGACGCAACGTCAGTGTCTCTGGAAGATCGGCTGCAGAGAATCGGAGCACCTCATTGAGCTCCTGTTTGACGGCCCTTTCTTCTTCATCTGATGAGCTCAATGCAACCTCGCTATCCGACTCGTCCGTGTCTAGTGCATCCAGAACATCCGAACCCTTCCGGCCATTATCCGGCTCAGGTAAGACCTGTATATCTGTGGATGATACCGACAATTCTTGCTCAACCTGTTCATAGAGCATGGGGCATGATTCATCGTCTTCATTTCCCTGAGGAGGATCCTTGTAAACCTCGAGGCGTAGCCTCCTTGCACTCTTCCTCCAGAACTCTTTGGAATTGAGAGCTAGGCCGAGTGACTCTACTGCGACTTCCACATCCCTCCGTAGGATCACGTTTCGAGTCTCCGGCCGCATCTCAAGTCTTGCTCTGATCCTTGCCATGCTAGTAAATATTGTTGTTTGAACCAGCCTTCTTGTAATGGATAGCGCAAGGGAGTAGAAATCCTCAATCGTGGTGGCCCATATCGAGGGCAGGTTGTCGTCAATGTACTCCCAGTTGTTGCTTGGTATGGAAGAGTTCATGAAGATGCGCCGAGAGAGCTGGAGCCACTGGGGCATGTCGAAGAGCTGGAGAGAAGCGAGCTGGGTATCGGCAGGGTTCTGCTCTTTCGCACCACCTTCCAGACTTTTCACTATTTCCGGCGTCAGATTCCAAATCTCGCCCCATTTGGTTTCCTCTCGCTGCTGCTCTCGAGCCTCCTGCCTTAGCGATATCGCATCGGCAGCCTCGTCAAGAGCATGACAGCACTGCTGGCTTAGCTCAACGGCCGCTGGGTACTCTGAGATCTCGATGACTGAGCGCAGATTGGACCTGCGCCGAGATTCTTGCTCCTTTTCGAGCAAATCGATGTACTGATGGACTTCGACAACGCTCTTGCTCCCGATCCTAGCCGAGATCTGGTCAAGGTTGTCCCGCCCGAGTCTTGCAATGGCCTCGTAGAAGACTCTCTTCTCTGCTCTTGTCCACCAAACGAGCCCTAACTGGGAAGAATGGAAATTATCATCATCCTCTAGAGTGGCACTATATGCGGCATCTTCTATGTCCCGATTTAACAGGTCAAGATAGCCGGGATTCAACGTGCCTTTCTGGCGCTTGAATGGCCTGGGTATTTCTTCCTCGTCACCCGCTGGGCGTTTGAGCGAGTTGAATTCTTCAGCTGACTGTTCAGAATCGTCTTCAGAATTCCAATCCTCATCGACCTCACTGTCATATTGTTGCCGCTTCAGAAACCGAAGCGTGAGAGGCGAGACGTCCTCTTGCTCGGCCTCAGATTCCTGGGATGCAATATGTTGCTGACCATGGTGCTCTGGAGTTCCGACCGCTGGAATGTCAGTCTGATCAGGATTGAAGGATTCGCCTGCTTCCATGTTCATTGATGGCTATGAGCATGGATGATATTCGAGCAATGATGGCAGGCGAAAACATCATCAGATGTGTGGTGCTTGAAATTACAGAAAGCCACAAACTCCGGGTTTACAAAACTTAATGTGCGTAGAATATCAAAAATCGAAAGAGACCGATCTCTTGCGATTCATTATATGCTCATTATTGATCTGATTATCGCGAGTAAGAGGGTTTGAAGGTTCTGTTTATGACCTGAAGGTGAACGAGCATCCATGATTACATAATACGCAAATACCAAAATTTCAACACCAACACTTTCTTAGTCGCCAGCCAAGTTGAACGAACCCCTGTAAAACCCCCTTACATTTATCGATTCCGTCGCTCGCTGCTCATTTTCTCATACTATGATTATGTGCAATGATACCTAGAGTAGCAAGGTGCCTTTTCCGGCCGCAGCGGTGCGGGCTGGGGGTTGTTCAGCGCCAGTTTCTCCGTCACAAGCATGTCACTTTCGCGACACTCGTATCTAGCCCCAAAACCGGCCTTGGTGCTGAGAAGCCTACCAAGTTGGAATTGAGAGACTACCAACTTGACTGCATCAAATCAGTTATCAAGTCCACTGAACGTGGTGTCAAACGCGTAGGAGTATCATTGGCAACAGGGAGTGGAAAGACTGTAAGTGGATGAGTACTTGGCCGCAACGTCAAAGAACCAGCCACTAATATCCTTCTAGGTAATCTTTACACAGCTTATTGGGAAGATTCAAGACCGGCCAAATGGAGGAAGCAGAACGTTGATCCTGGCTCATCGCCGGGAGCTCGTCGAGCAAGCTGCAAAGCATTGCCGGCTCGCATACCCCGAGAAATCAATTGACATCGAGATGGGCTCTCTGAGCGCTTCTGGAGCTGCAGACATCACCATCGCAAGTGTCCAGAGCATCATTTCAAAGGACCGCATAGAGAAATACGACCCCTCGTCATTCAAGCTCGTACTTGTGGACGAAGCTCACCACATTGTCTCGCCAAGCTACCTCAGAGTGCTTTCGCACTTTGGACTAGACCAGAAGCGACACAACTCGCCGCTCTTGGTTGGCGTTTCCGCAACATTCTCTCGTTTTGACGGAGTGAAGCTCGGGAGCGCGATTGATGAGATCGTCTACCACAAGGACTACACGGAGATGATTTCAGACAATTGGCTCTCGGATGTCGTCTTCACAACGGTGAAGTCGACCGCAAATCTTTCCAGGGTCAGAAGTGGAAATACCGGCGATTTCTCCACAGGTGAGCTTTCCAGGGCAGTCAATACAGACGAACTCAACAACATCACGGTCCGAAGCTGGATGGCCAAGGCTGCTGGCAGAAAATCTACTCTCGTGTTTTGCGTCGATCTTGCACACGTCGCTAGTCTCACAGACACGTTTCGCCAGCATGGTTTTGACGCCAGATGCGTCACTGGAGACACACCCAAGGTTGAGAGAGGCCAGATTCTGGAGGATTTCAAGAATGGCCGGTTCCCGGTGCTATTGAACTGCGGCGTGTTTACCGAGGGAACCGACATCCCAAATATCGACTGCATCGTGCTCGGCCGACCAACCAAATCCAAAAACCTCCTTGTCCAGATGATTGGCCGAGGGATGCGCTTACATACCGGGAAGAAGAACTGCCACATCATCGACTTTGTCTCTAGCCTGGAAACCGGCATTGTTACAACGCCTACTCTTTTTGGCCTCGATCCCAACTTACTCGTGGATCGAGCCAACGTTGACGAGATGATAGCAGCGCAGCGCCGCAAGACCGCAGACGATAAGAAGAAGGCAGAGGCGGCTGCGCGTAGTGGACACCCGGCAGCAACCGCAGTGGCCTTTACCGATTACTCCTCGGTTCTCGACCTGATCGCAGACTCGTCTGGAGAACGACACATCAGGGCTGTCAGCGAGTTTGCGTGGGTTCAAGTCGGACCCGAAAAATTCATTCTGTCCGCACCCAGCGGCTCGTATATTCGAATCGAGCGCATCGAAGACGACATTGTCCGCTCTGGAGAGCAGTCTCCGAAGTACCGCGCTGTCGAGATACGCTCCCTGCTCCCCGGCACCTCCAAGTCGCCCTTTGCAGCGCCCCGAGAGATCTTGACCGCGGCCACCTTCAGCGACGCAGTGCACGGGGCAGACAGCTACGCCTCCCACGCGTTCCCATTCTCCTTCATCCACCGTCGCCAGCCGTGGCGGAACCTGCCCCCGACACAGGGCCAGCTGGACTTCATCAACAAGCTCCGTGGGGAGGGCAAGCCCCTCAGGGTGCAGCAGCTGAGCAAAGGCAAGGCCGCCGACATGATCACTAAGCTGAAACACGGAGCCCGTGGGCAATTCGCGAGGCTCGAGGCGCAGAAGAAGCGACAGGTGAAGCAGGAGATGCTGGCACAGCCATCCAGTCGCGAGCAGGTCAGAGTTGGGCCCTTGGAATCATGAGCCCTAGCCTCTTCTTCTTTTCTGTAAATCATTTCCTATCTTTGAATCCCCTTGACTCATAAAGCTTTCACCCCCCTCTCCTTTTTGAAAGAGGACACATGCAAAACTGGGTTGCATGCACGATAATAGGCGTTGGTTAGGAGCCATGTGGACCACCTGAAGCTTCCGCACAAGCAGGCGTTCGGGACGTCCAGCAATGACATTGCTATGTGATTATATGTACTATAGATGATTCTGATATCTCCGTTCAGCAAGCCGGACATGTATAAGATTTTATGAGAACATTGTTCATTTGCCCTTGCTCATTCAAGGTAGTAAGTAATAGAGCTATGTAGTTATGCGGCAGCTGCTGAAAAAAAAGGGGGGGGTAATTCCCAAACACCAAGAATTTAACAACTTGACACCGTACCCAGTATCACAACATATTAAACTTCAGCCTTTTTGCCCAGCTACGAGGCTTGTACCCGGCCGTGCATAAAGTTCAACACCAACAATAGCTGTGCCCAGCCGTATATAAGGTTCAACACCAAAGGCTGTGCTCGGCAGTGACTCTTTCGTCGGCATGACTCCTTTTATGAACCTTAAGATACTGCTTTTCATCTATTTAAAGGCCGCCATCTCTGGCCTGAATGAACCGCACAGCTCAAGTCCATATCGGCAATCTGCCTATTTCGCAAATCGCTGCCTTCGTCGAGACAAGTCAAGTGCCACACATCGCTACCTTCGTCGTCCGTCAAATCAGTCGACTCCCACGCATCGTCAGTCGGATCAATCGATCGCACATCGCTGCACTCAAGTCCTTGCCAAGACTTCAACTCAAATATCCTAACGAGCTCTCGCCCGATCTGTTTGCCTCTTGCTTACTTAAAAAGAACAGCGTATAAAATAATAAAGAAGAAGTTAAAGCAAAGACTACAGGTCCTAGCAGTAGCGCCTCTTATCCAGACCAACCAGCTGGATAATTTGGAAATCCTTAATTAGGAAATCTTCAATTTGAAAATCCTAGCTTGGTCAAAAGTCGATACGAGCGATCATAAGCTCGTAGGGGCTATTAAGGTAGTCGGGTCTTCAGTGGAATCAGCTTGACTAAGAATATAATTCCCAAGATTAAGCAGACCAACTTTCTGTTGGAAGCTAATCTCCTCAAGATTAATTGATCCGACTGCCTTAGCAGCCCCTGCGAGCTTATGATCGCTCGTATCGACTTTTGGCCAAGCTAGGATTTCCAAATTAAGGATTTCCCAAATCATCCAGCTGGCTGGTCTGGATAATAGGTACTATTGCTAGGACCTGCAGTCTTTGCTTTGACTTCTTTATTATTTATAGGTTATTCTTTTTGAGCGAGTGAGACGTAGATCGGGCGAGAGCTCGGTAGGATGTTTGATTTTGGCAAGGGCTTGAGCGTGCGCGGCGATGTGCGAAGTTCTGACAAGTAGTCGATTGATCCGACTGACGGCGAAAGTAGCGATGGCCCTTGCTCATTCATTGAACTCCCTACCACTCTGGCTAGGTTCGATTCGGCACCGTGCCCCAAGTCTCGAAAACGATACTTCGCACCAAGATAACTTGGAGCAATTATTGGCAGAATTTGGGTAGCAGCGCAATGCCAGTTAGCGTAGAGACTTCACTCAGCAGACCCAGATTGAGCTATGCAGGTATTATTATAGCAGGGCCTGCTCACGGGTTCTGTGGGTTAATCGTAAATAGGGGTTGAGAGAGAGCAAGAACAATCATCAGTATGGACCTCTTCGTCCCGCCCATTACTTATCACTAGAAAAGTCAAGGATGGTCGATATAAGCTCCCTACATTGTACGCGTCACCCCATTTGGCACTGTAGATACACAATAGAATGAGAAGGTCAGCGGTCGAGGGTGACCGTGGGTATCATTGTGTTTTCACTAGGTAGAGCTCGACACTAGATGGCCTCTCAAACATCATCCCGTTCCTCCCGCATGACAACTTTTAAGCTGTCTGCTCAGATACCTACCTGCCCATGCTAGAGATTGGTTCCTCCGGAGTAAACGGCTAGGAGCTGGTGAGTTCCCGGAAGCACATAATGCAAAATGGATAAAAATTCGACTTGTGGTATCAATATTGTGTGCAGCCATGATGATGTGCATATGGCCAAATCGCCGACTTCTTCCCAACATCTTGTCCCAAATCATAACCGACTATCCTCGATCCCATTCAATTTCACCTCGTTTTCGGTCGCCAGGGGTATTCGCACAATTTTTTTTTCGTCAGGCCCGTAAGATACAGGCGGGTATAAAAGGAGAACGTCAGTCATCAAGAGTGAGGTTCCATATTTCGTAACCAAAACCTTGAAAAGAAAGAAAAAAGAACTGATGAGACCAACTCGCAACAATAAACATATAAACAGATCCAAACCAACATAAAAGCACAAAAAAACATAAGCAAGAGAGCAGTCTTGGGCTGGCTCGTATCAGCCAGACATGCCGGGTATTCTTTACGCCAGGGTATATCCAGCCGGGGGAGGGGTATTTGCATGCGGGTTCTAAAACCGGGGGATCTAACGGAAAGGCCCAATTGAGCCGGGGTATCCTGAATTCATAGAATGAGATGTAGAAGGGCGCCCGCTATCGCCAGAAATGCGGGTATGGTGGCGTGGTGTAGCATCACCAGGGATGGGGATTGCCAATTTGTTGTCGCCATGGTTCCCAAGAGGCCGAGGAGCCCATGGATTGTCGTCATCTGGAAGATTCACGCCGCTGTCATTCCAGGGGTTGCGGTCCGCATTGAAGCTGCGAGCGGACTCGATTGAGATGAGTGATGACTTGGACACGTTGCTCGAGCCTTTGAAGAAGTTGCCATTAGGGGAGCGAGAACTGTTCTTGCGCCGATCGAGGAATGATGAAATCGAAGTCATGCTTCCAGGCTTTCGCAAGCGGTCGAGAATACCACTGCGCTCACGGGCAATTTCGTCACCAAACGCAGCCTTGACCGGAGAGTCGCTGGAAACCGACGGAGCATGTTGCAAGAGTTTCGAATCGAAATACTGAAGAGAATCTTCAAACGAGTCCGACTTGGGTCGAGGAAGTGAACCCTTGACAACCGTGATGTCGAGTCCTGAGTTCGTGAACTGGCTCATAAGAAAATCAACTGCATCTCGCAGACCACCTGCATTGTTCCGAGTAAAACCCCAGGAGAGCTGAACTGTAGGAGCAACGTCGGGTGTCTCGGGTTTCTCTTGGCGGGCTGTGAGGTCCACCTCGTACTGCGACTTGAGTTTTTCGACTAGTTCGGTGGTAAACTGAGGGCTCTCAAGGAATTTAGCCAATTCTTCATTGCATGAAAGAACGAGTTCGTGCTTGTCTGGAACCATGCCCAAAAACTCGTCGACGCAGTGTGGAACCTGCCATTGAGGACCTGTGACAGTAACCTCATCACTGGCTTGCTCCGTGCTCGGGAAACTAATTTTGCAGTTGAACTTTTGCTCAAGCTCGTCGATTTCGGGCAGACGAGCGATGAGCTGCCGATGGTAGAGTCGATCAACATTGACAATCTGCGAGGTGTATTCGGAATCCTGGCGGTGAACATGTCAGCAATGAGTCTCACAAATGCATCTCATCCCTAGTAAGACTTACAGTTCGGTCGACCATCTCAAGAATCTCGTTCTTGACAGCATCAAGGTTCTGAGCGTTACGGGCGGGAGTGCGGCAGATGACGTTGTCGACCTTGATGTCATCATCCTCTCGTCCCATACCACCTGATAGAGGAGGTCAGTTAAAGGTTGGGGGAAAAAAGGGCAAACCGAAGACACTAACCTCGATCCATAGCATTGGAAAACTTGACAAAGACGGAGTGCTTCTTCATGATTCGCTGAATATGCTGGCCCCCAATGCCAATAATCCGCTTGTGGTACTGGTCCGGGACATGGAAGGAGATTGATGCAGGCATTTCTTGTTCCACCAAAGAGAGACCTTGCTTCATTGATTCATAGGCAGCAGCCATCACATCGATGTTGAAGTTGTACTCATTGAAACCGTCGAAAATGATTTGAACATTGCCTGAGTCTGCGTTAGCTTCTCGCCCACCATTATTCGTGAAATTCTGCTTACTCTGGCCCATGATCTTGTTGATCTTTCCATTCTTCTTGCCACTAACGAATTCCTTGTGCTCATTGGCTAGCTCAATCTTAACACGAATCTGATACTGTGAGTGGGTAACAAATTTGATCTCTGAGAGAACAGAGAGAGCAGCTTTCACAGAGTCGTCGGATCCTGTGAAATTGAAGCTGAGCTTGTCAAAAACCACATCAGCACCAGAGTTCGCACAGATTTCGCTAAGCATGGTCCTGAGGTCTGTTGGGTTCGGCAATTGCCTAGGTTCAAGCTGGATGTACCAGCCAGCGGCGTAGAATTGGCCAGCCTAAGAGTAAAAAAAAGTCAGGACTCAGCGATTGAAGACAACAGGAAGATAGACCTCTTTCGGATGGAACTTACCAGAGTCATGAGCTCTCGGACTGTCCGCTCGACAGGGAGACCTTCGTTTCCTTGCACACGGACGGTAGTTCGTTGCGTGCCCAGGGCCGGGAACATGATGTAAGTACCGTTTGCTTCGAGAATTTTGCGGACCTTGTCGGTTCGGTCAAGCAGAATGCTGTCAATCTTGGCGGCAGGGATTGTAACATCTTTGATGTACAAACGAATCCTGGTGACCGTCTCGTGAATCTTCTCCTTCGCCAATCGGATCGCCTGAGGTGTTTCCCCCGTAATGTAAATATCGTTGGGATCACGTCGGCTCGCGTTCGGCGGGCAATATCTGTACATCTGGGAGAATAACGGCGGGAAATAGATCGCTGTGCCAGTGGATGACTCGATGAGCTTGATGTTTTTCCTGTGGCGACCGCAGATGATCTGGTGCAAGGACTGGTCGACTTTCACGGTATCAGCCAAGCGGCCGAGCTAGATTCACATCAGTACATCATGCGTGCAAGATTGACTGTCCACGATATAAATCCTTACCAGAGAATCAATATGGATCAGGACCCTGGCCTTGGCATGCTCTGAGGAGAGAGGGTCACCATAGATTGCAACTCTCCACCGCTGATCCATTCGGGTTTCTGCATCCCCGCTCATTCCATCGACCATGGGCGTAAGCTTAGGGCCAAGCAAGAAGATGTCGACTCCGCAGTATGCCGAGATGTAGTCCAGCGTTTCAGTCACCGAATCTCGCAGTTTTCCAGCGTCGAGGTCACAGACGAGGTTACCATCAACATCAATCGTAGTGCAGCGCTGTCACTCAATCAGAATTCGAACTATAGGGAGGTGGGAAGTATGCAAGTTTTGAGCTCAATCGTACCAGTGAGATTGGGGTGTCGTTGTAGATGGCCTCTCGGCTCTTGTGGACCAAGTCAGGCGAACCAGTTAGACAAACTGTGACGATCTGCTGGCCCTTTGGGCTGCCGGTGGACGTGCACAAAACGTATGCTTCAACCGGAAGGGGTCCGCTAGACAGCTCCCCACACAGCCTTCGCAGGCTATTGAGTCCCTCGGCATGGGCGGGCAGTTCGTGGACCTGGACATCGTCGGGCGCGTCTTCCGGGTGCGTCCAGCGAAGGACAGCGTCTGTGGTTGCATGGAGAATGTCCTCAGTGTTGGGGCCAGCAAGGTCCGAGGAGAATGGGACGTTGAAGCAGCAATGGATCGTTGTATCGGCGGCATGCGGTGAGCTGATCGAGGGTCCGGGTTGGGCGGCGTTCTTGGGATGGGGATTGAGGCCGTTCATGGGCATGTTGGGTCGGCCCATCCCAAAATTGGGACTCATCCTCTCGGACCAGTGTCGCACGTTCGCCAATTTATTCATGATGAACAAAGGTCGGTGGGCGGCGTGGAGATATTAGGAGCCAGTTGAAGACGCATAAGCGGCCCGGGACGAGGAAGGTAGGTTCAAAGAAGCGGCGGCGGAAGCAAGCTGGGACAAGGGTGGGCCAGGATACGTCGGAGGGGAAAGAAGCAGAAAATAAAACAGAGTACGAAGTAGATGGTGAGCGTTCCGGCCAAGTCCCTGACCAGACACAAGAGGCAGAGAGAAGAAGAAGAAGAGGGCGGGGGGTGAGGAGCAAAGAAAGAAGCGGAAAGCAAGAAAGACCAGAGGTGCTTAACTCTGGAGACGTCAAGTGTCGAGGTGACGGATGATTCAAGGTACCTCTGGCAGGGAACCCAGTGCACTGTATCTGCTTACGCTCATGCCGCTTGTGACGGTCACTCTCAGCCAGCTGCTGCGCCCGCGGCTGGTACCACCACTACCAAAGCCCTGTTAGCGGCCACTAACACGAAGGGAGGTGGTGGATGCGGTACCTGCTACTGGAGCACCTGCGCTGAACAGGGCAGGGTTGCTGCAAGCCCGCCTCTGCAACTAGCAGCGCATTTTGGACGAGGGCAGGGCTGGGCTGGGTCGCATCCATTGGGAGGGCCAGGAGTGGGAGTGGGGACCGGTGCAGGTAGAACACGATAGCGCCGCTGGTGGCCCGCATGCCGGGGCCTTAACACAGGCGACTTGGCGCGGGCTAGAGGCGCCAGCGTGACAGGCATTCTGAGAAATCCACCTCGCGATCTCCTGTTCCAAACACGGACCTAGCGAGCCTTGAAACGCCCCGAAGAGGGCCAGCCAGACCGGTGGTAGATGCTGCACCCAAGACACCTGGAGCGTGTGCTGGGAGAGAATTCCCTGCTTCTGGGTGTAGGCTCGTCTCGTCTGGTGTCGTACTCGCAAAAGGGGCTGGGCTGACGAGCCAAGTTGACTGACTTCTGACTGATGATGATGGCTGCCTTCCCTTCGTCTCCTCCACATCCATCCTTTCTGGTACTGCTCTTTCGCACTGTAGCGGGCGGTCCGCACGAGCCTCAGCCAGAATCCGAGCCGTGGCCTGCCTGCCTACCCCTCCCACCGGGACCATCCAGATGTTAGTTAAGGTAGGCCGCTATCGTCTTTGTGAGGTCTGGGTCTCAGGAATGACTATCCGAGCCTGGCATGGCCATAGCGTCTAGATTGTGCTGTCGTAGCAAAAATGACTGCATGGCATCCACCCCCATGTCCTTCAATGATGAGCGGGTTTTCCGGCGATCACACCACCCTCTGTCCAGGCTGTCGAAGGCCCGAGGTGCCTGCAGCTCAATGGCCCTTGGACTGTTTGCAGTTGGACCAATCTCGTGCCCCATCCGGCGCTCGGGATTCAGGGGCTCGTGAATCTACTTGCATATCTACATGCCGGGGCCATTGACGCCAAAGAGAGTGTCCCTGACCAGCGAGACAAGACAAGCTATGGCCAGTGCTCTTTAGTTGAACCCGATTCGTTGGCACGATGATCATTCGAGGGAGGGCAGCACGACAACTGATCCTCGGCACTGCTTAACAAACCTGTGGAAAACAATTTGACAATGTGATGCGGTGACCGACCCCCACATACTCTGTCTCATTTGCGGTGCTCCTCGTTGACGACTCGACTGACGCGTTGCGTTCCACCCTTCCCACGGTGAACCGGTAGATAAAACTACATTGATATACCTGTAGTGTCAAACACTATCATCATTCCTCAATCGTGTCAACGTACCGGTATCTCGCGTCTCTTCCCAATGCTGTTACGATGCCCAGCAACGACCATATTCATCACCGCTATTTCACCACGGCAATCCTCTATTTATTGAGTATCTGACTCAGAACACAAAAACACTTCTGATATGAATTGCCGCCTACGTTGGTTTCCACCAAGTACACGAACGATAGTCATGTGTAATACTAGGGTAATCTTGCTACAAATCGCCTTCCATCAGGGAACAGTTAAACGTACACATTTGTCCACAGCTCATCGATATATGTCCCGCACAGCGTCGTCAACGTAAGGTGCATCCCCAGGAACTATAGTCGGGGGGCGTTCGATATAAGTCGCCCCCTCACCCCCACGACCTGGAGGCTGATCATAATATCGTTCAACAGGCCGCGAACTGTACGCATCCTGTAATATTGCCTGCTCCCCAGGTCTAGGTCCGTAGTCGGCAACATATGTAGGTGCGATCTCGCGTCGACTCTGGGGATGGGCACTTCCAGCATACTCGTGGATTCGGCCTTCTGGGCGCATGCTCTGCCTTCTCCCAAAATCTCGAGGCACTTCGTATCTTACAGGTTCTGGCGGCCGTACACTTGCTGCTCTGGCAGCATATTCTCCTCGCCCTTCATCCGGGAGTCGTCGCTCCGGCGGCGGCATAACTTGCACATATTCCGTTGGAGGTGGGATCGGCCTCACCGAGTACTCGCGCGGTCTTCCATCTCCATAATCATGAACAATACGCTCAGGTTGTGTAACAACACGTCGAGCAAAAGGGTGTGCCGATGATGCTCTCGGGTATACAATCCCGGGCTCCTCATATGTCAGAGGGCCTAAATGTCGGGAAACGGCTCTGGGTGGTGCCCGTTCATACAAAATCTCGGGTTCGCCATGGCCAATAGTTGGTGCGACAGATTGGCGAACAGGAGGGCGAGGGGGTTCAATGTACTCACGCCCAAAGGAATCTACAATGATTCTCGTAGGAGGTGGCCTGTGTTGCCCGTAAGTATCAACATCTGGCCGAACGCTCATCCGTGGCACCTCATAAGGGGGATACCGGTGTAGCGGCTCGCCGTAACCGTTATCAATAACAATCGGCCGAGTCGAGTAAGCCGCGCTAAGGGGGCGCTGAATATAAAGCGAGGGCGAGGGCTGACGTTGAATATATACATCCCTTGGTGTGCCTCGATCCTCACTGTAATCTTTGCCATATTGACGCTCCGTGATCACCCTGGTGGCTGCTGGTTGCTGAGGGTATTCAGCGATATCATAGCGAGCACCAACAGCCTCCTCCCGTAAAGATCGTTGTTCATGCTGCTGTGGTGGGTCGTGGATTATGGTAAGCTCATCGTGATCAGGCTCATTACCCTGCCTTTGGGACTGCTTTTGTCGCTTGCTTGGGCGGGTGAATGTCGGTGCATGAATAGGCGAAGGCGACAGCGGTTCAGGCTTGATATACGGCATGACATCCTCAGGAGGTTGCCTATCAGCCTTTCTCTTCTTCTTCTTTTTAGACTTCTTTTTCTCCGAATTCTTCCCAGTCTGTGGCGAGCTGTCGGGGCTAGTATTTACGAAGGGTTCGCTTCTCAAAGCAGCAACTTGTGCTGGAGCGCCTCTGGGATTATTGGACGGCTGACTTGGGGTCGTGATCAATGGTCCTTCTACAGCCGCCTGGGAGACTTGAGCCGGTCGGGGTGGCACTGGCAATACGTTATAAGCTCGGATAAGAGGGGATGGGGGGTGGTCATCAGCATATGCTTGGCTAGAGCTATGGCCTGCAAACCCCTGGTACTGGTCTCTCTGCGGCTCGCTGGTGTTCCCCGAATCCCCAGACAAACTCTGCTCTCCACTGGTATTATTATGACTTGCCCGCGCAGATGGGACCGGTTCACTTGGGTAATTATTGAGGCCAGGAACGTGGAAGCCGACTGGGCCGCTCGTTGCTAGAGCCGCGCGTTCCCGAATGGCAGGTACAGAAGCGGCAGTGCCGTCTGTGGCTCCCACCAGGCTATAGCCTGTATTGGACTTTGGAGGCTGGGGGTCAGCATGATCGGTCGTGAAGGCTTGCGCTGCGGGCGACTCGTCGGAGACGCGATGGATGAGTTGCGACTCGGGAGTATCATGTCGCGATGAGTAGAAGGTGTTATCGTCAAATGAGTCACTTGCAGCTTCATTAGTAGCACTCAGGTTTTCATCTAGGTGCGAGGGGCCTGCAGTCTCTTGGACAAGCGTCAGGGCCTTGGAGAGAATGTTGGACAAGTCAACATCGGCCATTGGCTCGGCCTTGTCGTGCTTGGAACCACGGCGCCTGTCAATCTCCTCCCTCAACGAACGCTCAAGCCTTTGCCTTTTGAGCTGTAGCTCGGCCTTGATGAGTTCATCGGACTTCTCTAACAAAATAGGATTGATCTCGGTCCTCGCAGGCGCCGGCGCTCGCTTCACAGACAAAGCATCCGACGAGGCTTGTGCAGCGGACTGCTTCTGCCACGCCTGCGCGGCAGGTTTTTGGCCATTAGCTTGCAATGAGCCATTAATTGGACGCGGGGAAGGTCGTGATAGAGCCAGCAAGCCGGGTGGGAGCTTGACTGATGGGTGGCTTCCAGAGAGCACAGCATCGCCGAACTGCACAATCTTTTTGTACTGTTGGATGTCGTGTATCCTCTTATCGGTAGCGGCGGCGGTAGCATCGCTCGCAGATGGGTAAGCTATAGGAACGTGGCCTTGCGCCATTGCAGAATACCTCTGGGCTATTAGTATGAAATACGGGGCAAAATTACGAAGCGACAGCTGCTCGATTCAAGGAGCGGACAAGGAAGAAAAGGAACAAGAAAAGGAGGTGAGGTAGCAACACCCTCGCGCAAAAGCTGCTTTGCCGAAAAAAGCTTTAATCAATCGGCGAGCTCAATGGCATCACGCACATGGCGGTATGGGTGGGAGAGACGAAAGTCGCGGTCAGGGCTGGTGGGATTTGCAATTCCTCAGCACGCGAACCAGTCCATCTAGGTAGAGAGGGAACTGCTACTTGGAGTCGCAAAAAAAAAACCATACAGGGCAGGGAATAATATTTGACAGCTGGGCGCCGCCACCTAAGGAAGGCGGTGTGGGCAGTGTGGGCGGCAGAATAGCTGGAGGTCTGTTTTGTGGGAATTGGAACCTCCAGGAAATAAGGTATGCTGAATGTGAAACATGATAATCAGCCCGCATCGAGGGGCCGTGTACAAATTGCTTGGGACAAGACGGCGTGCAGTTGGAACGTTCTCGAACCGTAGCTGTTGGCGTCCAGGAGTACGTCAGGTGAGCAGCGCAAGTGCAGGCCGCGGCCGTGCTCATTGTGGCCGTGTTGACGATGACTACGACAGATTTATCTTTTAAGTTACAGGCCGCCGGGAGCGCCATTAGTTGCTAGCCTCTGCCTAGCCCGGAGAAAATTGGTTGAGTCACGCACATCAACCGGCCGTAGCGTGCAGAGTGCAGGCTGCCAGCGCCCGCGAACCCCACACAGCCACCACTCCTCTCAAAAACACTGCCGTGCAGGTGACCTCGTCCCCTCCACGCTGGTTGTGGAGGCAGTCGCCATATGCAGGTGGCTGCCTATTACCTACCTCAATCGACTCCCACGCCAAGCTGCACATGCATCTTCCCACCCACAGCTCCTGCTTCTGCTGCTTCGGGACTTCGCATCAATCTCACCGGCTCATGAAATCTTTGACATTACCTCTCTTTGTTTGCCGTTCCTCAGCCCGTCTCGCAGTCTCTGCCTGAGCCTGTCCAGTTCCTGGCCGACCGGTCTCTGCCATCTTGCCTGCCACAAGGGAATCAATCATCATCGCGTGCACGGGCCTCGTAAATCCGCGGCAATCTTGAACATTCACACCACCTGTCGATGTACTCACTCTGCTGCTGCCTTTAAAAGGTAGATCCTTGTGATGCCACTGGTTGCATGGCCGCCTTTCTCACTCACTTCTTCCTCTCACCCGACGGTATTTCCTACTGGCTTGGGACTTTCTGCAAGTCAAGCTTCTTGATTATTAATTTGCCGTTGCCTCCTTGCCTATAGTATTTCCTTGCCCGTCTGTGATACAACAGCGGTCTGCCCTGTGCACTTCCGACATCTTATCGTTCCTCACTTGCCCCCCCTGCACTATCAAAACGGACGTCACCCACGACCTCACTTCTGCAACTTGCTTTCTCAGCCTCACACCAGCTTTCTTTCCCACCCAGGTCCGCAAATGTTAAGCGGTTTCTGGCCGAAAGTCTAGGCGCACCTGTCTCTTTTCTTCACCCAGCCGTCTTCAACGCTTGCTGCTCTGGTGTAGCGGCACGTTGCAAGACATGGCTGCAAATGGTACGCACCTCATCAGCCCTTCAGCAGCCACGCGATCAGTCTCATCACCCACGACGCACGGCAATGGTACTTTCGCCATTTCCGCCGATACTTTCCCCCCCTTCGGTCGACCAGACTTTATTAACTCTCATCCCCAAGGCAATAACTACCCGCCAAGCCAAAACGGCGCCTCTCCAAACTGGAACCCTGCGGCCCTCCTGCAGCCCCATCGCAGGACACAGAGCGGATTCCAGCCTTCTCGCTCGGGAAATCCCAGTGCTCCCACGTCTCCCTTTCTAGGCCCAAGAGAGGTTCTGCCCGCCAGGGCCAGTACTCCGCTTGTATTCCAGTTCGATAGCAGGCATGGCAGTCCTTCTGCTGGCCCGTCAAGCCAAGCTTCGACGCCGTCCAGTGATACCCCGGGTGCTAACGGCCAGGGGCAGTGGATTGAGCGGATGAATAACGTTCAAAGCCGGCCAGATGTTCCTCAGCCCAAGAGACGCAAAACCGAAGATGGTCAGGACTTTCAGTTCAGGACTAATGTTCCTGTGCGCAGCAGCAGTGGGGTCTTTGGAGACTATGTTAGAGACATGCAGTATAAAGCTAGGATCAGTGCTGCTCCAACGGCCCTGTCTATGACTGTCGATTTAACTGAGGGTGAGGACCCCTTCCCCTTGCCAGGTCAAATATTTCGCTCTCGATCAAGGACTAACACAGCTTTACCACGCGCAGGCAATGATGACGAGGCGACTGTGGTCGAGGACCCCAGAGACGAAGAAGTCTGCTACGGAATGGTGCAGACCAGCTTAAATTGCTCAAAGGTCCCATCACCAAAACCCGGCACTAAGAGCATTTTTGGTGAGGGGTTCAATCCGGCCATCAAAATTGTTCTCAAACGCCAAGTAGGGGACAAGACGCAAAAAATCCAGGCTTACGACCACACAAGAGATATCATTGGCTTGGTTGACGCTTCTAGTGCAGCTGCATTGTCGCCATTGCTTGATTCCAATATTCGAATGAGGACTGACTGCCGCATTCAACAGCGTAAGAAGGAGCCTGGTGAAGAACCAGGCCAACCCACGTCGAGATCCTACCCACTAGATGTGGTAGTCTATGGTCGGATCAGATACTCCAAAAGCGTGGGGAACTGGTTGGGCAAGCATAAGCTTAGGCTCATCGCCCCCTACCTGGTGCAAAAAGGCATTCGCGTTCACAATCCGCATGTGGTTGAATACCGCCCACCCCCACCAAAAGTTTATAACCCCGAAATGAACGGTTCCTCGGTCAGCTCTTCAACAAGGACTGTGGAAGAAATGCGCTCTGAGGTCATGGGTGTCTTCGACTCGCTTACCCGCAGTGAGGACCTCCCGTTGAGGGACCCTGATCCAATCATCACCACTCCACTACTGAAGCATCAAAAGCAGGGCCTGTCCTTCATGATGAGGAGGGAAGAAACCAGAACTAATGAGCCGGGAGACAATGCCATGGTTTCCTTCTGGCAGACAAAGATAGCACCCAACTACGAGAAGAGATACTACAACGTTATTACCCAGCAAACTCAAAGGGAGCCGCCCCCAGAGACTCGTGGCGGTATCCTAGCTGATATGATGGGTCTGGGAAAGACCCTCAGCATATTATCTCTTATAGCTAGTTCGTCTGCATCTGCGACACATTGGGAGAGCCTCCCACCTCAACAACCGACAGCCCCAGAGACCAAGCCTTCCAGACAGGATGTCTTGAGCTCTCAAGCATCATTGCAACTCACGCCTCTTTTGCGAAACGCCAAGACAACTTTGCTCATCTGTCCTCTGAGTACCGTAACAAACTGGGAGGAGCAGATCAAACAACATGTTCTCCCTGACAGCCTCTCGTATCATATTTATCATGGGTCGAATCGAATCAAAGATCCTGAGAGGCTTGCTTCCTTTGACCTTGTCATCACAACGTACGGGTCAGTCTCAAACGAACTCAGCGCTCGGAACAAGGGCAAAGAGGGGATCTACCCCTTGGAGCAGATCGGTTGGTTCCGTATCGTTCTAGATGAGGCGCATATGATTCGTGAACAAGCGACACTGCAATTCAAGTCAATTGTTCGCTTGCAAGCAGACCGGCGTTGGGCTGTCACAGGAACGCCTGTTCAAAACCGTTTGGAGGACCTGGCTTCCCTGCTGGCCTTCCTTCGTCTGTATCCGTTCGATCACCGCGGCAGATTCACCCGTTACATTGTCGAGCCTTTCAAAGCCCTTGATCCCGAAGTTGTGCCAAGGCTTCGAATTCTCGTCGACACAGTTACGCTACGACGTCTCAAGGATAAGATCAACCTGCCGCCAAGGAAAGATTTGGTGGTCAGACTCGAATTCAGCCCTGAAGAACGTGCCATCTACGACTTGTTCGCCAAAAACGCACAGGATCGCGTCAAAGTTCTCTCCGGATCTCATGATGGCCATGTCTTGGGTGGCAACACCTATATTCATATCTTAAAGGCTATTCTGCGTCTACGACTTTTGTGTGCGCATGGGAAAGATCTTCTCAACGAAGAGGATCTCAAGTCGCTCCAGGGAATGTCCGCTGATATGGCCATCGATATCGATGATGACAACGACGAAAAACCAGCTCTATCAGATGCCAAGGCGCACGAAATGTTTGCTCTTATGCAGGAAACCAATAACGATGCCTGCATTGACTGTAGCAAGAAGTTGGGTACAATGGACGCAGCAAACCTCGACTCGGATGGGCAGGAAGATGTTCTAGGGTACATGACGCCTTGCTTCCATGTGATCTGCCGAGCCTGTATTCGAAATTATCGGGATCGAGCCAAATCTCTCCTGGATGCAAGCCAGCAAGCTGGGTTGTGCCCTGTATGCCGTTCTCATGTCAAGTTCGAGTTCGTACAACTGCATCGGCGAGATGTTGATGCCGAACATGATGGGCCTGCTAAATCCCAAGCAAAGGGAACAAAGAAGAAACTTGACAACTACAGCGGACCTCACACGAAGACCAAGGCCCTCATCGAGGACTTGCTCAAGTCAAAGGCTGAAAGCGAGGCAAATCCACAGGAGCCCCCGTTTAAATCCGTGGTATTTTCCGCATGGACCTCGCATCTTGATCTCATTGAAATAAGCCTTCGATCCGTCGGTATTACGTTCACCAGGCTCGATGGCACAATGTCTAGAACAGCTCGCACGGCCGCAATGGACAGTTTCCGAGACGACAACAACGTTCACGTCATCCTCGTTTCCATCATGGCGGGTGGGCTGGGCCTCAACTTGACGTCTGGAAACAATGTATATGTTATGGAGCCACAATACAACCCTGCCGCCGAAGCCCAGGCTATTGATCGAGTCCACCGCCTGGGACAAAAGCGGCCCGTTCGGACCGTGCGATATATCATCCAAGACAGCTTTGAGGAAAAGATGCTAGAGTTGCAGGACAAAAAGAAGCGATTAGCAAGTCTCAGCATGGACGGCCAGAGTAAGACTCTGGACAAACGTGAAGCAGCGATGCAAAAATTGAAGGACATTCGAAGCCTCTTCAAATAGCACTCATCATTCTCGTCTCTTTCTTTATTCGGTATTTCTTAATATGGCAGGCGCTTTGCTTTGCAGCTTTTACAGCATTTCCTGGCGTACTTAGAACTCCTTTTCTTCAACATAGTAGAGGAGGGTGGCAACCAATGGTCTGCTCTTTAATGGCTCAGGATTATCATCAGGGGGGATATTATGATTCACATTTATTATGGTTTGGGAGTTCAACGTCCGCTCTATGGCTGGGGATAGTTCACCCACCGTCTTTTACGGCGAAGCGTGGCAGCGTTGGCAGGTGGTTTGGGATGGAAACTTGGGAGTTTTGACATCAGCAGCTTTTAACATGATACGATGACTATACCCGGTGGTTGATTCAGCAATATAAAGAGATATCTAGAGGGGGCGCCCCAATATCGGGAGCGCTACGTTTCAGTGAGCGAGGGTGTTCATACTGCAGGACACACGAGCCTGCTTGCAGAGTTATGACGATCAATTCAAAAATTTCAGAGCTACATACATGCTTGAGGGTGACTAGTCATCATCGTAGAAGTCTGCTTGCTTGTTCAACAAAGCCAGAGAAAATAAGCCATTTGCCCCAACGCCGATTCATCTGAACGCCATCGTTTTACTTTCCGACTTGCCGGGGTATCATCTTATTTCTACCGAGAGCTCGCTGCCAAGGAGAGAAAACGAAATATGCAAGCGCGAGGGGTGGCGGTATCGTGAAAATCAGGCAACAGAATCATCCTCGGGCTTCAGCCCCGCGTACTGAGTACCCTGGTTGGCAGTGCTGAGTCTCGCGCAGAGGCTCAGGAGCGCCACCGTCTCGGTCGCGGCATAGTGGTTGAGCGCGTCGAGCAGGATCTGCAGGTGACGGCTAAAGTTGCTCTCCCACTTGCGGATGATCTCGAAGAGGTTGTTGATGCGCGCCTCGGGGTCGCCATCCGAGGCTGAGATGGAGGACGTGTCAGCACCGGGGGCTGAAGGCCGGGAAGCGGCAGCCTTAAAACGTTTCCACTGGTCTTCCGTCATGGTGGTGGGCTTTGTAGAGCCGGAAAGGTCCGGGTCGGATTTCTCGAGTTCGCGGGTCAGCCAGTTCGTCCAGGTGGCGAAGATGGTACAGGTCTGCATCAGCTTGGAGTGTATCTAGTTTTAAACGAGTGAGTAAGGTTGTCTAGGAAAGTTCGATTATCGTGCAATACATACCCTTAGCAGTTTACTATTGGTCAACATGCATTCCTTCAAGCACGTATCAAGGAAATCAACATGGTTCTGCATCAGCTCATCGACAGTCCGCGTGAAACTAGATGGCTTCTGATCTTCAGCATCATCTTCTGTGTTCAACCGCGACATGAATTTAGACCAGTTGGGTTCGATGACTTCCGCAGTGCAAAAATAGAGCAGCTGCTGTACAAAGACCAGCATCCGTGCTCGAAGTGTCCATACCCGACGCTTCCAAATTTCCAAGTTGCGGCTCGATCCCTTATGGCCCCAGCTAATGCCACGAGTTTGAGTCTGCCAAGTCGTTGACAGCTGAGATTCGAGGTATCGCAATGAAAGGAGGTAGCGGAAAAGTGCTTGGTAACGCCACACGGTCTTCCTGCTAATAACAAGGGAGACTGGGAAAGGCACCACATAATCAAGCTGCAGGGATGTGAAACCCGTTGCCTTCTTATCAGACTCCATAGGCTGGTTGGAAACAGGCTGCAAAGCCTCCCCCTGCTCAATTCCGGTGATATTCACCACTCTTTGGAGTGACTTTGTCAAAGTGATTTCGTTCATCTCAACCTTGACGTCCTCCTTGAATGGATCAAGAGAGACGATGCTTCCTGGCTGGCGCAGGACCAGGTCAAGAAGAGACTGGAGCTTGCCAGTGTTAACAGTTTTGACGCCCTTGCGAAGCTCTGAAGCACCGAGCTCAAGGAAATATGAAAAGTAGTCGGATGGATCGAGGAAGAAGTAGTGTTTGAGTGATCGTAAGCGCGCAGGAAGAGCATGTGTTGTGAGGAGAAGTCTCATGAGCGACTCATTTGCATGTGCGTAGGCGTTATTGACGTTCTCTAAGAATCGAGAGTCGTCAAAAGACGTAGGAACATCCTCGACAACCTTGCTGACATCAACGCCGCCACATTCACGGACCACGTTAAGATATTTTCCTGCTAGAAGGACCTTGTCCTTCACACTTTGAAGCTGTGGGGGAACATCGGAATCGCGGATCGTATATCTCCTCTCCCAGTATTCATCTGTGTAATCTTGCTCCAAGCGATCTCTCCGGATGCTCTTCTGTTCCTTTATAAGAAATTCGGAATGGGGGTCACTGATCCCACCATGGTGCAACCATTCATTCAACATCACCATGTAGGGTCGGCTGGCATCCCTGAGAAGGTTTGTGAGCAAGGCTCGAGCTGCAGGGTCTCCTGACATGGCCTCAAGGCGTGTTGTGACCAACCCAAGTGCCAAACCCCCTTTGCAAAGCTTCTTGTTTGTCATATTCCCAGGAACGAGCTCACCGCCATCTCTCAAGTTTTCAATAATGTCGTCGTAGTCGTCCACGCTGTCCTCTTCTTCCTCGTCGTCATCGTCCAGAAGAGAGTTGCGCTTCAGGAGCTCCTGAGCCAGCTCATACAGCTGCTGCATCATCTTGCATGTTGAGATGGTCTGAACATTGAGCACATGGACTGTGAACGTGTCGCTTGTGAGAAACTGCGTCTCGAGCTGGGCAATCATTATCAAGTAATCCTGCAACCATTTGCGTACAGAGGCACACAAGGCGTGGTTAACAGCGCCGAACTCCTCGCGACTCTGCACGTCTACAAAGGCCTCCAGGGCAGAGTAATAGGTTGCCATCTTGACCATCGACTGTGCTAGGTCATGCAAACTCGGATCCATGCCAGCCGCAATCTTGAAAGCTGGTCCCGACAACCGATCTCTCTCCTCGTTGGGGTTGTAACCTTTGGCATAACGTATGTATTGGCCCTCATAGCCCATAAAGACGAAAAGAAGATCCGCCACAACGGCAGCTTCTTGCTCTTCCAGCGTCAATGTACCGAGGGGCTTGGGTTGAGGAGCTTGGGGCACTGCCGAGGCAATGGGCGCTATCGATATTCTCGACGCCAATGGAGCTGTCGTATGTGGCACTAGAGAGGCCTCGGGGTTCCAAGGGGCTAGAGGGGTTTGGGTCAGCCAGCCGGAACAACAGACGTCCAAACTCGATCATACCTGAAGGTGTCTCTGCACGCGAACGACCCTCCGATACCTTGTGTTTATGCGTATCCGGTGCCTTCCTCTCCACGGGGGGGCGCTGCCTGTCAGTGCTCGTACTACGAGGAACCAAGCGCTGCACATGAGCTTCGATAGTGCGCTCAGTAATCCGTCTCTCCTCATATCGTCGTTCTTCAGTCGACCGGCTCACATTCCTATGGTGCCCCGAAGCCGTACGTTTGTGTTGTGTCGATCCATAGCTCGCGCTAGTTTGAGGAGATGCTGTCTTCCTCCCAGACTCCATTCTCTCTGCTCGGAAGCTTCCGTTCGTTGTCGAGACGCGGGGACGCTCGTCGGCGGTTCCATTGGCGCGACTCGATGATCGCGCTGGGCCCGAGGACATGCTGGCGGGCTACATGAAGCCCTTCTAAGGTTGGTTCAGCCGCGACCTAAGCCCATGTAGAGTATGTTTTTTACAACGCGAATTCAGGTCGACGTGGAGTTCTGGGTATTTATTGCGGACACATGAACTCGATATTGAAATAATTTGGCTATGAGGGATACGTGGGGTCGAGTCAGAGGTGGATATGCCATTATCATGTCAATATAATCCCGGACGAGATCCAAGCTCATAGCACTATAAACCGCTAATTGAAACGCGCTTCAGTGGGCAGGCGCGTCATTCTCTCGGAACCCAAGTAAATGCGGCTGCCGGCAGAAGGTGGGATGGACGTGCTTAGGTTAATTCGTATGTCTGCGTCGGCCCTGTGCATTGCCATATATTGAGTAGAGGAAGCGAATGTATTGTAACTATATGATTAACTGCATCTCTTGAGAAGGCAAACAGAGCTCAATGCCAGCCTACATCGTGATTCCCACAGCTACCTCCTACGAGGGATGCTCATAGAGTTGTAGCCGTTGTCACTGGTACTGATGTCAGTGGGGTAGACTAAGCCCAGCCAATCGCAGCCGTGGGTGCCCGCAACTCCCTCTAGGTTAGGTAGAGCATGCTGCGTACTTCAACTGCTTGCCTAATATGAGCAGCGAGCTACCAGCCAGACAACTCTCACAATCAACCTTGTTGCCCAGCTCCTCCAACAGGTCAACCACTCCATCCACACCAACCCACGCTCTCCCCTCGTCCACATCGAACACAATAGGCAGACCTGCCTTCCAGGAAACCTAATTTGAGCCGAAAGACCCCCCAGAACTACTGCCAAGATGTTTATGGCAAGATCGGAATACGGCAAGCTTGCTTTCCCTTCCAGATAGCTTTGGCCGTGGATGTGCCCCGAGCTAACCAACCCATGAACAACTCCAGATCGGGGAATCAACACCTTCTCCCCAGAAGGCCGCCTGTTCCAGGTCGAATACTCCCTCGAGGCCATCAAGCTCGGCTCGACCGCCATCGGCGTGGCCACCTCGGAGGGCGTCATCCTCGGCGTCGAGAAGCGAGTCACGTCCACCCTCCTCGAGACCTCCTCCGTGGAGAAGATTGTCGAGATCGACCGTCACATCGGCTGCGCCATGTCCGGCCTGCAGGCCGACGCCCGCTCCATGGTCGAGCATGCCCGCGTCGAGTGCCAGAGCCACACCTTCAACTACAACGAGCCCCTCCGCGTGGAGAGCACCACCCAGGCCATCTGCGACCTCGCCCTGCGCTTCGGCGAGGGCGCCGACGGCGAGGAGACCATCATGAGCCGGCCCTTTGGTGTCGCGCTCCTGATCGCCGGCTTCGACGAGGATGGCCCCCAGCTGTTCCATGCTGAGCCCAGCGGTACCTTCTATCAGTACGATGCCAAAGCTATTGGATCGGGTTCCGAGGGTGCCCAGGCGGAACTGCAGAACGAATATCACAAGGTAGGCTAGATTCTTTCTTCATTTTGGTTCGGTCAAAAGCTGACGTCGATACCCATTAGTCTTTAACCCTGGAGGATGCGGAGACCTTGGTCCTGAAGACCTTGAAGCAAGTCATGGAGGAGAAGCTGGACCACAAAAACGTGCAGCTGGCTAGCGTAACTAAAGAGAAGGGCTTCAGGATATACACCGATGAGGAGATGGTGGAAGTCGTAGGACGTCTACCCGCCAATTAATAGAGCTACTCTTTCCCATGAATAGATAAAATCACACGGCCAAGCGCCTCTTCATGAACCACGGGTCGCGAAGCTGTCTTCACTACATATATTAATATATCGAGTGGCTCTTGATAACAGCAATATTCCCATTAAACAGTAAATGGCACTTAGGCCGGGTTTCCATGTCCCACAATTCTACATGTTCTTTCTCTTTCTCTCTATTTTATCAAACCATATTCCCTACAACGCCTGATTTCTTTTTGAGCTGAGGAAGGCCTAAGAACCTATCAGTCTCACTCTTCAGGTTCTATTCTTTTGTTAACAGCATTTTCTCCCAAGTCCAAGAATTCTAGATCGTCCTCTACTCCCAACAAGCCAAGAGCGTAGTGCGCCCGTTCAACTCTGGCCAACACAAGACGTGTCTCTTCGCCTTGCTCAACCTCTTGGATTCGTCTATCGATTCGCCGAGCCGTCTTCCATACAGAGTCATCTGTGGCATTCGGGTTTATCGTCCTCTCATATGCTGGGCCTCTGCTCATTTGCGCAGCTTTAATCCAGCTCGTCTCGCAGCCTTCAGCAATCTGTTGAGCAGACTGCCATCCAGTGAGTCGGGTGATGTCAAACAATCTTCGAACGACCCATTTCCGCTGTTCTTCATCTTGGAACTGCACAGCACAGGTGGTTAGCCATGGAAGACCGTCAGATTCGGTTGGGGAGACTTTGATCATACTTGAACCGCAGCCACAAACAAACATATCGCGCTCTCAATTAAAGCTGCCGCGCTGACTGTGCTGACCTCTGTGACCTCTGGGCCGCCGTCAAACATTCCCACAGCAATTCGCCCAATCAAGTTCGCATACTCAGCCGTCTTACGTGCCGACAAGCCAACTGATTGCATAGCCGTAGGCGGCATCGAGGGGTGAGAGCGATGAAGAGCTATCAGGCCCATGTAGTAATTCAGCCATATCCCCGCCACTGAAAAGGTTCTATATTGTAGAGCAAGCCCGAACGGGCGCTCCCTCCTGTCTGTATATTCAGGACCAAGAGGCTGGAATTCAGGTCCTAGGTGCTCTTTAAAAAGTTGGAATGCGACTAGAATGCCTTCCCATTCTTGCATCGCAGACTGCAAACTTGCTTCGAGGTCAATCTGCTCCGGTGCCTCGGCCTTGGAAGGAACATTTCGAGGTAGGCTGAATCCCATTGGTGCACGAAATCCACCCATATTCGGCAGCATACCGGGGAAGGGAGGCGGCGAATGTTCAGAAGAAGCAGAACCCTGGGCTCGATACGCCTGGCGCTTCCGAGATGAATCATTCGACTGGAAGTTAGCAAGTCGGCCTAACAATAGCATGAGGTGATCATATGTCCCATAACTTCCAGAGCATTAGCAGCTATCAGCAAATGGCAGGGTTAACAGACTTACATGCCGCCGAGCTTCGATGCTGGGGCTCGAGGCGGACACTGGGTCCACTGTTCATATTCCATACTATAGAAGTCAGTCATTGAAGGATAGCAGGCATTGGAAACACATACAAGAGTTTCGCTCCCCCGAGGATGCTTTGATAAACATCCATTTTACAGTACCACCAAAAAAGGTCTCGGAGATTTTCGTAATCTGCAATATCTTTGTCCGTCACAGATGCCGAAGAGGAGGAGAGGACTTGGTCTTCTCTGAGTCCATAGTCACTTGGAGCCACATGAAACCCGGTCAGGGTCGTCAGAAGTTCATAGTCCAATGTGGCAGGATCTTTAGGGATAGGACTCCCTATGCTAGCAAGTCCCATCTGCTTCATGAGCTTCTGCCTCTCTTTCATGCTCTTGACTGGCAGGCATTTTTGCGAAAGCCTCCTCAGAGGAATTTCAGCAAAAAGGCTCCGTGCCCCATAGAGATGATTACACCAACTTGTATGTTCCGAGTTCCACACCTCAAAGTAGCCAAGCAATAGAGTTGCCGCTATAGTAGCAGGATGGACGCGTTTTGAAACGGATTGTACATTTTTAGCAATGCGTCGGAGTGCAATGTGATAGTGTTTATGTGCTGCTGTAGGTGGAATCCCTTGTAGCCTTGCAATCTGTAGGCTCGACATTGCTAGCATCGCCTGAAGGAGTCCAGGATGCTGGAAAGCAAGCACCGGGAATGTATCTGCTCGACATTAGCTTCGAATGTTCTCCGACAATGTGCCAGGGTAGTGGTGATAAACGAACAGCTCCAGATATTATTACTCCCCGAGTCAGCATCAGCAGCCTCCCTTTCAGACGGATCAAACGGATGGCGCTCATAAAGTGACATGCTTGGACCGGTGACCTTGATGAAATGATGGAATATTTGCCTCTTCGCCTGGTCCCTCAGTTCTGCTATATGTGGGTAGTTCATGTAATCAGCAACCATTTGGCTCTGGGAGTTTCCAGTAAACGATCTCAGCGAAGTAGCTCTATCGCCGAATAAGGGGAGAAGTGACGCAGAAGGGAAGACAAGAGCAGATTCCTTTCCGGCTTCATCGTCAGAATCTGCCAATGAGGCATCCTCGTCTTCACTCTCATACGTTTCGTGGACGATCTGAACGTTCGGTTTTGCATTAGAAGATTGATTGGATGACGAAGCGCCTGCTGCAAAGTTATTTCCGCCTTCAATTGAAGTGAAGGGTCTGGCACGGGAAGGTGCGTTGCTTATCTGATACTGTTGGGCTCTTGAATCAGATAAGGAGTAGGGCTGTCCTGGCTGAACAGGTGGTGGGAAATTCGGTGGTGTATGCTGCAATAAAGGATTTGGCTCGGCAGTATATAGACCATGGGGATAAGGTGGCGTGAGTTCATATGGTGAGTGAAGCCCGCCAAGCTGAGGAACTTCACCCGATCCATATTGAAGACCATGGGGGTGCTGTGGGACGTATTCAAAGGCGGGAGGTCTTGGTGCAATGGTGGGCAATAGTCCTTGGCCAGAAGGTCGAATTTGCTGGGTTCCAAACTCGCTCAAGGGATGCGTGCCTTGAAGGTAGCCGACCGACCCAAAAGGCCCCTGGAGGGGATGAGACCCTATCGGGGCCTTGAAGACAACTCGTTTGCTATACCCCTCGCATGTCCGTTTAGACTTGATGCAATTGTTACAAGTTGGTCTATTCTCATCACACTTGATACGTCTTTTCCGACATGCTATAGTAAAGGCTGTCAGATTGGGTTCGCATAGATTGGCGAAAGAAGGCTGAAAATCCCATCTATATGAACTGGGAAACTTACTAAGGCATCCGGTCTTTGTCCTTTTTCTAACGTTGGGTTTTTTGCGATTAGGATCTTCCTTCCCCCCATCGCCCTGAGTAGATGAATCTGCAGGAGGCTGGGCTTCATCGACAGGTTGATGAGCCGTAGGGTCTTCCATGGTGTGATCCTCCTTCCCAAGAGCGTCTGCCTCTCCGAAATATTTGGCGACTATAGCAAGCAACAGTTCCGGTATGATTCTCGGGGGGGAAGTCTTGCATTATTCGCCTATTTATGCACTGAGCGAACTGAAAAGCATAAAAAGACGTCGAGAATAATACCAAGATTGTTGGCTGCAGCAGATGGCTATGGAATCAGGCTGACCAGATTGACAAATTAGCAAGGGGGGGAGTATATAGGCTTCAGGGGGTAGCTTTTGACGGAGTATTGCCTCAGGTCATCTTGACAAATGCAACCCAGCGAGTCTCTGCAGGTAGAACCGACAGGAGAGGACTGGCCCTGGATGTGAAAGCGTGATAGAAAGGATCGAGGAAGAGGCAACGAGGAAAGAGTGGCAAGGTCCCAGTGGGTGATGAAAGATGGAAGAAGTGAAACATTTTTGTGTGACGGCTCTTGCATTCGCAAATGGCAGATAATTGGGGTCAAAAAAATTGAGAGGTAACCAAGTGTAGGGCCGGAAGAATTGGCCCTGCCATCAAGAAGAGGGAATTGAGGCTCACCTGGTCAGCCCTAGGGTTGGCAATGGGACAAACCGTGGTATTTGATTCATACAACTTCGAGTCGTCCTGTGATGCCTACTTGGCTCAACACAAGGGGAGAGCGTTGTTCAAACACAGAGCTCGTGTCCACTTGGTCGAGGCCGAGGCTACATTCTCTAGGCAGCGGTAGGTTACTGCGGAATGGCTTATATGAGAGCTGATATTATCGAATGGCCCTTGGCTGTTATGTGTGAAGGATTGGGGAGGTACTCTGTGGCTCAAACTGTCTGTACGGAGGGCGCAGTTTGTGTAACACAATACCTCGTTGTTGGTTTGAAAGAACGAGTTGCTTCTCCCGGCTATTGTCTTGGCCCGGTGGATTACGGGCGGTACCTATACGCAACTCTGAGTCCTTGATTGTGTTTTCTGGGCTGCGAGGGCGTCTGGGGGTGAAGTAGGTAGCAGGTACACGATGAACACCACATCACCAAGGGAGGTACCAGCCTCACCAGCTTCTACCACCTACCTCGGAGGACATGCGTTAGCGCCAATTGCGGGCCCCAATGCTAAGGAATGGCTGGTTTTCTGTGCAATTTCATCTTTCGAAGACACTAGAAAACATGGGATCGAATGCAGAGAAGGACGGAAGAGGCGGCTGCCGAGTGGTACCCAACCACAAAATGAAGGCGGTTGAAGTTTCAAGGTGACTGCACTAAGGGAAGATTCGAGCTATCCGGCCGGTGCAGATGAGACTGCTAGAGCTGCTAGACCAATCCAGATCTACACTGAGGAGCTCCAGTGGAGCCAGCCCAGTGGCATTGATAAAATAAATGGGCAGGTCGGCGTGGAGCACCTGCCAAAACTGAATAAGGCAGTACCACCGGTATCCAGATACAAAGGGTCGGACACTGCAGCGTGCCTGGTCCATTCAGGCAATACTTGCCTGTCTGTAGGCAGGATGGCAAGTATCCGGTACCGCGGAGGCGAACAATTCATCCACCTCATGCTCGGGACTCGCGTACCTGTCCACGTAAGAGGGTGGCAGGCACGGCAATTCCGCCAGAGACATCCACGACCGCGGTCCAGGCTGCTCCTGCTTGACTTGACAGGGTCAAATTCTCGCCGAGATCCACCCCCACAGGCACCTAAACCGACACCAACAGCACTAACGCATAAGACTAAATGACAGGATGCAGATGTGGCATGAGGGGGGCAACTGCCACTTATGACTTGCATGATAGCCACAAAAGGAGGCACGTACATTGCATGCTCGATGGAAAAGCATGAATTCATCCGCAACTCCTGTGCTATTTGGGCGCAAGTGTCTTCGTCAGTTTGTCCATACTAACGTAGTAAGATCCCCATGCAGGGCGGTCGGTGCCAGACAACACGCCTCGGCATAGAACCAACGAGCATCCGTCCGCCGACGTGGTTTGCGGCTGCGAAAGCTCCATTCTTCCGCTCTACGCGCGGCCATACAGTAGTGGTAACCTAGAATTCGGGGATGAGGGTATCCTCCGTGCAGGCACTGTCTACCTTGCCTGGTGTTGTCCTAGCCCTGGCTCAAAAACCAAGCGTGCAGCGTCGTACTCCGCCGAACCGCAGGAGGCTCTTTACGCACTATCCGAGTGCTCACTTCGTGGGCAGCCATTTGTTCGAGGAACTCGCCTTCTCAGACAAGGAGGGCTCCCCTTCAGCAGCAGGCATCCGTCTGGCCGCCCTGGATCAGCGGGTAGAGTCGGTGTTTGCTGCTGTGTAACTCAGGCTTCCCATGCGTCCCCCGACCAATCAATTAACACGATGGTGTTCAAGCACGCGAGCGTCTGAGACCTGCGCATATTACGTATCGATACCACTTTGTTTGTGAGCCTTCTGCCTCAGGCAAGCCGAAGACAATCATGGCCCTTCTCGTGCATGTGTCTTGGTTCCCTCATGCGCTCTCGGCGATACGAAAAGAAGGGTATCAGCCATCAAGGTCCAGAAAAGCCACATCTACGCCCCGAATTGCGCCATCTCACCATTATGGAACATGCTATTTGTTCATTGTCTACTCCGTAGATACCTTGAGCTGGGGTCGGCTTGTCCTAGAAAGTGGCCACCATCAAATCATGGCTAGGCTCTATGTGGGTTATATCTACCAGGTAGAGTTCGTAGGTGCAGCCGGCCATGATATGTAGGTTCATATGGGTCCCGATTCGGGAGAAATCATGAGCGACGAGAATCTCGGAGTATTGTTAGGTGTTACTTACCACTGTTGAAAAGTTTGAGTGATCAAGTACATCAGAATTCTATTCGTAGGGCCAGTTGAATAAAATCGATACGAACAAAGGACTTCTGTCGACATCAGGAGTGGTTTCCTACTCTATATGCAACGCTAATTCTAGCTTTCATCGGCCCGTTAAAGTTAGGCTCAGCAGCCAGTTTTTACCACAACACTCAGACTTCTTCCTTCACATGTCCGATCCAATGTTGACTTCACCCTACCTTGATTCCATCCGATTCATCCGAGCCGCTTTTCCTTCATGCTGAACTTTGCATGCTGAAATCTTGAAACCGATGATATGCTCTCCAACTCCGACCTCTATTCTATTTTCTCCACTATCGGCAGGCAGAGTGAGTATAGTTCTTTCCTATTCCTCATTCGACAGCGTTCTAGGCTCTTTCAGAACGCATTTGCCTCAAACTTCCAAATGTAAGTAAGTCTTTAGACAACAGTCATTTGTCAAAAGGTCTCTTTCTTGCCTCCCACCCTCCCACCTTTCCTCAGCTATTGTACCCGTTCCCTGTCTTGATGAGAAGAAGAAGACGTATACCAAGCAAACTCTCCAACTTAATGGGTAAAGAATTTACAATAATGATACATTAGCTTCACAATATCTGCTTGTTGTTGGTTGTTTTGATGCTACGCTAAAATCCATGAACGCCATGGTCCGCCTTGAGCATTCGCCCTTTATTGAAATAGGTAACAATGTGTTCAAATCGCTGACACTCTATCTAGGACTTTGCTTCAGTCTTATATACATCTTAAAGATATTTAAACAGAAAGGTATCTGTTATGAAAGCTGTTGACGTTGAAGGAGCGCAACTTGTAAATGAAGCGTCAGGTAGGTGACATAAAAAGTGGCATGAAAACACCAGAGACATTGGATTCCCCATCACATCAGAAAACCCCAGCGTCATGATCAACGTATATCAAAATGACAAATATGACAGTTTATATTCCTACTATTCTGTTTCTTGTTCTCAATTCATGAAAAAAATTCACAACTCACCTACATATCACAAGCTGAACTGAGCGCTCTAGGGTGCCATATTTCTGTCACCCGCAATCTTAATCGGTTCTTATCTTATCGCCATCCGTGCACGTCCCATGCAAAAAAAAAAGTGGTAGATCATATAGCCCAGTTCAAGGACTGACTTCGTGGGCTTGCTTCTCATGAAAAGAAAAGAATAACCACGCCAAGTTCTATCATCGCAACTATGTTCGCGGTCCCAGGATGGTCGGTCTCTGCCGATAGCCTCAAGGTAGAAACTGTTTCAAAAAACGACTCCACTCCCGGCGCAAAGCCCAGGAAGCGCAAGAGAGCTGGCGCTTCCGCTGCTGAGCCAGACGTGACATCCTCCAATGTCGCAGACCTCTGGAGCTCTGTGGTGGAGGGGAACGAGGGCGCCACTGGACCCTCGAAAGAGAGCAAGTCCTCCAAACGCCAGAAGAAGGCTGGTGAGGCCTCTAAAAAGAAGGGCGATGGTGAAAAAAGCGAGGAGCTGCCTGTAGCCAAGCCAGTTGCGGATGTCAAGGCCACTCCCGGGAAGAAAGATAAGAAGGACAGAAAGGAGAAGAAGAAGGAGAAGTCCCAGCCATCAGGCGATTCCCAGGGCGACGTAGGGAAGAAGGCGATAAAGGGAACCAATGAAGCTTCATCGAAAGCGACGGCTCCCGTTCCTCAACTCCCTGCCGCGTCAAAGCTCACGCCTCTCCAGGCCTCAATGAGAGAGAAGCTCATATCTGCGCGGTTCCGCCACTTGAACGAGACCCTATACACGAGACCCTCCGAAGAAGCCTTTGGTCTCTTCCAGGAGTCCCCCGAAATGTTCGAGGAGTATCACGAAGGCTTCAGGAGACAGGTCAAAGTGTGGCCGGAGAACCCGGTCGACACCTTTCTTCGCGACATTCGAACCCGCGGAAAGGTCAAACCCGCCGGGAAGGGCAAACCTGGCGCCTCGCAGGCCCCGCCCTCCAAAACTGCGCTCCCTCGCACCGCGGGGACCTGCCACATCGCCGACCTGGGCTGTGGAGATGCCCGACTGGCACAGTCGCTTCAGTCCGACAAGGGCAAGTTGCGCCTTCAGGTCCACAGCTTCGACCTCCAGAGTCCCAGCCCTCTTGTCACCAAGGCGGACATTACCAATCTGCCCCTTGAGGATGGATCGGTCAACGTGGCTATCTTCTGCCTGGCTCTAATGGGCACTAATTGGGTAGACTTCGTGGAGGAAGCCTACCGCATCCTCCACTGGAAGGGCGAGCTCTGGGTCGCAGAGATCAAAAGTCGCTTTGGTCCTATTCGGAACAAAAATGCCCCCGTCGCTCACAGTATCGGGAGGCGCAAGGCAACTGCCGGGAAGAAGCAAAGCACCGAAAACGCTGCAGACCTTGACGAGGACCTATCTGTAGAGGTAGATGGTGTGGAGGATCGCCGACGAGAGACCGACGTATCCAGCTTTGTGGAGGTTTTGAAAAAGAGAGGGTTCGTGCTCCAAGGTGAGAGGCATCAAGCAGTGGATCTCTCCAATAAAATGTTTGTCAAGATGCACTTCATCAAAGGTGCATCTCCAAGCAAGGGTAAGGGGGTTAATGCACAAGAATCTAGCAAGCCAACCAAAAGGCCTATGTCTAGAAGAGAGGCATTATTAGAAGCAGATGAGCCAGAAGAAAACGAGGCATCCATTCTCAAGCCTTGCGTTTACAAGATTAGGTAGACATTCGTATACGTACTGTTAGAACATTGAAAACTAAACAAATGCCCTTTGCTCTAAACCATGGCCTATCTCTTTTTTTCGGCGAATTCCCTACTCCGTTACGACCCTTTATTTTTGTATAAGTATAATCAGGTGCCAAATACCTAGTCCAGGGCAGATGAGATGAGCATAAACGAATCCAACATCTCTCTGTTGGTGTCTATTCATCAAATCTCTGAGCCCAGATCAATCAAATACGCCCTGAAAGAAAGAACCATTTCATTTCCCATCGCCAGTTGTTCGTTGTATTCGTAAAATAAATTCAGAGAAGAAGTATCATGGGCGCGATCTATCCAAAGAAAAGGATACCAGCAGCCATGTCCACGTCGTTTGCTGTGGCTTGGAGAGCCTGGATAGCGCGTGCGCGGTCGGCGCCCATAGAAATCAAGGTTTCAATATGTTGTTCTGACACACCCGTACCAGCAGTGTCCGCACCTTGGGCTGGCCCAGAAGCTGCTGCTGGAGGGTTAGGCTGGGTGGGAGCAGTCACTTGGGAGGTTTGCTGAGCCTGTGGTGGCTGACTCTGCTCCTCTGCCGAGGTGACAACGCCTGATCTCTGTCCAATTTGTGTACCTGCGGGTCCAGGAAGCGTGGGTTCTTCCGTGGCTTGTTCCTCTTCTTCCTTGGGAATATCCGCCTCACCAAGGAACGGAATCTCTTCGTCCTGGATCACCAAGTTTCCCTTGGCCAGATCAATACTCGCTTGGTATCTCTTCAGCATATCAAGACCCAAGAGAAGCTCGACAGTTTTGCCTTCCATCACAGTGAAACTGCAAGGCAGAAACAGGTTTCCGATCTTGATTTGAGCAGCATGAACACGGCCAACGATCTTGGCAGTTCCAACACCACGAGCAACACCGGCAAATCTAGTATCAATAAGACGAGATATGCCACACGCCTCGGCGCATTTGGGAGACATGATTGTTGCCTGGGCGCCTGAATCGACCAGAGCCTTTACCTTATGGCCGTTTACCTCAACGTTGACATAGAGTAGATGGACTCGCCCGAAGACTGCAAAGGAAATTAGTCTCCATGCAGAAAAATGAGGAAGAATGGGCTCTTAGCTCACCTTCTGGGTTGTGCTCCATAGCACTCTGCAGGTTTTCCATCACTCGCTCCTGCCGAATCATTTCCTCAATCCTCCTTTGAGCATCGACATTGAAGGGATCATCATTCAACCTTTCAATCTCTCGTTGGCGCTCCATGCGTTCCCTCTGTTCACGGTCGTAATTGTCGTTCAAAATCTGGGCAAATCGAGCTGGGCTCTCCAATGCAGATGCAAGTTCCGGGTTCTGACTCTGGACCTGGGCCCTCATCGCGGGGTTGCCAAGGATCTGCAAGCGTATGAGCTCCGGGTCCTGCTGTGACCGTGCACCTTGCGGTACTGGACGCTGTTGGGGTTGGGGACGCTGCGACTGGCTTGGGACACCAGTATTGCCTCGAGGATCCCTCACGTGCACCGCCAGCATCTCTCCGTCAACGATTTCCAGCTGCTCCAGGGTCTTGGCGTCATCGGATAGCAGACGGCCGTTGTGGTAGATGTGTTGAGAAAGCGGGGCTATATTACTCTCGGCCTGGACGGATTCACGGAGGGTCGCAACTGTCATTTCGGGGAAGACATCTAGAGTGAGGAGATTGTCTTGATCTCCCTCTTGGAGGTTGAAGATATTGAGTGTGACACGCCTATCGTTACAGAAACTGTCAGTTGATGGGGAATGCAGAGATGACAGGCGGAGTTATGAACCTACATTGCTTTTGTTTCTAGGAGTGCAAGGTCCTAGCGACGAAGAGCAGCAGTGGTGGTGGAAAACAAAATTTTATCTTTCCTTCTGGAAACTCTGTACCGGGTGGTACAGGAGTCTGAGAGGAAGCTTGAGGTTCAAGGGCAGGACGGGTCCCCAGATCGACCAGGGCAGTTTATACGGGGAACCAGGTGCCTAATCGCAGTGGGAAAAACAACCAAAGACACCAGCAGAGAGGGGTGATCGCAGATCAGCGGCTGTGCACGACAGTTGTGCGGCTTCCTCTGTCCCAGGGAAATCTCTCCCGTCCTGCGTTGAGGGTAAGATAAAAGCAGGAGCCGTGTTGGTAGGGAGCAGAATGAAAGAAGGTAATGGAAGCTGGGTGATGATCCTCCAATGGATATTGGTGAGAGCTCCGATGCTCGAAATAGGTTCTGGCAGGCTACCGAGCAGGCAGCTAACCTAATGGCGTCAAGTCCCCTAGCCACACACCACCTAAGTGTCCTGGGAGGGGCCAAACAAGCCCGCTGGCTGCTAGAACCATGCCTTAAGTGGGTGCAGGTGGTGCACATGAGGCAGGTATTTTGTACAGCTTGCCATGAGAGCATAGCCGAACAAGCGGTGACGATTACATGAACGGGACCATATAGAAGAAGTTGGTAGTCAGGTACAGGTAGTTTTCGAGGAGCGTATATTGAGGTGGTAGCGATGTGCACCTACCAAGCACTTAGTAGCGTCGCAAATAGGCAGACAAGCCTTGCGCAGCACATGGACAAATTAGTACCGGTACTATCATCGCACAGGGCGAGAGCAGGCTGGGAACGGTGGCAGGTAACTTGTCAATCTCAGAAATTTGGGGGACGGGAGCCTTTCCAGCCTAATTCAATTGCTCAAATTGGGCATCTATAACCATCTCGCATAACCGAAGCTCACCAAGATTTGGGTGTGTTCACCTTTGTTAAACTTCCGACTTGCTGACATGCATGCTCGGCTGGGTCTTTACGACTAATTCATAATTATTCTCACCTGTCGCTTATGGATTTCATTGGCTACTCGACCATGCTGCCGATGACACTGTCATAGGCATGTACGTGCTATGTAATAATGCAGCACCGTGGGGCATTGCATTCAAGAGCTCAACCTGTTCAAGGCTCATACGATCACCCTGCAGTCATCCGGAGATGGAAGAATCAGAGACACCTCATCTACCCAACTTGCCAAGCCAGTGTGCATAACACCACGGGCTATTGGAGCAAGAATGGCAATTCAATTGCGAGCCTGTAGGTCAAAACACAATCTTAACCTACCCACCATCCTCTTCCTCATGCTGAATTTCATGTCGTCATGAACTCCCCACCCGAGACGAGGTTCGGCCACCGGGAGCCTGACGAGAACGGAGTGCATGACGATACGAAAACACGAAAACCACACTGTGGATGAGGGAACCCTGGCGTCACATCATGTAATCGCACACGGCCGTCTCTACATGGAGGCATGCCGTTTGAGCCTTTTAACCACTATCGGCGCTTACATCAAAAGCAAATTGCCTATCACAGCGAGGAAAGAGGGTTCAATCTGCAAAGAAAAACGCATTTGACATGGTCAGAATGCTCGCTTAGGCCCTGGCAGAGTTCAACATCGAATAGTCGTCCTTCGTCTCCAGTTAATGCACGTGCGCCAGCATCAACCCTACTACCCCAACCTACCTAATTCCCGTTCTTGATTTCGGCCGTCATGCATACCCTAGTTACCAATCGGAAGATATAGCTAGGCGAGACTGTGATACGTGTAACATAGAGTAACCGGCTGCTCACTATCACACGCCTCCCGGACCCTGGAGCTCACGGCTCCATCCCTATCGTTACTTGACCCTACCCTCCTTCTCAGCCGGTCGCCCGGACTTGCACTTCAGGGTCTAGTTTCGTACCGTTCAATCCAATCAGTAATAAATTCAGCTCTTCTCAGAATGGTTTAAAATTAATGTCCCGCTCTTATCACCGACCACAATGGGCGACTTACTTAAAGAGGTGACAGTATCACCAGTCATTTTCCCGACACGGGTAGCTCCAAGATTTCTGACCTGACCCTGGTGTGTCGGATCCTTGTACATATTTCAGCGTAGGATCTGCATCAGTACGGCTGAGAGAATATTGACAAGCATCATATGTATATGTAGGTGAGATACATCTACCTACTCTTTCGTGATGCCATTGCTACCGCAGCATACTACCTACTCGGTGGCCTTGTACTTGGCACGGTAAGCTTCGGTGCGCTTAATATCCTCTTCCGACGCAAAGGTTTTCATGCCCTCAACGATATCATCCAAGGTTAGGATAGCAAAGATAGGAATGTTGTACTCCTTCCTGAGTTCGCCAATTGCGCTTGGCCCAGGCTTTGATTCGTCCCCATCGGCAGCCGGGAGCTTTTCCATTCGATCCACGGCGACCACAATACCAGCCACGAGTCCGCCCTCTTTCCTAATCTTCTCAATCGCCTCTCTCTTCGCCGTGCCGGCAGTGATCACATCGTCGATGATAAGTACTTTCTTGCCCTTCAATGGAGCACCGACAATGTTGCCTCCCTCTCCATGGTCTTTGGCCTCCTTGCGGTCGAAGGAGTAAGAGATGGAATCCAAGTTCTTGGGCTCCAGCTCTCCCAGCTTCACAGTAACTGACGAGCTTAGAGGGATTCCCTTGTATGCGGGTCCGAAGACAATGTCGAATTCCAGTCCGTTTTGCTTTTGAGCCTCAATGATGGTGTGAGCAAAGGCATCAGAAATTGCCGCTGCAAGACGTGCGGTGTGAAAGAGGCCAGCATTGAAGAAGTAAGGTGAAATGCGCTTCGATTTGAGTTCGAAACTTCCGAATTTGAGGACACCTCCAGAGATAGATGCCTCGAGGAATTTTTGCTTGTAAGCCGGGAGTTGAGCACCCATTGTGGATGGTGTAGGAAGTAGTAATTAGGGTATTTTTTCAGAATATGACTAGTCGAGGCCCTGGATTGTGAACCTCCAACTTTGGTTTACGAGAAGATTTTTCTTTCAGCCTTTATAAGCGATTCATATGAAAGCAGGAAAATTGACATCTTTGCGAGCAAAGAATGCATCTCAGAAGGGTCCATTGGCGGGGTCTCGCGGGGCGATCCGTATGTACGTACCTGCCCGCAAAATTCTGCCGGCAAGTACATCCGCCAGAAACCTTCAAGAATTTTATCTTATCGATAAGACCCGTTCGGTGACCCGCCCACCCTTTGACAAAAAAAAAATTGACCGCCTTCCAGTCGCTGCCCGCATCTGTTGTAGGACTCTGCAATCCTCCAGACTTTTTGATATTACGCCGTTGTCTCCAGGATCAAACCTGCCAGATTTTCGCCCATCATGAAGACTACTTGGAAGGACATCCCTCCGGTGCCTACTCAGCAGGAGTTTCTCGACATTGTGCTGAGCCGGACTCAGCGCAAACTCCCTACGCAAATTCGTGCGGGTTTCAAGATTAGCAGAATCCGAGGTGAGTATTCCACAACCCTCTTGCAACACCTCCAATCACTAATCCATGGGCAGCCTTCTATACGAGAAAGGTCAAGTTCACTCAGGAGACTTTTTCCGAGAAATTCGGCGCCATTTTGGACAGTTTCCCTCGCCTCCAGGACATCCATCCGTTCCACAAGGATCTCCTCAACACGCTCTACGATGCCGACCACTTCAAGATTGCCCTTGGTCAGCTGTCGACCGCCAAGCATCTCATTGAGACGATCTCCCGCGATTACGTGCGACTTCTCAAATATGCTCAGTCGCTATTCCAGTGCAAGCAATTGAAAAAGGCTGCCCTAGGCCGCATGGCAACCCTTATCAAGCGCCTCAAGGACCCCCTCCTGTATCTTGATCAGGTCCGACAACATTTGGGCCGTCTCCCATCGATCGACCCCAACACTCGCACTCTTCTGATCTGCGGTTATCCCAATGTCGGAAAATCCAGTTTCCTCCGCAGCATCACTCGGGCCGATGTCGATGTCCAGCCCTATGCTTTCACAACCAAGAGTCTGTTCGTTGGTCACTTCGACTACAAGTATCTACGATTCCAGGCGATTGATACCCCCGGTATTTTGGACCACCCTCTAGAGGAGATGAACACCATCGAGATGCAGAGGTAGGTTCTTCGACTGTCCATAAAGATTACGGATAATAACTAACCTCATATAGTATCACTGCCATTGCACATTTAAGATCTGCCATTATGTACTTTATGGATCTCTCTGAGCAGTGCGGCTACTCTGTCAAGGATCAGATTCAGTTGTTCCGAAGCATCAAGCCTCTCTTTTCCAACAAGCTCGTTTTCATTGTCGTCAACAAAATCGACGTGACCAAGCCAGAGGATCTGGATGCTGAGACCCAAGAAGAGCTCCAGGGCCTGCTGAAGTCCAACGAGGTCGAAATGCTCCAGCTCTCTTGCAACACCCAGGAAGGTGTCCAGGAAGTCAAGAACGCAGCCTGCGAACGTCTCATTGCTGAGCGTGTCAACCAGAAACTCAAGGCCGGTACGAACAACAGTGGCGAGATCGGTGGACGTCTTGCGGATGTCATGTCTCGTATCCACGTTGCCACACCCATGGGAGGCCAAACTCTGGAGTCGTTCATTCCTGAGGCTGCCAAGAACAGGAAGAAGTACGACAAGAACGATCCTGAGCGACGCAAGCTTGCCAAGGATGTGGAAGAGGAGAATGGCGGTGCTGGTGTTCACAACGTCGATATGCGCGCCGACTGGATACTAGAGAACCCAGATTGGAAGTACGATGCCATCCCCGAGATCTTTGATGGCAAGAATGTGTATGATTTCATTGATCCCGATATCGAGGCCAAGCTGGCTGCCCTGGAAGAGGAAGAGGAGAGGCTCGAGCAAGAAGGCTTCTACGAATCCGATGAGGATATCGATGATGAGGAAGCTGCCGAGATCCTCGCCAAGGCTGAGCAGATCGAGGAGCAAATTGCCCTCACCAGAAACGAGGCCAAGATGAGGAAGACCAAGCTCAAGAACCAGGCCATTATCCCCCGCAAGCTGCAGAAGAAGAAGCTGTCAGAGCTTGACGACGCCCTCGACCGCCGCGGTGTGGATACCACAGATATCATGGAGAGGGCTCGATCCAAGTCCCGCCCCCGTGGCCGCTCAATGACTCGAAGCCGCGCTGGCACCGAGGACGCTGACGCCATGGACGTCGACAGCACCCCTCGGGATCGCCTCCGCTCCAAGAGCCGAGCACCCACCACCAACCGCAGAGAGGACGGTGTCCAGGATGAGGCCACCAGGTCCAAGGTCGATCGTCTCGCCAAATTGCACCAGAAGAAGATGAACAGAATGGCTCGCCAGGGTGAGGGCGACAGACACACTACCGCATCTCTGACGAAGCATTTGGTAAGTTTTCCCAAGACGTATCCTCAAATCAGTCATATACTAACAGAGCATCACAGGTTACTGGAAAGCGCGGTATGGGCAAGACCCAACGGAGGTAGAGAACAGACGCCTTTATATTGCCGATATCTCTTGGCATCTGCTTCCGTCGTTTCTTGTTGTTAGGCTCCTAATCGAAGAAAAAAATGCGCGGCATCGGGACAAAATCTGGCGTACAGGCACTCGGGGATTATATATTTGCTACATGGGATACAGTTTGTTTGTAGGAGGGCAAGGTTTTCACATGCCAAAAAAAATTCCCTTTTTTCAATAAAGATTCTTGATGATTATTATGACAAACAAACAAATCCCGTCATTATATGTGCCTTATGTTCAGACATTACACACCATGTATACAGAATTGTAAAGAGAGTATCATGTTTCTGCGGGTCTCGACTACAAATGCGAAAAAAAACAACTACCCCGAAGTCACCCCAGAAAGAAGCAGTGAAGCATCTCCTGGGGGGGTATGAGGAATATATGCCTGTTTAAATGATACCGGGAATGTCAAAGCACAGCTCAGCGTACGGTCTTTGTTGGACCTTCATCTCCTCATTTAATCATCAGAAACAGCTTTCTTACTCCTCAGCCGCCACGTTGATACCCTCTCTCAGGCCCTCAACCTTGAGCTCTTCGCCGGTGGCGCGCTGGAAGATATCCTTGACGTCGTCCGTTGTGGTCTCAAAGTGGCTGGTGGCATCGTAGCTCTTTGAGAGGAAGATGTTGTCGTCCTTGCCTGATCCGAGAGGTGAGTAGATGGGGATGGGTGCGCCCTAAGTAGTTTCAGTCAGACAAACAGTATTCCAAAGATCATTTCGGGGTGCAGGGGAAGGGCTTCATACCAAGAACTGTTCCTCAATTGAGCCCAGGCGGTCAAGACCGGGCTGGAGCTCAAGGTGGTGGTTGGCAGATGTCTCGGCAATGGTCGAGACAATGGCAATCCAGTAGCCCTTGGGGCAGACGTTGTGGGCGGAAGAGACAGTAGCAATGTAGATGTCTAAATATATCTTGTCAGCCAGAATCCAAGTAGGCAAAGTAAAGGGGGAACTTATAGCATACCATTCTTTCGGCCGACCTGAGATTGGGGAATAATGAGCTGGGCAGAATCACTGTCGTTGGTGCCGGCCAGAGGGTGCTTGAGAATGCAGATGGCACGAAGGACGTGTCCAACGATCTTGGCCTTGTCGGGGAAGTAGGAGGGGTCGGCCAAGATCAGGTCGGCGCTCGTCTCGAACTTGAACTCCTCAACTCCAGTCATGGTGGCCTTGATACCAGCCGCCTTGCCGCCCTCGTAGATAACCTCATCAACGTTGGTGTTGAGCATGTAAGTGCCTCCGTAGATAGCAGACAGACGGGCGAATCCCTGAGGCAGCTCTCCCAAGCCGTACAGAGGGTAGATGTAAGGGGACTTGCCGTAGCGAGCCACGGAGTTTCCGTACAGGCGAATTCTCTCAATCGCCTCGGGTGCCTTGCCCTTGGCGGTGATGTAGTCGTCGGAGAGGTACAGAGCCATGGCGTGGCCGATGAAGTCCTTGGTACCAGTCTCGAGGCCGAACTTGTCGTACACATCCTTCATGGTGCAGTTGTGGATATCCAGTCCTACAAAGATTCGTCAGTATAGACTCCTTAATCGCAGCCCAGTTGCTTATTCCTAAGAACGCTCCAAGGTGTAACCCCACAGATCGCTTACCCTTGTGAGTGGCGGGGTCGTTGATGTTGAAGTTTCCAACCCACTCGATGAAGGACTTCATGCGGCGCTTCTCAAAGATACCCATAAGGGGGGACTTGAGAGCCTCGCCAGCATCCGAGGGGACCTTGGCAACGGTGGCCTTGTTGCTGGCACCCTGCTGGACGTAGCTACCAGCAACCTGCTTGAATTCGAGATAACGGGTAACATCGGTGGACACCAGAATGTTGGTAAGCTCGCCTGAAGACATGAGGAACTTGGGAACGAGGTCGATGTTCCAGTCGTTCAGTCGCCCGTACTTCTTCCATGGCTCCTCGCCTTTGGTGAAGTTGCCATATTTCTTGAAGAGCTATCATCACCACTGTCAGAGTCCGTTTACTCAGGGGTCGGGCGAGAAGAGGGAGGGGATCGAGTTATTGTGAATCGGGTCGGGGTGTATTACCGTTTCGAGGTTCACGGAAGCAGCCTCACTGTTAGGAAATATCAATTAGCAAAGCTCAATGCGTCAGAAGTGGTCTTGTAGATAGTAGATACGAACCCTCCGTAGTGGTCGTTGCGGTCAATGTGCAGGACCTTCTTGCCCTTGACACTCAGGACACTGGAAGGCACCAAGAGAAGTCAGTTGACTGGCACGGACGATAAAGTCTAGTTCTTCAGCTTTCTCACCCTGACAGAATACACTCGGTCAAGCCTAGGAACGACGAATTAGCAAAGTCCAGTCGTCACACCGATCCTGACACCCCAAAGCTGCCCCGCGGGTGTGGATACTTCCAGGCGGCTGAGCTTACCAGTGCCGAGCACAATGACATCGTACTTCTTTGCGATTTCCTCCATGGTGAATGCCCGCTTTCGATAAGTATAGGTATCAAAGATCAAGGGGCAGTGTCGAACAGGAACTCAAGAGGGGGAGTCGATGACAGCTATGCAAGAGCTAGAGTGAGTAGCAGGGTTCAGTGAACTATCAGTGGACGTGGTTGGGATTGGGGGAAGGCGGGGTATTATTATCATACTACAGACTTCTCTGAGCGCCGCCAGTTTTGGTGGAACTTGGTTGGGGGGGGTGTGGAGGCTAGTACCCTACAATGATCGGTGAGGAAGAGTAGGCAAGCCCGGGCGACCAGGCTTTGGCTTTTAGGAGGCTATTGTATTTCATGCAGCGGTCAATGCTGGGTTCGCGGTTGAGTTTCAAACGGCCGGCTCCTAGAGGGTAAAAGACAATATGGCAGGTCGCAGGTACTTGAAGCTTTGGGATGGTTTCAAGGGGCACAAAGTGCAAACAGTCCCGAGGCGTAGCAACAACCCATCACTGTCCATGGCTATGCTAAGGAAGATCATAGTGCATGGAAATTTCTATTTTCCTCTCCGTTCATATCCCGATTATCTATACAAACATCTGCTCTGCATAATCGATTATCTTACAAGGTGTATGTACACGCCCTCGATCAGTGGGGGGCCCTAGATGAAGTCTTTCTCGTGCAACACGAGCGGCATGGTTTGCCATTAATGCACTCTCTCCGAGGCGAAATCTTCAAGCCATGGGTCTAAGCAAGTCATCGGGTATGGCATTGTCCTAGGAGGCTTGGGGAGCAGGTCGACTCTCAGGTTTGGTGATGTTCCCCTCCACCTCCGGTGCGTCGGCGGACTTGGTTGCATCCTCCGTCGCCCAGCCCTTGACTTCATCAACATCCTCCTCATAAGCTTCTGGGTTGTAAGCTTCGCCTTCGCCGCCTTCGAGGTTGATCTCCGGATCACTTCTTGCAACAGCCGTCGCATCTTCCCAGGTGTAGAACCGTTCGGTCAGCGCAAATCTGATCGCCTTCATCGTACTCTTGACCTAAACTTCTATATCAGCCGATGCATACTTTCTTCTTCTTTAGGTGGTGGTCTTCATACCGCTTGGTCACGTAGTTCGAGTTCTCGGTTACCAAATCCAAGCTTGCTTCTGTCCAACTCGACCATTGATGTTGCCAGTCTATTCCTCTCTTTGCAGCAAACCCACCACAGAGAGTGCAAGTCCTCCCATGACTTCTTTCTAAGCTCCTCGACTGTCCATGCTCGGCCATGCTCTTCCGTCTCTGCAGGCGTCCAGAGAAGTTTGCCGGGCGCTGGGAAGAACTCCCACAGCCCATGCTTCGCATCGACCTTGATCTTGGGCTCGAATTGGCGGGGTTTTGGTAGTGGAATGCCTGACATGGACAGAGGCTCCCGTGGGCCTGATCTATAAATTGTACTGACTCCCCGCTTCTTGTTGCCGTCCTTGGTTGTTGATCGCTTGCGCTTGCACAGTGGTGCTGTTGTCGAGAATGGTGCTGCCCGTGCGGCGGTTTGGCCAATCCCCAGGCCACCGGAAAGAGGCTTCACCTGGGCTAATCGCCCATAGGAGGATCGTAGAGTCACAGGAGTTGCCATTGGAATTCAAATCGTGATCCTGTGATCTCAATTTCTGTCTTCAAGACTGCCGATGCTGAAATCTCAAGTTGCCATGAAAAGCATGACTGCCGGATCAATTTCTATCCAATCAAATGACAGTATTTCTGAAAGCCCCAGCTCCAACCGATTTACTGTAGGTCACGTGTACGATATCTCATTAGCTACCCTATACCTATACTCTCGCGTCTATAGTGTTGGTGTTTGCTTCCTGGGTGGACGTCGATTGGCTAGTGTTCCGGCAGAAGGTTTCCTTCGGCTGCTCAATGATTTGTTGGGAAATGCATAATGACCGTGTAATTTTGCAATTGTGGTGTGATGACAGGTTTTTATTCGGCATCATTGGCGGTGTATGGATGTTAGTGACTATCATATACATGCGAGATACTCCAGGATCTGTCTCATCACCTGCCAGGCGGCAAGAACAAATTAACGCCACTGCACGGCAAAATCTTTACCAGAGAAGACCCCATCGGGACGCAGGATGTAACACACCAGCGTCGACGTGACACTTCAAGGTCCGGCAAGAAAGTGACGTGAGTTATCCATCATCCAACCGGTCAAGATCCGATGTATCAAGTACAAACACACAAGGTCGGAGGCGGGGGCCAGTCCTGTCATTACAATTTATGACCAAGCACAGGACTTTGGGGTCCGAATGATCCGTCCCTATCTACATGTGAAGTGTTCGATATTGGCCTTTGCGGTGATAATAGGGTTGTATAGCAGTGCGAAGCGGACCAAAGGCGCGAAAGGTGTTGGGACAGGTAAACAAGGCTCACAAGCGGAACACATATCACCATCCGACAGGATGGGGATGGGAGAGCCATAAATAACTCCAAATTATACGACTGGAGAGCCCAAACATATAGGAGGATTCGACCACAGCATCTAGAACACTTCTCATACCCGCATTTCGACCATCTGAAGTCCAAACACCCCACAAAGTTATTGGGTTGTGGACACCGGGGACAGCATATATCTCCTGAATACACCACAAGACAAGATGGACCCGTACAGCTAATACACAAACCGAAAGGTCGACCCGAGATCCGAGGCGGATACCAGATGGTGATGGTCCCATCGTAACTCCATTAAAGCTCCATCAGATGGCTTTCTCCCTTATTGACAGGCAGGAGCATAACCAACCCATATAGATCTGCCTGCTTGTTGGTCTGGGCTCTGGCAGGTGGCCAGCCGAGGCCTCCACGGTTGCCACCAAATAGACATCATGGAGCATCGGAGCCTAAGAATAGTTGGCCGTGCGAACCACTGGGCAGCGGAGACTACCCAGGCGGCACATTGCTCTGGTATTGAAAAGCAGCTTGCTGCACATCCCAGTCAAGGTACATGTACATAGGCAAACATAGGCACAGGTTCCTTGGTTCCCTACATGGCGGTGCATGCACTTGCCTGACAAAGCGCGCACCAGCGAATGGTTTCCCTTGATACGTATGTACATGCTACGTGCTACGTATGGCGTGGCCAGCTTGGATGGCCGGCTGGTTCACACGACCCAACGAGATTACGTGATGCAGCAGCAACCAAGGGGGCATTTCGCCGAGAAGGGCGCGCTTGTATGAGAGAATTTATCGCATCAGGAAATGATCTATAATCCTCAATGCCAATCATCATGATATGCTCAACCACGGTTATTACCACCTACAGACGACGCGACAACCACTTGATACAGCTAGGGCGCTTCCAGGGAGCCCAGCCAACAAGAGGGCGCTTTGGCTTGTGTCGAGAGCCACTCCCACGTGGCTGTACAAAAAAATAAAAAATTACCTCCAACCTCTTGCTTTGACCCGCTGAAAAGTTGAGTTGACTCGCGCAGTCGCTGCTCTGGCCTCAAAACTGGCATCCGTAAATCCGTTCGTCCGTTACTGGTACTTCCCTCTACCTGCCTGACTTTGCCATGGGTGGCTGTACATTGCTAGCCTTAGCGCGATGTAAATGAAGGGGGCGCCGGCGCCATCTGGTAGCACTGCATGGGTGGTGCAGAAGGTTGCGCTAGAGCTTCACACCCCTGCGCGCTCGGTCTTATCAACGAGCGAGGGTCCTGGCGGTGACGTCTTGGGACTGAGCCATGACATTCTTTTGGTCCCCTACACGGATTACTCCGTAGGTTCTCCGTGGGAAGAAGTATTGCGGTCCAAGATGGGCGAGCTGGAGAGTGGGAGAGAGCTGCACCGAGAGGAGTGGCTATGTACCCAGCTAGGCACACGGTCCATGAGATTGAAGATCAACGGTGCGATGCTCCACTTGCAGCAGAGTGAATCATTGCCCAGAGCCTGAGCCAGAGGCGATCATTCTTGCGCTGTGCCCTGGAGATGGCGGTGGCTCAATTGACTTGGCGGCCAGGAATCACAACAACAACAACAACACAAATAAACACGTCGGCCCGTAGGTACCTGATCAGGTCGCCACGGTATGTATACATTTCACTATCACATCAATGCGGCCATATGGACGGGATGGCTGGACTTTGGAGGGAGGGAGAGACTCGTCTCGAGGCGCGTGTGCCTAGTGTACATAGGTACTACGTATGTCCCGGGCTGGGGTGAAACCAGCTCCGAAATCCCTCGCGAGACGAGTGACATTCATTTCACGCCTCTCTCATTGTGCTCGTAGAGGAAGGTGTAGGACAACAAGCACATGACGCTGGCGTTTCCATGTTTGGAATCCCAAGAACCATCCGGATTGAGCAATAATGACTCGTCGACGATGCCATGCCGGTTGGAATCACGTTTGTCTGTGCGCTGGTGAGGCTGCTCATTGGCCACAATAAGCCCAGGTACGATTCTGAGTGCTGGAGACGGATCCGACGCGAAAGATGGGGGGTTGGGGTTGGGGTTGGGCTGGACGTTGTTTGATCATGTCCGTCCTGCCTGTCCATGTTCGGCAAGAAGGTACATGGACTTGCGTGGCCTTGTTCGGCATTTGTCCGACAAATAGCGCGAGGCCTGGGCTGATTTTCCCTCTGGCGGACAAGGCAGGTGAGCCCGAATCACACATTGGAGAGGTTTATGGAAATATCTCGGGAAGGCGAATAGGAGGGGGGGAGGGATTGAATTATATCCTACGGGCGTGGGTTCGAACATATGCTTTCTTCTCCCGTGGGTTCGCCATGTCTCCATGGCGGAGGGCATGGGGCCCAGATGGAGACTTGTCTTTGTATTGCACACACACACACGGCACGGCAATTCTGTTTTCTCTCCACTTTGAGGCTCTTGTCGAGGTCCCGCTCCGACCTCCAGCAACGTACGGAGTAGCCAGGCACACAACGTCAGTGCCGGTTGAGTGGATATCGTGGATGTGCGATGCGGCGTCACACTCTCGCTCGAGGGCTCCGGCTCCTCGTGGATGTGTGGGTTGGGTTCCCTCAGGAGGAGTGACAAGGTTCTTCAGCGGGCCAGAGGCTGGAGACAAACTTAATCACAGCACCCGAGATGGATGGAGCGAACACAGCCAGACCACAGGCATGGCTGGCGAGATCATGCACCCTGGTGGATGCCCTCTGTGCCAAAAAGGCACGATACCTCTGTTTGCTTATTGATCGCGCATGCGCTGCTACGCCATCACAGCGCTGTACAGCCTGTGCCTGTCCTCATTTTGTCTCGTACAGGGGGTAGGGGGTGACATTGACAGTCATATCACCGCATTGCGAGACACTCGGAATTCCTGAATGAGCAGTTCCGAGCTGCTCGGCGTATGTAATTGCGCCTCTTGTTGGTGGCAGGTAGCGACCTGTGAATGGACAGAAGCAAACATCCATCAACACAGACAATCAAAACAATCCATACTTCACCCCAGAAGCCCAAAAGCATGCAACCGGGCTAGACCTGGACGGTCGCTAGTAACGAACGGATGCATGATTCCAGCCCACCACCTACGTAACGACACGGCGTTCCAAGAGCTTCAAGTTAGGCCTGGTTCGATCCCGCCACAACCCGTTCATCAGTAGTGCTCTCTGGTGCGGATTTGTAATTACTGCACATGTAGCGACCTCTTCTGCCTTTGCCTCCGGCGAGTCCAAAGTCGCGAGCGGACATAATTCCGATTCAGATCTTGGCACCTTCATTTGTCCACGCTGTTAGTTCCGAGACTAGTCTCAAAGTTGCCACGCCCCACCGACCAGCTAAGGAGCTGTCCCAATCCTGCGATTGGCCCTCGATGATCAATGGCCTAGCTTCTAGTGGTCAATAAGCCGATATGAGTTGACCGTAGCAGGCGGTAATGATACAATACTAAGATTATTGGAGTGATATCCGTCGGGGAACTGTGCGCTCACGAGCCCGACATGGCTTTGCGTTGGCCGAAGTCGCTCTCTCTTCATATAAAAAGAAAAGTCGGTGGAGGTTCGGGATTAGGCGGCTTGTCCTTGGGTCGATATTGCGCTGTTGCTCTCTTCTTTTGGTTGTTCGCGCCTAACCAAGCACCGTGTCTAGCCATGGTGTGATAATGCCTGTTCAGCTAGGTCTGAAATGACGCTTGCAGCGCTTCTCGAGATTCGCCTCCTGCGGAGTTTGTTTTCCTGGGCTACTTTCGTTCCCTTCGATTCTGGTGAGACAGCAGGCGAGTTTTGGATAGATCGAGTGGATCTGACATCTCTCATCTATTTACCCATGATGGCCCATCGCGTTGCCCTTTTTTTTCATGCTCCCACACGGAATCTCCACTCCTACACACTTCCTTCTGGGAGCAGTCTCGAAGCTTTTTCTGGCCCCTCTAAACTCTAGATTCGCTGGATCCCTTCCCGTCGAACCCCTCATCTCATCCGGGCTCCAGACAGCGGGACAGCGGGAGGAGAGGGGTTCATGATGGAACGCTCTAAAGTGAACTGGTCTTAATATCCCCTTCACTCAGTGGAACCGCTACATCCACAACAATGGCAGCTCGGTTGTGTGCTCTCAAACGTAGATCAGATAAACAGACACCATCCAAGTGATGTGCTACAACCCACTTTGATCAAAGAAGTTTGCCCTGGCGTTGCGTTGACGCAAATGCAGGCGAGCGAGCGTGCAGGCGGGTGGGCAGGCAGCAGCCAAGTCAGACGCAGGGAGGTAATGCACGTAACTCGATGGGAGGCAAAACGCGGGAATAGCAGGGGCAAGGCGCCTACACACCATCCAAAGGGTCTTATCGCCCTCTGTGCGTCGGCAGGAGAGAAGCAACGCCGTCGCTCAGACGCAAGCGTCGGCTAAAGCCCCGACAGTTCGGCTTAGTAGATCCGACGCGATGTGCTAATATTTCCCTCCAAGTACCTGCCACACATCCGCTCCATCGCGTGCCTTTCCATTGGAATGGAACCCCGGTTGGGAGCATTCTGCCCCCCTTTGGTCCCAGATGCTCGACAACATTACGCAATGCCGTGGTTGCGTGGATATCGGAGAAGCATGGGAAATGAAGAAACGCGATCACCTAGAACTATGAGTGTTTTAGTTCCTAAATGGTAGGGGTATGCACTGTAACTCTGGAACAACCACTGTGCTTATGTACCAGGAGAAGGTTTGCCGTGATATGCGCCAGCGGCTTCGGCTTGGTGGTTTTTTTTTTCTTAAACGCGTAGCGGTGGCATGTCTACTTCCGGTCGGGTCGCGCTCCGGTGGAAAGAAGTTTTTTCTCTTCCTTTGCTTTCTTTTTCCTTCTTTTGACTCACTCCTTTCTCCCCAGGCGACTTTGCATTCCTCAAGACTAGACTATGGGAAATCTGAGCCCAAGACGTTCTCATGAATCATGACGGAATTGCACAACGGTCTGGAAGGTTGTCGGAGAAGCCCTAGCCGTTGTCTTAGCTTGGGTGGTCTCACCAAGCAAAAAAGGGAGAATAAAGACGGTAGGGATCAAGGTTCCAAGACCAGACAAGTACGTAGAGACTACTGACCCCTGCTGTTGCAAACATTGGCCACACGCATCACGGGTGGTGGCTTTGCTGGGTTGTACCTATACCCCTGCCTTGATGCCTTGGCTTTTTTGGGATGCTCTACATAGTACAACACTGCATATCGTGGAAACAACCAGATACATTCGAGGCAATTGGGCACATAATTACCAATCACAAGCCGCTGGCCGCAGAGAAGCAGTTCGAAGCCCAAGAATTTACGCCCAGCTGCGTGTCTTACTACAGCTTGGGGAAAAGGAATGCGCTAGCTGTTGGCTATGAGTTATAAAATCATCTATTTATGCGTTAGGACGTGTTCGCCGCAATCAAGAGGCTGGTAGACCATGCTAAGGCGTGTTGCTTGTTTCACGAGACATTGCTGTTCAAGGAAACCCTCCATAAAGTCCCTCATCACGGATATACAGCGGTATATGAGGTAATGTCCTTACATGCGAACCGTGATTCGACCCTACTCGTATACATAATACTAGGTCGTATGTCTTGGCACCATGTAGCCACCAACAGTGAACTTCCTTTTGCCGCGGTTAAGGGTACAGGGCGCTCTCACTTTTTATTTTCAGCTTTGAAGGCGCATATGCGCCCCTCTCAAGACAGATCCCATCTCACATTTCCGCATAGGTACCTAAAGATGTAGGCTGGGGGAAACTTGACTGACGGGGGCAACCAAGTCCGAGCAACAAAACTCGAGCAACAAGTATCGTGAAGCTATTACTAGGTTTGGAGTAGTGATGAGCGAGCGGGACCTTTCCCATCCGAGAGGTAAGGTAATATCGGCGGCCCTGAATGTCCCTCTCTGCCCCCACGGTACGACCAGGCATGAGGTGAGGTGCAGCGACCGCCAGTGCCAAGAAATTTTGACGTTGCTTGCAGGGGTAGCTAGGGCATGTTCACAATGACCAATCCCAGGAGGAGGAGTTGGACAAAAATCTCCTCGAAAAGTTTGGTGTGCTCGGCCGAGGGACCAGTTTCTTATCGGTGTTAGCAGCCAACCTCTACAGCTTGCCTAGCGGGTTGCTTTCGGCTCCTGTGCTCTGCCTCCTCGAGTCGTGCGTCGCGGGAGGCGGCCGAAAGGGACACGATTCCTCTCTCTCTGCGATTTTCCCTTCCGGTGCTAATATTACATGAGAAAAAGCTCTTGTCTCAAGCTGCTCTTCATGCCACCTGACCAAAAAAAAAAAAGTACATACTACCGGTACGTACTAGCGGGTGAGAAGACAAGTCAATTGGCAGGGGTGACCCAGGTATGGAGTACCCTGCACTAGTGGGCACTACTGGGACCTTGTCTGCTAGGTGGCCATGGGCCATGAGTGAGGAATTTCTCAGTTCACTAATGCGCGTGACTCGGAAGTACCGGTACTGGCGAGGTACCTCTGCCTGCCTGCCGCCGACGAACTTAGTACGCCAACTGCTCTCTTTCTAGCTCTGCCCGTATTTTTTTCGGCAATTTGCCCTTACGTGTGTGTGTTATGTAGGTGTGTAGAATGTCTGTAGTGGTGTGTGAGTGCGAGTGTGTGTGCACGCGAGAGAGAGAGACCAAGTTTGGTGCGCTACGCACTTCCATTTTTGCAGCGGGCAGGCACCGTCGTCAGCTGCGCTCACTCCTAGTTTTTTTTCCCCCTTCTCTCCTCCTCCCAAACTTTTCCTCCTCTCGAATTTTACTGTTCCTCCACCATCATCCTCCTCGGCGCCCAACTGCCCGTCCCTGAGAAGTCTTGATTGCCCCGTCGCGGTTGTCCGAAGTTCGAGCGAAGGGAAAAAAATTGTTCCTTGCTCTGCGCTATCCATCTGACATTTCTTTTACATGACTCTTGCAACTGGGTCTCCATCAAAACCCATTCTTTTTGTGGTTCTCAACAACACCCGAAAGGCCCACTTGCCACCTTCGACCATTGCCCAGCTGCCACCATCTTAAACGGCCCTGCGTGCATCCCACCACCCTCCGGCTTTTTCTTGCCCAGATACGTACCCGTGAGCACCGGCAACCAGGCTTAGGTTCTTCGCGCCCCCTCTGTCGGACAGAAGAAATAAAAAGCTTCCAGACCCGTTTCTCCACCTCAAAGCCTCCCCCCCCAACACCACCACCAAGAGGGACCTGCCACGAGCCTCATCCACCTTATTGGGACTTTGACGCTTTGTTGCATCCACTCGTCAGTCTCACCAGCCTTCTCTTTCGTGCTCCTACTGTCAAGTGCGCGTCACCTTTCAGTACGACTTCGTCCAAGCCTCGAAATCAATTGTTTTCCTGGCTTCTCTGACGGTCAATCTCGATCGCTCGACGAGTCCTAGTAGTACTCTTCTCCCCTTGTTTGGCCCACCGCCTCCGCTCCGAACTACACGCTCGCGCCGCGTCTCTATACAAGATTATGGACGGCCCCCAATACCCCAATGGTATAAACGCGACTTCCTCCGCCCAGACATATCCATCTCCAACCGCGATTTCTCCCCACCAGCTTCAATCGGGCTCTCCTCTGCCTCAAACCCTTCCTCCTCTGCAACCGCCCGCCTCAGCCATGCAGCCTCTCTACGGAAGCAACCCGCACACACCGCGGACGCCTGGCACGCCCAACACGCCAAACTCGCAGCAACTGCCGAGCTATCAGCAAACGTCGCAGCCGACGAGCAGCCGTGGCATCTACTCGATGACCCAGCAGAGCCAGTATCCGCCCCCTCAAGGATATGCTACCTCCGCTCCCATGATGCAGCAGTCGACGACCGCGTCTTCTGGCCCGCAACCCATTGCGCCTGCTGGTGGAAATCGCGGACCGCCAGTTCTCCGCCCAATGCCTCCCGGCGGTATCATGTCGCAGCAGCCAGGCACCGCGTCGCCCTACGGCCCTCCTATGATGCAGCCCGGTGGCGTTCTTCCCGAGAGCGAGCAGCCAACCCACGTTGTTGGCTCACAGGGTCGTCGCGGCATCTTGCCCAGCGCGCCAGGCCGGCCCGCAGCTCCTGCAGCAGGAACTACCGGTGCTAAGAGCACGGTCATTCCTGTGAAGGATGCCGACGGAAAGTTTCCTTGCCCTCACTGTACAAAGACCTACTTGCACGCCAAGCACTTGAAGCGTCATCTCCTTCGCCGTAAGTAAAACCCTCAAAATCACCGCCTCACGGCACGCGACTGAATTAGCGCTAACTCGTGAACAGACACTGGTGACCGCCCGTACATGTGCGTGCTCTGCCGCGACACCTTCTCGCGAAGTGATATCCTGAAGCGCCACTTCCAAAAGTGCTCCATTCGCCGGGGTAACCCCACAGGCGTCAGCCATCTGTCCCACCCCCAGGCCCACGTCAAGAAGAATGCCCAGGCCCAGAAGGGCCCTCCTCTTGGCAACGAGGGAGATCTCAACCAGCTTAACGGGCTGAACAACATGCCCCAGGACGGCATGGGCCACCCCTTCGGAATGGTTCCCGTTTCCGACGGCATGAACAATTTGGCTAATGACCAAAATCAGCTGTCGCGATCCGGCAGCATCAGCCGCCTTGATAATGGCAATGGCGCTGACAGGAGGACCATGGCTCCCATGGGCGCTTCTCAACCCTACGGAAGCAACGACATGGGCCAGCAGATGTCAGGTTACAGCATGCCCCCCACCCAGAACGGTGTGCCCATGTACGGCAACTCTAACTCTAACCAACAATCTGGCCTTGATTGGTCTCAGATGTTCCAGCCTGGTCAGTAAATCGACTATAACTTATTCTATCTGCCTGGTCCGCTAACAGTTTTTTGTTGCTGTTATAGACCGCAATCAAGGTAGGGCCTGAACTTAGCGAGCCATGGCGAAGCAGACTCTAGCTCTGGCGTGTCCTTATTCCTCAACAATGGGAATACCTTCCAATATTCATAATCCCCAAAAAATCACAACCCTGAATACGTTTGAATTTGTTCTGTCTCTACCATACGAGTTCGTATAGTACCGCCGGATGCATTTCTCCTTATACTCCATCCGCTATGCTCCTTGCGCTCTTGCATCACTGAGTTTTATCGATTGCCGAATTGTTTAGCCAAAGGTTTACTGGGCCGCCCCGCCGAGGCAGGGTTTGCGGACCCCCGCAAGATCACACTCGGAGCCAGATGGGGTTCGTTCCCGGCGTTGTGGCTAGGCCTGGTTATCTTAGTTCTGCTGGCTTTTGAGGCTTACGAGTCAACTCAGTCATTGAGATGTGGCATCGGTAAATTGGCATGGGTATTTGGCGACTGTTGTTCTCACCCATGGAACGACAAACACGGAAACCTTGTGAAAGGCAAAAAAAAAAAGATTAAAAGAAAGGATTACATGAGAGTCGGGAAGGGATCGGTGGATCCTCTTTCCGGCGTGGAACGCTCCTCGAAACTCCCGTGATTGGGAATTTGGGAACGCTTGAATGGTGTCTGTCAAGGCCACCTTGGTACATTGGGCGGCTAGCATTGTCTCGATTCATCAAAAAGCACTGGAGGTGGTTGCATTCAGAGGCGTTGCATTTGGTCACGAACGAGGATGTTCTTTTTCTCTTTCATTGTTTGCTTGTTTGTTTGTTTTGAAGTTGCTTCGTTTCTCTGCTATGCTCAAACCCGGGGCTCTAAGAGGGAGTGGTACATTACATGAATGACCTGGGAAAGCGAAGCACGCATTTCGCTCTTCTCATGCATAAAAATAGGCACCGGCGGCGGTTTAGTTTTTTCCTTGTTTTGTTTCTTCGCACTGCATTTGGAGAAGATAGACGGAAAGCGGAGTTGAGATTGCATTAGACTTTCAAATCAAGATAGACAGGGGATTTTATCGGCTGCGGTGGTCTGAAGGTGGATCATGACGACTTTGACGACTGGCTGGGTTTTGATGAAGGTACCTAATGAAGCTCTTGTGCCTTATCTTTCGCAGTTTACTGTGACCAGCATAGTTTCATGGGAAATGCTACCGACGTCTGACGATGGGTTTTGCGTGTGTTTAGTTGAGATGAATTGAAACTATCTAGCTGTATATCTCGATCCCTTCCCGCGTGATGTGATTGCCATTTCGTAACTCCGTGTCACATGAAAATAGCCCAGTATACTGCTTAATATTTGTATTAAATACACATGCTTTGTTGGTCCTCCGATGCAGAATTGGTTGAGTTGGCTCAGCGATTCTCATTCCGATCCACGGTGGTGATGCGAGGCGTCATCTTGCGAAGTTCTTCCTGATCCTTTTCTGTCGGGGTGTAGCCGAATCGCTTCTCAGCCTGGTCTGACAAGTAGAGACCTGCGCCGCCCCAGGCGATGACTGCAGCACCCACGCCCATCCGGGTCTTTGGTGAAAGATTCTTATAAGCCCTAAAGAGGAAGAAGGACCACCTTCGGTCAGCGAGCTGGAGGGTTACAGTTAGAAGTGCTCAACAACGTACCGAAACATTGTTGAAGACGGCGGGGCAATTTTTGATGCAGTCGAAGACGAGGCTGTCGTGTATGGTAGTACGAAAGTTTTAATTCAAACAGAGCTACATAGCCTGTCTTTCCGACGGGTTGGGCGGCCGATATGTCGGATCGAGCGAACGAGCTCTGATGTTCAAAGAAAATGAAAATAGACCTTGATGAACTTCGAGCTGGCCCACTTTGGGCTTGTGCTGATTGGTGAACACAACATTATCTACCATCTGCAACGTGGGGAACAGCGGATAGGCTAACTACTGTCACTATTGAGTCACTATTATAACTCTCTTCTCGGCCGTTGTTCATCTTGTTCAGCCGCCCTTTCATTTACAAGACGTAGAAAATGAATACCGTTCCGGACGCACCAGACAGCAGCATGGCTCCGGCCCCGGCCCCCCCATCGCTGGGTTCCCTGCCTGCCGAGCTCTTCAGCGTCATAGTCGAGCAGCTCAGCCTGAGCGACTTCAAGAACCTCAGGCTGGCGAGCCGGCACCTGGCGCGGGAGGCCCAGCCGTTCCTCTCGCAGCCGAGCTTCGTCGGCTTGCCCTGGCGCCGGGACATGGCGCGGCTGCACAGCCTCAGCAGCTCGATGATGCCCGAGTGCGGCGCGCGGATCCGCGACGTCAAGTTCGTGTTCGCCGCGCTGGACGAGTACCGGGCGTACCACGATTCTTTCTCTCAAATGTTCGGCTACGAGCCGGAGGTGCGCACGGAGCGGCTCGTCAACGTGTGGACGAGCTACCAGGAGACGCAGAGGGCGGCCAGGCGGATCCTCAGCACCACCAAGCAGGAGGGGGCGGTGGCGGCGCCGGAGGTGAGGACTAGGGCGATGGCCACCACGAGGACGCTGTGCCTGCCGTTCCCGGTCGAGCTTGTTGGCCGGGCGCTGGCGGGCTTGCCGAACCTGAGGAGCCTGACGCTGACGTGGGTGGAGTGTCCGTGGAACGAGGACGTGGCGACGGTGTTTGACCCGGACGAGTCGGTGAGGCTGCAGAAGGACAGTGCCAGGGAGATCCAGCGGGAGTTTGTGCGCTCGCTGTGGGTGCTGGATGTGCCGTTGGAGAGGCTACGGGTTGATGGGTTCCTCTTGACGGGGGAGGACTTGGCTGGTCTTGAGGCCGTGCCGGCGAAGAGGGCGTTGACTTCTCTGAGGGATCTGAAGGTCGAGATGGCCAATCTTAGGGATGAGAACGAGGAGGCGAGGGAGGCAGCTTTGGAGATGTTGATGGGTAAGATGGAGAGTCTGGCGTAGCAGAATAAGTAAGAGACAGATTGTTGAATGTTGGGTGGGATGGAGAGACACCAAGACTTGAATATGATCAGAGTTTTGATGGGGTTTCTTAATTTAAGATAGGTTTCGTACTGGATTTTTGAATTCTTTGGCTGGCTGATGGGCTGACTACGAGATCGAAACTCCAATTCAATGCGTAAATATGCGTTAATAGGAATAGCAAGATCAATAGCAATAGTATATGACGCTCTATAGTGGATATAAGACAAACATTTCTCTTTTTCCTGGTTACTCAAAGTCGTTGGCAAAATGGTATAGTTTTGCATATCGATGTTCATGCTATCTGCTTGACGGATTATCAAGGACCATTAACCACAACTTGTGTCTATTGCTACATCGGAGCCAGAGCCTATCGTGATTGTTTCGATGTGGACAAAGGAAACCTAGGAACCCTCATGTTAGACCCCCTTATGAGTTGCGTAATGACGGGCAACGAGGCGCAAAAAGATTGCGCGGGATTGGATTTCCTGCACGAGTAACACGACACTGACAGGTGGGCATTGGCGCAGGCATAGATCACACAGGTCGGGGGCGGAGTGAGACATGCATCCTCGAAGGATGAGACCTACAGCAGAGAAGGCATCCAGAAGGGACAGGAGGCAACCCGTGTCTCTGCGGGCTTTGCTTTTTTCTCTCGCGCCGAGCCTCTCCCTGAGGTTGCCAATTTAGGCAGAGAGAACGGCTGAGGAAACTGGAAAGGGGGTTCTGCTCTTACGCTTGGGGAATGGGAGAGACGAAAGAGGCAACGACAGTCGCTCATCAACAACGCCACCTTGGACTATTAGTCGCCTGAATATTAGGCTTGGGGCTGAGATGTGCTTTGACCCTCTGGGAGGGGATGATGAGGGCCATGGTTAGATGGCGGAAATCGTGGATGCCCGAACGGTGGACATGTCATTTGCACTACTGTACGATGCCGCCCTTTCGTCCAGTTCCTCCCATCTGTGGAATAGTATCTAATCTTGCAGCACTTGAACCATGCTGATCGTGATATGCCTGGGCAATTAGTGTACAATCAAGAAGGGGGCCATTCCTCCCTCATGACGGGACGGAGGAGAAATCATTGTGAGACATCCGGGACGGGGAGAACGGCGTTCCCTCTGTCGAGCGAGCACGTTGGGCACGGTGAGACGCGCTGGCGAATATGTGTTAGTCCTACCGGTCACGACCAGGTCCCAAGTAGTATCTCGTCCAACATGAGGGGAGAGAAAGAGAGACATCGAGGGGGGGCCAGTGGAGGAGGGGCGAGGGCGGAAAAAAAAAAGAAGGGGAGGACATGTGAGACCCGCGCCGGAAGCCAAGCCCAAGAGATGGGAAGAAGAAGCTCACCGACTGGCATGTGTGAGGTCTGAGCGCGGGCACGCGAAGAATAAAGAAGGCAGTTTATATTGGAGAGTGAGACAGGACCAACGGGCTTGCTGTATTAGCATGGGTCATTGATTACTGCAGGGCTCTTTTGGGCAGCATTGGAGATGTCTGCATTTTTAGAATAAAGACGGGTGTCTCAAACCCATTTCTTATTTGATTAGATCTAGGAGAGGAATGTAGAGACGGAAAGATTCTTTGTGCTCTGGTGTTTCGGTGCCTGGCGATGGTATGATTACGATGGAGGGATACGTGTTCTGATTTGCAAGCCTCAGTCAGGGATGGGTTTTCCGTCTCTAAGAATTATGCTGCATTTGGTAATCTAGCGTTGGGCGCGAATGAAGCTGCATGATAGTCAAGTGTCTATGGACAAGTATATTATGTGCTATGTGAGGGAGCATACGTGTTAGTGCGTGGATATGAGGGAATCCTTGCCGGACAATCTGGATTGGCCGGCAGCGGCTGGAGGCTCTGGCGTATGCAGGGGCTCGTGATCCGCTATCGCCAAGGAGTCCATGCGCGTGTTCAGAGGAAGGAGAGGAAGGCTTGGCATCTGTTTCGGATGGAATGTAAGGATGAACTTTCACAAGTATTGGACGGTTGCGAATGGAAAACGCATGCAACTCTAGGGGAGCAAGGGGGAGGGAGAAACGATCTAAGTGGTAGAGAGACCCAAGACTAGGCCAGGAATGTACGCGGGAGCAGAGATGGATGGTGAAGCTGATTTGCATATCCAAACAGGGTCGTATTCTGTTGGATTCGATATGGGTGTGGGAGGTTGAGGGAGGAAGCTTTGGTGCGAGTCAGCCAATGCTCTACCATCAGATCATGTAGCTTGGGCGATCATCCGCCAATTTTTAAGTTGGTTGGAACCATCTGTTCGTCTCATGCCCAGCTCGAACGGGCCATGTTGGTGTCCGTCAGCCTTTCAGACGTTGATTATTGATAGAGCTCGAGCTGGTTGCAGGGGTCGGATGCCTTGGCCAAACGCCACATGGTGTATACTATACTCGTATAATGGCATTAATTTGAGCCACATGAAGGAGTGACTTTGCTAGCTCCATCAATAATCATTAATTTTGTGCCTACTTTCACGGAGGTATGTGCACCGACGATGCCCACACGCATCTATCCTAGATCGCCCAAAGCGCTGTGTGCCTGGAAACCTGTCTGCCCCTGCATTTGATTGCCAATTTAGGACGGCCGGCTCTCCTGCGTGCGACTTCAAGTGGCATCGCCTACATTATGTAGGGGGGGG